AACGTAATGTCCCATGGTCCTGTTTTTCCTGAATCACACTGTTACGGGTGACAAAATCGGTCATGATTCACTCTTGTGAGTTTGTGGCCCCGGGCCCCCTGAACAATTCTTCCTTGTCATCGTTCATTGGCATTATTCTCCCTGGAAATGAAAGACAACAGGCCCCATGTGGCCACATCAATCGGCAGTCTTGTTTGTGGGGATTTTTGTGTGTGTGGCAATCTATCTTGAACAGCTTGGCAGTGATGTTAAAGTGGCATTTGCGACCTTTTAGAAAGAGTCAATTTGACATTTTAGGTGTATAAATAGCAGACAGTTTGATTGTAGGCACTGAGCTTATGTTACTGGTTTCTGTACTTTACTCGGACCCCTCCCTGCCATTGCAGATCCTTTAGGGTTCACCATCACTCAGGAAATACTGGAGCCCTTCCCCACCTCCTGAAAGATTTTAAATGGTGTGTGTTTATGGTGTACATGTAAATCAAGGACACACCCGTGCAACATCATCGATGAATTGATGACAGGAACCAAATCGAGGACGACCTCGATTAGAAAATGTGTACAGAACTAATGACAGCTGTTGCGAAAAAGAGTTTTTAAACAAAGGAAAACGGAAGAGGAACAATAGAAAATCCTCGATTTACACCATAAACAAACCTGGGTGTCTGGGAAGTGTTTAAGAAAGTCCGAGCAAACACCCCAGGGATAGTAATGTTTAACTTCATCTGAGTCTCCAAGGCACACAGAATAACCCAGATGTTCATTTCTCCCTTTTATTCAAACCAAAACAATTTAAGTTGAATGTACTCGTCTCAGTTTACACAGTTCAACAAACACACGCATCTTCGTAAACACCAGCAATCGTGGACCCCCTAATTGTCCCTAATCCTCATTCCTTTGTTTGTACTTTTAACTTTTTAGCAACAGCTCTCATTGGTTTTGTACATGAATTTCAGTCATGGACGTTCTGTCAATCGTGGACGTATTGTTTGTGCCCTAACCCTTTTGTCCTAGGTCCACAATTGCCGGTGTCGACATGTACTCACACAAACATGTGCACTCTTTGAGTTTGAACTTGAACATCCATACTAGTGCACTAGGTCACTGAACTGTTCTCAAGTCATGCTGGCCGACAAGTCATTCAATCCGCCTGCCCTTGTCATATGAAACATTCCCAGAAAGAGGATATGGGATGAGCACCAGTATAATAACGGACCACACCCAATGACTCCCCCCCCCCCTCCCTCCCCCCCCCCCCCCAACACTCACAGAAGATGACATCATGCATTTTGATCCTGATATTGAATCCGAGAGCGAGCAACCTTCTTGACGATTAAATCATTGTATTTTCCTTTTTTCTCTTTTTCCCTCATGTACTGACTGTGACACATCCATAGGATTGGCACATGTGTAAAAGCAAAAGGGCTGAATCAGACTCTGTAGTTGAAAGCATAGGGAATATTTATACACATGTACGCACATACTGAAATTTATATCCTTGTGGAGACATTTCTTTGTTCTCGTGTAGTAAAGTTTTCGAGTTTGAAAGTGTAGTTTCAAAATGCTCTTATTTAACCAGAATTAATTTCCTTGGCTGAAATTCGGACTTACATGTAAGATCCCTTTTCTAAAACTCTACCATTTGCGACGACCAACATACCTTGGAAATTCCTAGTTTTTGAGTAAAATCCATATATCTATTTCGTGAAAACCTTGTGGAGACGTACAATCTTTTGTTCTCTATTGTGTGCATGTCTCCAGAGGGCACGGTGTATCAGATCTGTTCAGTTTTGAGACAATGATTAGTGTGTGATATATTTTATATAGATGATATTTTTGTGTTTCAATAATATATCAAGAATTCAGACTGAAACATTCTCCTCAAGTTTGTTCCCCCTCTCCCCATCCCCCCCCCCCCATTCAGACTGTCGTTCGAGAGTCATGCCAAACCAAGTAAACTAGGAGTGACCTGAGTCGACCCAAATAGATTTTTAGTTTCAGACAGGCGAACTTAATACACGGGAAATGCATATACTGACTTGGAAAACATGATCTTAGCAAGATACACTAGTATTTAAGCACTGCTTCTCAATCAACTTCTGACAGATAATGATTAGCGATCAGACGCAACTCAGACAGATGGGATTAGTGATTCAGTAGGGGTCGTAATCCCAGATGTCAAAATGCATATCCTGCAACATGCATTAACTGCAGGTCTGCACCCCTAACATCCCCCCTCCAACTCCCCCTCCAAACGTCTGTCCAAAAGGGGGACTGGGGGATTGCGTGGGCACAGTGTGAATCTCATCCCAGGAATGCTCAAGCATTAGGCACTTGCCAATTCCTCAGAAATGCTGAAAAGTGGTAATTTATCAAATGTAAACAGACAAATTTGTAATTACTTGTAAACTGTAATAAAATTAAATAGTTTCCAACAAAGAAGCAATATGAACATTGTCGTACAAAGAAGCAATATGAATGATTCACAAAAAGTACATTTAAATTCTAATAATCGCTCAAATATTTGAATATTATGGAAAAAAAATAGCAGCTTCATCAGCCTCTAGGAAATACAAATGAAAGTCAAAAGAAAATAGAAAACGAGTATTCTAATACAGGTCCGTACGCTGGGGGAGGGGGGAGGGGGAGGGGGGTTCGCAAGCCTCACTAGTATACACTACCACCCTACAAAGTTTCAAATATATGAGTATCCAAATGAATTTTATCTGACATGCCTGACAAAAAGGTCCACAAGTGTGCACATGTACAATGATAGTGATAGCCTACACTTTCATTCTAAACATGTAGTGTTATTAACCTCCACATGAAAATGTATACTGTACATGTACATGTGCATCAGTTTCGAAAGTTTTCCTTACGTTGACCTCGAGTAGGTGCTAATAAATATTGAACAAGTTATATCATCATTTCCTGGGAGGGTCGAGGAATAACTGACATTGTTTGATAGAGATAGAGAAGGGGTTGGGACTGTGCACTGGCCTGTTTATCGTGTACACCCACATGAATGGAAAGCATTGTGTGCAGAGAACAATGCAAGGCAAAACACAATCCGGTATTGAGAATGAAAACAGTTGAACCATTGATCATACATGTACAGATAGTGTGTACTAAAAATATGTGCAGCTATTCATATGCATGCATGCACACTCGGGGTATTTTTGTGGTCTGTTCTCTGAAGTCAAATTGGTCAGAGCATGTCCAAATATGCTGAACATGTACCAGTACTGTACACCCACATCTTTATTTTACAGTGAATATCCGTGTCACAACCTTATTTGTTTGGGTCAGAATTTCACAAATTATTCATTTGGCAAATGAATTGTACATTTAAAATAACAGTGAATGATGGGTGTGCAATTTGGGTGTTTTTATTTTTCTTATTAGAATACGGTGGGAGCGGGTGCTCGAGGATGTCCAATGATTTTGTTACTTTTGAACTTTTACCGTTACCACTTCGTTCACTGTTCACATGAACTGAAATCTATCGTGCCCAAATCTCACACACATGCTCGTTGTACGAGATCTGCCACAAATTCTTTAAAAAAAAAAAGCAGACATACCGGTACCGGTACATGGAAATGGCTGAGATGTATGTACCGGGTAAGTCAATTTTATTCAAACCTTCCTCGATTCCGTAGGCACATTCTTTAATACCGGCCCAGGTTCACAAAATAATACTGACTCCCAGTAAATTGGATAGGACAGTATTTGATTATATTGGCCTGTCTGTATGACCAGGCACTACCTCTATAACGCACAGGTACAATGTACATGTACAGGGAACAGCAGGCGGCAGACCTGTGCATGCCGTAATTCAATTTTCATTGATTTTTTTTTTGCTAGTGGCTGTAATTTTTAAGTGACCCGAGGTGAACTTCAGACCGATTCAAGAATCACAACACAGCTGGGAGTTGGCAAAAACAGAGGTCACCCAGAATTTAAAAAGAAAAAAAAAAACGTAAAGAAATTAGTTAAAAAGCTGTATGGTCAAGTGTGCAAGATTACCATCAAGATTTAGTTTTGATGATGAGTCATATTTTTGCTGTGGAACGGCACGTTGTATAGTGTTCCTGTACGTCAAAGGATGGATTGCGTTAACATTAATTTTATTTCCTATTAAAATCGTGCAGGATGTACACGAACATTAACATTCACAGTGTAATACTATGTATTTTTACACCTGCTGCTGCTGCAGCAGTTACATCATTTGCCAATTTAAATGTATACATGTACATGTAGCAATTCGGTGTACATGTATAATAGCACGTGTACAATGTACATGTACACAAGTGTGTGTATTTGTATTTATATTTTATCAGTTAATTATAAAACAAATGTGCATTTCAAATTCTACAGAAATTTATGGCAATGAAAGACAGCGCACTCCATTCATAAAAAATACCTACAGTTATTTTTCAAATTCTCTAATGTAAAATTACCTGCGATACCATTTTTTTCATTTGACATTTAAGAAACAAGTGATTTCATATTTTCCTTTCATATGTATTTCGCACATTTCATTTTAAAATACACGTGTGTATGTATGCGTATGTGCATACATGTGACTACTTTCTTTCTTTTGTTTCTTTTTTAAACGACCAGTGCACTTTTGATAAATGTGTCTTACATAACATCTTACATAAATGTACCCGTAACTCACCAAGGACAAAAGCCTTGATGCCTTCTTCAAGAGTTGTTTTGTTGGAGAAGCCCAGTATATAAATATTGATGTGCATATTTGCTTGCTGTTCTTTTACCTCAGGGGAGTAGCTGAAAAAGGTTTATTAAAACTGGTTTTTACTTGCAGTATTTCCACAAGTACCCGGTACCATAACAAAATAATGATTTTTTTCCCTCAGTATTTGGTACTGGAAATGCGTTTTCTGTTCTTTTAATTTGTTGTTCCGTAACCATCCAATAACGTCAAGAACACTCTGTGTGATTATTATCAATGTTATTTGGCTGTTCTTGTACCACAGGGTAGCAAGCTATGGATCATTATGGAGTACCTCGGCGGGGGATCGGCCCTGGATCTCCTCAAAGCAGGCAAGATGGATGAAGTCTTCATCGCGACGATACTCAGAGAAATACTCTTAGGTTTGCAGTATCTGCACATGGAAAGAATGCTTCACAGAGATATTAAAGGTACAGTTATTATTATTATTATTTTTTTTTTTATTTTTTTTTTTAAGGTGGGGGAAGTAGCAGAATAATGGTAACCATGGCATTATATGCGTGATGTCGTTTTGGAGTGATTTTTAATTTTCATGCAATTTTTGTTTTCTTGTTTTTTGTTGTTAACAGCTGCAAACGTTTTACTGTCGGAAAACGGCGATGTAAAGTTGGCGGATTTCGGTGTCGCAGGACAACTGACAGACACGCAAATGAAAAGGAACACATTCGTCGGGACGCCATTTTGGATGGCACCTGAGGTCATAAAGCAATCGGCCTATGACGCAAAGGTAACAATTAGTTCGGCTTGGGATGACTCTCAACTTGTTTTTGGTTCCTCTTGTGTGCCTTGTGGTTCCTTCTTTAAGAATACGCCACCTAAAACGAGGCCTTCCTTATACTGGGAACAGGCTAGGAATATCATAATTAATGCTAAGAACCAGGAAAGTGTCCAAGTTCTAAAGTTTCTGGAGGGATTTAAAGTTTGTTGGGAAGGGGTACTGTACTTCTAGAAGTGTGGTCACAGTACCGGTATGTGTAGCCCACTCCCAAATGGCATTTAATTTGACGAAAGCCAGCACTGTTGTCACAGAAACCACTGACATTTGCAAAGGGTGAGGTAACCAGCAGCTGTTACCTAATTGTCACTCCTTTCCCCTAATTGTCACTCCTTTCCCCTTACCTCTCGATTCACTATTAGTTACTCCAATTATGCAAACCCCCCCCCCCCACTACTAAGCCCCCCCCCCCCTCCATTCAGTGTTTCCACAGAAACCACTGGATGCATTATCCAACATTTTCAAAGTGGGCGGGGGGCCACTGGCACCTGTTGTCTAATTGTCGCCCCTTTCCCCGTTTCCTCTCCATTCAACCACAAGATCCAGGGTTCCAGGATCCCTTCCCCACCCTTGCCTCCCAGTTTACCTCCCTCCCAATCTTGAGCCCGCATTATCCCGCTGGGTTCCCCGCCCTTCCGTTGCCAGCCTGATCTGTCAGTCTGGATTATCAGTGCGAGCTGCCCCAAGACTACAAACCCAGTGACGCATCCCAACAACTTTTTTTTATATTTCCTCTTTTCTTGTGGTTGTCAGGATTCTCGATTGTCTGAGAGAAGACAAACCAGCCCCCCTTTAAATGCGTCATAGTTGATCCCTTTTTAATTTGTGGGATTCCGGGGAGACTTAATCACAACGTACTCAGTGTAATAGAAAGTGCCTTGCTCTCAGACTCTCAGATAGGAATCCAATAGTAGCTTCCGTAGCGGGCCGTGGAACTTGCTTAACCCGACCTCGAAAGTTAACGACAATTGAACGGACCAAGATTGATGTGCTGGCTTTGAAAAAAAAAAATGAATCACAACAATTTTTTGGGGAGGTGGGGGATTATATAAAGCTACGCATAACCTTGTAATTTTGAGAACGGTTTGTAAACTGGAACCCGTCCAAACCGCAGATAATGTCAATTGTAGATCATGAAGAAATGATTCACCAAAAAGGGGGAAGTTACTAGTTGAGTGAAACTTTATTTCTGTCCTCGAAACCAAGTACAATCCAAAGGGGGATTATTGTGGTAGAGCAGTCAGCATCACTTAATGCAAATATTTCACAAAATTTAACATTTTTAAATAAACCACAAGTGAAAAAGACAATGCGTGCTCTTTTTAAATTCAGTGAACGTTTATATTTTCGGCTGATTTTAAAAAAAAAATTGTGTAAATGTATTTCAGGCCGACATCTGGTCGTTGGGCATCACGGCGATCGAGTTAGCCAAGGGGGAGCCACCTCACTCGGACCTTCACCCCATGAGAGTGCTGTTCTTGATCCCCAAGAGCAATCCACCCACGCTGGAGGGCAACTACAGTAAGACCTTCAAGGACTTCGTGGACGCTTGTCTCAACAAAGATCCCGCTTTTGTAAGTGTTTGAAAACTTGAGACGAAACGTGGGCATCACAGAGTAACAAACATTGGCATTTGCCCTGCTATGTTTAAGGACCATTCCCTCTGGATTTTGCCGTATGCCCCGCCTACCTTTGGTTTGTCAACTTTTTGTTACGATACTCACGACCGAATTTGTCACCTGACCCAAAACTCCTGATCTAATTCGTCAATGCATACTGTTTCATTGACAGGCAGGAAGGGTCTATCATTTCCATTTAAAGGAATGGCGTCTTTATGAAGTGTCATACACAATATGGTGAAATGAAGAAAGTCATTCAAGACACCAAGGGAATGTTCACATTCAGATGGAAAGTAGTCGTGTCACCCTGCACCATGCATGTAAGCTCTTGGCGCAGTGCAAGCACAGGGTGTCCTACACTCTAGAGCTGTAGTGAGCTCCGAGTCATTGTGGAGAGACCCTTCAAAGAAATAGAAAAATGCTCCACAAAACAATGCGGACAATATATCTCACAATTGCTGGACTCAATTTTCAAACGTTTTTTTGTTTGTTTAATGTCCCTTTTTCAGAGGCCAACAGCCAAGGAGCTGCTCAAGCACAAGTTTCTCAAGAATGCCAAGAAGACGTCGCATCTGACCGAGCTTATAGATCGGTTCAAACGGTGGAAGGCCGAAGGCAACGAGTCTGACTCGGACTCCGACTCAGACCAGTAAGTAGGAATTACGGGAAACCTCAGTAAAATTAAAAGTCAAGTCTGTCACAAGCTAATGTGGCCCATCAGGCCGGCACTTATATCCGGTTTCACTAGCATGAAACGACGGAGAATATTTCTATTCCCCCTGGATGGGATGCTAGTCCATAGCAGGTTACTCCCCAGCTAATACTGGTACCCATTTATACTCCTGGGGGGTGAGAGGCAAGTTGGGTGAAGTGACTAATTGCCCAAGGACACAACATATGACCAGCAGCTGGATTCGTATCCCTCACCCTTGACCCTCTGATCATGAGTCACGATCGGAGGGTCAGGGGAGACCTCAACCCCCCAAAAATTAAGTCCATACCCAGCAATGTGGTTGTACATCTTGTGTCCTTGAGGAGGATGCTTTGCTTCAATAGTAGGGCCAGTTTTGTGGGAGAGTTCGGGGAGACCACCGGGATTGACATTGGAAAGCATTGCCGACAAGGCCTGACGCTAAACACGAAGACGCTATGGCTATGTGCACATTTAGAATAAAATAAGTCATGCATACTTTGCCCTGTACGTTCGCAAACCAGTATACGGTGTGTCCCTTCCACGGGCTCTTGAATGTGGTTAAAAAAGCGCCCTCTCTTGTTCATGCACGGAGTCCATTGAGGTGCTTGCCAGATACTTAGGGGGGTTTTCAAAACCTTTGCTTCGTCTTCCTCTTCGGCTTTGCCTCCGACTTCTGAATTACTGAGAGGCAAACTAAACGAAACTATTCCAACTTTTGGCTTCATATCAACCAATTGAATGTTCCTGAAGCATAACAGGCACCAAAATGTAGCTGGAGTTCCAGAAGTTGGGGCCTCAAATCTCCTGAAGCCAAAGACGAAGCCAAAGCCAGTCATTTAAAAAAAGCTGTCAGTTGCTTATGGTCTTGAGTTGCTCAACAAAAGTTATTCAAGAGCCCATGCACCAGTATACGTCAAGTACGTCACATGACTCTGGCTGTTGACATATGTTAGCTTTCCAGAATATCTCAAGGCAAGCATTTGTAAACTACATCATCTAGTATGTTCACTGTTGTTTTTTTCTTCTTAACAATCGTAGTGGTGATGAAAGGTTAGGCATGCAGAATGACGACGATCCTGGCTGGAGGTTTGACACCGTCCGAGGTAACCCCAACGCCCCGCACGTCAGCAACGACGTGCACGTTGAGGAGCGGGAGGTTCCCGTCCAGCGACAACCCAAGTCAGAAGCGATCCACTCCATACTGGAGCCTCTACTTAAAAACGTAAGCATAGGGCAGTCTCAACCTTGTTCTTACCTGTGAGGTACAAAACCAAGTGTAGCACCTCACAGATTGTCAGGAGCTCAGCCACAAAGATTAAACGTTTGAGGTGAAGTACATGTACTGCACTCAGTTTGCGTGTACCTCACTTGCTCTACACTTGAGTTGCAGAACCTCACAGAATTTACAGATAAACATAAAACCTGATATGGTATAGAACCTCGCAGATTTTACCACTAGTGGTGTAAAACCTGAAAGGTTTGACTTGTGTTGTGCGGAGCCTCACAGACTTTACTTGTGCGGTGCACAACCTCAAAAAGTATACCCATGTGTTGCCAAACCTCACAGATTTGACCATTGTGGTATAAAACCTCACAGATTGTACTATGTGGTGTAAAACCTCACAGATTTTACCACTAGTGGTGTAAAACCTGAAGGATTTTTCTTGTGTTGTGCAGAGCCTCACAGACTTTACTTGTGCGGTGCACAACCTCAAAAAGTATACCCATGTGTTGCCAAACCTCACAGATTTGACCATTGTGGTGTAAAACCTCACAGATTGTACTATGTGGTGTAAAACCTCACAGATTTGACCATTGTGGTTTAAAACCTTACGGATTGTACTATGTGGTGTAAAACCTCACAGATTTTACTATGTGGTGTAAAACCTCACAGATTTTACCATGTGGTGTAGAATCGTATAGGGTTTACTTGTGCGGTGCAGAGCCTCACAGCAGATCGTATTGTTGATGATATTTGTCCATGTTATTTGCAGCTCAAGAGAAAATACGACGGTACTGCATCGATAGACCAGCTGACGAATGCATTTGATCTATCGGAGGAGTCGTTTCCCGGTATTTGTGACCGGTTAGTCCAAAAGGTTGTCACCAGAGTACGAGAGTAAGTGTTTCAGGAACAATTTCCTCTGTCATGCATTCATCGATTTCGATTTGCCTGAAGTTGGAAATATACAGAACCTCAATTGAAACATAGAAGTTAGGCGATGAAAATGCATGTTCCTTATGGTGAGGATATATGCTGTACATGTAGCCTCCATTCTTTAATATTTCCGAGTACGAGAAAGCTGAAAAACAAGCTTTTTTTTAACTGCTTCCTGTTTAAGTGCTTTTGAGGTGTACATCTGAATGTCTGTCTAGTGATATTTATACCTGCACTCACGCTGTCCCTATTTTTTTTTTACATTTCAATATCGTTTTTCTTTCTTTCCCCCACAGAAACAGCTCCCTGTCGTCAACCTCAAAATCCAAATAAAAAAAAGTACTTGCAACATTGGCACGCCATACTCTGGCAGGTGCCGCAATGACTGTAGGACAATTCTGAGAGGTGTGGCTCTCCATACATCAGCAGGCGGTACAAAAAAAGAATGTATATATAATACAAGTGCGATGGATACTAGCTGTATCTATGGACAAAATAAAACTTTATGTACACGGTTGTGGAATTACTGTGTCTGGAAACAGTAAACAAAATGATATGGCGACACTGTTCATCGGAAAAGTGTGACTGGGGCAAACTCTACGGAGAGATTCCGAGTTCAACTGAGATGATTTGTTGATTTCCTACTTTCGACGCCTTTAAGTAAAATGTGCCTCCTAACATCCACCCAGTTTGTGACGACTCTTAAGATTTAAAAAACGGAACGAAATGAAACAAGTGAGACGTGAACAAAAGCTTTCGCTGATTTCAGTTTCTGCTCCTTCTCCTGCCGAAGGAGACCATTGATTTCCTTGAGGAGTATTTGAAGGACGTCTTCATCCCATCTGTTCCTGAGATGGCACGTTTGTTACATCCGAGAACGAACTTGTGTGCGTGATTGCGTGATTATGCCCATGGCACAACATGACCGACAGAGGGCGCTGTGATGCTGGGACTACTAAAACATCATTTCATGCACAAATGTGATCTGTAGTACCTTGGAATGTTTTTAACTTTTATTTGGAGATACACTGTAGATGTTAAGTTTCAGAGATTTATCGTATTGAAAATTGAGTTGACCACCATGTGACCACCACGTGATACCATGTGACTATCGTGTGACCACCGTGTGACCCCCATGTGACCATTCAGGGCAGCAGATTTTGTTTTCCAATTGTTACTGTCGTAGAGCAGCAAAGTTACGCAACCTTAGTGGCAGCGCGGAGCCAGCACTGCAACCATCTTTGGCTTGAGCCACAGCTATTGCAGTCATTGACTACCATGACTACGGCTTCCAGTCGCATCAGGAACCTGTGTTGTTGTCCCACAGCCACAGCCATAAAATGCCCATCTCGGATCCGCTGCAGGATGAAATCTGATGAAAATAGACTGGTTCTTGGATGCCACGCCCAGCTCTGTGGTGAAAAACTGCACACACTGTGGGAACCACACCGAAAGAAGGCTGCAGTCTGACCAGACTGTATGTGATATATAAGTTGCATTTTTTTAGGGTCTTGTAAATTATTCAACAAAAAGAGTACACCTAAAATAAAATAAAAACCTGTAATAAGTCGATGTGTGCTGTATGGTAGTATTGAAGCACACGTGTATGCATACACTAATATATATTGGTATTTTTTAGAATTATTATTTTGTTTTTGGTTTACGCATATGCTTATCAACAAGTTACTCAATTTAAGGGTGGTTTGTAGTGGACATGGTGGAACTATATTTGATATCACCATTCAGTTTTTAGAGTATGATTTACGTTCAGCCTTGACTATATCAACTTTGTAGACAACGAGTAAAAATTTCAAATAAACATAACGGGGAGATTGAGAGAAATTTTTTTTTAATTGTACTCAGAGAAGACGTATTTGTATATGTATTTATTTTTTAACCATATCGCAACATGTACCAGTGTGTTCATGTGGAGACGTATTAACCCAAGATACATATCAGTTATGGTTTAAATTTTAAAAGTCAATCGGTATCCATGAAATGCAAGTGTGAGAAAAAAAATGTTAGCATATTCAGAAAATAGTTTCCAGGAATTACTCTTTGTTGTGCTGGTGAAGTCAAAAACATGTCCTGAAACAGAAACATAAATATGTGAAATATTTGGTTGTTGAATGAGTTTGCAGGCCAATTTTTTTTTTTTTTTTTTTTGCTCAGCCTTTTCCCTTGGTATTTATGTCAGGATCTTTTCTAATCAGGGGTGAGATTTGCCAAGATTTTTGCTGATTTTTCAGAATTTTTATAGAATCCGTTTGGAATTCTGGAATTGCAGAGGTTTTACTGTAAAGGTGTCGTAACTTGTATAAAAGTTCATGGAGAACACTTGAAATTGGCAGTAACCTATGCAAACACGCATTCGGTGCAAAGTCATCCTTTCAGTCCAAATCAATCGAGTGACTGTTTTTAATGGTTGAGTGCTGCCTGCCTACCGGTACATACAGCAGGATTGACTGGCTGTGACTGTTTATGTAACTTGATGCAGCTCTGCTGTGACTGCAGGTGATTGATAAGACAGCTGTGCCTACCAGCAGCCTGCTGTTGTCTGTTGACTGAATTTGACTAGTCACAGTGCTTGCTGGAAATACGATCTGACTGTTGGTGACTGGCCTGTGTATAAAGGCATGGCAGGGGAAGAGGATGATTATTTTTTTGACTGTCTGTGACTGTTCAGACAGTAAAAAGTAAAGTCTGTCACGAGCCAATAATTATGTGGCCCATCAGGCCAGCATTTATGTCCGGCATCAGTAGCATGAAATGACTGAGAATATTTCTACTCCCCCTGGATGGGATGCTAGTCCATGGCAGGTTACTCCCCAGCTAATGCCGGTACCCATTTACACTCCTAGATGGAGAGAGGCAAGAGGGATGAAGTGGCTTGCCCAAGGACAAAACAAATGGCCAGCGGCTGGATTCGAACCCCTGACCCTCTGATCAGGAGTCGCGAACCCTAACCACTAGGCCACACTCCCCACCACTCTCGCCCCTGTTGAACTCCTCAAAACTCCAACACTGCAGTTACCCACTTGCACATTGTACATGGGACATCAGGCTTCCCTGTGCGTCGTCATACTTCGTCAGAGTCGATGGCAAACGTTCAGTGTATGGCGAAATCTGTTTGTTGGCATTTCAGGCTAGAGTTAGCCTGCATGTTTTTTCATCCTCCAGAAAAATACAGGACGTGTTTATCTTTCTTGGCTTATGTCAGTACAACGTAGAAAAATGCATGCAGGTACGAGTAAAGTTAAGCAATTGCTGTTCAAAAGTCTTGTACAGTTGCGTATTTAGTTGGTTTTGTTTTCACTTTGTTTTCATTTACAATGGCATATACGTGTATGGAGTACTTGTGGTCCAATATTTTAAGATTTTCTTTCGTAGACATCTATACTAATCATAATTGTTCTTAGCTCGTTTGTTTCGTGTCAGTACGCGTTATTAATTTTTCGCCTCCCATAGGTGTATCCTTTTTGTTTTTGTGTTGGAGCAAAAATGTTCGATACCAATGGCAGCTTCTTTGACAGATGGCAGGTCACATGACTGTGGTCATGTGACTCATCAGGTGGACGCAGGGCTCCTTACGGGGTCATGTGACACGGACTGACTTCAGAGCAGCTGTAAAAAGTATGCTGGTAGCTTTTAGGTGTTTTGTGTGTTTGTTTGTTTTTTTCCATATCAATGTTGTACCAGGAACTGAAACGTGAAATTGATATTTTTTTTTTAATTTGCACAAATCTTTTTTGTAAACACTATTCATGCTCTCCAAAATGAAAAACAAAAACTAAATCACATCCAGTAGGCGGAGTTTGCTGTAGGTTTGCTAAGTTACACACTGTGATACCTATTATCAGTCTAACCTCCCCCCCCCCCCCCCACTGTCCACGCCCACTTTTTCAGTTCACGCCCACTTTTTCAGTTCCCCAACCTTTCACCAATATTGACAACTTCATCCGTGTATTTAAACCAATCACTGGACACACATGAAAATTATTACGAAAGGCTATTCAGGCACGATCCCCTAAAGTATGTCGGAAAATTGTTTTTTCTTTATCAAATAATAGTTAGGCTTTCTAGATTGATATGTATTACTATTACATTATTATTTGTTAGTGTGCACATCGCTTATTTATTACTCTTTATGCAACTACGTGGCACTTAGAATGCAAATTAGAATGTTAATACATTTTTTCCCCATGTACCAGTAGTGAATGTATTTTATGCCTGTAGAGTTTTAGTTCGTGTTACGCGTAAAAATGGGGGAGTTTTTGTTTGTTTGTTTGTTGTTTTTTTCCCTCTGCTGATGTTCAAGTTTGAAGTGGCGTTAATATACCTGGTTGAGTGTATGGTTTTCATACGCGAGCGTTTAATGCATTGTACTTGCGAGTTCATCTCCAGATTTCAAGATGCGTAGAAACCTTGTCAATGTCTTCTTTTTTTTCTGCATCATTTTTTTTAGCTGGTTGTAACAAGTGATGACACGTATTAGCAGATCTGTTGTTTAAAAAAGAATTTCTGCTTTTTCTTTCGAAGCTTACTATGAAGACGGCAGTTCTCTTTGTGTTGGTGCTGGACACAATATCCAGTATTTACGAAGACATTGGAAATTGATAGGTATGTTGGGAAAAGGGATACCTAAATATTGGTCTAGAAGAGAAATGCTGGATTTTAACTGTGATTTTATTCCTGACAAGCCAATTAAAAGCCTAGTTCAAATCTAAAAAAAAAACTGGGAAGTCCAATTTTTGTTTCTGTGATACACATGCACGATTAAAACTTAGCAGATTTTAATTAAAAGAAATATTTCTACCGAATTGTCTCACTAAATGTTCTTTGGGATTTCTTTTTTGGGAGGGGGGAGAGGAGTTGGGGTATGCTTACTTACAAATATCCCAATTATTAAGTACCTTGTGTAGATATTTTATTGATTGACACTTAATCACGTCATTATTTGTAATAAATTAAACTGACTGTTTATGTACAATAAGTTTGAAATAAAATGGTGTATATTGCATTTTTTTCCCCTTGAATTATCTCCTGTAATTGTAGGGTTTTTTTGTAAGTATTGTTAATATTTAGGTGTTTGGGATATATTAATATAATAATCACTTTGTAAATTATATTTGTAGATTTTGGTTCCAGGACTTCTCCTTTAATCAGGGAAGCAAAAAAAGGGATATGATCTATATTTTAAACTGTTGGACAGTTTTTTCTCAAACTTGATCCCCTAAAAACTTCCTCTGGTTTCGAAAAAGGTTACTTTCTTCATACCCAGGTGTTTTTTATGTGTTCTGAATATAAAACTGTAATAATAGTATTGGGGACATAATTGATGATAGGTATGAATAAACACAAGTCTTTATACGTCAAAAGTTTAACGATTACGATATTTCATTTCTTCCCGTCTGTTGCAAAATGGTGGCAAAAAAAAATAAACTGGACGCACTTGTTCCAATCAAATAATTTATTATTTCTGTACCAAAGTCATGCGGTATTTAACACTAATTTATCATGTGTAACTGAATGCACACTTTGAATATCAGATTAACTATACACCCGTACACTTCATAGTTATGTACACTTTGCAAATGATACAATCTTTGATAAACACTCTACAGTTTGTATTTATGGAAGCTGTTTTTGGATGCTTTAAAACATATGAGGTCTCTTCTTTTTTTTCATCTTATCATAACTTCACTGCACTGGCAGACTTGACTCTGGTCTTGCTCCCCGATTTGGGTCTGGCGCCCCCTTGTGTCGCCCTCTGCTCACTTAGCCCGGCGCCCTCGTGTGCCGACCTCTGCTCGTGCAGTCGATCGCCGAGTCCCTGCATGGCTTTCAGGGTTTCGGCCACGGCGTCTTGCTGACTCTGGCTGGCGTGCATGGAGCTGGCCCGCACCGCGCTGTACTTGGCCTGGATCTGAATAATAAGAAACAAAAATTGTAAAATGCACGCTTCTCTTCAAGCCTAGTCCAAAACAAGTGGATTAAAAGGAGGGTGTGGTGTAGGAGGAGGAGGGGGGTGGCTTACCTCCTGCAGGAGCTGCATGACCTCTGGGTATTCCTTCTTGAGCATCTTGCGATCTTCCAGCAACTTGCCCAGATTCACCTCCTCGATCACCAGTCGATTCTTCATCGTCTCCAGGACGTCTTCCAGTTTCTCTGCTTTGCTCTTGTGGGGTGGGCGGGGCTGAAACTTGCTCTGTTAAGATCAAATCGTGCCTTGTAAATAATTGTGTAAACAAACTTATACCCATACATGTACTTAACAGGTGCATATCTGTCTACCTTCCCAAAATCGTCAAAATGTTCTACTCCTTTTTGACTTCTCTTAAAAACACTTGCCGTTGTTCCAAAGGAATTCCACAAATCCAATGTGTAAAAGTTGATTGGCTACCTTCCCCACGCCAAAACAATTTAGAGATCCCAATGGTTGATGGAGATTTTGAGACAGTTGACAAGGTTGAAACAAGAAAACTGGTTGTGAATCTGTTCTCCATCCAGTAAGTTTAAGTCCAGTTGTCCCGATTCCAATGGTGTTTGCATATAAAGAAGGTAGCTTCTTTTTTTTTTTGGATCGTAGTTCTTACCCTCTGATACGGCTCAAACGGCTTCTGGAGTTTTTCCAGATCCACCTGGTTCTGGTACAGCGTTGGGTGTTTGAGGGCCAACCTTAGGGATCGCAGGTTGCCTTGGATATCTGTAGACAAAAGAAGAAACAAGATGATTGTTAAGGTCTCAAATCAGCATCAGCTCCTAGGATAAGGCAGACGGGATTTGTTTAAACCTCAGCTTTATCTTTGTCTTCAGATTTTACGCCTTTGATTTGATGACGCCATCTCTGTATGGGCTCTGTGCACAAGTGCCCCCTCAACGGTAAAGAAGAGAGAGGTGGGGGAAACCACTGGGACAGATATTTGAACGCATTGCCGCCCCCTTTCTGAAGCTCATGCGGAGACCCTATGGTTTTGTGCACGTTCAGAATAGACCAAGTCAAACGTACCTTGCGCTACATGCGCATGAACTAGTACGCACATGTGGTGTGTCCATTACTGGGCTCTCGAAAAGCGCCCTCTCTGTTCACGCAGAGAGCCCATTGGTCCATCTTTTGCTTTTGGAGCACACATTTATGTAAAGTCACTGCTTAGACTTACTTCATTTGGTTCGGACATTAACAGATTCTAAATAATTCTGAACTCGGGAGATGAAAAGGAAACCAGGGTCAGCTCCGAAGTTTTAAAACCCCTTCACAACATAAAAATCTGGGTTCCAAAACAGCCACTTAGGAGACTGAAAAGCTTTACCTGTAACGATTGGTTCTTCCTCCACGTCTTCAGGTGTGTCGTAGAATATCTCGTAACCTTTGAACTTTTCCGGGACGGACATGGAGTAGGCAGCGCTGTCCTTTCGCTCCATCTTCTTTGCCTTCTCTTTCTTGGGATGTTTGTCTGATTGCTGTTTCGGTGGCACTTCTTCAGGTTTTGGATCCTCTGTCTGATCATCCACCTGAGATTCAGAAAGGAAGGATGCCAAAGGTGTGGACATTTCTTCTTATTTTGTGGCGTTTTGTATTAAACCTGTTTTTTTACAAAGACTGATTTAACTGATTGTTTTTGGTTTTGGAAATCAAGGATGCAGGTTCTGATCTGGTCAAATGAAAAACGTTAATGAACTGGTTTTACCTGCGTGAGGAAGACGGGTTCATCTGCTTGTTGGATTTTCTCTTTGCCGCTGGCTGCCTGGGAGCTTGGGAAGCTCTCAGCAGTCCAGGACTTTGTCCGCGTCAACTTCTCCTCCTCCAACCCCGCCTCGTGACTCTCCCTGTTGTGAAGTGGATCAGTCTTGGGCCTGCCGTCAGGAGTGGCCGGGATTGGTGGGAGGGGACCAGAGATGGACTGCTGGGGCTTGTCCATTGCTGGAGGAGGGGTGGGATGGGATGGTGACGAGGGAAGGGCTTTGGTAGCGTGGGCGGATTCTAGCATTAACTGGAGGGGTTTCTTGGGGATTGGTGGTACAACCTCAGCAACCTGTGCATACCAGCAAAAAGTAAAAACAAAAAATGAGTTTTCATGTCTTGGTTTGCATACCTTGACAAAGTGTGTGTATAAGCCTCAAAATCAATGCTCCAAGTTTGTAATTGAGTGGTTCCAATTTCTGTATCATCTCAGCTTCTTCCAGCAACTATCCCCGCGTCCCAATTACTCGGTTGCGGCTTGCAATTACACGTGCATCCATGGAAGGAATTGAAGCTACTTCCTATAAACAGGTGTTACTGCAATTAGCCATAGCCTTACCTTTCTGTGTGGCTTGGCAGGGACCTGGATGACAGGCTTAGGTTTGTAGTCTGGTTTCCTGCGCACCATGCTGATGCCTAACCTGTCAGTCAGGTACCTCTTGAGTAACGGTGGATCCCCGCTGCTGTTGGTTGTGAGCGGATTGTCGTGGATGACGAGTTCTTTCAGCATCGGCCACGCGGCGACGGCAAGGAGGGATTCCTCATCAGTGATCTGAAAGTTAGCAAAGTTGGCACTCCTTTAATGTTGATGGTTTCCTGAAAGAAAACTGTTTAATAGGGAAAACCCTGACATTTTAGGGCTGATCTGTGGAGCGGTGACCCCAATATTGATCAGAAGCACCTACCTTATTGAAGGCAAGACTTAGATGCTCCAACTCGGGAAAAGGCGGCGGAAGATCCTGGGCAGGACTGTCATCGTGCAAGCTGCTGTTTCTTGACTCCTCTTTGATGTCCGCCAGATGCTGCTCTGATTCGACAGTGTCTCTTCGATCTTGATAGAAATTGACGGAAAAGTAATGTTGCTTGTGCTTTACACTTTGACAAGATGTTTGATATCAAGACAATGCTTTAATGACAATGCTTAAAACAATCTAAGGGAAAAAAATCTGGAGTTATTTATGCATTTTATTAATTACCTAAGTCTGCTGCAGTTATTCCTGGTGATGCAGACCCAGACCTGCTCCCACTTCGACTCTTCGCTGACCTCCTTCTAGACTTCCGCCCCGGAGTAGAGGCAGCCGATGGGGGTTCACTCTCCACTGCCACGTGCTTGCCGCTGAGTGCCTTGAGGTGCGGCACCGAGGGGATGTCGTTCTTATCCAGATTGAGTCGCTTGAGCCGCTTGAGGCCTGCCAGGCTGGCAAAGGTGGCTAGGTCCGTCAGGTGGTTGTCGTCCAGGGAGAGGAGCTCCAGGCTTGGGAAGCGGGGGATTGAGGTTTCCTTGTTGTCCCTAGAGTTGAGAGAGAGGTGGAAAAAAAATGAAGACTACAAGGTTTTTTTTCAATCATTGCTTCCTGTACGGCTTCAGGTTGAGTAGCTTTTAGGCACCCGACTATTGGAGTATTTCCAATTAATTTGGCTGTTAAATGATTCTACAGCCAGGGATGGAACTAAAGCCGGGTACACTTCAGCGCACCATCACGTGCTTCGTCTTGATGAGGCCACTTTTCAACTTCATGGTTGACATCCTGCAAAACTTATCCTCAAGTTATTCACTTATTCACCTGTCACTGAAAAAATTCCAAGTTTGGTAATCTTCGACAGCTTGAAACAGTTTGGTTCGATGACGGCCCACCCATTCCCACGATGCACTTGGTACACAGCCGAGGGGCTGACATCAACAGTAATTTGGATGTCACTGAACAAAGTACTGCAGAAGGCAGCCCTCGGCTGAGGTACCCAATTAGGAAGATCCGACTGATGTTGGGAATCCGCAAAACCCAATCTGGTATTCAGTCCGAAGTCTAAAGCAGATGCTTCACAGGCAGATTTTTACCAGGGACAGAATGTCAGAATGGGGTACCTGTGTCCTGTCTTTAGACCTCAAGCTAAAGACAGAAAGAAGACCTCATGACAAAATGCCACCCAATCTAGAATCCAATCCCAAGTTATATCAACTAACAATACTAAGACCATTAATTCAATTGCCAGTTTGACTTACTGAAGTGGCACTATATACGGCTTGGCCAGCTCCACGGGCAGCGAACGTAACTGATTCCCAGTTAGGTACAGCACCCTGAGTTTCGGAAGCAGGCCCAACGCCAGGATGTCTTCTTTGGAGAGGTTGTTGTAGGATAAATCAAGTACCTGAAAAAAAGACACAGATCATTTTCACTTGATTACAAACTTCTGTAGAAAACCTGAAATTATGTGGTAACTAAAAAAATATCTGATGTATGTTGGATCGGCAAATTGGAACTCACTTCTAAGCAGGGAAAGTCGTCCAGGTCCACACAGATTCCCCGCAAAGCGTTCAAGGGTAACTCTAACTCCCTAACTATTGGAAAGTGGTTGAAGGCCTCTGTAAGGAGTTTGAAAAAAAAGGAAAAAGTCAGTTAGTATTATTTTCAAGACTTCAACTAAATCTCTGCAAAAGACTTTTTTTTATCATTCAAACATCGCACCTGTTCATAGCACAAACTTGTTAGCTTTGAATTGATATTTTAGTCCTGATGCATCTGCTAGGGGAGGGGGATAGTTTGCACTTACCAAACGGCAAGAGGTTCTCTCCAGCATTGATGTACGCCGCATTGTCGAACAGCTGGTAATCTTCTTCCTTGACGTCCGTCAATTCTTTGCCAGTGACGTTGATGGAACAGACGTCAGAAGGGTCCTCCACGCAACAGTGCTTCAGCTGAAGAAAAAAAATCAAGTTATTTTTTTCAAATCAAAAATACGATTTTCAGAAATAAACATTGAAAATTGAGGACCTACTGTCTTGAGTATTAGTAAGTGAAGTTCATCTTGAGCCAATACTGGGGTATCAGACTAGTTGTTCATAGGCCTTCTCCACTTTCCTTGGCATAAAATTGTTTTTGTTGTCCCTAGATGGGGTGCAGGTCGATCACGGGGTACATGTACCTCCAAACTACTGCTAGTACCCATTCATACTCTCGAGTGGAGTGAGGCAAATAGAGGTGAAGCAGCTTGCCCAAGGACACATCAAATGGCAAGCACCTGGATTCAACCCCCTTTCTAATATTAGTAAGTTGTTTTTACCAGGAAGAAACCATCCATTAAGCCCGGAGTGGTAGTGTTGGCTTCAACGAAGGCGTCTGGTGAAGATGGAGGCTGCCTCCTCCGTCGTTCCTCTTTTTCTTTCTCCTTCCGTTCATGTTTCAGCTGCGAGTAGGTCTTGGGCTTTGCACACAGGACAGCCTTGAAGTGACGCCGCTGCTCAGCTTTCTGAGCCACCATCCATGCCCCGGCTACAAAAAAAAAAAAAATTGTGATTGGAGATTATGGAAATCTTAAGGCTCAAGGTCCTATTTGGCGGGCAGGGCTGCTGGTTGTCAACTACATGTACTTAGTACTGGAGTAGTGGAGTGTGCATTAAAAACTTATTCTTTTAATAAATGCACGCGATTATTATGTGGCAGGACAGTGATGACACCACTGAAATCCATAGAAAAAACGGTCAGTCACATTGCAGCCTAGCCTGCAGGGCAACAGTTTTGTTCAAAAATGTTGACGGCTGTTTCATGTCCCAGCGAAATACACCAAGGTTTAGACAAGTTTCTTGTCGCCTCCCCTTGCCGCACCGTGGGTACCAATGCGTGAGCATAGGGACTAATCAAGTATCCTACATGTAAACTGAAGCAAAACACATGCTGATCAAAGGGCTAACATTGGTCATTTGGTGACGTCAGGGGTGATTTGGCTACAGACACAAAAACAGCCGTCCAACTGTCGAAACAACAACGTTGTCCCCTCAGCCTCAGCATGCTCAGTCCCGAATTCCCTGAACATGCTGAAAATTGTTTGTGGGCTAAACAAATTTCAATTTAGAAATGTCTGATTAACAATCACTGTGTTTACAATACACAAGTGAAAAAAGCGACATTATCATGATTATACAATATGATCCCTTATCCTAGAGGCACAGCAAAATATTGATGACTGAAATCTTCAAATCTGAAATGGCAACATTGAACTTCAAAACACAGAACAACAAAACAAAACAAAAGAAAAACTGATGGTTCGAGGAGGCAGACAAAAGCAACAAAAAATGCTGCAAAACTAACAATAAAAACCATTTCAAAATTACACCATGTCAAAAATATCACGAAGAGATCCGTACCATCCTCTGATTGCCTGAAAATATTCTTTGCCGGGAAACAATTTGTGAAAAACCCGCCCGATCCGTCGTCAAGTTTCACCCCGGCTGGAACCGCCATGATGGATTTGTTTCGTCGCTAGGGGCAACCGTCATTTTGTTGACAGTCGAGTCCGGAAGTTGCCGAAGATTACCGAACAACGAAAGCTTAAAATATCCTATTTAGTTCAAACTAATACTTCTAAGCTTTGTAATAAATAAATTGTTCGTTTCTTATATGTCAATCTTATTCTTAATTGTTTTTATTTAATGATAATAAAATAGAATCTTCAAATTTATTATTGGCTGTTATAAATCCAACAGCTTTTAATGCAAGACACAAAATTATTTGTACACGCTGGAAAATCAATGGCACAATTTTTTCGTGCACAAAGTCTAGTACCCTGGCTTATAATATACCATTTGATCACGTTTGTGCAACAGAGCCAGTCTAAATTAGTTAGTTGTGGGCAAAAGGTGCTTACGTTGTTTGTGCGTTTAATTTTCATCATCTAACCAGGCCTGTGTTGCGGTAAGACGACGTTTTCGGGGTCCAGATATTCTCGATTGTGTTGTCTCAAGTATAACTAAAGTTAAAGGCGGGATTTACCTTATTTTTATTGGATATAAACTAGACTATAATCAAAAAAATAATCAAGACGAGGCCTAAATGAAACGTGCCAATGAGGGCGCTGTTCATCTAAGTTTGTTTTCTACATCAAACGTCAGGCCCTCTCATTTTTTTGTATTTACTTTTTTACCTTGTCTGCTTGTAGTAGTTGTAGCATTTGTAAAGTGTTTTGTGTACTTATCAGCTCATAAAATAAATTAGGCCAGGTTAATAATTGCCAGTTGATATTGCCCGTTGCATGCGGCATTCTTCGTTTTAAGGTTGAGTTTTACATGTAGTATACTACTAGTAAACGATATATTATTATTAACTTAAGCCGGGGGGATCTTACAACATCGCCCTCTTTGACGCGTCGACAAGTAGGCCTTCATTATTGGCATTAAATTACCACCATTGTTTGAGCAGCAGTGTGAGAGATCCCGGGTTCGATACCCCTGTCGCACTTAGTATTATACCCCTACATTTATCTGCAGAGCTACATTTTTTTTTCTGATTCGTAGCTTTGGAGGATTGTTTAAGGAAAACAAAGTCCGAAATTGTCTGATTCCCATCTTGTGGATACACAAGATTACACTGTACGTCCGGCCACATCATACATGGGTACTGGGTGGTGGTGTACCTTAGTTTGGTCTGTAATCTAATTGTTCCCTTCTCAATAGACGTCAAATATTAGTGTTGTATCACATTCACTTTCTCAGCAGCTCAGTATAGTGTCTGCCATGTACATCCAAATTTATAGAATTTGCCAAAAAAGGGATGAAATTTGCTTTCAATATTTTATACTTCCTTTGTGTTTTTTTCTTAACCTGTTTACAGGAAATAATTCAGTGTGTTTCATTGCTGTGAATTTTCAACTGATGTACGCCATGTGTCACGCAAGTACAACTTTGCACACATTTTGAACTCAGTCACAGTAATTTTGGACAGCATTCGCAATCATGGGATACAGTGACAACTACAGGGATCGCAGCCCCACACATCACCATCGCGACCGCCACAGAGAACGCTCAAGAGACCGTGACCTCAAGGAGCACTCGCGCCCGAGGAAATCACGATCTCGCAGCCGCTCACCGGAGCACCGCGACAGGCGAGGCCCTGTCGACGACAGAGATTGGAACAACAAGTACAGGGACGACATCCGGCTGAATGGCCACGGGGAGCGGCACCGAAGATCGTCGGGCGATTGGAGACAAGAGGCGCAAGACCAACAGGAACGATTCTTTGAAAGGTACATTGAGATTCATGCACTTTCATGGACCATAACCCTCCCAGATTCTTCGATTTGGGTAGAGTTGGAAAGATAGACCCCAGTAATTGTTGCTTAACCCTCCTATGCATGCAAACATGCATTCTGTGCAAAGCTGCCCTTTCAGTCAAAATCAATCAAGAGACTGTTTTTTTAACAATTAAAGGGAATATACATCATTTGCTTTTGCTGTAATTTTCAGAAATGGATGGAATTGGGGGGTTGGAAATATATAGCAAATATAGTTACACTGACTTTTTTGAGGTTTTGGGTTCAAAAATGCTATAAAAACCAAGAAAAACAATCATTTTCCTGTAGTCTGGTTCCCTGACTCCATTTAAGAAGAAACAGAGCAGTTTACATACATTGGGGAATTGTAAGGTCAGGGAACCAGTCTAGCTGGCTTGTACCCGTTCATAGGTGTGTAATCGATTGCAAACAAGTGCGATGGTCAATTGGGGCCAGTATTTGAAAAAAAGCCATTTTTTTTCCAACGCTGATCGGCCGATCAGCGTTGGAAATTGATACAAAAATACCGCTTTTCTTGAAAATGACAGTATACCAGGTGCCATGATTTTACAGGATGCTTTACACTGTCATTCACTAACAGTCCAGCAAGGTATTTCAAAATGATTTGGTAGTTTTATTTTTTGATGTTTGCAAATGTTGTATTTTCCCTTTAAGAGCTCCTTGCCTACATAAAGCAGGATTGACTGGCTGGGACTGTTTATGTAACTTGGTACAGCTATGTTTTGATTGCAGGTGATTGTTAAAGCCAGTTGTGCATGCCACTTGCCTGCTTTTGTCTGTTGACTGAATTTGACCAGTCACAGTGCTTGGTTGACATATGATCTGACTGTTGGTGACTAGCCTGTCTAAAAGGCATGGCAGGGAAGATGATTGATTTCTTTGACCGTCTGTGACTGTTCAGACAGCAGGAGGGTTGGTTGGCTTGATGCCCTCTGAAGTACAAGTGCAAAGAATGTTTGATTTTGGTCCAAAAGAATTAGGGTTTTGGAGGATTCAAGAAAGTGCCTATCCTAGCGACTAGTCCTACTACTAGCTAGATTAATGTTCCCAAAATGTGCCATTCTTATTCCAGTAGGAGGACGGAGAGGGAGAAGATAATGGAGCAAGGACTGCCAGATGTGTGGGCTGCCTCACCGGAAAGAGCAGAGCATGAGTAAGTGATGAAGCCAGGTCAGGCAGTGTCTAAATTACCTGGTTGCGGCTTGCAAATACACATGCACCTATGGAAGCGGCTGCAGCCAGTGAGCCACTTCCTATCTGTGCTATTGCCTACCTAAGCCATTAGCCAAGTAGTTAAGACACAGCCTCATATTACTGCTTAAGAATATGCACAACTTACTGCCATTCTGTTTGTCTTTTCTCTCTTACTTCATTTGGCTGGGGTTTTTTTTTTCAACTTCATCGAGCCTTTCTTTTGTAGGTTAATTGTATACACTGTATTCTTGTGCAAAATATATAATAATAGTTTTGATAAGGAGTAAATGTTTGCTTGGCCGGTTTTAAACACTCTGTTTAAGACCAGTTGGAGCCTGGATGCTGCTAATTACCCGAGGTTGTAGTTAGGCGAGTGTAATTATCAGCATTCCAGACTTCAACCAGTCTTAAACCGAGCGTTTTATAGCAACCGAGCACATAATATTCCCATTCATAAGTACCTTTTCGGTAAAAAAAATCAGAGTTTTTTGGTTCAACAGTCGAAACAAGGCCAAAAATTTCCAACGATTTTGTTCAACAGTTTCACTTCATGTTTTTGAAAAACCCTCTAGCTATGTAATGGAGTGTCTAGCTCGGGAGTTAGACGTAAACAACTCCTTTTATGGAGATTGGCACGCTCGTCGCTCGTACTAGGCGATGTCGTGCAGAATGCAGCTGTGGCAGTGCGTTGTGAATTTAGGACTATGAAACACTGACTAGTATTGTGCAGGCCTGCGTGAGGATTGTGAACGTTCAACCAATAAAGCAGTTAAAGGCCCTGGATTTAATAGGAGTCCAAATTTCATGTGACACTGGAAAGTGTTTAAAACCAGCCAGCGGTGTCTTTATCATCCGTTTAAGACTGGCTACGTGACGGGCTCTCGACCAGTGGGGATGGGTAAACTGTCTGAGGTATTTATGAATTAGTCTTTAAGCCTCTTTTGAAAAATAAACTAATAAAATGTATTCTTCTTTTTTGATCTCATCAGCTCGGATCAGTTCAGCAATACAGAGAAAGACAAGGATGACTCTGATGCTAGCAGCAGCACAGACAGTGAAGGTGTGTTAAACCAGGAAATATCACCAAATGTAAACTAAGGTTCTAGAAATAAGAAAAATGTTTAATACTTTGTACTAAAACCCTACACTGTGCATTCCAGCTTCCCACTCGTTGAAAAGTTTGAATATAGTCGTCCAAAGTAAACGCTTTTTTAGCATTCTACACGTAGTATGACTTAAATTTGTCTGATGAAAAAAAATGTGTAGACACTCAGTCGCAGTGGGTGAAATGAAATTGATTCAGTTTTTGTTTTCGTCGTTTGTAGAGGAAAGAAGGAGAAGAAAGAAGAAATCAAAGAAATCCAAACGAAGAAAAGAGAAAAAAAGACAAAAGAAAAGGTAAGTGCAAATGCACCTATAATTTTTTTTTCATGTTTTTTTTTTTTGTCAAGTACATACAGTCTTGTTCCGTAGTTGTGGGGACATACACTCGTCTGTACGAGGGATTTGTGGGGACCAAAAATGCTGTGGGGACAGCAGAAAGTCCCCATAACTCGGTTCCTAATTTGCCTAACAATACAAAACTTCCCCATAACGCGGTGTAGGCCTGCAATCAGGGACCCCCTATTGTCCCTCTTTTGTTTGTACCCTAACTTTATATGAAGACCTCCCATATGTTTTGTACACATCGCCAAATTGGGGACCTTCGGGAATTGGGAACCCTATTGTCCTCTGTTGTTCAACGTCCTCTATTGAATGCAGAAACAAACTCACGTACTCACTATTGTGTTTTTATAGACACTGGTTTGTCCTATATTTTTTAGTCTCGAAGGATTTTTGTCAAAGCTAATGTTCATCCTATTTGCTCTCCCAACAGTAAGAAACGAGGCAAGCGCAAAAGAAAAACAAGTTCAAGCGAGGAATCAAGCGACAGTGACTCAGACAGTGAAGAGGAACAAGAACAGTGGGTGGAGAAAACTGCAGGTATAAACAGATGTTGGGTTTCAGTAACGTTTATGAAATCATTTTTAGCTGTTTGAGAGTTCGGTTAATTTATTTTGTTTTAATAAACCGTTTATCCCTAACCATTTGCTAACCCTGCCAGACGCAACACTGTACATTAAGTGGAAAAGTCTGGTGCACTTTGATGCATTCAGCTACCGACACCAGTGTGTAAACGGCTGCTTCTGAGACAATGAGAGCTAGTCCCATTGAACAATGCCTCAGTTGTATCCTGCTGCATTCAGAGACCACAGACTCTGAGGCAGGTTGGCCTTGAGACTTTTGGCCTGATGCATCTTGCTGCACTGGGCAGGCTTGTCACGTAAAAAAGTGTTGCACGTTGCTGCGTTTGGCAGGGTTTCTCGCCAAAATACCCTGGAGGGTTAGGGTTAACACACATCTAAAGAATAAACAACTGCAGAAATAAACCCTAGATTTTGGAAAATGCTAGTCGTGTGTTCATCATATTTGCAACATGCAGACCCAAAATGGATGTCAAAAAGTTGCCGTCAATTGGAAAACAGGGCTCCTAAGTTGCTGAATGTTTGGTTTCAAATAGGATGTCTGAAAAATAACCAGACAACCCCTTGCTAAGTTCTTTGCAAGTGACGCATGCACATTATGGACATTATCTGAAAGTACAGTTTTTGTTTATATGTTTTCACACTGGAACTAGTGGTGGGATTTAAATCCCAACTTTTTTTTTAAATTCGGTTTAAATTCTACTATTCGATTTAAATATTGGAAACCAGATATTCGAAAAAAAACCTTTAAAAAATATTAAGCCTTCCATTTTTGTGACAAAAGAAAACTGGACCATCGCCCAAGTTGCTCCATGGTCTCTGATTGTAGCTGCATTCACTAGCTAGTGGTTCTTTTTGGCATATGAATACCCTGCCCATTGGACTTATCAGAGAGTTCCGATCCAGCTCTGGAGTGTTTTTGTAAAGGCCCAGTGGTCATTGAATCCTGCAAACTATACCCAGTCGTTGGGAGGGCATTTCATGCGGCGCCTCACCCGTCACCTTTTGCTGGCATGACTGTGAGCTGGATGGGAACTTCCTGTGAAATCAGATAACCGTTATTCATTTTGAAAAAAATTAGGATAAGGCCAAAAAAAATAATCAGTCGGTCTCTGGTCAGCGCGCGCGTCGATTTTAATCATGTGCGTCGATCTTTTTTTTTTCCAAAATGTTCCGCGGTAGCTCCAACAGCGCCCTCTATTTCCGCATTTCCTCAATTTGTTTTACCAAAGAGCACCAAGGAATGGGAAATTGCACCAAGGCAAATGATCGAAAGCACCAAGGCAAATTATGGAGGACACCAATGTACATGAGGACACCAAAAAAGCAAAATAGTACCCCACCTTGTCTGTACAATCCAAGGTTGAAGAAAAAAAAAAAAAAGCAAAAAAAAAAAAAAAGCCGCATCACCGCGTCAGTTCCGGAACTTTGGTCTGACCGAAGACCGAATATTTTTTTTTTTGGCCTAACCGGATTTTGAAATATCGATTTCACCCACCACTAACTGGAACAACTTTTCTCTTCATTTTTTTTTTCATTTGTAAAACCAGGTGCTAGAAATGACAGTAGTGTCGTGGGCCCACTACCTGCAGGAGCAACTTCAGGCAGCGGTGTACTGACAGAGTAAGCCATCTCGAACATTTGTGTTGTCACACTGCATTAACCCTAACTCCCCTAGCGTCATTTACTGGGAACTGGACCAAGTCCATCCAAATCCATTAATCACTGTGCGTCCAATACAAAACTGTGCATGACATAATGGAACCCACCACTGACGCACTGGTTGACATTCGTGCACTTGCTGCACATGGCTTTTATCACAATAGCAGTACGGGAACCTAGGCAACATCAATCGGATACCCCTAGCACTGCTTCAGGCCATTAGGCCCAAGTCCATCATACTCCATCAATATTTAGTCACACCAGGCCTTCTGGACCAAGTCCCCCAAAATTCACCAAAATGGGGCGATGGATTTTGATGGAGTTGGATGGTTAGGGTTAATAATGAAGTATCTGTATGCAGACGACTCTGATTTTTGTTCAAATACCTTTTGTTCTTGCACCTTAAAAATGTGATCAAAGAGGTAATCGGGACGCACTCTCCCCCCCCCCCCCCCCCCCCCCCCCTTGAGCCACAGCCCCTGGTGTCCTTAAACAGAGACCTTGGGGTCCAGCTGATCTTGGCAAGTCTTACCTTGTTTTCATCTTTCTTTCTTTTTTTCCCGTCAGTTTTGGGCGGGCTCTGTTGCCAGGTGAGGGTGCTGCCATGGCAGCCTTCGTGGAGGCGGGTAAACGCATCCCACGTCGTGGTGAGATCGGACTGACCAGCGGCGAAATCTCCAAGTTTGAGGACGTTGGCTACGTCATGAGTGGCAGCAGGTAATTATCATCTGCTCGAGTCTGGGTCCCAGACCTAAAGATTCTGACTATATTTACAAGTCTCAGATCAGGTAGACACCAATATTGATGATCCCTCCCATTCTCAAAAGAAAGTTCCTGTAGTTTTCCCGAAAATGACTTTTTTGTCAAACAATTATTTTTCAACCCCCAGACACCGGCGGATGGAAGCCGTACGTATGCGTAAGGAGAACCAGATCTACAGTGCCGATGAGAAGCGTGCCCTCGCCTCCTTCAACAAGGAGGAGAGAGGCAAGAGGGAGGACAAGATACTCCGCGACTTCCGTGAGATGGTTCACAAGAAGGTCAAAGAGAGGAAGTAAGTCTTGGAGATGCCAGCCGCTGCCTCCGTTAACAAAAAGAGCGAGGCAAGAGTGAAAAAGCAAGAGCATCTTTTAGACTTGTAAGAGAAGGTTCGAGAAAGTCAAGGGAAGGAAGTGACTCTTGGAGATGCAAGCCCTTGCCTCGGTCATCTAGAAGAGTGAGGCAAATTGAAGGCAGGATGAACTTGAAAGACTTGGACCTTGACTTTTGTGGGGATGTGAATTTGCCTTCTTCATTAGGGAGGAGAAACAAAGAGAATGGGAAGCTTCAAACCCTCGCCTCCTAAAATCAGAAGTGGGGCAAGAGTGAATCAGCTGTCAAAAGTCTCAAAGAGGAGACCTTGCTTTCTTCAGGAGGACAGAGAGACGACATTGACGAACAAAGCTGTTCCGACAAAAATATCAAGATATCAAGTATAGGAAAGGGATGCCACATTATGGTGTTAAATCTTTTAAACTTTCATTTGACTTTACAAACTTGGCAGTGTCTTGAGATGTTCCCTGGAATAAAGAAGATATAGCAAACTTGCCAAGTGTCTTGAGATGTTCCCAGGAAATTTAAAGAGGATAAAGCATTTTGACGGCCATGCACTCATCACTTGAAGAAAGCCCTTTTGAGTAGGCATTCGGTATTTTTTTTGCTTAGATACTCTAGGATAACTACAAGGTTTATATTTTATCTTCATGGCTTAAGCTGTGTCAAGGCAGTTATTTTCAGACATCTTAATATCATTGTGGGCAGAAACCAGTCTTACCAGTAGCACATCTGGCATTTTTAAAGTACAGAACTCCAGAATTTTTTTTCTCTAGTTATATGTAAATAATTAAAAGGTGGAGATGAGGGATATATCGTAAGCCACCCAAATCATGCCAAGCTATCTGCCCTTGCATGCACATTAATTTGTATAAAGCTCAGCTTGATTGTGAATACACTGTACAGTAATGATCTTGTAGTTAATAGCATACATGTACATGTACGTATTTTGTTTTATAGCCACAAGCCAACAAAAGGGAGCAATTAAGCACCCGATGTTCGGGCGGTAGTACTAAAGGCTATTCCTTACAATGTTAACACTTAACTCCCGAGCGCCCCCTATTGTTAGTTTGTAATAATCTAGAAACGTGGTACCGCAGTCGTAAGCAAACTTCAAACCTGGTCACGCTAAAGGGAAACCGCAGCGGGAGATTAGCAACTAGACCAGCCGTCCACTGCGCCGATTATCACAGTCCCATTGAATTTATTTGAAAAGATCGGCGAGATGAAATAACGTTGGGTTGAAGTCTTTACAAAGGTACATTGACGGGTGAAGCTTAAGTGTGTTGCTTGAATTGGAAGACGGGAGCATGATACCCGTTTCGGGACAAAAGGTCTGTCGTTGACAAGCTGCAGTGCCCGTAGTTTTGAAAAGATGTCGTTGTAAATGGGTTGAGAACAATGCTTTTCCTCGCATTGGGTCAGCCAAAATCGTCGTAATAGCCGAAGTCTCGTTATGTCCGTGCACGTAATAACCAAATATTTCCCCATAGTAATGTACACAAATTGATCGGGACTGGGAGAATGTGCTCGTTACATCCGGGTTATTGTTATGACCGAGCTCGTTATAACAGGAGTCGACTGTATTTGTAAGAAAGCGCTTAAAAAAAGAACAGTATTTAGATTAAATTATTATTGCATTCAATCATTTTTGTTTTCATAGATGAAAAGGCTATCCTTTTGATGCACACTTGCAATTATCAGAAAATGAACCATTAAGAAGTAAAATTCCAGCGATTATCAGAAAATGAACCATTAAGAAGTAAAATTCCAGCTATCTTCTTTTGAATTATGAATAAATTGTGGTATAAATGCCGGTATTTTCATGTAAATAGTGAGGTGGTACCAGCAAATCCTCGAGTATGCCAAACGTTTTTGTTTTAACTTCTGAAATTCAACCCATCCATATTAAACTATCCTTAATTCTGTGTCTGAGATTGTTTTGTGTACAAGAGTTGTTGATCAAAAGGATTCCTTAAAGTTTTCCGAAATAAATTTATACAAGACATTAATTGAACCCTTGAAGGCTTATTTTAATCGCAAACAGTACTTATTTCACGGAATTACGTGTACAACCAATATCAAAATTTGCATATACCATTTGTTTTAAAAATTTTACATGAAAGATCGGAATAATATATTTCGGTTAAAGATTTCATTTGCCAATTAAACAACTCATAAATTCAGAAACATTGCAAATATTAGGGCATACATAAGGCAATTGTACATTAGACTTTTTGAAACTGCAGCTTAAAATAATTTTGATAATTGTTTACATTATGAAGATAAGAACATACTCTTTAAACCAAAGACAAAAGGAAAATATACCCTTGAAACCGAAACAAAACGAAAATATACCCTTGAAACTGAAGCAAAAAGTAACCCTGAATGTAAAATTAAACACAACTTGACTAAATAAATGACTTTGTTCCAACTTATAAAAAAAACCATTTACTGTCCAAAACTAAAAAGAAGAGCACTGTTAATACAACATCCTGCTTATAACAAGCAAAATTTTAGGTCCCAAGTCTTTGGTTTTCTTTGTTTTCCATTACTTTTAATACAAGGTACCTGTTATAACAAGGTAATTGGTAAAGTCCCAAGGACCTTGTTTATAAAGGTGTTTGACTGTATTCCCCTGTGTTTCCAAACATTAAACCTAAACTGTTTCATGTGCTCACAAATCTAATCCTGTAACTTTGTAGCACTAGCACCTTGTTTGTACTTGCTAAGTTTCTTAAGAGAAGCCCCTCCGAATGCCATAGTCGAGAGAAACCACAAGACCCTGTAAGAATCACTGATGTTCTTTCGCCTGTGAAGAACAAGAAAAATTAAAGATTTTTGAAGGGGGATGCAATGTTGCAATGTTAAATCAGTTGAAAAACTAATATTTCTGGTAATGACACCAATACAAATGTACATGTAATAATTTTTATTAACGTGAAAACTTCACCATGCTCACTGGCCTAAAACAGTGTTTCTCATCTCAACTACCAAGAAACTATGTCGTAAACTTCATTGATTTAAAAAAAATTTAAAGGGAAATTTATATCATTTGCAAACATCAAAAAATAAAACTACCAAATCATTTTGAAATACCTTGCTGGACTGTTAGTGAATGACAGTGTAAAGCATCCTGTAAAATCATGGCACCTGGTATACTGTCATTTTCAAGAAAAGTGGTATTTTTGTATCATTTTCCAACGCTGGTCGGCCGACCAGCATTGGAAAAAACTGGCTTTTTGTCAAATACTGGCCCCAATTGACCATCGCACTTGTTTGCAATCGATTACACACCTATGAACGGGTACAAGCCAGCTAGACTGGTTCTCTGACCTTACAATTCCCCAATGTATGTAAAGTGCTCTTGTTCTTCTTATATGGAGTCAGGGAACCAGACTACAGGACAATGATTGTTTTTCTTGGTTTTTATAGCATTTTCGAACCCAAAACCTCAAAAAAGTCAGTGTAACTATATTTGCTATATATTTCCAACCCCCCAATTCCATCCATTTCTGAAAATTACAGCAAAAGCAAATGATGTATATTCCCTTTAAATGCCTACAGTACTTACCCACACATCTTCATGCAGTACAGTGCTTCGCCGAAATGGACAATCACAGTCGATACCGCACTGAATGAAAATAAAGACAAAAATTCCGTTAATATTTTGCAGAAAACATTGAGAATTTAAAGCTGCAGTTCACAGATTAAGAGTTGTCTGGGTACTTATTAATTTCAGGACACTTCACCCTTTTATCTGTTTATAGTCTATATCAATGTAACAATTAACCAGACTGGGACCTTGGGTGCAGAAAACAAGATCAGACCAACTTTACTCAATCTTTAGCTGACAAAATTCTCCAAACATTTTCATGAGGCAAAGACAAGGTCCTCAGTATTTCACCAGCCAAGTTTGAGGTCTCAATTCAATTTTTAAAGGAGACATTTCTTCAACATTTTGCACCTTAGAGTGAAGCCAAGTGATTTCAATTTGAAGCCTAAGAGTAGACTCGTACATATCCAACTTTTTGAAAAGATTGACCCTTCGGTAGTCTGGTGGCATGACTATAGAGAATGTGTAGAAATAGGGACTAGGAACCAGATGTTCCTTTTGATTGATTGGTGTTGTTAGACTGGTTGTTTCATGTGCCAGTCTATTTTCTTGTGTTGCATATTTTTAACTCAACTTTTGGGACTCTAGCTCTCATATACAGTATTGAGAGTCCCAAATATACGGACTAGTAATGAACAGAGTCGAGGATTATGCAATACTCACAGAAAAACAAGAAACGCTGGATACTCGTCCTTCAGATATTTAGCGAGGGACCCAACTGGTCCCAAGTAAGCATACGGAACAATGGAGGGCCAAAATGCCGAACCCTGACGAGGAAAAATGATCAAGAAAAGAAATGGATAAAATCTGTGATGTAGAATCTGGTAATGAAACTGCATTTCTTAAAAAAACACTGTAGCTCAGAGGCCTAGAAATATCAAAGAGGGAGAAGGCAATGAAGTAATGTTTAGTTTTAAAGGTGGTTGGAACCCCCCCCCCCCCCCCCCCTAGTAAAGTCAAGTCTGTCACGAGCCAATGTGGCCTATCAGGCCGGCGTTTATCTCCAGTTTCAGTAGCATGAACAACTGAGAATATATCTATTCCCCCTGGATGGGATGCTAGTCCATCGCAGGTTACTCTCCTGCTCATGGCAGTACCCATTTATACTCCTGGGTGGAGAGAGGCAAATGGGGTGATGTGGCTTGCCCAAGGACACAACTTATGACCAGCAGCTGGATTCGAACCCCTGACCCTCTAACCACTAGGCCGCACGCCCCACGAACCTCCCCCTATCCCTCATAGTAATACTTCTGAGAAAGTATAGATCCGGGGAGGTCTTAAAAACTTGGTCACTGGGGTTGAATGCAGTGGGGGGTGGGTTTCACGATTTTGGGGCCCGGGGTGCAAAAGATTTTTGTTACGAAAAGTGGCCCCAACTTTGTTTTTCTTTTTCCATTTTTAGAACAAATGTAAAAATCAAAAGCATTATTAATACTGACAGTATAGTGACACCAAAAATACTTGGACACACCCCCAAAAGAAGCATGCTCTGAAAATGCAGTTGCAGTACAAACATTTTTGAGGTAAAATAATATGCCTCTCCCCCAGACATGACTGAATAATTATGAGGTTATGAACTCACAAACAAAATGTACATTCCGGTTGCTATGACAATCATCCATGGTAGGGCTGGTAGGGAAAAGTAGGCCTCCTGTTTGAGCGTCATCGTAGAATGAGTGTGTGGTGAGTGTCTTAATACGGGTAGACCTGTGGAAAATGGGAAATAGAGTACAAGAGTAGGCCTATATTTAGAGAAAACACAATGAAGACTGGAAAACTTAGACTGGTTAGGTGCCTTACTCTTTTCCTTTTTTAACATTTGGACATGACATAGTAAAATAACAGGTGATTTGGAAAGCGTAAGTTAAAACAGACTTGTGCTAGAGTCTAGGCCTACCTCAAAGACTGCTGTTTTGCAAAGGGTCTGTAAATTTTATATAAGGCCAAATTTTTAAAAAAATGTTTAGCGTCCCCGCCTGCTTCCTTTTTGGAGGCCGCCTCTTTTTTCTTTTTTTTAACTGACAAAATGATAAATTTTAAACGGTGACATCATTTTGGCGTCTTTGTCTGTTGCATCTAGGCCATATAAAGCTGGTAATGGTATGTCATTGCCTGAGTCCAAGTGACGGCCATTTAAAAAAAAAAGCTGGCCATCTTGAAAAATAGCCCGGTCGGGCAGCCATTTTGGAGGAAGAAAAAGGGCCTCCTGTTCCTTCTTTTCAAAAACGCAGGAAGCTTAACATGTTTTTTTTTGTTTTTACTATACTTGGCCCTGTTGGATTACATGTATTTTTTACACCAACACAAAATCCCCCGGCCCCCACCCGCCCCCACCATGCCCACCCGCCCCATATCATGGTCAGAACGGGTACATACACAGTGTGTACTCGTAGGCCTACATGTCATTACGTAACCTACATTGTCATGATTAACGTAGGCTTAGGCGGGGGTTTTCCCCAACATTAGTGGGACCATGAAGCTTTATACGTAGCTCCATGGTGAGACTAAGTAATTGAAATCCTAAATCTAAAGTGTGCTAATTTGTAGAGCATTATCGTGTCTTAAAACAGATCATAAATAATCATAAACTTACCTCAGCTCTTAAACCGGATTTAACCTTTCGCGTTGTAATGTGTTTCCAATGGGTGCTCTCTGTGCAATCCATCCGGTAAGCATGTGTTACGTCTAGTTACCAGACATGCAGTTGGCTGGTTTTAAATGGGCGGGACAGGAATGGTTGGTGAAGGGGTATTAACAATATCAACAACATCATCAGCAACAAACAAACAAACAAACAAACAAACAACTACAGGTAACACTAAAAAAACAGTCATATCAGCTGCATCCATTTAGTTGCGATGAAATTAACAATTGTGTATTGGCCTACTTTTTAAATTGCTATTTTACGAGCCTCCGCCGCCCCTTTTTTTTGGGGGGGGGGTGGCATGCACACATTTAAAAATTACAAAATTCCCACGAAAAATATGTTTTAATGTTATTTTTTATATTATAATTATTACTAATGCATTAGTGACTATATAAAGTCACTTTAGGGATTGACACCCCGCACCTCAACCCACCCCACCCCAGTCTCGGGTCAAGAAATGAAGCTGCCTACCCAGACTCAAAATAAGTATTGTGTCATCCTACACGATTAATACTATATAAATTAGTTACATGTAGTCTACTATTATAAATGACATACCGTACACTCAACCAAAAAAGAAAGTCCCCCCCAATACTTTTTCTGTCAAAAACTACTGAGCACCTCTCGCTCAAATAACGACTAATCAGTACAGAAATTCTTTAGCAATCCAGCCATACTCTTCATTTGGCCCAAAACAGTGATAATGTGTACGAATTTATGCAATTCATGACAAATGATACCGAAACCGTTCCCCTTTTGTATACTAGTTGTGGCTCACACTCACCTTGCACGTATTCAAAAGTGCAACTTTTTTTCAGTACCATTTGTCATAAATTGCATAACTTGTACACATTATCACTGTTTTGGGCCAAACAAAGAGTATGGCTGGATTGCTAAGGAATTTCTGTACTGATCAGTCGTAATTTGAGCAAGATGTGCCCAGTAGTTTTTGAGTTAGATAAGGGGGGATTTTCTTGAGTGTATATTAAAGTGTTTATTTGTGATGGGTGTATTATTTACTTTAAAAAGTAATTGCTGGTGTATGAGCAATTGCTAAAAACTAATGTGCCATCTACTTTCAATGAACACATATATATATATATTTTATACATGTCACCCCCCGTACATCCGCAATGCCTACTCGTCTGTTTTCCACATAATAGACTCTATATCAGTCAGTTAGCTCCATGGAGGACCGGCTTATACCTGTTGAGTTCATACAGAGAGGTCCCGCCGAAGAGTGCGGTGGAGACTAACCACTTGACCCTTGCTGACCCTTCGATTCCCTTTCTCCTGAAATAAGAAATTAATTTTTTTCCCGATTTATATTAAGTTTCTTTTTTCGAGTATCCATATCTACATTTTTGCACTGTGAGAATAATGCACAAGTTGGTTTCTCGATGATAGACCATACAGGCTTTTGCACAGCACGGTGTCCACATTATTTTGTCAAGTTATCCGATGTAAACTCTTTATTGATAAAGAACATTAGTTGTACAAACTAATAAACCTACCTGCACAGGTGCCAGCTGTAAATTGCCTCAAAGAAGTGCAAGGATAACGCTGTAACAATCCTGTACATGCCAAAATTGTAAAACAAAATATAGGGCCTAGTCACACATCTTAACAAGAGTCACGTGGTCTCCGTCCCTCTAGATCATCCTCTTAAATAAAATGTGAAGGTTTTCTTAATAGTCATAACTGGACAGCTGTCTTTAGAAAATCTGCACATGTATGTTCTAAAAAAAAAATTAAAAAATTGGTATTTCAGTTGAGAAATTAACTCTTGAATTACAATTAGTTATAGGGAGAACTACATACTTACACTTCGTGCCAGATGCCAACTCGTATGAAAAACCTGTAGAGCGGCCCGACAGGCCCAAGATATTTCAGGGGAACCATGTGTGGGACGAAGAAAAGGCCCTGTTTGCATGAGAAAATGAAATAATAGCATTGAGTTTTGTATGTCTCTTGAACACCTTAATTGTGAGTATTTTACTTCGATATTATTTGGAGTTTTTGATAGCAAATAGTTGTCTGTTTTCGATGATAAAAATTGGTGAGATTTTCGTGGCGCAGCGCACGTATTGCGGCTTAAAGGAAAATGCAATAGGATTTTTATGACTTGAATACATTTAAAACAGCTTTCTTGCCATGTAACTATGACTTTCCACCTCCTTTTCAAACATTTTAGTTTTTATGCTCATGAAAATTTCCACATTCATGAGCCAAAGCGGCAGAACAGTGGTGTCTCCATAGCCTTGTACAAAATAATATATATCCAACTTTTCTTCATTTTCTTGGAGTAACGTCGACTTTTTACTTGTTTATCATAACAGCTTCTTTGGACAATAGTAGTGGCCAATATTTCTTCAAAACTTTTTTTGTGGGTAATTTTGAAGGACCTTTTTTGTACTGTTCATATGCACTTTTGAAAAGGAGTACATTGTGCGACAAAAGCAAAATAGCGCCCTCTTACATGAATTGATGAAAGGATTTGCTAATAATTGAAAGACTACCACTTTCTCATCACAAAGGAGGTGGAAAGGTTGCCCGCCCCTAGCTCCCTGAATTTCTCAGTTAGCTTCCCCCCCCAGCCCCGCCCCAACTTACAGGACCGATAATGCAGAGGCAGCAGACGACAATCACCATCCAAGGAAAGCTGGGAAGTCTAAAATAGCTGGGATTACGGGAGTGCATTTTGCCTAAAACGAAAGAAAATAATTCGTCCACATCAAAATTTTGAATAACTGATTTACTTCTATAACGTACGAATTCTAAACATTGTTAATTAATCGTATTTGGTTAATTTTTCCCACCCAGAAATTTTAAAGTGCCCTAAAAATTCTCTTTTAATTTTAGCCTTTCGTATATAGGTGATGCGTTCTTTTGGACTAAATCGGTGTCTGAACGCATTAAACAAATTGCATTGAAGAATTTCCATTTAGCACAAAATTAAAGTTGGTGTATGTGTGCTTTTTGGGTGTGGCACATTGAAAAATAGATTTCCAAATTGAATTGGTTATTTTCGAGCATTACATTAGTTATGAGCTTTCCAATGAGACATAGCACGAAAAAAAATCTGCCCATGACAAGTAATCAATTAATTAATATTAACCTTTGAATTAAGAGCGGGACGCTCCTATTCGTTCAGAATAGTGTGCGCAATTTCTGAACTGGAGCGCGCCATTTAAAAACCAATTTTTAAAAAAATTGTATAAAGGCCTGCAAAAACAAGCAAGCAAATTTATTTGTTACATAACTTTAATGTTATTCCTTTCAATTTCGTTCGGAAAAGAAAGAAAAAGAAATTTTGAAAAAGCACCCGCATATACCAACTTTAAACAAAACACATACCTAAATTCTCTTAGCAGGATGTACTCTTCCTCTGGCTACAGATATTTCAATCTTCCAGAAGGCGGAAAGAATTAGCTTTGCCCACTCGGCAATTCAATTCACAATGAATCCGCATATAGCAACATCACCTGATGTCGGTGGCCAGTATATTTTTGTCTCCCCGGCACTGACTAACGGTGCATCTAAATTTATATGCTATCAGGTCGTGCACGCTCCGTGCCTGTTGTGCGTTTATTACACATTGCCCTAGTGCGTAGATATAAGCTATTGTTACCAAGTTCCAAATGATAACCTTTTAAACCCTGTTTTAGAATCGGTAAAATCGAGACAAAGGGCGAGCAGCCTTTGCTGAGACCTATAATCTGCAGTCACGAAGGGCAAGGCTGACAGTCGAAACTCTTCAAAATTAATGATTACCATTGTAATTTCGTAATCACACTAATAAATGTATAATTTATTGTGACATGTTCGCAGTTGGGCGGTACATAACTCACGTACAGACCGATCAAATTAGCAAGGAGGAATGAGTGCGCAATATCGATCGATTGGCAAAATTTGAAAACTTATAAGGAATGGGTAGGATCTTGTGGCCTTGCGGCCTTGGAAAACACTGACAATGAATTATAGACCAGAATATAACTCGGACAACTAAACACATCGGGCAGTATATCATAACACAATATTTATTGAATGACACTTAAACAAAAAATCAATGTAAATCCGGAAATAACGACATCATAGTTACGTTTAGTGAGAAACATCATCCATTCAAATTGAGGAAGTTAATTGTCTTGCAACTGATTAAAAGCTCGCTTTATATACACAATAGAAGTTTACTACTTTGTCTAGGCAAAGCATGGTTTAACCAAATATGAGGGCAACACTGATGTCCAGACTTTGCTTTGAAAATATACAAATTTGAATAACATACATGTAATAATGTTTCTGAGGTTCCCATTCAGATCATCCAGAGGTAACTTTAATATTTACAGTTGTTATACCTCTGTCTTAAATACTGTATTTTCATTGGCCTAGAACGATCACGTGTTAAATTTATAAAAAGTCATTGCACACTATAGGCTGTGGGATATCCGCGGCGGGAGTGTGCTATGACTTTGTAAGTACGGTATACGTACGGTGTGAAATGCTTGTATCGTTGGTACCCACGCCATTTCCACCATGATTTCACTCATGAGTGGAAGCAGCGAACTAGCAGACGATCAGCTGTTTTGAGCACGCGATATGCATGTGAGTTTAACATTCGACCATCATGATTGTTGTTTGTTTTCATGATTTTTACGTCAAAATCCAAAGAATCCAAGACAGAGGTATAACAAAACACCCTCGGGCCGCAAAGCACACTTCGCGGGTGTTCAAAACGCCATATCCCACATCACAGCAGTCCGCAACCATTGTTAAATATCGGTTAAATATCGTTGGATAGTAGGCTCATAATATTCATACATTTTTAGGCCCGAGAAAAGAGAAGGAACTGAATTACCATTCAACCCGTACATAAACCCGTACATAAACCGGTTTCATAAGCAAATCCCTTCCCCTTCGACTTCCAGATTTCTTGCAAGAATAATCTACAAGAATAGACTTCGGACCTAATGACGTTATGGCTTTGTTTAGATAATGCCCTTTCCTATGGGAGCGAAGTCTGGACGCCAGACGAAGTAGGGCCCGTCTACCACATAGGAAAGCGCACATTAGTTTAAACAAAGCGTGACGTCATTAGGTCTCTGGCCTGTCATTTACGCGTTTCTTGTTTTACAGAACTGTGATGCGGCCGCCGAATATCACACGTTACTCTCAAATCAATCCGCGTGCGCACTCCGGTGAGATTTGAATGTGACGAGTTCGTACAGGGACGCTCCACCAAAGATGGTGGTCGATAGGAACCATTTGACCTTGGCTGATCCCTCGATGCCTTTCGTACTGTGCAAAAATAAACAAAGAACGTTGAGTAATATGCCCAAACCGAAACACTGCGGCGGCGGAACGGTTTTCAAATTTGGTTGGGGGGGGGGGTTTGTTTCACAAAAAAAGGGGCACAAAAAACCGTCTCAGTTTTATAGCACAATATCAATGTGGTCCGGATTTGCTAGTACGAATTGAATTAGTTCGATGATCGACTTACCTACATAGACGCCAGCTATACATTGCTTCGAGGAAATGTGCGAATGTCCCAGGTACAAATCTAAAAAGGATGATGTAAAAAATAACCAGGGTTTTAGGGACGGTCGTAAATGTAAGTACGTGATCAACTTTTATCTTGTATAATAATGATCTGGAGTGTCATGGCCTAGCGATTAAGAGCACCGGATTCAGGCTATGGTGTTTCAGAGGCAACGGTCGTGTGGGTTCGAGCCCCGGCCCAGACACTTGTGCCCTTAAGCAAGGCACTTAACCATTATTGCTTCGTCCTTCGGATTGACGTTAAGCCGGAGGTCCCGTGTGTTGTATAAGGCCTAACGCATGTAAAAGAACCCAGTAGCACTTATAACTAAGAGAAGGGGTTTGCCCCGGTGTTTCTGGCCTCCTAGTTGTACTCCCTTGTGGAAGTCCTTAGGAGAAGAACCAACCAAGCACCAAGTAACTGTCACTCAACTTGTACGTGCCTCAAGTCGGATATTGCTATACGTGCACTCTCATGACGTTTTGCCATGGTTGTGCTTACGACGGTGCTATATGTGATGTCTGCACTAAACCAGTCACAGCAAGCCGACTCGAGTCGAGTCCAACCACCTCTCACATTGCATGTTACTTGATCCATTAAAAAAAAGTAGGGGCCTAGCTACCAGTACTTACACGGAAATCGCAAAATACGGGAAATAGATGTTGATCAACCTCATGCATGTTCCACCAGGTCCAAGATACTCGTAGGGTATTAGGTGGGGGATAAAAGCCGTGCCCTTGAAATGAAAAAAAACCCAGAAGACAAATAAATACACAATTTGGATTCGTAATTTAAAATCCCGTAGTTTTTGGTAACACATTTATTTAGTCGTACCTCACACTACATCCTGATGCAAAGTTGTCAGACATTTTAGAACATGAGCGGAGATCGACACGCACAGTGTGGCGTGTTTTACAGTAAAGTTAGTCATCATAAACTTATGAAAACGTAATTTTCTATACTGAATCAGAGGTCTTTGCACTTACCCCGACGAGAAAGTAAAACCAGCCGAGAATGTTCAACATCCAGGGCAAACTGGGCAAAGTGAAATAACTGGCATACGCGCTGCCTTCTGCCATCCTGTTCGCAATGTTACGGACAAAACTGGTATTACCAAACCTGAGCGAATTCCTATCCCACAACCTTGTAGTTATACGTCTTAACTAATAAGTATAGGTTTAAAAAAAAGGGAGCAACAGTTTTTTAAGGTCGTGATTCGCACTTTTCATTGTCAACGCGATTGATATGGGCTATTTATAGATATTTGTTACCGATAAAATAGTTCAGTGAGCTAAATACACACGTATTGTGAGTGGGAAGCAAAGGTCAGCTTTCGAACGGGCCTATGGCTACCTATGCAGGACCACATAAAAGTTCGAAAATGTGGGTATCATCGGTCAGATTTACTGGAAAGTTCGTTTGTACCCACATGCTTTATGCAAAGCGCCTGGTGACCTCTAAATTCTCTGCGCTCTCATTGGATATATCTTTTGAGACAAGTGACCTGGTTAAATACTGCGTGCGCACAATTCATGTGCATTGAACATGGTGGTAACCTATACCATCATGCTTTGCGAAGTCTATGTTTCCTTCTCAAAGTTATTTAGTAAAAACTTGGTCAACAGCTGCACCCCGGTAATGCACACGCGGGCGAAATCGGAAATCGTTACGCAACGTCGTTCCCAGAGTCTATTTCTACCTTGAAGTTAAGTCCTTTAATAGAAAATACCGTTATAATATCACAAGACAAACATCGAACAAAATGTTTTGACAACCGAGTTCAAATCTTGAGTGCAAAATACAATTATTGTTATCGACAACATAGGCTGACCTATAGGTTTCAAGAGTAACGTACGCCATACAACAAGTAGTAAGTTTTAGGGAGCAAAACATTTTGTTCTACTCAACATTATATTTTTATCATTACAATTCTCTTCATGTAAATTCAAAAGACAAATAACTGCACAGCTTCCTATAGGCCTAATGGAAGGCAAGTCAATTGTAAAGTCAAGATATTTCAATAAACCGTGACAAAGTTGTACCTGTGTCTTTGTGCAGTATAGGCTACCCTGTTCATAAAGAGCATCGCCAGTTCATTCAAATTAATGACCTGTGAGTAAACTGTGATTGAATCATTGGCGGATCAAACCCCCCCCCCCTCCCCCGGGGGGCAGCAAAATAATAGGATAACTTGTCATGCAGGAAAAGTAGCACATGCCTACCACCCCCCCCCCCTTGACAGCTTAAGCCTTGACCCCCAGCCAAAGCTGGATCCCCCCCCCCCCTCTGAATTTATTACAACTCTGCAGTTTACTTTTTCTGTTACTGAAATTGAGATAATATTAAAGGGGGTCGGAGATATACAAGTCTAAAAGTCCTTAATTTGGAATCTTGTTTTATTTTCAGGAAGATTTTGTCAGCTGGCTTAGTCCGCGTGCACGTCCAGTTGCGGCTTGAAGGTGACCAGTTCGTACAGAGATGCTCCTCCGAAGATGGCGGTCGACAGGAACCATTTGACCCGAGCTTGACCCATGATGCCCTTCTTCCTGCATTGAAAATATGAATAACACGAAAAAGTGATCGTGTTAAGCCGAGGTAAAGCGATTTTAGCCGAGACCGTGACGAGCAGTCGTCGAAGTGGGGAGCCGAGGTGAGCCGAGTCACAGCCGAGCCCAGCCGAATATAGAAGGCAGCATGCAAACCGGATTCAAGCATCAGACCAAAATGTGATGTGAGTCAACTTGGCGCGAAATACGCCGAAGTGGGCCAGAGCCAAGCCGGAGCTGGCCGAGTAAATCCGAGTCGAGCCACATATGAAGTCTCGGAAGGCCAAGCCGAGCCGAACCAGCCAAACCGAAGCCGCCGAGCCCAGCGCATAGAATAAGGGATATAGTAGATCAACTGACGACACTGGTCAAGGGAATGGATTGAATTGCTGTATATCATAATTTGTATGTGTTAAATTTGTAATCATAATTAATCACACATCGACGTGTAAGTTGTCACTATCTATTATTCCCCTTCAATTTCGTTCCATTGGCATTCCTGGGCCCGATGCATTGTGAACGATACTTACTTACACAGGTACAAACTGTAAAATGCCTCGCAGATATGTGCACTTGTAGCCGAGACCAATCTACCAAAAAAGTAAATAAAAGTAATAATTAATTGCGTTCCACGAACTATATTTGTTAGAATACCTCCGCCTCTGTATTTTCCTGTGTGCTATGACCTTGTACGTACCGTACGTACGATGTAAAACGTTTGTATCGTTGGTACCCACGTTTTTTTTCACCATGTTTCCACACATGAGTGGGAGCAGCGAACTAGCAACGATCAGCTGTTTCCCGGAGCACGCGACCGTTATGCATGTGAGTTGACATTCGATCATCATTGTTGTGTTTACTGCTGTTTGTTTTCGTGATTTTTACATCAAAATCCAAAGAAGACAGAGGTATAACAAAACAATTATTGTTGACTGCTGTGATGGGAAATACTGTTTTGAACACCCGAGGGGCGCCCTAGCTCTATCGGGTGCTACGATGTCAACAAATGTTGGCTAACGGTAACCATAGTTCTTGATAGACCATGCACGCCCTTGGTATTAGTTCTTGCGATAAGCATTACACAGTTTCCAAGTGTGGTGACGTAGCTATATAGGTATGTTCATGTACACAAACATTAAGTCGCAGGAATTAAGATTTAAAGAAAATAAACATGGTTTATAAGGATTAACCACCTGAAACAAAAACTTGAAATTTTCAGTGGGGAACTGATCAAGTAGCCCATACTTACACGAATTTTCCGAAGAAGGGGTAGTAAGTGTGCGTCAGTGTTATCCAGGTTCCGGCTGGACCCAACCATCGGACTGGTATTAGATGGGGTGCGAAGACCGTGAACTGTAAATGAGAACATCAGACGGCACACTAAAATACAAAAACCACGGTGTTAAATTTACACCAACTGGTTTTAAGGCCTATTCTGCAACACTGATGAAGATGCCGAATGCAAATATAATGCTCAACTGCACTCACAATCCACTATTTAACACTATTAACACCATGCTTCTGTTGAGCTAATTTCAGTTGCACAAATTTAATTTTTTTTGACATAATTTTAAAACTAGAAAATCCTCAAGATTAACAGCACCCTCTAGCGGGAATCTTGAATATTGAGGTCACTTTTTTTTGTGAATCAAAAATTATAGTAGTCCTTCCAAATAACATTTTAAAAAGTTGAAAACGTACTATTCCACACAAAAAAAGGCCAAGATTGGGCAAAGGTGAAGGGCCACCTTGTGGTAGCCTTAGCGCAACAAAATGTTACGACACCATAAATAAAAGTGCCGGGCGACTACATTTTAAATCAGACGAGACCTTAAAGAAATCAGCCGAAATATTAAAGAAAAAGACACAAAATACTCCGGTACTGATCCGGTTGCACATTAGATTTTGCCTAAAGATGGCCTGTTTTAAATGAATTGAAACTTACGTAAGTGCCGTACCAGAACCAACCCAAAATGTTGATCATCCAGGGTAGACTGGGGAATTTGAAATAATCGGCGTTTGGATTGTGCATCTTGGCGGGGAAAAAAGGAAGAAAAAGAGAAACGTCTGAATGAAGAAATACTCAAAAACAAGTGAGAATGAAATGATTATATACAGCCCGCGCTGTGTGGTCGTCATCATAGGCCAGACAATCATCAAGGTTAGAGGTCTGAATAAGTTACCCAATACCTAGACAAAAAACTTGTTGATGCTAAGATAAAAATGTGAAGAAAAATCAGCGTTGAGTAGGGAAACGTGCAAAGTTCAAGTTTAGTTATATCACACGTTATCTGTTTTACTGATCAGCATCACAATAGCTATTATTCATCGACTTTATGGACTTGAAGGCCTCCAATGTGTGAGGGGGATTTGATTGAGGGCGTCCTGTAAGTACACCGGTCGGGCTGTACCAAATTCTTAATCCATAGAGCACACTGATCTCCATATAAAAATCTGGACGCCCATTGGCTCTTACAGGTGACGTCACCGTCCGCCATATTACCACTCCAAAACAATAGATTTGTAAAGAAAGATTGTTTTTATTTCACTCAACGAATTATTATTATTATTTTTTTTAAATCAACATGACAATAATTTTTTTAATAGAATTTCTGTTAAGAAGAAAAACGTTACATATACTTTTAGACGACTTTATTTCAATTATTGAAAGTGGTTGTGAGGCTGGTTCCCTCCCCACATTCCAATGGAGGGATCGGGAACCAGTGTAGCTTTGGTTTTTTTACGGCTCGGAATGGCCAAGTCTTGGAAAGAGCTGTCCTGATATTTTTGACAATGAGATCAGTGGTAGAGTCCTTGCTTATAGAGCGCCCCCACCGAAGAAAGGTCTTTATTCAGAAGACAATGGGTGGGCTGTAAGGGTGCAGACCAATAAATAGGCCCGAAATTGCCTACGCCAGCCAAATCACTATTTGCATGCCCTCAAATTCTCCAGTATTAGAGCATTTTGAGGGCTGTGAACTTCAGGATTTGTTTTTTTTTTTAAGTGGAAGCCGTGCAGAGGACTGCGAGCTCCCATTTCTGTGAAATCTGGATGAATTTAGGCCCTAAAATGGCTCTATTTTGCAATGGAGCATAGGCGTTCATTTTCAAAATGGCGATGGGCTTCAGGACTGCTTTTAGGGGTGATCATCTTTGGATGGAATTTTTTTCCCCAAAAGTAATTGGTTAACCCCCAAAAGTTTAACGGAAAATGAAAGATGAAGAAATAAGCTTAAATTTGATGTGTGAGTCGAACACCTTGGAGAGTTTATATATTTTTAATAATTTTGGGAATTGCGCGTAATTATCACTGCTATGGCAGCCTGTTTACTGGTCTGCAACCCTCACAATCACAACGTGAGGCTAAAGTTCACCACTTTGTCACGTTTTTTTTTTTTTTCAACAGATAAGTGCCAGATGTGATCAAGCTTTAGAAAAGGTGAACCACGTATACCGCGTGCATCGGGGAAAAGGTGATTGTGCAAAGGGGCAGACAATCAACGGGTCACGCCACGAGCGGGAGATATCTCGGTCCAAATTTCAAAATCGATTGCAGAGAAATATAGGGCGCCAATGTCACGGTTACAAAGTCAACTGTTAGACAATGCAGTAACGACGGGTAGAGATCAATATCGTACCAGCGAGTCTGCGTCGCGACAAAGTCTGACTTGTGCACCCCCCCCCCCCCCCTTAGCTGAATAATATATGGTATAAGAAGAAGTAAAATGCATTCAAAATTTTCGAGAAAAACCTCAGAATGGAACAAAATGGGAATGGATTTCTTCTGACAGAAGAAAATGCATACAAGTTGGTCACATCATGCATGTGTGCTGTAATTAAGCCCCTCGAGGCTCAAACTATATAGAGGTTCTGTATAACTTAAATGTGTGTAAAGCTATGAAAATACCAATTACACTCACTTGAACAAAAAGCAAGTTCAAAAGAATCTAGGGATATGAAATGACAATTTCTTTATTGCTTTAAGATTCGTGCAATCTATATAAGCCTAGCATGATTGTAAATGAACTGTAAAATTCTGATCAGTGTTACATAACACCGTCCAGCGGTGTATACTTCAAACTTTAATTTTTTTACCAAAAAGGTTGATAGCATAATATATGAAATATATAATAATATAATCGGTATCACTCGAGTTTTGGGGCTCGACTTCACGTACCGATTAATTAGAAAAATGGCAGAATAGTTTATACCAAAATTACTTCCGAAAGCAAAACAAACAACACATATTATCATTTCTTTTTAAAGCATTCCGTTTTGTGCAAGATACTTTTTATCACGCAGAAAACTTCATAATTGCTTCATCGATCTAAAAGTGTTGCAGATTTATGATTGTCGGAATATATTTGGTTTTATTAAACTACGTGACGTGGAACAGCCATTTTGATTGGCTTCTGTGGAGACTTTTAAATCCTTGAGATCGCTAGAACCAATTACCTGTTACGACTCATAGGTTAAATGTCTCTTCGGATATTTGGTTAAATTCACTCATGGGGATAATCTTTAACTTGATGCAACCATTGAACCATAAAGAATAGAAAAAGTTGTACAAATGCACAGTTAACTTGTCAAGCAGCACGCAGCCATCTTTAGACATGTCCCCTGACGACACTGCACGAGTCATTTAGGCGGTCTCGACGTCATAGGAACCAATCCATCATTTTGCATTGGCTCCTCAGTTTTGGCAGACCGCCATGTCAAAAGATGGCTGCTGTGATGACGTAATGTTCTGGCTCTCTGCCAGGCAGATACAAAGAGAGATTGCATGCCCAGCGTCACAAAAACCAACTTAAAATTATACAAATCTTATTTTTAAAATACAAAACAACCGGGTAACTCGTAACTTAAATACAAATTTAAAAAAAACCTTGAGGAACTTGAAACACACACACACAGGTTTGTTTATGGCGCAAATCGAGGATTTTTACATTGTTCCTCATCATCATCAGAAGTCCCCATAACTCGGTCCTAATTTGCCTTACAAATACAAAAAAACTTCCCAGGGCCAATGGAGTAAGCTAGTTCGACAATTAAAATTGTACGTTACTGAATACGAAATTCAGGACTGTTATTGCGTTGTTATACACTTAGAGGCGAAGGAACTAGTTTTGTTCTAAGTGTAAACTTCAAAGATTAATTTACGACTTAAAAAGTGGAATAAATACATATGCATAACAAAATTGACCCAAAAGGAGTAACAGAATTAGCTATCATGCACTCTATCACCGACTGATAATCTAAAATAATTTATAAATAAGTTTAGATACAGAAACCTAATGATACACCCTATGAGAGTCTTATGCATTAACTAACACATTGAAAATACTACCAGGAAACCACATTTGCCACGGTAACGCATCCTCTGTATCAACTCTGAATGAGTTGCATTTTATTCTTGGGCAACCGGCGGCTGATATCGCACCAGCTCGTACAGGGAGAAACCTCCGAAGCACATCGTGGACAGGATCCACTTGACTCGCGTCGTTTCTTCGATTTTCTTCTCCCTGTAAATTATAGTAATTATCATTCACCCCATTAAGTCGCTTTCATAAAAATGGAACTATCAATCGTTATTTTCCCAATCATTTTTTGGAATGTGAACTTCCCAATTTGATGAAACAGCAATTTCCACCCAATGATCACCACTACTCAAACATAACTGCAGTCGCTGTTGTCACTGTCACCCGACCTGGCGAGTATGGTGGCTTTCTCCGCCACCACGTACCACCATGAGTGCACCCAGATCGTATCACCACTATCACCGCAGGGGCGGATCCTGGAATTTTTGCAGGGGGGGGGGGGTCATCAGCAAAAGAAATCTGAAAATGTACACTGGTTTTTTTCTCCGGACACTTGGCCTCCGTAAAATCAAAAACTCCCCCTGGATCCGCGCCTGCACCGTGATCACCCCGGTACACTAGCAAATATCAAGCCATTTCGCAAAGAGAAAAAGGGAGTATATTACCTGCACAATTGCCAGCAATAGATTGCCTCACACAGATGGCAAGTCAGTGCAAGAAAAGCTCTGCGAAATGAGACCAAAAATAAACACTCAAATAAAGTTTCAGTTGAGAAAAAAATGAAAGCGGATTCTAACCAACTAGATGGTTTACATGCCCTTAAGGTATATTTTGATGATCACATAGACAAGGTGAAACCCCCCCCCCCCCTCACCAAATAATTTCAATATCCTTCATACATTTGTTTGGTTTGCATACTGTAAAGAAAAAGTCTGGCACCTTGCCCATTTATTTAGTGTACATAAGATAAATGCATTCGAAAGGTACGATACAAAATGGCCGACTTGTGAAAAGCCCATATAGGCCTATATAATTGTAACAATTAACGTTCTTAATGTAACTTACATGAGAAGGGGCACGCTGGTGCTGAGGTCTTTCTCCTGAAGAAACTTACTGAGGTGGCCCAACGGGCCGAAATACTCGATTAGGAGGTACTTTGGGAAACAGGCGGTACCCTAAGATAAGAGATGAAACACACATCATAATTGTTCAGATGGGAGGTCACTGCGAATGGAAATTGTAAGGGGGGAAATGGGGCTGCTAAAAAATACATGTAGACCACAAAACCCGAGAAGTATGATAAATAAAAAGCTCAAAAACGAAACATGGAGTTCGTTGGAAAAATTGTTTGAATTTTCGAGTTAAGCTTTGCAATGAAATTTTCATTAACTCACCACCAACACGTATACAGCAAACGAAATGAGCAAAATCCATGCGACACCGGGCAGGCTGAAATAGCTGCTCTTTACAAATCGAATCACCTTCTCCATTAATCTCCCTGATTAACATGAGAAATAAAGGACAAGTTGCTTTACTGACATTTCCTCAATACGACCCGTGCCTTTTTTTAAGCAGTGTGAAAAGAAATTCATTTATTCAGAGTATTATTTTAAAACAATGTTCTGAGAACTATGATAGCTAAGATAATTTAGGTGTTATACATAATTATATACTCACGCCAAATCTAATTAATTTTACAAACGACAGGTGTGAAACTACCTCTTGATTTTCAAGGAAAAGAAATTACGGGGAACTGAGACACACGGAGGAAATTTATGAGAAAGCGACTTGAAAGTAAGACTTTACCTTTTGATCTGTTACAGCGTCCAAATAAAGCTATCGACACTTTCGCCTGTAGTTTGGTCTCTTTCACATGTGTTCCTTGCGCTGATCAAGATGACTTGTGGGTTACACGAGCAACAGACTGGCGTATTTATTGCGTCGCATAACAATTACGACAATTTGCATATTACCGATCGACCAGACGTACATAAAGTGTCATATCACCCACACAAGGACATGTGTATTTCATAATCACAACAACTAGGTCGTGTCGGGTGCCAAGTTCAACTAGACAACGAGTGCCCGACTGCGAACACTTACAGATAAGAGAACGAACCCTTACATTGACATAGTCATTTTCCAAACAAACGACGTGGAATTTGAATTGGTGACAGATAACACACACGAACCGACCGTTGCACATTGACGTCATTGCAGAAAAAAACAATTGGTAAAATGTTTGTTTTAGGTGTACTTATTAGGTATGCTGGTGGTGCAGTGGTGTGATTTTCTTTGAAAGAAGTTAAAACTGAGACATAACTATTTTGTGTGATTCACCGGCGAGAAATGATACAAAAGTCACTGGGTAACGAGAAAGAACAAACATTTATAATGATATTGCAATTATTATATGGTCAAATGTTAATGAAAAATACACGCATATTGCAGGCAAAAAAATAATTCCCAGTAAAATGAATTCTTAGTAGTGACTGAAGGCGACTACATGATATTATGTTCTACGAAAGTTTTTGACCCACGACTACATTTTGAAGTTGGTATAAATACAGTACGTGCTTTTTCAAAAAAAATGTTCTTTTTTTTCCGAACGAAATTTAAAAGAATGTCCTGCAACAAATACATTTGGTTGTTTATTTTTGCAGGTTTTTATACAGTTTTAAAAACGGTGTTTTTTTTTTTGTAATGGCGCGCTCCAGTTCAGACATGGCGCACACTATTCAGAACGAATTAGGACGTCTTAATTCAAAAGTTGAATTAAATTAATTGATAACTTGCCGTGGGCTGATTTTTTTCGTGCGATGTCTCATTGGGAAAGCTTATTACTATATGCTAGAGAGTTATCAATTCAATTTGAAAACCTATTTTGCAAAGTGCGCCACGCCCAAAAAGCACGTATACACCAGAGGCTTTTATGAGTAAAAATATAGAGAGAATAAAAACAAAAATGGAAAATACAGTTGTCAAAAACTCACTTACAAGAATGGATGCAAGTTGACCACCTTTTTGGCCTGAAATATGAGGAGTAAAGGACACGTTTACACAATGTATGGTGCCAATACGGTATTTACAATTTCAAAAATGCCTGAAATCAGGAAATTTCAGGACTTTACATCCCTGCAGAAGTTTTACAATTTTATACTAGTCAAGTCGTTAGATTAAAATTGGTAAAAGGAAAGGAAAGGTTGGTAAAAGGAAAGGTTGGTAAAAGGAATGTTGGTAAAAGGAAAGGTTGGTAAAAGGAAAGGTTGGTAAAAGGAAAGTTGGTAAAAGGAAAGGTTGGTAAAAGGAAATGTTGGTAAAAGGAAAGTTGGTAAAAGAAAAGTTTGGTAAAAGGAAAGGTTGGTAAAAGGAAAGTTGGTAAAAGGAAAGAAAAGGAAAGGTTGGTAAAAGGAAAGGTTGGTAAAAGGAAAGTTGGTAAATCGGCTTTGGAAACGGTCGCTGCCTATCCTCCGTACATTGTGTTTGTTGAATAAGTTTATTTGAAAAGCCTTGAATACAGTGTAGCTAAGTGTATGACAAGACTAAAAGATAACGGCTTACGTGCAAAAAAGGGGCAAACGCCTCCTCCACGGTAAATGTTTGCTTTGCAATTGAACTTCAGAATAGTGTGATGGCGGGCCACCATAGATAAGGCTGAAGGACGCGCAACCTGTCACGTGACAATACTGGTTGGCACTGGGTTAAAAGGTCGGAGAAAAGGACAAACGAGCAACATTTCGGATTTCTTTTAATACCACAGAACACACGGTACACACTCAATGCTTGTTTTTGGACGTGTTTTATTTCTGTACACAGAACAAAAATTAATAAATACGAACGGCACACTGTGTCGTGGTACGAACATTTTGTACAAGAACCCCACGAGGGTTTAGTGACCTCGAGAGGGCATCCTCTTAGCCCATCATTTTCCCGCGAAAAATATCACGCGATGGTGGAACACGTGACCTAATGATTAAAAACACACGGAGGCGTAAGACGCCTCTGAAAAAACGAGTAATCTCCAAATTCGCTCATCATTATTCGAATTAACAATCTTTGCTCTCTGTTTCTAGACTTATTTTTCGTGAAGGATTAAAGAGGCTGGATTGTTAAGTTGTTTCATGCACAAAGTACGCCCTCTTGGGGATTTCTTTTGGATTCCTTTTTTTTTTTACTCCCTTTCATTTTAGGCCTAACACAAATGTATAATGTTGATACTAAGGTCAAACTTGTTTCTTTTAACTAATTCTTAAGACTTATCATTAAGAACTCAAATCTCCTTAATCTACATTCAATTCTAAACTTCCGTCTTCCGTTTTTGCCATTGCAAAAAGATATATACGATACTTAAATCCACAAATACGCCTCGATTGCATTGTAAATTCATAGTTTTAGCCCTTGATAAATATATCATATCATCCATTAACAACGGATATACAAGTCGACTTTAGAAGCCGATCGTCGGTAAATTCCCTGAAAAAGTGACAGTTTTCAAGGCCAATTCAGACGACCATTTGCCAATACCTTGACGATTTTTTTGTAAGCAACAATTTGGTTCATTTATCTCCAACAAACTAAATTGTGCTCCAGTTTACTTACAATCTTTGATCGCCCAACAAAGCCACCTGTTTAACAGCTTCAGTTCATGGTCCCAAACAATTACGTTATATCCCCTAGTACGTATCTATTTCTGCTAAGAAGCAAAACTCAAATTATCGCAAAATTTCATTGTACAATTTATTAGTTCACCACTATAGTTGTGAAAAAGTAGGTCAATATATTTCTTCTTCTTTCTTTTTTAAGATACTTGTCATTGCATAAGAAAATGGGCATAAAGGAAAAGCATCCTTTTCAAACAAAGCTATTTTACGGGGCTGAAAATAAGAAAGGGTCTTGCCAGTAGTTTTCTGTCAAATTGTTTTAATATTTGAAGAAAAAAAAGTGGGGCTAAGGCCAAAAAAAAAATATAAGTCGGTCTCTGGTCAGCACGCGCATCGATTTTAATCATGCATGTCAATCTTTTTTTCCCAAAATGTTCTGCGGTAGCTCCAACAGCGCCCTCTATTGCCGCACCTCCTCAATTTTTTTTTACCAAAGAGCACCAAGGAACGGGAAATTGCACCAAGGCAAATGATCGAGAGCACCAAGGCAAATTATGGAGCACACCAATGTACATGAGGACACCAAAAAAGCAAAATAGTACCCCACCTTGTCTGTACAATCCAAGCTTGAAGGAAAAAAAAAAAGCTGCGACGCCGCGTCAATTCCGGAACTTTGGTCTGACCAGAGACCGAATATTTTTTTTTTGCCTTATCACCCCTGTTCAGCGCATTCTGGTCTCTACACCTTCACAGGTTCCCATTTGCACTCCTGGGTGGAGAGAGGCAATTTTAGTCAAGTGTCTTGCCCAAGAACACAAGCCCCACGTTCCCCGTCAGGATGCGAAACCCACGAACCACGGCACATGAGTCGAACGCCGTAACCACTGGACCATAACGCTAACTGGGCAATTTAGTTTAATATTCTTTTTAAATACTTTGTATTTTTTTCTTTCACAGTATTAAACTATAAACACAATCAAAAGAAAAAGGGAACACGATTACGGAAAAGCAGTTTATGCTTACACATGTAACGCAATGCACAATTACAAACAATATACATTGTATCCAAAAACAACAGTACATTTACGTGTATTGTGCTGGTAAGCTGTGCGATCATGAAAAAGCCGCAACAGTCCAATCCAGAAGTTTAAAGTGTGATACATTGCTGGTAGACTGGTTCCCAGTCCCTCCATTGTCCCTCAGACTTCGAATGTAGAGACCGGTAGTGGGCAACAGATTAGGAATACATTAGGAGGATTTCTTCTAATGTATGCAAATTATACGCATGACTAGGAAGATATACCAATGATGCAACTAGCTCTGATTCCCGGCCTCTGACTACAAAATCACAATGATAGTGTCAGCGCAGAACCAGCCTATTACAAAATGGCAACAAGGCTACCACTAATGGGCAGTTTGTGTGGTGATGAGTTTTGTTTTTCACTTAATTAGAAAGTGTCTCTGCCAACTATGAATAAAAGAGAGGCACTGCTTTTTAGTATTCGAAACCTATGCAGTTAAATGCTTGAAAATTGCTTTCGTGCAGACACTGTGTCGAGTTTGCCTCCTGGTTATGGTAAGAGGCAGTCTTTTTTTTGCCATGTGTTCAACTGTCATCCATCCACAAAGCTGTATGCATCATTTTCAAAAATACAAAAATCTTTACTGCGCACGCGATCCAATCAATGGCTTTAAATGGGAACTAGCTACCGGTCCCCATATTACGGGAGCAGGAACCAGTCTAACATTGCTGGCACCCCTTTGCTCTGAACAAGGCATTGCATTGTGGGTACAATAAAGCACATAATTATTCTAAATCGTACAAGTTTCTTGTATTTCAAATGTGAACTAATCCAAATTAACAACCACATATTGGATTTTAAGAACTATTAAGTTATATTTCAACTGGGAATAAAAAAAATAACCATTTTTTGTCTTCTCAAGAACATGATGTATGCTGACACTTTTGAGTGGTTATAAATTTCCCATAGAAATGGCAGTTAAAAAAAATCCACTTACAGTTTGTCACTGATATAAAACGCTACACAATTTTTGGTCCCTAATGGATTTGAAAACTTTTGTATATTGATTGGAAATACCCCCTTCCCCTTCCCCCCCCCCCCTCCATAATCGCTTCATTGCAACAACCTCATGTCATTCTGTTTACCCATTTTCTCCATGTAGTTGGGGCTCAATCCAGGTCTGTGCTTTTCCCATCAGATCCACTCTCCCCGTCTACGCGTTCTGCTTCCTTGTCGAATTCGGAGACGAAACGGTCGAAGGTAGACTGAAACGATGTCGTGCCTACTGGACTGCAGGACTGTTCCACTTCCCCTGGCGGGGGTGATGAGGGGGGTGGGGGCGGGGGGACAGAGGGGGGGCTGAGCTCATATCCTACTGGTGGGGTGAAGTCGAAGTTGAGTCCTGTAGTTGAGACAAACGAAACGTTGACAGTACTAAACCAGAGTGCCAAATAACAATTGATTTAGCTCCGCAGCTCATTAAGTTAACCTTCATGTAAAGTAATAATTTCTTGGATGTGTATTACTAAATCCACGTGACCAATTTCAAGTAGGTACTAAGCACTAAGCACTGAGCAAAGACGAGATTTGCTTAGTCAAACCAGGTTAATGATTGAAATGTCATTTGATGTGTATTGCTAGTGATTTTTTGCTAAAAGGTAGGGTAGATCATTTCTCATTTGTGCATTCTTTTCGCTGGAAGCAACAAAAGTGCTCCAAATCTAAAGACGGGTGCTTAACAACTAACCTGATGAAATTTCAGCTCAGTGAATGCTGTATATTCCGAGAAAACAATATTCTAGGATTTGATTTCAATTTCAAAGTTGCCAAGTCATGTTTTGAATAGCGTCTGAAATCAGCATCCAGGACAAATTCTCATCCAGACAATTGCAGCTACGGGATGTCACGCACTGAACCGAAGAATATCAGCAATTGTGTGTGCGTGTGTGTCGTGTGAACATTTGCGCGAACCCATTCACGGATTCGCCAAATGACAAACCAACTACGAATTAAAAACAAACTACCAACGGAAATTTCCAAAAATGTTTCACTTGACGTGTCTTTGGAAATGGCCTTTTTTTTTTTTTTTCTTCAAAATGACAGCATGCCAGAAGGAATAATTTCACAGGGAGTTTATTGCCATTACTATCTTCCAACCAAGTAAGCTTTTCAACAATAATTATGTCAGTTACTTTTTGGATAGCTGCAAATGATCTATTCTACCTTTAAAGGCGGTCAGAGTCTAAGCTTCAACAGAAATCTCACCTCGCCTCTGATAGAAGAGGATGTAGACACTGCTGGAGTCGTTGTCTGAGGGTTCCTGTTGGCTTATGGCTTCGTCGTTACAGTACTGCCATTGATTGGACAATGGGTTGCGGACGTAACAGGTGTAATGGCCTGCATTAACACCTGTTTATCCAGAAAAGAGATATACCAAGGGGAAGTTAGCATTGTAAACTGAAACATTTTGACGTGTGTGACATTACTGAAACTAAACGGCACAAAAAGCAGCACAACTTCACTTGGCACGCAGTTTCACACACAAAACTACGAGAAACATTTCCTTCCTTTTACTTTTTTCCTCAGAGTTTTTTTTTCTAATGGAAAAAATACAGGCAAGGGCTAGGGATTTTTGTCTAGGTCTTTGCCAATTACAACTATGTGGGAACATGTTGGAAATAGACGTAGCCGTAGCTCTGGATGCCCGTTTTTTGGACATTGCTACGTAGGATCATGTTGACAATATATGTTGCCGTAGCTCTGGACGCCCGTTTTGGACACGGCTACGTAGGATCATGTTGACAATAGATGTAGCCGTAGCTCCGGACGCCCATGTTTGGACATGGCTACGTGGGAACATGTTGACAATAGATGTAGCCACAGCTCTGGACATCCATTTTGGACATGGCTACATGGGAAGATGTTGACAATAGATGTAGCCACAGCTCTGGATGCCTATGTTTGGACATGGCTACATGGGATCATGTTGACAATAGATGTAGCGGTAGCTCTGGACGCCCATTTTTGGACATGGCTACATGGAAACATTTGACAATAGATGTAGCCGTAGCTCTGGATGCCCGTGATTGGACATGGCTACATGGGAACATGATGACAATAGATGTAGCCGTAGCTCTGGATGCCCGTTTTGTACATGGCTACGTGGGAACATTTGACAATAGATGTAGCCACAGCTCTGGACGCCCGTGTCTGGACATGGCTACATGGGAACATGTTGACAATAGATGTAGCCGTAGCTCTGGAAGCCCGTTTTGGACATGGCCTTACCTCCAAAATGACAGATACAGCTCTGTAGATCATAGACAAGGTCAAGTCCGTCGCTGGAGACTCCTGGGCATAGGAAGTCCGTCATGTCCAGCCCCTCTACTGGAAACTGGACCTTGTTCTCGAGCTTGGTACTGGTGAACTGGTGGAATACGAACCTAGGGGGATAAAACAATAAAAAATATGGGGATTATCTGATGAGAATAACTCGGAGGTGGATATTACACTGCGGAAGTATACAGAATGTGTGTAATGAATATCTCTACAAAAGAAATCATTCTCAGAAACAAAGACAAATTTTAACGAATGCAGTTTCAACGGAGACATGCCATTTTGCCAGAGGAATTTTCAAAGTGACTAAGTACGCCAACTAAAGCGTGAGTTAGACTATAAAGCACAGTGTAGTTTTCAAAAAGAATTCTCAAAACGAATTCGGAAAAAAATTAAAAATCTAGAGAAGATTAGAGAAAGAACAAAATAGAGGAATTTATGATAAGGCAAATGAGCAGGTGTTATTTCTGGCCTGGACCCACCTTTTGAGGTACACTATGAGTGTGTCTGGGTACCGACATACAGCTATCGTCTTGCTTGCACACTGAGGCTTGCAACACTTGGGACAAAACCAAGGGTTGTGCTCATCCAAGTCCTCACTGAGAATTCACAGGAGAAAAAAGACACAAAAACGGAGTTTATACTTCAAAATTTGACAGTTTGAGATAATTCTCACATATTACAGAAATGTTGAGACAGTGTCTGTAATACTAAGAAACAGTCCTCAAGTAGAAGTGTTTTTGTTGTTATAATTCACATTGAACCAATGTAATAAAATTTGTCTTTCTCCAAGTATGTCTAAATTTTGTTCGCCATTTTTCACCCACCTTTCAGTGAAGGCTTTGAAGCACTCCCTCAGAGTCAATGGATCGTTCCCGGCCAGCTCCCCGAATGACCTGTCATCATAGGCCCGGCTGGCAGATTCCACGACCTCGGTGGGTAGGTTCTGGTAGACCACAGTCAGGTGGTCGTCGGAGTGGAGGGTGATGTCCACCTCCCGGACCAGCTGGCAGCCACGGCAGTGGATGCTGTAGACGCAGCGGGAACACTGGGTGCCCTGTAATGAGGTAGTTGGCATTCAATTCAATCGTTAAACTTAAAAACCCTGACGGAGCTTGCAGGTTGCACGTGGATACCACTGTTGTAGGACTCGAGTCCAGGACTCGGACTCGAGTCACATTTTTCGTGACTCGGACTCGACTCGAGTCACAATGGAAAATGACTCGGACTCGAACTCGGACTCGACCATGACGACTCGGACTCGAGTCACGTATTTTCGTTAAAAGAAAAAACATAACGTTACGTATTTGTGCGACGAACGTAGCATTCTTTTTTACTCCATAGACAAAATATGGGGCCGCGGAAAATCGTATCCAGGGGCCGCGCACACACGCCTAGCGCCTACACGAAGAGCACCAGGCCCCGGTGTCATGCCAACAAGTGTCCGGTTATCATGGCAGAGGGTTTTTAGGGATGTGAATTAAAAGGAAAACATTTTGGGTCTAAACAAAATGTGCACACGCAAGGTACACTGTATACACTGGGATTTACTTAAATCTTATTTTGATTAGTTTGGTGAACAACTAAGAACAAGTGACTCGGACTCGAGGCTTGTGACTCGAGACTCGCACTCGGACTTGAGGCTTGTGACTCGAGACTCGGACTTGGACTCAACGTTGGTGACTCGACTACAACACTGGTGGATACTATCAATGCACCTTCCGCTAATACAAAGCTTGCCGAGATACATGTGCTCGAGTTACCCTTCTGTACTCCAGACTAAACAACCACTGAGTTTTAAGTAAATAGGTCTGGGAACTAGACAGTGCGACGGTGTTACACATAATACAGCTGTTGTCTACAACGGTACCACCTGTAATCGACTCTTCCGAACTAGAACCGGTTACAGAGTGCCGCTTCCTCAAAAAGTGGAGTCATGTTTCCGACTGCGAGGACCGAATCCATTGTATTTGATTCTTGCCCAAGCCTGACGTAAGCTTACAATAACCACTGTCTACATCTCTGAACTTACCCGTCCGTCTGTGAGTACGAGGGTAAACGGTGCGTGTACTGGCAACATGCTCTCTATCTCGCTGTACAGGCACTCACCGCTGACTTCGTTGTGTGTGTGGATTGCATTGGGGTAGGCAAACAAGTCTCCCTACATCATACGGACAAACAAAACACCCAAAAGCTTAAAACCAACAAACTGGGTGAGTTATCAAGAAACGTGAGAGAAGCAAAGGGAAATACATCAGCATGCTTCAAATGAATGTGAATATCACAGTTATCAGTACGAGGGTCAGTACAATCACTCCAATTTTTGATTTGGATGAAAAAACTTGAACCTGTAGGTTTACGTGTTAAAGGTAGTACACAACATTTGCAAACATCAAAAAAACAAATTTACCAAATTGTTATGAAATACCTTACTGGACTGTGAGTGAATGACAGTCTAAAGCAGCCAGTAAAATCATGGCACCTGGTGTGCTAACATTTTCAAGAAAGGTGGAATTGTTGTATCTATTTCCAACGATGGTCAGCCGACCATCACTGGATAAAAACTGGATTTTTTCAAACACTGCCCCCAATTTACCAAATTTAGTTAGTCCACATTTTGTTTGTAATATGTTACACATCTGTGAATGGGTAAAAGCCAGCTAGACTGGTTCCCTGACCTTACAATTCCCCGACGTCTATAAATTGCTCCGTTTCGTATGAAGTAGGGTCGGGGAATCAGACTACAAGAACATGATTGTTTTTCTTTTCTTTTTTCCAGCTTCTACGAGCACAAAACATCAAACAAGTCAGTGTAACAATATTTGTTATAAAATACTACCTCCCCCAAACCCATTCATTTCTGAAAATTACAGCAAAAGCAGATGTACATTCCCATTAAACGCCCCTCCCCCCCCCCCCCCCCCACCTCCCCCATTCCCTATGCCTCCTGGCCTGACCTTTGTTTCTCTATCTGTCGTAGTATCGTTCCTGAATAGTACAGGCAGTAGAAGAACCCTTTTGGCTGGGCGGGCAGTTTGTGACGTCTGCATGACGACGTAGTCCTGCGAAGGGTCAATTTCTTTCCTGCATACCTGTCGAGCGACGGCAAAAATCAACGATAGAATATAATTTTTTCGATGAAAGTTTGAAATCAAATTCAAATGTAACGACTGTGTTTTTATGCAAATATTTTTTAAAAATCTAAAAAATAAAGAGGATGAAAACAGTTTTTGAAAACACTTAAGTTGCTACAAAAAAAATAAATAAATAAATAAACAAAGAAAAGTTGTGAATATTCCAATCTTACTGGACAATCCACCGTCTGGTGACCATAGTGCTTGACGGCTCTCTGCAAACAGAACAACACAGATTTTTGTTTAAAAATCCTCAATAAAGGTTTTAAATATTCTTATAAGTAAAATTTGGGATCGTTTCACAAAATATCAATTAAACCACAATTTACTAAATCTGATGAGCATGTAAAATCTGGATAAAACCATGAATAAATCAAATAGCTAGGACACAGACGTACAATTCTTGTTTGGTAGCTTACCTCCATGCATGCATGGCATAGTACTCCACCACACGCTTTGTGTGTTAGTAACTGATGTTCCGGATATTCCTCCAGGCAGATTGCACAAGAATGCCACTGGCTCATCACGACGCCGCTATCGCTCGTTTCACCGTTCTTCTCCGGGACAAAGACGTCGTCGTTCCACGTCACTCCGTCGTCTTGTATCGGACCCCAGACGGCTTCAGGGCTGTTGAGATCAACGTTGCCCTGCAGGCTGCTGTTGGAGCCCCGTGGCTTTCGCGGCAGAACAAGCCCGTCGTTTTGCGTGTCCATCGGCGGCAAATCGCTGGCGTCAAAATACGTCACGTTTGAGAAGACGTCCCGAGATGCTGCAGCCGTTGCGGATGCCGCTGCGGAGTCCGTGCCGGATTCTAAATCCCCGACTTTCCCGCTTCCAACGTTATTCATTTCGGTGTACTGTGTGGGCGTTAAGACGATGTCCCATGGACCTTTTGGGGCCTCGAAGGCACTTTCTGCACTCGTCGGGAGGTAGTCGCTGTCAAGTCTCTCACAAAGGTCTACACTTTCCTGCTGTAGGACATTCGCGTGTTCGAACGGGGTGGACTTGTTTAGAGTTCTTGTGTCCACGTCCTCTGCAAGGCTGTTTGAAACGGCTTCGCTTGGTACAGCAGTTATGTGTGCCGATTCTTCCAAGACAGTTTTGGAATACACCTCAAACGCATACAGCAAGCGGAAACTGTCATTGACGTATCTCAGTTGTACACCATCCTCCTGCAACATTGAAGACAAACACAATAATTTCTGGTCAAATGAACATTTCTTGACAGTATAAAAACCAGCCAAATTTAACTAGTTCACGCCAAGATTATTTTGACAAGAACGGAACAAATTGCGGGATTAATTTTCACTCGACCTCATGCCAGGCAGGTTGAAGCCATCACCCTCGGGCAGCATACTCATATTTTCGGCCTCGCTCGCTGCGACCGTTTCACTGACAGATATTTCCGGCCTCGCTCCCTGCATGTTTATCCGTCATCCGTTCCGAATACCGCAAAATCTTTGCGGGTATGCAAGTCAACCGCGCAAACTGGTTAACACTCTCTGATACACAACATCCACTGGAGATGTTCGTAATGAATTGTCCCCTTTTAACGACAACTTCCCAACAACTCACCAGAAATCTTGATATATGGTGGTCCAATCCTTCTGCTAAGACCAACTCTTTATCCTCTGGTAGCCCCTCTCGGTACACCACCCCCGTCACAGCTTTCCTGAGTTCTTTGACCGTGTCTAGTCTGTTCAGCGTCACCAGGTATCGTCCTGGTGTCTGGCCATGCTTAGGAATGAATGTAATGACTGTAACGAAGGTTTAAAAATTGAAACACTTTTGAGTTTTCACCTTTTTTTTCAGGGACCAGAGTTGAAATTCAATCAATGACCTGATTTTTTTTCCCTGTATTCTAAAATCTCCGATTCAAAAGGTGTGAAAAAAACCTGCTATTTTCAACAACGCTAAACAAAGAAAGAAGTAAGTGTTCGCAATGTCAATATTTGTTGCCCAATCATCAGATAAAACTCTAGCATTTTTCTGGCCATACTTACTTAGTTGTTTTTCCATTGCACGTGGAAGAGGTACTGACAGGTACATAAAAGGCTCATAGATGATGGAGACGTGACCACAAACGGCACATACAACCTACAGAAGAAAATTTTTAAGATGAGAAAAAGTTGGTTGGAAAAACTACCTGAAAGCAAAGTTCTCTTTTGTAGAGTACTTTTCTTGTGGTTCCTTCCCCCTCCTCCCCCCACTTTGGCCCCCAGCCCCACCCCTCCCATTAAATCCCTTTTATTGCTCCACCTGTTGTGTTTAGTTATTACCGTGCTTTTGAACTGTCCTTGGAAGTCCATGATAGGCGACTGGTTTGCCTTGATGTATTCTTCCCAATCCGCTTCCCCCTCCTCTCCGCCCAGATCTACGTCCTCCATCGCTGTCTCTTTCTTGATCCGAGAAGGAGTCCGTTGCACTGAGAGGAACTGTTGGTTGTTTGGGATATAGCAGCAGTCTTGGTCTTCACTTGTCTTGGTGTGCGGCGCCAAGCACGGCTTATCCTCCCTATGCCTTTCCAAGTTCTTGGTGAGCGTCTCTTCGTTTTTGGTGGGGTAGAGAAGATTGGGACACTTATCCGGAGGATTGTCAAGTCCCATCTGAGGTTTGAGTTGGTTGTAGCACTCGGCTTCTGCGACTTGCTTGAGGCTGGTGTCGTTTCCTTCTAACTCCATCAGCTTGTTGGTTAATTTGCTCTCCGTTATCGGGAAGAAGCCATCTTGACTCAGGAGCTCCGGGACGGCATAGTTGTGAAAAGAGGAAGTTAGACCCTCCTTAGCGAGACTTTGAAGGAGTTCCGTCTTGCTGCAGGAGTCCATCTTCATCCTCTTGATAGGGTCTTCCCCTTCGTGGAGGTCTGTCTCGGCCACAAACTTGACGCCGCTGCCCAAACCCTCCCCGGAGCCATTCTTGAGGTTCCCCTTCAGGTTTTTCTTGGCCACAAGGAGGTTCGTCTTCTTGTTCTTGGGTGGGGAGTTCAGCTTCTCGCAGTCGTTCTCCACCCGGTTTCTCAGCGGCGACCGCTGCTGCTTGGCCGGAGACTTTTGCGGTTTCTTGGAATTCTCAGCCTTGGGGAACTTCTCGCTCCCCGTTGCGACACTAGAAGGCGCTTCCTCAGCCTGCATCACGTTAGTATTCAGCGTCTTCATATCCTTCTTAAAGAACTCCTCAATGCTGGGGACCTTCACCTCCTCTCCCGCTGCGCTCTCCTCGGATCCGGATCCAGACCCAGACCCAGACCCTGCCTCCTTGTCACTCTCTCGTCTATTATTCTGGTTTCCCGGGACATGCTCCTCCTTTCCGGAGTCAATCTCCAAGGCTTCCAACTCACTAAGTTTGGAGGTTGATGCCTCAGACATGTACTGCGAGTCGCTGGAGTTCTCCGAGATGTCTTCGAACGGGGAGTGAGATTTCTTCTTGGCTTTGGCCTGGTTCAATTCTTCGTGTAACGTATCTAGAAGTAGTGCTAGGAACTCCTGTCCATCATGCTGCAGATTAAAAAAAATGTTCCCCTTTAAAATCAAAGTCACCTTTTCCAATCAAACTTATGAAGGTATTCCTTTGTCATTGTTCATCCCTGGTTATTTGTGATTCAAATTGTGACTGACTTGTGAATTAACTTGTGACAGATTCGTGATTTAACTTATGACCGACTAACTACGACGCTGTTCCCCACCTGTCTATAGTCGTGGAACTGTCCATGCATGTACCCTAGCGTCTCCTTAAACTCCAACGGATGCAGCAGAGCGAACTCCCCGCTCCAGGCTTTGTCCGTCAAGCTGCGGAATCTGCAAGACAGCGTGGCCGCAAGGAGCTGATCCGCCTGGGGTAACTGCTGGACCAAGTGACCGTTGTGCATCAGACACTGGAGGCCAGAGTTCATGAAGCAGGTGTTGCCCATGTTGCGCAGACCGCACATGCCACGCAACGCCTTGGGATCTGGTAAGGGAAAAGAATAGCATTTCCGTCTTCTTGGTGAGAGATTCAATATGAAAAGAACTAAGATTTTAGCGTCAAGTTGTAACAATGTAACACACTGTTTATGCAATTTGACACAAATATCTTCATAATTTATGTGCAGAAAAGATGCAGAATAATCAATAAAACACATTAAAGAAGAGTACTGAATGGCAGTACCTCTGACATCAGCGTTCTGTGGGCTGTCCCCATCCCCTTCCATAAAACTCGCCGGAACTGGACTATTGTTATGAACTGTGGAATGACAAAGAATTAACAATTAGAGTGTTAGATAAATCCATCTGCTACAAAGACAATAAAGAACATTTATGGGTGAGAAAAAATTTCAAAGACCTTTTCAAATCCAACTTTCTTTAAAAAAAACCTTCCCAAATCCTCTGAACCCCAACAATGTGCAGGAACTGAACAGCAAGTTGAATTCACTTAAACTTTCACAGGGCATCATGAAATATATGTAAAGTATCAGTGGCTGGTTTCAACCTTCATCCCCCCAACAAATTAAACACTCTGAAAATTCTTGGTTTTTGAATGACTAGACAGGACTGGTAATCTTTCTTTAAATCATGAGACTTTGCATACAATGTATATTATTATCATTACTGTACTGTGTTTAATATCCTTCTCTGTTTCTCGTTAACACAAGTGAGCACTGTGGTTTTTTTTCCAGTGCTTATTTGTAAAAAAAAAATAAATAGATTGAGTTCAAAAGCTCTACCGTTTCCAGTATCAAAGCCAGGGAGATGTGGGCCGTAGATGGGTTGATCGTGGGGTACCAGCATCATCCCAGAAGACATTGCGGCCGGCATGTACTCCATGACTTCCGCATCCATCGCCATGCCGCTTGCAACCTCTGCATCCCAACGGCTTGCGTCGGGACTCGGTGCCGGACAGCTCGGAACAGCCATTTGCAATTGCTGGGTCAATAAAACAGCAGGTGATATTTGATGTCTCTTAAAAATGTAACTCTGTTAATGTCATGTCTATAAAGTTGCAGAACTTTATAAGAACTAGTAATATATTTATAAACTGACAAATTAATTACCAAAATAGATAATGGTAAAAAATATATGCTGACTTGTGCATAGGCCATAGCTGTGAAAATATTGTTTAAACATTGTAAGTTAATGGTGCGCCAAATTAAAAGAAACAGTTAACTGTTATTTAGTGTTAAGTTTAAAGTGTTCTGTAAAATTTAATGAAATAAAACATTTTGTTTTATTTCATGTTTTGGATGATTTCTTAATGACATGGAGGTAGGTCCGCCCTAGAAAATATTTCTTCAGTTAAATCTTGCCAATTTTTTATGTTGTTTTTTTTGGTTTTTGCCTAGCCCCAGTGAAAACTAAGTTTAGAAAAATAGAAAACCAACTTGTCATGCTTGTCTTTTGTTTAGAATAGCAATTTAAATGACTTACTTAGTGAATCAATAGTTAGATTAGAAATAGAAATTAGAATGGTGTTATTTTATTGGACAATACGGCATGCCATACCCATTACAAACTTATTTAGTTTTTCAAACAGATATGTAATTATAACATGTAGAGTTAAACTTGAAAGCAACTCAGAGCCAAAATAACGCATACACACTGAACCGCCTATGGGGAAATCCCCACTCCAAATGCAGGCGAGCGCAGAACCGCGCGAAATGAGATCATCTCTCGCAAACATCACGTGCAAATAAACAACAACGATTAGCATATCAATTAGTTAATTAGGCCTACAATGATAACAAAATATCGATAAGGTTTTGAGCAAGACCCTTCATCAAATTTATAACGGCGATTTCATAAGTAAGCAATAACGCATACATTTTGCAAAGATAACTTTTGTTCTCTTTTCACAAAACAGGAAATAAGATTTTCTCACCTCGTCAGCCATTTTGTCGGGTCCTACTAAAGCGCGTCAACAAGCGTCAACAAGCGTCAACAAGCGTCAACAAGTTTTAGTAGTCGTTAAGTGCGCGTCAACAAATTTTGTATAGGCCTTTGAACAATAAAAACAGCTTTATATGGTAGAAAAAGCAATAATGAACATCTTCTGCATATCAATTAAAGTTAAAATTACTTAAAAAGTGGTTTTCCAGCGCGAAATCTACAACGGGTTTTTCGGTTTAGTATTGGCCGCCATCTTGTTTGAGATCTACATACTACGCATGCGTGGAGTGTACCATTCACGTATAGGGGTTTCTTTATACGATACGCTTTGCAATACCTCGTTTGGTTTTTGAATTGGGATTTTTTGGCAGACATTGTGAACAGTGTCAGTAGGCATATTTTTTAAATAATTAGCCAAGTACCGTGATCAGGTTTTGCATAATTTATAATTGAAAAAAATAGTTTTCCGAATTTCTAGAATTAAATATTTTCAGCAACAGAGGTCGCTTTGATTGATCATATAAAGAAACCCCTATGCGTAAATGGTACACTCCACGCATGCGTACTATGTAGATCTCAAACAAGATGGCGGGCAATACTAAACCGAAAAACCCGTCGTAGATTTCGCGCTGGAAAACCACTTTTTAAATAATTTTAACTTTAATTGATATGCAGAAGATGTTCAATATTGCGTTTTCTACCATATAAAGCTGTTTTTGATGTTCAAAAGCCTATACAAAATTTGTTGACGCGCACTTAACGACTACTAAAACTTGTTGACGCTTGTTGACGCTTGTTGACGCTTGTTGACGCGCTTTAGTAGGACCGATTTTGTCTGTCCTGTGAAAAGACAGCCTCTTCCAAATATAAAAAGTGAAACGTCTGATATCATCAAAGGAACTAATTTAAAGCCAATAATATAGTAAAATATAATTCACATTTTTAAAGCTTTAACTTTTAGGACGGGAATATTAATTTTAAGAATATGTAGACAACATTTGTTTCATAACTTGTTTTATAATTCTAGCTTAGTGGCTGTATTACGCGCCAAATTTTCGGAAAAGTTCAAAGGTTAAATTGCAAATTTCGCGCACTCACTTGTCGACGATCATGGCGGCCATGGCGAATGAACAAGAGCAATTTGAAAGCCTCTTGGCTTCATTAATGTCCCCAGACAACGACGTCCGGAATCAATCAGAGGTAATTGCTTTATTATACGAACCACCCATCATTCTTCAATCGTCCCATGTAGTTTGATAGGGATTCAGTGAAAGATTTGGGAGTAAGCGCGATCGGTGTACATGTTTGGTATTTGTCAAAAATTTCGCCGTGTCGAAATAATGTGCACGCGTTTTCTATTGGGATTGGGTGGTGCGTGCATTCATGCGTTGTGTGTCTGGTGTGGCTGGCATGCTACATGTGTGACGTGTGCGTGTCTATGTTGTCAAAATGCTTGGGTGGCAGTGGCTGGCAGCACGTGCGTGTGTCTGCTGCATGCTGAATCGTGCCTTTTTATGCTCCATAATTTAGACCCCCATAATTTCCTTGTTCAAAACAACTATTAAATGATCATGCTAGTGTAGTCATTGTGCAATGTTGTGTTGTACCATGTGTACTGTCATGACTGTAGTTCTTAATTCTTTACACAGACATTATTCATATTATTTATTACTTTATAACTAATATTAATAACTTAATTTGCTTCACAAATTTCCTCAAAACTGCAATATTGCCAATATGTTTGATCAATTCAAAGTCAAGAGTCCTATTTCATTATTTTGTTATTTTTAACAATAACATGTGTTTAAAATGTCAAAATCATGGCATAATATTAATAATACTTAATAATAATCGTGATCATGATGATAATAATAGGCGTACTCATTTTTAAATGATGTTACGTTATTTTTTCAAGATGTTGAAAACGGCATGAACATAAGAATTCCCTGCATGGACATCACTAATTTTCCCCTGCAGTAGCCTAGGCTATCGGTTATCACATTATTCACAGCCATCAGAAAGCGATATTAAACATGTCCTAAAATTAAAAAGTCAAATTCAGCAGGGAAAATATCTCCAAATATTGAAGCATTTACCATGTTTACTGAAAACCATTTTTCAGACCAGTCTCATAGGGGTTGTGCATAGGGTGTCAAGTGATGTCCAGGTATGGATCTCTTTCCGTTTGACGTGAACCGGTTCTGAATTGTTGTGGTTCTTAACCCTAACCCCCTAGGCCCTTGTTGCTTACAAGCGTCCTCAATCCTCCAAAATCCTCCAAAATTTTGCAACTCCGCCTAAATTTTTCAAAATTGTCAGACAGTCCTGCCTCAAAATGCATTCATCCTCAATCCTCCAAAATCCTCCTCATCCCAAAACTTTGCACTCATGTTTAAATGAAGGATAACCAACGCCAAATCCCTCAAAATCATCAGACAGTCCTGCCTCAAAATGCATTCATCCTCAATCCTCCAAAATCCTCTTGTGCTTCAATCACCATTCATCCTCAATCCTCCAAAATCCTCATGTGCTTCAATCACCATTCATCCTCAATCCTCCAGAATCCTCATTTGATTCAATCACCATTCATCCTCAGTCCTCTAGAATCCTCCAAAACCGCCAGGAGGATTTTGGAGGAGTGAGGTGGTTTAGGGTTAATGGATAGCGTGCTGGACTAGGAATCACGAGAATGCGCCGGATTTGATTCTCTGCCAGTACACTCATTTTGAAAATTCCCCCCCCCCCCCTAAAAAAAGGAAGAGTTTTCTTCCTTTATTGTTTTAAATCGAATCCCACATTTTCTGATTGGTTGCTTTGGATTTTGTTTTTTAGGAAAATAAAATCCGAAATTGTATTAGGTCTGATCCCCGTCTCATGAATATGAAGGCACAAAGACAATGAGAGCATGAAACCAGATGAACAGTTGTCACAGTTAAAATGTCTTAGCCCCCAAAAACATTAAAAATGTGCACATTTGTTACCGTGCTGGTAAAAGAGCTTTATATTTTCACTTTTTAACATGTTGGAATGTAACATTTTAGAAAACAAATATTTTTTTCAGTGAATAGATTTGTATGCCATTTCGTAATAGCCTCGTTTATTAAATCTTCAACAAACTTTAACATTAGAAATGTGAACAGTCTACAACAAAATATACAGCATGATCACATCATGAAGAAATGAAAATAGTTGTATTCCTCAATGATCATTATTTGCAAATTTGAAAAATTTTAGAGAATTATTTTATGCTCTATGAATACATTATGATTTTTTTGGGCTTCATAAAGGCAGTGGATGTTGTGCCTGCTTCAATTTCCTTTTAACCCTAACCGCCCTGAATCCTCCAAAATCCTTTTTGCAAATTGGTGGAATTTGCAGGATTGAGGTTACATGGCAAAAGTGGGTTGCTGATTTCGAAGTACGCACTGTGTCAAGGTCTTGGGCCGGACCTTGTGTTATTTATGCTCAGCCGTGCATAAATTTAGCCCTTGATTAAACTTGACATCCTCCACACTGCTCCAGGATGTCATTGCCTCTGCCTTAACCTATTGACAGTCATAGCCAGAGGATTTTGCAGGATTCAGGCAGTGGTCATCCCTCCATGGACCATATACAAGAAATAGCGGAGGAATTTGCAGGATTGAGGATATATGTTATTTTTCCATGAGGCCAATTGGAGGATTTTGCAGGATTGAGGCTACATCCTAGCAAAAAGGCCTAGGGAGTTAGGGTTAATAAATGTCATATTTACAGAGAATTTCTCAGACTGGCCGATTATTGGCTGCGCAATTGTTAGTTCTACATGTACGTTGTCATAGAAATCAAAGACCTGATGTATTTCACTTCTTTCAAATAAAAAAGGAGGGAGAAAGATGTGGCATATTCATTCCTAAGGAGAAAGCGTGTTTTGTAGCCACACTACAACCTGTCAAACCTATCTTGTGCATGCATCGGTCTGTCAGCTCTGAGCTTGACAGGTTTAAGTGTAAGCCCCCCCCCCCCTTCTCCAGCTCTCAAGGGCCACAAACGGAAGTCATAAAGGAAGTGACATCACGGAGTCTCTGGAAGTTGTCCCCTTGAGTCAACCGTCGCAGTGTTCTATATTCAGCGCTGACTACTCGAGCAGCCAGATTTCTTTTCTTTCTTTTTTTTTTTTTTTTAGAAATGCTGACATCATCCAACCTGGGTTCTATTTGCCAATGTTGCAAAATAATCATGCTTTAATACTGATTCCCTTGGCATTTTTGCCAGGAGCCTTCTGAGATCCTCCCAAAGTTCCGAAACAGCAGAACCACATGTATGACACATATCTTTTTTTTTGTATACTTGTACAAGTTACTTACAAGGGGTATCATAAAGCACGTTCATTGAACTGTTACTTTAACTTTCAGTTTCAAGTGTATCAGGTCCCTGGAAAGTTACAGTGGCTAGACTCTATTCCAAACCATACACAATCCCACAAAAACCTCCTGTTTGGTTTTGAAAGATGTGGGAGGGTAAGAGAAGTATTTAAACTTGGTAATTAATTGAAACTGCTGATAATAATTCTAAGTTGGTGACAATCCACTGATCTCTATAATAAAGACTAGATAGCGTACAGAAAGCCGCAGCTAAGAAAGCCATTTGAAGCCATATTGGAAAGACCGGCTGGTGATCTATAAAGGGCAAGTTGGCAGTTGTGATTCACTTTTGTAAAACATCGTGGTTCGCCTGGTTTACCTTTCGTCCACCACCAACGACCGCGGTCCACAATTTTTCAAATGTGGTGGTTCAGTTTTTGAATGCCGCAGTTCACTTTTTGCGACATTTGGAAATATAGCCACGACGGAAATTTGTCCTTTTTAGAACATCATAACACGTGTACGTGACCAAAATGCGCGTCAAACCTTGATAACTGCGCGCTGTATATACGCGTAGAACATACGTATTATTAGCTGCCATTCTTGCAAGAGCGGGGTAAGCTGGTCAAAATTCAACTATGTGACTGGTGTATGAGCAACCGATATCCAGTCTTTATATAGAGTTCAGTATGACAATCTCTGGTGTTACTCTTAAGAGTGACTGGCACTTGGGTGATGCATCGTAGGCCGTTCAGCCGACTGTCTGTCACGCTGTCAGTGTACTTTGAAAAGTTAAAAATAGACTGGCTATTTATTTGATGACGCATATCTTATGTTAAACTACCTGCACTTATATGCATTGGGGAACATGAAAAGTGGATCCGAGTTGGGGACCAATTCCTATAATGATTTGAAGCCAAAAGGCGATCGAATGTTCCCATAATTTCACCTAGAATTTAATTAAAGGCTGGGTAGCTCGGTTGGTAGAGCACCCAAAGGGCAATCCGGAGGTCGCAGGTTCAAACCCACTCCAGTCAATTTCTTTTCTCAACTTCAAAAATCAATATGGTTTAGATTGTAGTGTCAAACACATGTCTACATTTCCTGCTGTGGCAATGAGGGGATACTCCTGTGAATTTCACAACTTCCTGAAATTGACCAGCTTTTCCTGTGTTTACAAACATCAGACTGCAGATATGAAGTGCACGTACACAAAATCCAACCATCACAGACGTTGGCATAGACTTGGGAAAGAGTGCGTTGCCACAGGATGTTGCCAACGTGGTTAAAAAACAATTCAAATAAACCACACAAAGACTGACTACTGTAGGCGCGTTATGATAAGTTTAAAGTTAATTTCCTATGGAAACATTCATTCTGAGCCAAGTAGTCCTTTCAGTCAAAATCAATCAAGTGACTGTTTTCAACAGTTAAGAATTCCCAGCCTACATGAAGCAAGATTGACTGGCTGTGACTCATTATGTAACTCGACATACCTTTGCTTTGGCTGTGGGTAATTGATAAGTCAGCTGTGCCCACAACTTGCCTGCTTTGTCTGTTCATGGTCTGTTGACTGAGTTTGACTAGTCACAGTGCTTGCTTGACATATGATTTGACTGCTAGTGACTAGCCTGTGTTAAAGTATAGCATGGGAAATGGAAATTTTGACTGTCGGTGACTGTTTAAATAGCAGGAGGGTTAACCCCCCAAAAATGACTGCAGTTGGGTTTGAACCGGCAACCTCCGGTTTGAACCCTGCTCCGGTCAATATCTTTATAATAAATTTAAAATTTAAAAAAAAAGTTGACAGAAACTGAATGGACTAAAAAAAAAATTGAAACATAAAAATAAATGAATGTTTAACATTTTCTGTAATTTAAGCCATGAGTAAATTTTATAACAAACCCACATGAAATAAGAATTAAGAAAGTTGGTTTAGTTCTAAGTTTCACTTTGAATCAGTCAAAATGATTGAAGATTTGCTAGCATTATGACTACCTAGGCCTAAATACTCAGTCCAGCCATTTTCGTTGCGAGATCTTTTCAAGAAGTTTAACCCTAACAGAACTCGACCCATCTAACCCCAACGGCATGTTTTGTTGGAATCTGGTACAGTACCCCTAAACTGACAGTCTTTTACATTGCGTTGAGCAGACCTCCAGAATCAAAGTCAGAAATATGGTGTTGGAATTTGCCAGGATGGGTATGGTTCCTAGTAAATCATGCTAGGGAGTTAGGGTTAATTAAAACAAATTTGTTAAGAGGCTTGTTGTAACGCTGTTCTTTTCTCTTGTATTTTCAGGCAGCGTATGAAAACATCCCAACTGCGACAAAGATTCAGTTTCTGGTCCGCTCTTTCCGCAATGCAGAGGTTCCAGCAGAGGTAACGAAAAAAAATCTCCCTGAATTTTTTTATTTTTTTTTTTTTTTAATTAGGATATCAATCTTAATAATAATTTGGGAGGCTAATCATCCTTACTCGCAGCTGGGATGCTGAATTGCGAAGGACGCGGCTACAACGTGGTCGGGCCGCTGGCACGTAAAGGCGCCTCTGGCTGCCGGCCACATCGACCCATATATGACCACGGAGCACAGCCTGAGATCGAAAGTGTTTGATTTTTCCGGAGGGAGGGAAACCGGAGGGCCCGAAGAAAAACCCTCGTGGCACAGGAGAGAACCAACGCACAACTCTACTCACATGCAATCCGTGGCCAGGATTCGAACCGTGGTCACCTTGGTGAGAGGCGAGCGCTTTACGCACACGCCACCCGTGCCAAATTTGTCAACCAAATTTGTTCCCCAGTGGTTTCAAGTCTAAAGACCACGGAAATTAATGAATATTTGTTCGGTGGCAATTTACATACCTGTTAGTGCGTTCTTTTTCCATTAGGGCTGTCTGTTCTCGAATAATTTAGTATTTGATTACTCGAAACTGTGTTTGACCGAATGTTCAGGTATTTGAAACTGCCAGCTGCAACTGTGTTGCCGCCAGCTGCAACTGTGTTGCCGCACCTGTCAAAAGTTGCACAAATTTGGTTGCGGCGAATGATATGGAGTGTTTTGCAGTACGTATTTTATGTCTAGGGCGTTTAACCTGCTAAACGGATAGACCCAATGAACAGCCATCGACAAAAACGTTACCCTTGACAAATAAAAGTGGCACCTGACAATGAAACGCTGCAACTTTATGATAAAATAACATCTCATTCTTGTGTGTATGTGGATAGTTGGGGTGGTTTTTTTTTGGGGGGGGGGGATATTCAAAGCGACAAAATAGCTATTGTTATATTCTGTTGATGAACGAATATTCAAATATTTGATATATTCGGGCAGCCCTACATTTTTATTCTGTGCATAACTACAAAAAAAACCTTTTTGTAGAAAAACTACCCTTTGACATTTATTCATACTGTAGTGAAGTAAGTAAAGTTGATTTCCTTACGTTCCAAATTTGTATCAAAAAGTCCCATAACTTGGAAAAAAAAGGACACTCTGCATAAGGCTTCATTGAGAAAAGTACACAGCTAAATTATTTGGCCTTGGGACGAAACACAAGGAAACGGTTGAAATCCTGGTTATCGCAGTGATGTCAACACTCTGTGACAGAAGCATGATTCATTGTTTCACAAAATAAAACTTTGACCTTGCACACCGAAAATGATACGTGCGTGTAGCTGCTCTTTGCCATCAGTTCTGATAAAGGAAAAATTCACATTGTACATTTTCAGCAAGCTCATTAAGTGTGGAATCTGTTGGTTACCGTCACGGCGGTCAGGAAATGGCAGTCCGTCCTCTTTCGCTTTCAAATCGTTGTTTTGGAAACTCGGTTTCCTTTTTAACCCATTTTGGGAATTTTTGCTAGTATGCAACCTCAATCCTGCAAAATCTTCCAACTGCCTCCGTGTAAAAATTGCGTACAGCCTCAATCCTGCAAAATCCTCCGTTATTTCTTGATTGTGGTCCTTGGAGGGGTGACCACTGCCTCAATCCTGCAAAATCTTCCGGCAATCACCATCAGTATGTTGAGGCAGAGCCGGTGACATCCTGGAACAGTGCGGAGGATTTTAAGTATAATCTAGGCCTAAAGATTTTAAGTATAATCTAGGTCTGGCTTAAAACCTTGAAACGGTGCATCCTCCAAAATCAGCCGCACATTTTTACACTCATGAGCTATCCAGCCCTATGTTGACGGTTCCCAAATTCGTCAATATCTTTGTTCAAGAGGTGCTAGTCAGAAGCCATTAACCTTTATATGCCATGTAGCCAGGGATCATGTCCACGGTCACAATGCTAGCAACATTAGCAATGCTGCAAACCTGGGAAGTAACAAAACGGGGATCACTCAAAGAGAAGAACGGCGTTTTGTTACAAATCTTCATATAAACCACAAAAGGAAACTGACAAGATTCATTATTATAATTTTGAAAGTTGAACAAAGAAATTGACTGGAGCGGGTTTTGAACCAGTGACCTCCGGATTACCGTTCCGGTGCTCTACCAACTGAGAACTGTCCAGCCCTATGTTGGCGGTTCCCCAGTTGTTCAAACCCGTTCCACTCAAATTTCTTTGTTCAACTTTGAAAATTAAAAGATGAAATATGCAAACACTTTAGAAAATGGAACAACTTTTACTTTGGCTGATCTTGCTTTATTTTTATTTTTTCAGTCACGACAAATGGCCGCAGTGCTTCTGCGGCGGGTCATCAGCACATATCATGACCAGGTCTGGCCCTCTTTAGGGGCGGAGTCCCAACAGTGGATTAAGGTGGAGCTTCTGAATGGAATCCAACAGGAGAACACCCCACTGGTACAGAGGAGGATTTGTGATGCGGCCTCTGAGCTGGCCAGAAATTTGGTCGGTGAGTCAAACATTTGCAACTACGGACCTTATTCTTGAGGAAACCATTTTGGTCATGTTCCCAGACTGTATTTTATGAAATTGGAACTTTTGAATGGGATGGTGCCTGACTGTTTTGCCTTCTAGCCGTAGGTCATGTCTGAAACGGGCTTCCAGAGCTACGGCTACGTCTATTGTCAGCGCGTCCCCACGTATTTTCAATAGGCGCAGACCTAGATGTAGACCTAGCCAGCTGATGCAGCCTCACTTTCCATTTCTGTTAAAATGTGGCTTAAAACATTAGGGTATGTTTAATCCCAAATTTTAAATTATTCATCAGAGTAGACTGGTATTAATTTGTAATTTATTTGGGTCATTGCTTTGATTTCTCTTCGCAAGTTCCAAAAATGAAGATTTTACCTCGCTTTCAAATCAGTATGGCCGATCCGTGAATAAAGCCCATGGAAAAAGTGAGGTTATGCAGGCTGAAAATTGGCCGAGACGTGCCGTTAAAATTGTACTCAATGGTATGCAATGTGACAAAATGTCATTTATGAATTAAAAAATGGGGAAAAAAATTCCACACCACTTCTATCCAGTTTCATAGTAGACTCTCCAAAAAAGGAAAGATGAAATCTTAACCCCGTTTTTTTATAAACAAGAATTATTGACAGATTGAGAGTAAAGTTGAAGGTTTTTTGGGTTGGTTTTTATTTATTATAGATGCAGATGGCGAGCTGCTTTGGACTGAAATTCTGGAATTCCTGTTCAGTTGTGCAACATCCGAGAATGTTGCCCTTAAAGAAAGTGCATTACACATCTTCAAGTAAGGAAACAAATATTTAAAGACGTTTTTCCACAGTACGCCAACAACTTTATGAAATGAAGAACCAGAATTGAAAATGAATTTCTCAACTGTTAGTTTTTCTATTTTATTGTCACTATTGAAATCATTTTAAAAAATGGTTTTTTGGTGTTACAAAGACAAAAACTAATTGAATTACTAACACATTACAATACTTTGAAAATTCCACATACAGTCAGGTTTGTTTTTTGTTATATAGGCCTAATTAGCAATTTGAGGTTTGACTATGGAGTGCAAATGTCCTTGTATGTCAAAATTGTCATCGGCACCACGAACTGACACTCATGTGCACGTGAGTGCCCTACACGCGCGCGTATTTACAGAACCGGGATATTTTGGGTTTCACGAACTGACGTCCTCCACAGTGCGACATTTTTAGAGCACACCCCGTACATTTTCGGTGTCACGAACTAACACTGATCTTAATTTCACCAATTAAAACACTTTTTAATTAAAATGTATAAGCACACAAGTATACAGATGGATTAACCTCGTGTGAAATCTTTCAAGCCGTTTTTCTCCGTTCTGTATTGCCGTATCATACTTGGGTGTCAGTTCGTGAAAACGAAAATCTTCCTATTTTGCGTCAGTGTCGATGTGTGCACGCACTACCGTATGTCAGTTCGTGAAACCGAAATTGTTCATTACGTGGTTTTCACTATCAGACACCCACTTGCATGTGAGTGTCAGTTCGTGATGACGAAATGAGAAGCTTAGGTGGCCCTTTACTGCCACCCTTTACTGGAACATGAAAGCGTTCTTGACGCTGCTCCCTAGTTGTTAGCATTTTGTTTTCTTTTACTCTCAGCAACCATCCGGGTATTTTTGGCAACCGGCAGGGACACTACCTTGAAGTCATCAAGCAGATGTTAGCCCAGTGCATTACAGAACAGCAGCAGCTCAGTGTAAATTCCTCATTTTTTTTTCAAATCTATTTTTCAATATTTGTTATGGTTTCAAGGGGAACAGAAATAAGACAAAGGCAGTGAAAACCACGGTTGAATTGCCGTGTAATGTGTAATTTTTTTAGTTGAATTAAAGGAAGAGTATATCATTTGGAGCTATCCAGAAAGTGACCGACAAAATTATTGTTGAAAAGCATACTTGGTTTAAAGGTAGTAATGGCACTAAACTCCCTGTGAAATTATTCTTTCTGGCATGCTGTCATTTTGAAGAAAACAATAAAAGAAGGTCATTTCCAAAGATGTGTCTAAAGACGCATTTTTGGAAATTTCCGTTAGTAGTTCATTTTAAAATTCGTCAAATCCGTGAATGAGTGCGCGCAAGCATTGACACGACGGACACGCGCACGCGGTTGCAATAATGCATCCGTTCAGTGCGTGACATCGCGTAGCTGCAATCGGCTAAATGAGAACGTGTCCTGGACGCTGATTTCCGGCGCAGTTCAAAACATGACTCAGCAAGTTTTGAATTGAAATCTAGAATACTTTCTCAGAATATACAGCATTCACTGAGCTAAAACTTCATCAGGTTAGTTGTTAAGCACCGTTCTTTATATTTGTAACACTTTTGTTGTTTAAAACGGGGAAAAATGCACAAATTACAAGTGATATACTCTACCTTTAAATCTATGTCTAAAGGAAGTCATTTTGGGATAGAAGGCCACACTTTTCAGTGCATGATAGGGCTGCAATTAGGTCATTTTCCTGGCACAGCAAGTGGAAATATTTTCTTTTGGCAGTTTAGCAGCTTTACATCAATTTAAAAGTAAAAACTTGTAAAACAAAAACTTGAAATCATAGCAACATTCTGTACACCAATTGGCGTCATAAAAAATATGGCTTTTAATTTTGCTTTTGGAAAGTTAATCCTGTCTCACTGTGCCTTGGCTTTCTCTCCAGGTACGGATACTAGCAGCGAAAGCCATCATCTCATTCATGCTTGCTCAAGGGAGCGACGCGGCAACCCAGAAGCACTTTGCCCATCTCATACCCCCAGTCATACAGGTAAGGCCCATGTACATGTATTAACCCTAACCTTGCCAGACGCAGCACAGTGCATCAGGTGTAACAGTCTGTTGGACTTTGCTGCATTCAGCCATCAACATGGTTGTGTAAACAGCCACTTCTGAGACAATGAGAGCTAGTCCCATAGAACAATGCCACAGTTGCATCCTGCTGCACAATAGTGACCACAGACTCTGAGGCAGTTTGGTCTTGAAATTTTTTACCTGATGGATCTTGTTACACTGAGCAGGGTGATCGTTTTGACAAGTGTTGCATGATGCTGCATGTAGCTGGGTTTCTAGCCAAAATAACATGAAGGATTACGGTTACTTTTTGAATTCACGTATTGGCTCCATAGATTGAACAGCAATTTGATTTCGCTGGTCAGCTGCACTGTTTATCAATTTTGCATTTGGAAATCGGTGTTGGCTAGTTTTATTTCAAATAAACAAAGACGCTGACAAAAGGGGGAACCACCAACATAGGGCTGTATAGCTCAGTTGGTAGAGCACCGGAACGGCAATCCAGAGGTCGCAGGTTCAAGCTCCGCTCCAGTCAATTTCCTTGTTCAACTTTAAAATTGCTTTAGTTCGCAGAACCCATGTATTGGCTCCATGTGTGGCCTAAACAAGGGGCTCTTTACTAATTGCCCCTGCTTAACTACCATACAGCCTCCAAAAGTACTTGAATATCAACCAAGCAATTTTCTTGATTTTCAGGCATGCGTGGAAAGTGTGAGAGTCGGTGATGACGACACATTATTGAAGAGTTTCATCGAGCTGGAGGAGTCCGTTCCCAAGCTGGTCAGACCAAACCTGGAAACAGTCGTCGTCTTGGCTCTAAATGTGAGAATTGTTATTTGACGATGGTCGGCCGACCATCGTTTGAAACTGATACAAAAATTCCACTTTTCCTGAAAATGACAGCGCACCAGGTGCCATGATTTCACAGGATGTTTGAGACTGTTACTCACTTACAGTCCAGTAAGGTGTTTCATAATAATTAGGTAGTTTTGTATTTTGATGTTTGCAAATGTTGTATATTACCTTTAAAGCTATCCTATTTTGTTTCTGTAGATTGTTGAGGACACAAACTTAACGGACAGCTGGAGACAACTTGGGCTTGAAATGATCGTCACGTTAGCTGAGACTGCCCCAGCAATGTTGAGAAAGCTACCGCAGTACATACCACACATCAGTGAGTCAAGTAGTTCATCTTGATTCCTTCAAGATTGTAAAAATTGACTTCAAATTTGAAAACGGGTGGTTATGATAATGTTAAACCATTTCATCTTTTTTTAATAAACCGCCAAGGTGGACATGCATTGTTATTCTTAACATTAATCTGGAGAGGATTAAGATTTTAAACTTTTTTTCCAGTTTCTAAGATGCTTTCGATGATGGTGGATCTGGAAGAGGACCCAGACTGGGCAATGGGTGACGACGTCGATGACGATGATGCCGACTCGAACGCCGTCGCCGGAGAGAGCGCCCTCGACCGCTTCGCCTGCGGTATCGGAGGGAAGACCATGTTGCCGCAGATCAAGACGTCGATACCTCCAATGTTGCAAAATCGTAAGAGAAGTTTGAAGACAAGTTCTAAGAAAAAGACATCACGATGGTATTATTTTATCTTGAGTTAACCCCTAACGCTTCCAGATGCAACGTGGTGCAACAGGAGGGTTTCTCCTGTTTATTTCTATTTATTTTGGGTTTTTCACAAGATGGCTTAACCGACCCGAACCAGACTGACCCGAAAAGCGCAAACCCAAAACCGAATCTGACCCGACCAGACTGAAATGATGGAAAAACTGACCCAACTCGAAATCGGTTTTGGGTCGGGTCAGTTTTCAGTTTTGTGTCGGGTTTGCACAACATAATGTTGCATGTGTTGCATCGGGCAGGGTTTCTAGACAAAATATCTTGGAGAGTTTGGGTAAATATTTTGCATTTCACAGGAATAATTGTAGAAAGTTGATTTTGTTTTTGCCTAGCTGACTGGCGTTACCGGCACGCTGCACTGATGGCCATCTCAGCGGTTGGTGAGGGATGTCACAAACAGATGGAAGCCATGTTGGGACAGATTGTAGAGTCTGTCCTTCCTTTCCTTGGAGATCAGGTAAGTTTGTTAACCGTAATTCCCTCAACACTTTTGCTCAGAACCTTTCTAAATTCCTCTAAAATCCTCACCCATGGCCAAGTTCGCGCAAGGACTATAGTTGACCAATGGTTAACTAACGTTTGCCCGAACTCTGTCTAGTCGACGGTGGTTGACTACGCTAGTTGACTATTTGGAACCAGCCTACTGGGCCTGGTTGCATCGCTGGTAACCAATAGCCGCGCGCATTCATCACGTACAGCAGAGAGCCAGGAGAGCCAGGAAGTTTTGCGACGACATTTTGACCAGCGTTTGACTAGAGACGTTCGCACATTGCTATCAGTGCGCAGGCGTAAGGTACGTCACAAATCAACCACTGGTCCACTAATGGTCCTTGCCCGAACTTGGCCCATGCTGAAACCAAATGGCAGTCTTGTAATTTCAAGGGATGTCAAGCTCAGTAATACTGGCTGGAATCTACCTTCCTCAATCTTACAAAATCCTCCAATGTGTACGAAGCCAATGGCACGCTATTTGTACCTACCAAGTTTCAAGGAGCATCAAGCCCCATGAAAAGTAATAGTGGCTGGGCTCTACCTTCCTCAATCCTACAAAATCCTCCACTGTGTATGAAACCAATGGCACACTCTTTGTACCTACCAAGTTTCATTTGGTGTCAAGCCCCATGTTATGTAATACTGGCTGGACTCTACCTTCCTCAATCCTACAAAATCCTGCACTGTGTATGAAACCAATGGCACACTCTTTGTTCGTAGCAAGTTTCAAGTGGTATCAAGCCCTTTGTAAAGTAACAGTGGCTGGGCTCTACCTTCCTCAATCCTACAAAATCCTCCACTGTGTATGAAACCAAAGGCATGCTCTTTGTGCCCACCAAGTTCAAGCCCATGTAATGTAATACTAGTTGGACTCTACCTTCCTCAATCCTACAAATTCTTCAAACTTCTAGAGATCGGGAAGGTCACAGTTTTTTCCTTTTAGTGCTCATTCCCAACTTCTTATGACATTCTTTTAAAGAAACAAACTAAACGGGTTAAGATATCTTTAGTTTAAAGCAAAATATCTTGGGTTCGAGCTCCCCAAAAGTAGTATTTCCCGAAAGGCATTGAAAACGACAGCACACCAGGTGTCATTATTTAACAGGATGCTTGAGACTAATATTCACACACAGTCAAGTACAGTTGAGTCTCGTTATAACAAACTCGTTCAGACCTAGCCAAATTGTTTGTTATATCAGAATTTTGTATTAAGAGGAACATCAGTCCCATTCATTGTGCACATAAATGCACAGTCGGAACCAAGGCTTTATGTTTGTTATAACCAGAATTTTGTACTAACGAGAGTCGACTGTACATTATTTTCATAATAATTTGGTAGTTTTGTTTTTTGATGTTGCAAATGTTGTATATTATTCCCTTTAAACTTGAAACAAAAAATGTTCTTCTCTTTCCGCTGCAGCACCCAAGGGTCCGTTACGCTACTTGCAACGCCCTCGGCCAGATGGCGACAGACTTTGCGCAGACCTTTGAGCGTAAGTTTCACCAGAAGGTCATTCCGGGTCTCTTGGCTGTCCTGGACGATCATGACCATCCCAGGGTGCAGGCTCACGCCGGCGCTGCGTTGGTCAACTTCAGCGAGGCCTGCCCCAAGAACCTGCTCCTGCCTTACCTCGACGCCATCTTGACCAAGCTGGAGGTCGTTCTGAATCAGAAAATAAAAGAGGTAACGTATAGAATAACTCCCATTTTTAAGTCTGGTTTAAAGAGTCGGACCGAACCAACAAATAATGGGAGTGACTCAAATCCAAAGAGAATTTGGCTTCCGAAAGCCCAATCTTACGTACTAATTTGCAAGGGAGCACAACGGACAATCTTTCGCATGAAGTTACTTCGGTCTAATTGTTTCAAACATTAAACACAATTTTAATGTTGGGAATAATTTAATCTGGCCAAGTCAATGGTATGTGCCTCGCTCGCGTAGTGCTAAAAATATGGAGATTGGCGGTGTTGTACCCGCGGTTTAAAACTGCCCACATGACAGGCTCTCAACCAATAGGAATGGGTAAACTGTCTCAGGTATTTATGAATACAATATAAAGCAAAGTGCTAATTGATTAAAGTAAATTGTGACATCAAGCTTGGTATCAAGTTATTACAGCTGGGCATCGCGGTCTTGAATTCTTCAAATCATTCTTACAAAAACAGGGCTGAGTTTTTGATGTTCTATTTTTTTATTTATTTATTTTTTTTTTCAGTTGGTTCCCACCGGCGCCAAACTGGTCCTGGAACAGATGGTAACCACGCTGGCTGCAGTGGCAGACACCTCGGAAGAGACGTTCCTGCAATACTACGACCGTTTCATGCCCATCTTGAAATACATTGTCCAGAATGCAAACATGAAAGAGTTGAGGTTACTGAGAGGGAAGACAATCGAGTGCATCAGTCTCATCGGGCTGGCTGTAGGAAGGGAAAAGGTTTGTCCCAAAAAAAAAAGTTTTTCTCTCATCAGATGATCAGTTATGACGATTCATCAAAACACTTGACTGTTAATTTCCTTGCCCTGCCCCGCCCCCCCCCCCCCAAATTATCTTGCCCTGCCCCCTTAATGCTGGTTTTTCTGCACCACAGTTTTCACTGGACGGCAACGACGTCATGCAGCTGCTGCTCAAGTCGCAAGTCAACCCCAACGAGCAAGAGGACGACGATCCGCAGGTGTCGTACATGATCTCGGCCTGGGGGCGCATGTGTAAGATCCTGGGGCGTGATTTCCAGCAATACCTGCCCCTCGTTATGGGACCTACCATCAAGACGGCGTCGCTCAAGCCCGAGGTTGCCTTACTGGACGGTAAGTTTTAGGGAGTCCGGAAGGTTGGTTAAAAACTACTGGCTTTACCTGTAAGAAAAATCAGTGTTGTGTTTTTAGTATGATTATTATTTTCCGTATGGCAAATATTTTTCAAGAGCAGGCATCGTTTTTTTTTAGCATGGGGATTTCTCCCCATAGTCAGCTAGGGGTAGCACCGCTCAGGTAATCCAGATGAGACCGCTGGTTGTAACTACTCATTGTTATATCGATAATTCGTCGTGTCCGTGCAACAAGGTCATATTTCCTAAAATGGGCCGTACGTGAAACGCGAGTTTCAGAATGTTCAAAGGTCGTATCTCACTTCTAATAACCCGGATGTACACACAAAGTCAATGGATGTCAAGATACGACCTTGTTGCACGGAGCGTATTCGCGTGAGATACGACTTTGTTGCAGAATGGAGTTATGAATGCAAAACGCGAGTTTTAGAATGTCAAAAGGTCGTATATCGCTTAAAATAACCGGGATGTACACGCAAAGTCAATGGACGTCGAGATACGACCTTGTTGCACGGAGCGTATTCGCGTGAGATACGACTTTGTTGGAGAATGGAGTTACGACCTTGTTGCACTGACGCGACAAATTGTGATATGTGAATGCCGTGATAAGGAGTAACAATATGGAAACTAGGGGTGTGCATCAGAACCGGGTATTCGAGTAACCAACCGCTGATGTCAGGAACCAGTTCCAGATTATGGGATCGGGTACCCGTAACCAACTTTATAAAGCACTAAGCAACTTCTCAGACAACAAAAAATAGTGAATGCCATTTGTGGGTTATTTTCAAAATGAAGACCAGGCGACATGGAAAACCAAACCACTTTCACGTTAATGTGCATTTTAATGCGCAACAGATGCTCTTGAAACTTACAGTTTACACCATAAAGCTTTAAAACCCTTCAGACAACTTCCAGGATTTGAAAAGTTTGGGGTTGGTTTCTTTTACGGGTACCCGGATACCCGGTTTTTACTTCAATAGGGTACCCGGTTCCTGTACTACCCGTAAATGCTCACCACTAATCGAAACCTGTGTCTCTAACTTTGGGACAAAAGAGGGGCTGTTTCAGGCAACAGAAGTCACAATTTGTGGATAACGCATCTATTAATTGCAAACAAACCTGTCTCCAATTTGATAGTCGGAGAACAATTCTTGAGGCATTTTCAGTTAGCCATGGAAATCCCCAGTTCTTCCTCATCTGCGTGCCTCAAGTTCGTAAAATTTTCTCTTCCCAATTTTGCTGTAGCCGAAGAGGCCAAAACGATGACAGAAGACGAAGGTTGGGAGTTTGTAAACCTGGGCGAGCAGCAGAGCTTCGGCATCAAGACGGCAGGCTTGGAAGACAAGAGCACAGCTTGCCAGATGCTGGTCTGCTACGCCAAGGAACTCAAGGAGGCCTTCGCTGAGTACACAGAGGAGGTCGCTAAGATCATGGTTCCTCTGCTCAAGTTCTATTTCCATGACAATATCCTTTTCTCTGCTCCGATCTCTGGCCCTAACTTAGGAACCGACCAGGAAACCTTCCACAAAATCTGGCATTTTAAAAATAATAACAACTGGATTTATAGAGCGCCAAATTGCCAAAGGATATAAGGCGCTATAACAAAGAAATTGACAATCGACAAGGGAAAGAAGACCAAAAAAAAGAGGACAGCCAGCTATGTTTTGGGGAAAAGATGGGTCTTGAGAGCCTTTTTGAAAGACAGAACACTGCCAGAATTTCTGATGGGGGTGGGTAGGCTATTCCATAACTAGGGGGCAGCAATGGAGAAGGCCCTGTCACCAGCCTGTTTACGTGACTTGGGGATGACAAGGGACTCTCCAGCAGAAGAACGAAGGGAGTAAGGACGGTTCTGCATTGTGAGAAGAGAGGAGAGATAATCTGGTGCAGAGTGTTTCAGTGATTTGTAAGTAACCAATAGTGACTTCTATCTTTTCCCCAAAGTAATTTCTGATGTCATTATTACATCAAAATCCAGCAAAACATGTTTTAACTTTAGTCTCTATCCCGCACACAGAAGCTCCCTTAAGCAGTCACAAAGCACAGTTTCCTGTCACTGCACGGTGACAATAAACCTCACTCAAACCAGGTTTCAAGACGATGAAATCATTTGTAGTGCAGTTAGTTTTCCTTGACTCGCAGTCCACTGGTCAGATATACAGCTGCAGAGTCAATGCCGCTGCTTTTGGAGTGCGTCAAGGACAAAGGTGACGAGTACATCAGCCGCATGTGGAGTTACATGTACCCAGAGATGATTAAAGCCGTACAGACGGAACCAGAGGTGGAAATACTACAGGAGCACATGGACTCTCTCTCAAAGGTTCGATCTTAAAATTCATTGGATTTTTTTTTTCGAGGAACACACGATCCGTATTTTTTTTAATACCCTTTGGTCATTGGGCATTATGGAATCTTCTTGAATTCTCAAAAGTCCTCCACTTAGCCGGAAAAGGATGTAAAGTAATACTGGCTTTCTGAATCCCACAAATGTCCTTGTGGATTTTCTAGGATGTAGGAAGGTTGGGGTAAAGTTGACCTGAGGAGGGTTGGGGTAAAGTTAACTTTAGGATGGTTGGGGTGAAGTTGACCTTAGGAGGGTTTAGGTAAAGTTAACCGTCGGAGGGTTTGGGTAAGGTTAACTTTAGGAGGGTTTGGGTAAAGTTGACCTTAAGCTATTGGAGTAAAGTTAACATTAGGAGGGTTGGGGTAAAGTTAACCTTGGGAGGGTTGGGTAAAGTTAACCTTAGGAGGTTTGGGGTAGACAACTCGAACAGGGATGATAACCATGAGAAAATGAGGCTAGTAAATTAAAAGAAGCTACCAGTATGTTCACAAGTTTATGTTTTCCTCATTTAATGATTTTTGTCACCAACAGGCATCCTGTTACAAAACATTGACTGACCAGTTTTTAGAGAATCTAGCATTAAATCCAAGTGTCCCCTTTTTTATTTCTTTGTTTTCAGTGCATAGAGTTTCTGGGTTCGGGTTGCCTTACCAACGAGCAGATGCAGGAGATCTCCAAGACGTTGATTGACATGCTTGAGGAGCATTTCAAGAGACAGGCAGACAGGCAAGGTGAGTTTGTAAACCAAGACGACCCTGGATAGGATGTACCCAAACGAGCATCAGTGAGTTTTGATCTTGATGTATTATTTTAATTGTCCGATATTAGCTTCAGTGCTTACGTTTCCAGTTTCAGGTTTGAATGGTATTCCACATTATTATAGAGCCAGTACTAGATACAAATTGGTGCCTTGAAGATAGAGTACATCATTAGCAGCTATCCAAAAAGTGACTGGCAAAATTATTGTTCAAAAACTTATTTGGTTTATAAGATAGTAATGGCACTAAGAAGTCCCTGTGAAATTATTCTTTCTGGCATGTTGTCATTTTGAAAAAAACAATTAAAGAATGTCATTTCCAATGATGCCTCTAAAGATACATTTTTGGAAATTTCCGTTTATCCGTTTTTAATTCGGCGAAATTTGCAACCTTTTCTTTAAATAATTTCTTGATTGTGAATTTCTCTTTTCCTCTTTTTCAGAAAAGAGGAAAGACGAAGATTATGACGATGACGTCGAAGAGAATCTTCAGGATGAGGTTTGTTTTTTCTTTTTTGACTTCTTGTGAGTTAGGGAAGTGCAAATCGTTTCTTCCAACAAACGATGCACGGCTACAACACGGCATTATGTTTTGACTGGTTCTCTTTCATTTTTGTCATCATATTACAGCATCAGGACGATGCCTATCTTCTTAGTAAGGTCTCAGACGTCGTGCATGCCATCTTGGGCACACAGCGGGAGGCAGGGATACCGTTCTTTGAGCAGCTTCTCCCCCACGTTGTCAGACTGTTGGTGAGACTCAAATTTTTCATTTCGTATCAGTGTCGTATCACTCGGAATATTTATAAACGTTGATTACTTGAAATTTATTTCAATTACATATTGAATGTCGACTGGTTTCCTTCTTTCCAACAGTCAATAGAGCGGCCATGGACGGACAGGCAATGGGGAATTTGCGTATTTGACGATGTCATAGAGTACCTTGGGCCAGTAAGTATAGATTCAATCATTTTTTTTGTGATAACTTTAACCCTTTCATGCCCACATTGTTTATTGACTAAGCTCTCCCCAGGACCAAATTGTTTGCTCAGTCATGCGGAAATCACTAGAGCGTGAACAAAATTACCACGAGTCAAAAACTCACTTTTTTCAACCCAGATTTTCATTGCCAAGGAGTTATTAAAATCATAAATGTTGTGTGTAAAGTTTGTTCCTTGAACCTTACTCTTTTATGTGATGCAAAAATGAAGTCCATACGTGCAAATCGAAGAAAGTTATGCCTTTTTGTTCGTCTGGTCCCAATTATCAAACTGCAAGCCATTTCACCACATGACCAAATGGCACTCCATACCTCAAATTGTGCGTGGATACTTCTGAAGCACTTTTCTCATTTTTTTTGTATGGTAACACTATGAATAAACCACACCAATAGAAAGATCCGAAAACACTCTTTTAGCTGGTATATAGTTGATGTATGGGCGGCTAAACATATCAACATGCCGCCTTTCTGAAAAGTAGTGAATATATCTGTGTTGAGGGTGTTTTGTGTGTGGTTTCCTGGTCGACTAAAGTCGCCCATGGGAACCAGCAGGGGGCCACTTCTAGTCGACAAAAGTCGCCCATGGTAAGGAAAGGGTTAACAATTCAAACACTATAACTGTCAAAATATGTCTGAATTATCTCAATCTTCAATTTTCTGTTTTGTGCCATTTTGCAACTAAAATGTAATAAAAGTGTCAAAAAGCTGGTGAAGATTTAATTTGGTTTTCCCGCTTTTTTTTTTTTTTTGACTCAGAATTCCTTCAAATATCAGGAGTACTTCGTAAATCCCCTGCTGCAATTCATCTGTGACCGAAGCGCCGAGGTCAGACAGGCGGCAGCCTACGGCTGTGGGGTTATGGGAAAGTTCGGTGGACCGCAGTACGCACAGGCATGCTTAGGTAAGGTTGAAAGAAGTAGGTTATTAAATAAGTTCACATGTTGCTAAACTTCAATAATCACATTTTTTTTACAATCTGTAATATTTAGGGGGAGTGTGGCCTAGTGGTTCGGGTTCGTGACTCGTGATCAGAGGGTCAGGGGTTCAGATTCACTGCAGGTCATATGTTGCAACATCCAGGGGGAATAGAAATAGTCTCGGTCGTTTCATGCTACTGAAACTGAAGATAAACGCCAGCCAGATGGGCCACATTGGCTCATGACAGACTTTACAACTAATATTTAGATTTAAGTAAAGATGCAAAATTTCGTCAACTACGTGATACTTGTACTATTTACATTCAGAAAATACTGTGATGACAGACTAGTGCTGGGCGAGTAACCCGAGTACTCGAGTACACACGAGTAGTGTTTGCTACTCGTTGCTCCACTCGTGGTTTTTCATCTACTTGAGTACTCGTCCTGGGGCAAGTAGAGTAGGTAATCGGGAGTAGCAATTGGATTTTACAAGTGCTGACTCAGAAAAAAGTAACCACTTTGCGGTTTCTGCGCCAACTTGTCTTTTGTCTTAATACATCCCCAGCAATAAAGGAATCACTACCTCCATCTGTTTCCTTGGGATTCCACTAGCTCTCTCAACAAATAAATTTTCAAGTAAACTGAGCCAAAGGTTTGCACCTCGTAAGGATATCTCAGTGCTGAAGAGTGTGGTGTGTCTTCTATGCTGTTTATTAGTAATGTTTTAGTAATGTTTATGCCATATTTTCTGTATTTATTAGAATTTAGTGAACTAATCGCAAGTACTCGACTACTCGCAAGTAATTTCTCTGTTAGTATTCGAGTAGGAAAATCCACTACTTGCCCAGGTCTGATTACAGCTTCCTTATTCACTCTACAATATGGCTGATTTGGCTCTCTTTTTTTTTTCATTTGGTAAACAGAGGCAGTTCCGCGGCTCTCGGCAGTGATCGCAGACCCGCAGTCCAAATCCAGGGACAACCTCAACGCGACGGAGAATGCAATCGCTGCCGTTACTAAGATCCTGCAGCACAACAACAGCAAGCTGAACCTGGAAGAGCTGCTGCCCGTCTGGTTGTCGTGGCTACCGGTAACCGAGGACAAGGAGGAGGCGGTCCATGTTTACAGTTTCCTGTGTGATCTCATTGAATCGTGAGTAGAAATTTTTTTAAGAGACAGATCTGTCGTTTTTTTCCATTAAAAACAAAATGTAAAGATTGACACTGGTCAAAGTTGCTAGTGGACGACCTGAATTGGAATTCAGACCAAAAGTTAGAATTCGATCTTGTTTTTTCATTCAGAAACAATCCCATCATCCTCGGAGTCAACAACAGCAATCTGCCGAATCTTTTGGCCATCCTGGCTGAATCGTTCTCCAGCGATGCTCTGTGCGAAGACGAAAACGTTCTGCACCGCTGCATACACATCGTTAAGCAAATCCAGGTAGGGATGACTTTAAACCTTTTAAGGGTTTTTGTCTGTCGTCGTTGGGCTTCAGTTTTGCAATTTTGTCTCTGAATTTTAAATTATCTGTGGCGTGAGATTCACTCAGAAGCCTTTAATGACAAAACCCATAGGATTTTATAGGATTTGTTGTTCCGGAAACAAAAGATGGACCCATATTAGAACTAATAACATTTTTGAAATAAACCAACTAATTCTTTTTTTTTGTTTACACCAGAGCAACAACGAACTCTGGGCAGCCTGTGCCACACAACTGGCGACGGAACACCAGCAAGCTTTGTTCGACGCCCTCAAGATGCTGGAACTCTGAACCTTGACCCCAACGTACGGTTACCATGTTCCATTGGTGTGGTATGGCATCGCTCATTTGGAGCTGGGAAATTTTGAAATGGTGGAACCTGCACGTGGGTTTTTTTGGCACTGGGAGATAAGTAAGAGAATTTGCCAGGTTTTTTTTTTGGTGGTTGACGTGGATGGCAGCAATTTTAGTAGCCAGGTTGGTGGAAAGAAAGGAAGATCGCCGATTTTGTACTTCGGGTAAGAGTTGGAAAAAACCTAATTCTTCGGTGATTACTGGAGACATATGCACTGCCTGTTTTTGAATATCGTTTGTCATTTTCAACGTGGTGTTTGGCATTGAGGTTGTAACACGTGAATCAAAAATTGGCAGCCACCTTTTTTCTTCTTCGTAATGCAGGGTTGTCCAGTTTGGGTGTGCAGGTTGCCATTTCTATGTTGAAATTTTAAGATACAGGTTGCCAAGGAAATGCCTACTGACCTTATGGGTATGATGTCATGAGTCCTATAGAGAGATGCACAACATGACCTCACTGAGGTCAAATCTCGCATAAGTTTACTGTGGGAAAACGGCTGTGCATACCCTCTATTGAACACGTTGGCTGCTAAATTGTAAACATTTATTGTAAATTTACTAGACACCAATACAAGTTGTTGGTTATCAGTTGGGAGATTTGGGATGCCAACTGCAGCATGTTAGTTGCCAAATTTCAACTCGCGTGGTTGCAAATTTTACTTGTTAAATCGTAACTTGGATACTGTAATATCATTGGTCGAGAATGGCCACGTGTCCAGTCTGTAGAAATGCATATACATTGGTTAACCTCATATGCGTTGCGCGCGCGCGTGTAGAACCTGCACGTGCTCGCGACTGAGAGCTGCTATCGCTCAGTCTCATGCGTGCATATCCTGCAGGAAAGCATGCAGCGATTTAATTTATTTCTTGCATAGTGAGCTACGACCATTTATCGTTTTGACTTTAGGCACGATATAACAAATTCGCCTCAGGGGGGCTATTAGCCCCCCTCGGGTGTTAAAAACAGCATATCCCACATCACAGCAGTCAACCATTGTTAAAGGATGGATTCCAAAATCCACGTTGCAGATTTCTTTTTTTGCTCAATACATGTACCTCTAGCCAACCTTCAAATGCCTTTACATCAGAATTTTGCTTCATATCATTTAGGCACGCTTTAGAGATAAAAACGTTTAAAAATCTGGAAGGAATTTTACAAAATGCTATTTTTTATTCAGTCAGTCAGTAAATGTGTATTGATTATATGAAGCGGTTGTTTGCAATTTTTCATAAACGGAACTTTCTCCTGCTGCTTCTTTAAAACTGAGAAAAGCTGGATTGTTGTTTATCATGTACGAATCGAAGGAACTATATTTACATTGTAAAAAGAAAGTAGTAGACATGAATTGCAATGGATGCATTTCTCATAAAGTACCATTGATTTTCGTGTGAAACTTGTAACATATTTCTCGTCTTTCTTTGGGCGTTTCATAATCAATTGTAAGATAATTGTTCAGAGAAAAAAACAGTTCAGAGATGTGATTATTTTTCCATGGGTGGAGTCGAGTTTGGTCGACAGTCCTTGTTTTTTCTGATCTTTACGTTGAGCTTTAACAAAATGTGATAATTTTCTTTGTGAAATAGAAATCGCAACACAATCGAGGAATGTTTATAAAATGTGAAACATTGTGAACTTGGTTTTCCCAGACAATATTGCCATTTCGAATTCCATTTTTTTTTAAGTGCAAACAAAATTGTGTAATTTTGGGTCATAATGCAAAAATGTATTTTCAAGATGGAAAAAGTGTAAGATGTTATTGTACATGGTGCCACGCCCACACCTGCAACATTGTAATAATCTTGAAACCACAGAGAAGGTTGGAATACATGGATGTGTTTCTTGTGTTGTTTGGGGCATAGCAATATTTGGACTGGTAGGTTGGAACCCAACAAGGAGAAGTTGCTTTTAAAAGTCAAATCTCAGATCGCATGATTGTTTTGAGCAGGGTTTGTTATCTTGCTCCTACTCCTACACCAAGGGCGGATCGGGGGGGGGGGGGCGGGGGCCATGCCCCCCCCCCCCCCCCCCCAAAAAAAATGCGTACACCACCATCTCTTCCTCAAAAAGAATTGGTTGTAGTGTTCAGAAATTGCCTCAGATCGCATTACAGAGCATCTAGAATCAAAAAAAAAATTCGGGGCCCCGAACCCCTCGCCGTAATATTTTGGACCCACTTTTTAGGGGACCAAAATATTTTGTTTGGCCCCCAAAAAATTGTGTTCTGGATCCGCCCTTGTCCTAAACATACTGTAAGCCCCAGAGAGTTGCTTGGATTATGCTTTTGCGTTAAGCATGTACCAACCAAGCAAGTTCTGATTTCATTTTAATTTAAAATTAACCCTTTTTTTTAATGAAAATGGTTATCATTTATTACTATTTACAAACTCCAAATTGAACATTATGGATTGAAGTTAAGTTATTGGGTCACGTATAGTTATAGAGCCTTGAGTTTCTTCTCGAGTTCCAAGTTTGGAATTTGTCAAGGGCGAAAACTTACTCTAAACTTTAAAATGTACAAAAAAAGGAAAAATGCATTTTCGTGTTTGCCTGTACCATATTAGATGACCCTTTCTTTAAAAAAAAAATAAGTGCGTGAAATCTTTTACATTTCTCCTCGAGGAGTATTGTAGACCTAATACTTGTGGGGGGTTTCTTAGAATATAAGAATTACCTAAAATTATGAATGAAATTTAACACATTTAACACAGTATAAATAAATGTAAAGTGGTTTCTTTTGGAACAAAAAATACCTTGCGTTGTCGAGTCTTTTAGTAACTAATAATACATTTAATTTATTTGGGTATTTTCTTCTTTTTTGTCCCATTCTGGAATTTATTTGGGTAATCTTTCAAAAGTACAAAATATTGCAAATTTGGTTTAACAGCAAACGCGTCTTTTGCAAGTCCAAGGATATGGCGCCCTCAATAGATTTCTGATAAATATTCATATAAAAGTTTTCAAGTGATTTGCATATTAATGTCTGCACTCTTATATGGCCTTATTCACGAGTTGACCACTTTTGTCGAGTTCCCTGAATGTATTTCATTAATTGTTAACTGTTGAATGGGATGGCGCCAGACTATTTATGCAGGCACAATGCAGCCTTATTTTACTGTCATTTTTGTTTGTTAAATATGGCTTTTAACATAGAGAATGTTTAATTACAAATTTTAAATTATTCATTGAAGCAGACTGGAATTTATTATAAATTAATTTGCATTCATTTTTCTTCGCAAGTTCCAAAAATTAAAATTTTACCTAGCTCTCAATTCAATATGGCCGACTCGTGTATAAGGCCCATTCAGACCCATTCTGGAATTTTAATTCATTTGCCCAATCCGTCAAAAAGTACAAAATACAAAATGTATTTTAAAAATGTGTTTTTGCAAGTCCAATGATATGGCGCCCTTAATAAATATTATACGAAATAAAAGTTCGCAAGTGATTTGCATATTTACGCCATGTTGATGTCTGCACACTTCCTTAGCCCATTCTGGAATTTAAATTTTATTAGCCTAATCTTCAAAAAGTACAAAATATTGCACAATGTTTTTAAATCGCAAACACGTCCTTTGTAAGTCAAATGATATGGCGCCCTCAATAATTATCCGATGAATATTCATATAAAAGTTCGCAAGTAATTTGCATAACGCCATGTTGTCTACTGCATTTTCGAGCTCTAGCACTAGCAGTAGCAGAATTAATTAGGAATGACATTTTGGACGTATTTTGGGCAGTTGATATTCCAAAAAGTGTCATACTGTTTCATTTCCGATACCAAGTGAATTATCGTCAGTTTATGAGATTGACATTGCGAATTTGAAACGTGGTTTAGCGTCGTGACACATACATACATGACATAGGTGAGTGATCTGATGGCCGTCTGAATTCAAATGCGTGTGAAACGACAAAACTCATGAAACTAGACATGGGCTCCCCTATGGGGCGCACTTTGACGTTTCCCCCGACTGTCCTCATGCAGTGTTGCCAAACCTCTTTGTTGACAAACTTCAAATTCTTTCAGTTACATACTGGTACTTTTACCTTAGTAATGCTTGCTGTTGAACCTTTGTGAACAGTTTCAGTGCAGTCATTCAGTCCAAAATTCAAAAACGGCGGCGTCCGGAAATTGGGCACAAAATCGGCTGTTACGTAGGGCACTTGAGCAAATCTCGGAAAATCTTAAGTTAACATTAAAGAATTTGCTTATAGGTGACAAATTTTGATAAACCATTATTATCTCCACTCACATACCCAACTACAAATTTGTCACAAAATTATTTTCCTAATTTTTTGGGCGCATTTTAAAGGGTTCATTGTGTACTATAGGCCTACTTCCATGACTTCAAAATAAACCACGAACTTTGTAGTTTGTATGTCATGTATGTATTGTAACGGGTTGGTAATCTCAAGATTTATGAACAGGAATGTGTGGAGCTTGATGAAATTCCACTTATTTTTTTTGTTAGTTTTGTTTTTGACATTTATTGGAAGCTCACTTGGCTAGGAACAAGCCATGAGCTTTCTTTTAGCGCAGGAATCGTCTGTTATTTTTCTAGTAGGCCTAGGAATGTGGTTTGCATGCAATGCATGAATATAGAACGACAACCACTGGCAACAGAGGGCGCCGTTTTAATTGCCAATAATAATAATACGGAAATGGAATTCGGTGCAGATAAATCAAGGGAGCCATGTGCTCTAGTGCTAGCATGTGTTAGTCCGTGACCAGATTATTTCGAGAAATCCTTAATTTTCAAAGCCATTAATACAGTTTGTATAAATGCATTATGCCTTTTGTTATTTTAAGTTAATGCCTATAGTTAACACAGCTATGCTGTTATAATTTGAACTGCAAACTGTATTTATTTTCTTTTAGCATAATATGCACAGAAGTCAAGCCAACCACAAGTTACGTCACGCATGAGTGATTATTACGTGAGGCAGTACTAAAAGCTCATTATACAAATTGTATTGATGTGCTGAATATATTTACATACAGGTAGTACTACTTATTTACGCATAAATCCTTAGGCATGCTTTGACTGCTCGAGCATCTGCCACGATATTGTTCACATTGTGTATGTATTTATTCCAACTATTCTAGACACAACGCGCCCAATACAAGTATGGATCCACTTTCACTAAGATTTACCCTATGCCTTCTCAGTTAGGCACTTGGTCAGTAGGCAGCTATCGAGAACAAGGATCTGTACGCATCGATTTTGAGTAAGCATAATCGTCTTCTTTTGTGATGGAGAAATAGGTCTATGCATTATAACACGCCAATACCAGAAGCGCAGGGAAATAGGCCTAGTGTGCCATGCCAGCATCTTTATCGTGTAAACCTATCATATTGCTGTAGGGGTACATGAGTTTCATGGATTTTTGTCACGTCAGAGCCACTGCACTGCCTGAAAACTACTACAAGCTCACGCGGAACTGGTTCTAAGGAATCGATGTTCTCTGCATGTGTTCGGATATACTTTCACTTGGTAAGTGTTCATGTATGTTTTCTCATCACACTGTGCTTTTGAATCATGTGGAGCAAATGTACGTCGTACGATGCTAGTACTTTGGTGGCCGACCATGTACAAAGTCTATATAGAGCGGTGATTTTCAAAAGTACATTTTTTAACTAGAAAGATTCTCAGTCTGAAATTCGTGATTTGTTTTTCTAATTTTGCCTAATGGTTTTTAGTGACCAACCACCATTGAGGTTATAATTATGGTGAACAAAGTGGTGTCTCTAACGCTAAAGGAAAAGCAAATGTCGGAAAGTTAATTTGCGACTCTTATTTTTGGTAGTATTATCTTCTGGAAGTTGAATAGAAAATAAGCTCACCATGGGGGTGAAAATGGGACAAGGGAGGAATAAACGACTCCAAACAATCAGTAAGGCGGTTGGAATTTTAACAATCATCGGTATGGCCAGAAAAATTGTGGCGAGCGTCAAACGATTGAGAAGCGAAATTGTCTCGTCTCTTACGCAATAATCCAATCTTATGGTGGCTCTCGCAACCACTTGCAAAAAAAAACATTAACCAAACCCATTATAATGGCAAGAAAGGCCGATGACAAAAGTAGCGGCTTAACTCACGAGGCCTACTTACGTCCAACAATAAAATTGCAGGCGCCACAATAAAGGGAAGTTTGAATTGGATTCTATTTGGCGGACCACCAAGTTGCATAGATAGTAAGATTACACGCATCCGGACTTACAACAAACAGGTTTACTCCTAACCTTTAACCCAGTACAATTGCAGGTGCACAAGCTGTATTATTTTTCCTTATGAGATGTTTATGTTGACTTGAAATTAATTTTATTGCAGCAGCTGATGAAAAGTACTGCAATTCTGGGTCGTTATGTCGAGATTAGTCTATTTTTTTAAGGAACGATGTAAGGTGTTCAGACTGAGACCTGGAGTGCAGAAAAACATGCAAATCGAAACCTGGCCAACTGTACTCACTCTTTAGCTGACAAAATTCTCCAAAATGTTCATGAGGCAAAGACAAGGTCCTCAGTATTTCACCAGCCAAGTTTGAGGTCTCAATTCAATTTTTTTTAAAGGAGGCTTTTCTTCAATATTTTTGCACTGTGAGAGTGAAGCCAAGTGATTTCAGTTTGAAGCCTAAGGCTATAGTCTGCATGGTACTGTCCACGTTTTTGGAAAAAAATAACCCTTCACAGTAGTCTGGTGGCATGACTATGTGTAAAAATAGAGAATGTGTAGAGATAGAGACTATATAGGTACCAGATGTTCCTTTCGTTATTGATTGACTAAAGGTGTGTTGGATGGTTGTTTGATGTGCCAGTCTATTTCTTGTGTTGCATGTTTTCAATACCGTAAGCTTTGGGACTCTCATAGTATTGAGAGTCCCAAAATTGTTGGGAGTGTTATTTCCTTAGTGTTTTGATGAGTTTTTTTCTTTAGTGTTTTGATGAGTTTCATCAACATCATTGCATTCACTCCTTTTCAACATCTTCAAGGTTTTATCTGTTAAACTACAGACCTCCATGGCTGAAGAATGTTGAAATCGATCGATGCTGTTGAAAAATATAGTAAAATAATGCAGCGGATGCAATATAATCTGTTTAAAAAATAAAATTATCATTACAAAAGCTTATCTTTAAAACCCTAACTCCCTCGGCATTTTTGCGAGGATGTAGCCTCAATCCCTATCCTGCAAAATCCTCCAATTGGTCTCATATAAATAATAGCCTATAGCCTCAATCCTGCAAATTCCTCCATTATTTCTTGAATATGGTCCGTGGAGGGTTGACCACTGCCTGAATCCTGCAAAATCCTGCGGCAGTGACTTAATATGTTTAGGCTTGGCCAGTGACATCCTGGAGCAGTTATATTTATGCATAGCTGAGCAAAAAACAACACAATTTCCGGCCCAAGACCTTGGCAAAGTGCATCCTACGAAATCAGTAACGCACTTTTGCCATGTAACCTCAATCCTCCCAATTCTTCCACTTTGGCAAAGAGGATTTTGAACGATTCAGGGCGATATTTAGCTTAATAATTTTACAAAATAATCACAATCTTTGACTACCAACATGCGTTAGTATACCAGCACATTCGAGTAAGCATTGCATGTAGTGTTCAAAAACAACACTTGTCAAATCATCTTTACCCAGAAAAAAACAACGCAGCTATGAAATGTATACTAGTAAAAAAAAAAAAATACTGTACTTGAAAGAAAAATCTCTTATTTTTGCCTGCATCAGACGCAGGCATTAAAACAGCACTATGTGTACTCTGGTACATGTAGTATTCCGCATGGTACCATGCTTATGAGGAGGCACGAGTTTTTTATTGACCGTTAAAAGACAAATTTACATTTAAAAAAAGCAATATGATGACTAACTTTCAAGGATAGGGAAAAGTGCGATTCGGGTGGTACCCGCACAAAACATCTGTTTAGCGGAGAAAATATATATTTCAATAATTTTGATGGTTACTTTTGAAAACAAAAGATCCTCTGTTAAAAATCCTTATTAATTAAATTTAAAAAAAAAACACACCCCGAAGAAGGAAAACATGCTCTTTTTTTATGATCTACAGATAATTTAAAATTATCCATTTCGACTTTGTGGTTTTTTTATACATCATTTCCGATTTATTTTACTAATGCCGTTTGTTAAATCACATATATACGTTTTTGGTGTAAATTTTCATATTAACTTTTTTTGCGATATCATAAACATCATACAGTTCGATAAGCAACAATCTACGACATTATGAGTGAGACCGAGAATCGCACTTCAGGTCACGGGAGGACAGACGGACGGGCGAAGACGAGAGACACGCTCAAAGTTCTGCTGCCGGTCAGACCGTGCTCAAGGTGAAGATTTCAAACAAAAGAATCCATTTGTGTTCTCAAAAGTGTTTCTTTTCCGGTAGTAAGTTTGTTTATGCTCCCCAGCTATAGCAAACTTGTTAAGTTGTCATAAATTTAATATAACCCTATTTTTAAACAAAGGATCGACAGCTGATATTGTTATTGTTTTGCTGGACATTTTTTAATTTCAATTGTTAACTTTCAGTAAATATTTTTGAAAAATTAGAAGGCTTATGTAAATTTTGAAGGGTTTGTGGATTGTCACAGCTGGAAGAGTGGGCTAAATTTTCTCTTAAAAAAAAACCCAAGTATTTTTGGAGCAGATGAGGAGTTTGGAGTGCACGGGAAGTATTTCTACCCAAAAGTTTCGAACAATAAGTCTATTTTCTATTTTTTCCCCCTTTCTTTGAGTAGCCACAAGACCCGCAGTCCCATGGACACGACCGGGTTACTTGGTACTCTGATGTACTCCTTCCTGACTGGAATCTTCTGGAAAGCACATCGGCAAGGGGGTATCACACAGGACGCCCTCAGGAGGCTGATGTCAGACAGGGATGCAGCCGCGGTCAATTGCGAAAGGTAATTAAAAAGTTGACCCTGGATAATGATTTTGACGTCATTATCAGAAGATATCGACGGGAACATTTTTAACATCTCACCGCGATCGAGTGCCGTTCGAAGACCCAAAAGCGCCATTTCGGGCGGCCAACAGTTTCAAAAAAAATTTCACTGTGGTTGACAACAGTTTTTGCCTAAAATAGCGCATAGAAAATTTCAGTATTGAAACAAAGTCTTTTAATTATTCGTTGTGGTACCTATACAAGAACTACTCGCTTTGTCAATGGTGGCACACCTAATTGTGCCAACCACCGCCACCGGCTGGCAAAAGCCACGACTGTGAAATGGTAAAAGAAAGGTTACTTTGAAATGGAACTAAAGTACACACGATGTCGTCATTTTGTTCATAGAAAATCTGTCGCATAATAATTACTATATACACATCCAGTTTTGGTAAAATTGTTCCCTATTTTCCATCATCGTCAAGATTCGAGAGATTGTGGCAAGACGAGATGGACGGACGAGGAGAGAACGACGTCTCACTGAAAAGAGTCATCTTCAGGTTCATTCGGACTCGTTTCCTGATTGCTTCTGCGATTCTGGTTGTTGGTTTGAGCAGCGGGTTCCTGTTGACTGTGAGTAAAAACACAGAATATAAAAATACGAAAATTGTGGGTATTCTTGTTTGATTGTTTTGGCCATTATTACAATAGGGCCGGCCTACAGAAGATCATACATAGACCTTTGTGTTCATTTAAGTCATATAGTAAAGCCATGTTGTTTACTGAAGTTGTTGTTTAATACGCACTGTAGTTGTAATAGTTTAACAAAAGTTATAATAGTTGCTGAATAGGTTCGGAATTAATTCTATATGCTTGCATTGCATTGCATTGTATTGCATGCCGGTCGATCCCAGTGGAAACCAGTTTGAAACTGTTTAGGCATACCCTAGGTAAAGAAAGAAAGAAATCATTGCATTCAATATTTGCATATTCCAAACATTGCTCGCCTAAGAAAGTTGCATAGGAGTGTTTCATGCATATTGTAATGGCTGTCTTCTCAGAGGTTTTGAAAACTTCTCCCACAGGCGTATGTGCTCTACACCGCCATCCTCTACCTGGAGGAGCCCGGTAACTCCATCGGGTACAGTGTGGCATTAGCCTTCTCCATCTTCATCTCCACGGCCTTGCGAGTGGTCGGGATGAATTTCATGTGGTACACCAACATGCGCACGGCAGTGCGCCTGCGCAATGCCCTCATGCTGACCTTGTACAAAAAGGTGTCGAGGCTTCGCAACACCTCCGAGCTGTCGGTTGGAGAGGTAGGCTACGTTTTACAAAAAAAGGGTACAAAAATCCTCTGAAGCCATGTTTACTTCCAATTTCTCTGCTTCAGTGCTTTTCACTCTTAACGTATTCAAATGTCGCTTTTGGTAAAAAAAAATATAAAAAAATCCAAGTTTAAGTTCAAGTTTCAAAGTTTGCTTCGATTTCTTTTCACTGCAACCTTATTATAAAACTGCTTTTGGTTAGGATTTTACCAATTTCTCCGACTTATACTGAGCCTGCGACTGTTTTATGTTTTAATAATAATCAGAAAGCTTTGTCTGCTCCTTCCTTTATAAGATGGTGAATATCTGTGTGAACGACATCCAGCGGCTGTTTGATGCGGCGGTCTTCGGCCCAGTCCTGATCGCCTTCCCACTGTTTGTGCTGCTCATCCTAGTCGGATGCGTGTTGGTCGTCGGAATCGTCCCCACGTTGGTCGGAACAGCCATGCTCATCATCGTCTTCGCTTTCCAGGTACGCCTCACTCTTTGTCTTAGATCGCTTTGTCATCAGGTTGTGGACGGCTGATAAGTAACTTGAGTTAACCTCCCTTTTTTTCTTGCACATGTCAAGAAAATCAAATAAACACTCCTACATTTCGGATAGAGTGTCATTGTTGTCTTGTCGGTAGTTACACTTTGCCTTTTACCTCGTACGCAAAGCTTGCTCATGTCCTCAAAAAGAATCCTTACCAAGTAAACATCGGTTTAATTACTGCCTCCTTTCTCCATGTCTTTTCATTATCGATAAATTTCATTATTTTTTACAGACGTGTCTGGCGAGACTAAACGTTCGCATCCGCCAGAAGTGCGTGGTATTCACCGACCGTCGGACGCGCCTGTTGAACGAGGTGCTGAACTGCGTCAAGTTGATCAAGATGTACGCTTGGGAAGATTCCTTCCAACAAAACCTCACGGGTAAGGACTCCTCAATGCTTCCGATATCAGCACGGAGCGATATCGAACGTAGATTCTAAGACAATCTTTCCCTAAATTATGATTATTAGATAATTATTTGGTAGAAATGTTGTGCGAAAAATGACTGATTGAGTGTGGAGTAAGTTTATAATTTTTTGTGTATCGGTTAGAGATACCGTACCAGAACCCTCAAAACGTCCTCTTTTTCGCAGCTTTTAAAAACATACATCGCAAATATCTATACTATTTAGATAGTATAGTTCATTAGCTTTTCAACAACGAATAAATCTTTCCAATCGGGTAAATATTTATAGAATTATGCCCAATTTAAGATAAATGCCGATTTGTCAATCTTTCCACATCTCAATTGTCAATTTGTTAGGAAAGTAATGGATTTGGGGTGAGCTTAGTTTTGCTTTCTTTAATGTTTTAAGCTTTCTTTATTTTGTTCATTTTGTTTTTAAGTTTTTACAACAATGGTCATTAGGCTAATCCTTTTGGAAGTAAAAGTAGTCCCGAAAAGAACTGTTTGGTTAACTGCTTAGGTGTTTACTTTGCTGCTCTGTCTCTGCCCTCTACTTGGTAGCCTTTTTCTCACAAATGCAAGTTTCGGCCCGTGTTCTTATTGCGGCAGTCAAAATGTTAGTCGCCGTGGACAAAATGACAGAGTGGTACTCCCAGTTGGCCATAACTCAATAAATATTTACCCGATTGGAAAGATTTGTTCGTTGTTGAAAAGCTAATGGACTACACTCTCTAAATAATTATGTGTAAATACTTGCGATGTATGTTTTAAAAAGCTGCGAAAAAGAAGACACTTTGAGGGTGTGGGATTGTTTTAGACGACCTGTAGAAAGTTGCTAGACCGATATTAGATACTTTTTTATATGATTGATCATTGATTGATTGAAATATTTTAATGCTACATTTGGTGTACTCGCATACAAAACATTCAAAATACATCCATTTAACTAAGCTAAAAACAAAACAAAACATCTTGAGGTAAAAATAAAATGTCTGTTATTTCAGAGATTCGTAAGCGGGAGCGAAGTCAGCTCCAACGGTCGGGCTACCTGTCGAGTTACACCTTCGGCATGGCCCTGTCTGTCTGCCCGGCCGTCATCCTCGCTGTTGCCATTTGTTACAAGTTGATGGAGAGCGATATCACGGCTGCCCAGGTGGGGATAGATTTCCGTAATGTGGTGTGACTGAACCTCAAACGTGTTTGTTCATTACCAAAAATACCATCGCCATTTCATACGAATAAGTTTTGCTGCAGACCACTTCCAACAATTATTTAAATACTCACAACTCTCCAAGGTGTTTGAGACACCCATCAAAATTTAATTAAAGCTTATTTCATCATCTTTCATTTTCTGTTCAATTTGTTTTTGGTGGTAATTTTAATCCGATGCCATTTGGGGAGAAAATTCCATCCAAAGATGATCACGCCTAAAAGTAGTCCTACATCGCCATTTTGAAAAATGATGCCTGCGCTCCAGTGCAAAATAGAGCAATTGTAGGACCCAATTTCATCCGAATTTCACAGATAATACGAGCTAGCAGTCCTTTGCACGGCTTCCACCAATATTTTGTTTTATACAAACCTTCAAGTTCATGGCCAACAAAATGCTCTAATATAAAAAAATGAGGGCATACAAATCGTTATTTGGCCCGCGTAGGCAATTTTGGGCATAAAGTTTACTGGTTTTGCACCCTTTAACTGAGCGCATGAGACTTCCAATTAAAATGTTCATCTCAAGAAATAGGTCTTTGTTCCTCTTTGATTATGTATGAGTAGATCACTTTGTACTTTCATTGTCTCTGAATGTAAATACTAAATACTGCCCTCAGAGAGGGCTCACCGTGCAAGGGCTCTATATATTATTGACCATGTGTTGGATGTTCACCTGCCTTTTTTCCCCCTGTTTCTGCACCTGTTTCAAATAAGAGTCTTCATTTTTATGATGTTGGCAGATACACCAAATAAAGTGATTTACTTTGAAAGAAAGGTGAGGAAGTCAAATGTATTAAGCTGACGTTGCATCGTTCTTTTCCCACAGGCTTTCACGTTGCTGCAGTTGTTTGGCTCCCTGACTACCATCATGTACATCCTGCCGATTGCCATTAAACCATTGACAGAGTCGGTGGTGTCAGTCCAAAGGATTCAGGTGTGTGTCTCACATTGCTGTGTTTCTTCTTCTTGTTGAAGACTGATGAACTAGTATGTTAGATGTTATGTGATCAATTAAGTAAAATGAATTATGTCTGTGTCTGAAGACGTTGTCTCTTGCTGTAGGCTTAGTTACAAACAAGATGAAGGTTGACCGAACTCTAACAGCCTCCCTTTTTTATCAAATTAGTTTTATCAACCATTATAAAAATCTATAATCACATTCATTCCTAACTCTCGTAGATAGTTATCTGTTCACCTGTTTTTCTTTTATATAATTATTAACTATTTTGACGTCTCGAAAGGCAATTACGCCTACTAGTTAACCCCATGAAAAGTCAGTTACTTTTGCCCAAAAGAGCGCAGAGAACTGGACCTTAAAAGAATAAAAATGGTTTGCCCCATCAGCCAATTTTACTCAAGAGCGAAGTCAGCCAAGAGTGGGACGCCCCCTCCGATCCAAGCCACGCCCTCGTTTTAACAAACGCCTCCTTCAGCTGGGACGCCCCGCCCCAAAGTGCTCCCGAGCCAGCCCATGAAAGTCCGGCAGAGATGAACGCCAATACCAAGTACACGTTGGTGGTCGACGACACGATCGAAAATGAGAAAGAAAGTGAGAAAGAAAGTGAGAAGGAAAAAGATGGGGATGATAAACCTGAGGAACCGAATGATGTGGACACCCTACTTGACAAAGACGTTCCTGCAGCTTCCCAAGCGCCAACACTGAGGAACATTAGTCTTGTCGTTCCAAAGGTAGGTGCAAGATTGGTGTCCTATGATATCTGGTCCTGATCAAGTGTCGATTTGAATCCTTCTCTGAGTTTCCAAGTACAAGTTGCGTGGTTGTATTCAAAATTTAAGCATCAAAAATTAAGACTTCTTTGAATGTGAAGTAACACAAAGCTTGCCATTATCAAAAGGCTTTAAGAAAAATCTGGCGCCTGCAACCTATGACCATTGTGACATTGTTGCCTTGATCTCTTACACTTCTCCTCTGGATATCAGTCTCCAGAGTAGGTTTTGTAAGTTTAGCAATGCAATTTTTAAATCTGGAACCTCTTTGTTGAGGTCTGTAACCAATGAGGCATTATGCAATCCTTGTTCGTTTTTTTAATATTTATATTTTTATTGAAATGAAGGATTCCCGAAATACCTGGTTTGATTGTGGACCGCTATTGTGTGTGAAATCGAATGTTTCTGTACTTAGGACATGATTAATGTTAGAGACGGCTCGGTTGTATGTGGAATTTGTAATGACACTAATGTCTCCGAAAGAATTAATGACATCTGTGTCCATTTTTTTTCATCTGAAATCTTTGTATGTCTTTTTTTTTTATATTGATGTGTTTATTTGCTTACTTTCTGTTTTGTAAAGATGTTATCACTATATAGGTAGGCCTGTGCAAGACAATCAACTTCGACTGGACTCGGAGTCCTTATTTAAATTACTCAGAAATTGTCGGCATATCTTCCTTTTACAAATTACATGCTATACCATTAAGTACGCGAAAAGTTCTTTCCACATCCTGCTTTCGCAGTCTCAGTTTCCTCGTCGGACTTGTCAAATGATAATCTCACATATTAGGGCGAGTAGAAGTTTTATACAATTAAGTTTGATACAATTAAGATTCCAATTCAATTAGATGAATAATCCGATTCATGATTCAGTATTTGAATGTTGACTTATACTGCATGTTTTGGGTTTCCTTTCTCAGTCCCATCTGATAGGGGTTTGTGGTGCCGTTGGTAGCGGCAAGAGTTCCCTGTTGTCCAGCGTGCTCGACCAGATGAACCTCATGGATGGCACCGTGGCGTTAGACGGTACATTCGCCTACGCGTCACAGCAGGTCAGTTGCAAAGCCTGTGCTAAAAAATATCTCAATGATTTCTCCGTTTTTAATATTTAAAGAATGAGTTTGTATTTGTATGTTTGGAGAAGTTTTTGGTACAGCTGCTTATTAGCTCCAGATTATCAATCTTTTGTTATTAATTCCATGTTTGTAAGGAACAAACATTGCGAAGGATTTCAATTTATCAATTAATATAACTGTAAATTGTATAAGTGAAAATTGGTTTTTGCTCAACACCATTTTCATTGAAAATAAATGTCATACACCAATCCCGCATTTTTTTTTAAAGTTGAAATTTAAAGGAAAATACAAGTAAGTAAATCTTTACATAATTGATGCTATTAGTGCACACAATTCGTCACCGACACCACGAACTGACACCCTCTGCATCACATGTGTACAAAAAAAATTAAAAATCTAAATTTTCTTTTTTTGTACATATTAGCAGTTTGTGTCATGAAGTTTAACATGACGAGGTTAAAATTGCTGAAATCATCTACAATAAGCAAATTTTACTAATGAATTTTCAAGAAATTGGTCAATTCTGGTATTTTTGGTTACCACGAAGTGACCCTGCACAGGGTGTCAGTTCGTGAGAACCAAAATGTACGTGTTTTAGGAGAGTGCGCGCATGCAATAGCGTTAGTGAGTGTCAGTTCGTGAAAACCAAAATTGACGCGTTTTGGGAGAGTGCGCGCACGCATGCGCAGTGTGTGCGCGCACTCTCCCAAAACGCGTCAATTTTGGTTTTCACGAACTGACACTCACTAACGCTATTGCATGCGCGCACTCTCCGAAAACACGTAAATTTTGGTTTTCACGAACTGACACCCATCTTAATCATTTTAATTGCTAATTAAGTAAGCAGATTTTTACAGTATAACGTTTATAATTGAGTAGTGAAAGCATTTTTACGTTGAGTGATACTAACACCTCTAAGATAGATGGAATATTTTACTGAGTAAATTCCTGTCAAACCTTTAAAAGCGTTTTTCTCCGATTTGTATTTCTGCAACGCTGACCACCGGGTGTCAGTTCGTGGTGTCGGTGACGAATTTTTCCAACTTATTTTTTTATTGATTTCTTGATTTGATTCAATACTAGGCTTGGATAATGAATGCAAGTGTCCGAGACAATATCCTCTTCGGTGAACCGTTCAGCCAGGAGAAATACGATCGGGCTATCTTCTCCTGCTGCTTGCAGAAAGACCTTGAAATCATGTCGGACGGAGATAAAACAGAGGTACATTATACACTAATCAGGAAATATTCATATAAATGCGATTTGAGATATCATTATGCTTCGTAGAGAGTTCAAGAATCACATAAATTTCATGTGATGTGACTCTTTCTCTTTCTCTATTTCTATTTCGCTCTGGAGAAAGTCATTATAATGTATTAAACTTCTCACTCTTAATGGATGATTACCAGACTGGGACCTTGAGTGCAGAAAAACCTGCCAAACTAATTCAGACCAACTTTACTCACTCTTTAGCTGACAAAATTCTCCAAATTTTTTGTTAGGCAAAGACAAGGTCCTGATCATTTCACCAGCCAAGTTTGAGGTCTTAAATCAATTTTTAAAGGAGACTTTTCTTTAATATTTTACACCTGAGAGTGAAGCCAAGTGATTTCAATTTGAAGCCTAAGACTAGACTGATACATGTCCTACGGTTTGAAAAGATTGGCCCTTCAGTGGTCTGGTGGCAGACTATGGAGACATGTGTAGAAATAAGCCGGTACCAGATGTTTCTTTTGACACAGTTGACTGATACTTAAGTACTTCATCATGACTTGTGCCAGTCTATTTTCTTGTACAGTGTATTGCATGTTTTCAATAGCTTAAGTATTTAAGTATTTAAACAGATTGGTGAACGAGGTGTGAACGTAAGCGGTGGTCAGAAGCAGCGCATCAGTCTGGCTCGGGCGTACTACTCAGACAGGGACATCTATCTCCTTGATGACCCGCTCAGTGCCGTGGATGCACACGTCGGCAAGCATATCTTCACTCACTGCATCCGGGATGCCCTCAGGGGTAAGACGGTGCTCTTCGTATCACATCAGCTTCAGGTAAGATGACGTCTTAAATGATTCCATGCAGGAGCATTAGATGGAACTGTGAGCTCATAGAAGACATGACACGGAGCAATCATTAAAAAAAATACGTTATTGGTGAAGGACACCCAAAAAAAAATAATTTAAACTTCAATCTTCCCAAGTGGGAAAAACATAATCGAAAGTGAAAAGCTGTACTGTACTTCAATAATTCCTGCATCGTTGTATCTCAATCTGTCCTGTTACCTTAATACAAAATATTAATTGTACTGATCTACGAACTCTTACTTTGAGTACATTTTTTTGTAAGTGAGGATTTCTCGTCCTCTTTAGTAAGATTTAACATGCACTATAAGATTCTGAAATTAGTTTGTGTAATGTTTGTTTCGGGACTCAGTATCTTCGTGACTGCGACTACGTGGTGCTGATGCGAGACGGTGCAATCTCCGAGCAAGGAACCCACGACCAACTGATCGCCGCTAACGGCGAATACGCCCGGCTGATCGACACTTTCCACGGTAGGGGAGACGAGGAGGAACACGCCAGCGTGGAAGAAGGCCCGGTGTCTGTGAGTGGAGTCGACATCGACACAGCGAGCGAGGAAGGAACGGACATTGACGACATGTTTGAGAAAAGTAAAGAGAAACCAGTGAAGGATACGGAGGAAATTGGTAAGTGGTTACCCGAGGATTTCACATTGTGCAAGCCTTGCTTCAGTCTGTTAATGATGATGATGAGCTATTAGTGTGAAGCAAGACCAGACAACTGGAATAAAAAGAATCTGAAACAATTTTGTGGATCACAGAAAAGACTATTCGGAGATCGAGACCAAGCACCAATATAGCGCTGAATACGTTGGTCGGTAGATCGCCCGTGTAATTTTAAAAACACCCAGGTTAAAATGCTGCTTCCAGGAACAAATTCTTTAATTTCTCTAACCTAGTTGGTAGAACGCATTTAGGGTATTTCTTAGGTCCAAGGTTTGATTCCACAAGTTAGTCGGGGTTGTTTTTTTTGTCTTGATACATTAACCCTGATGGTAGAAAGCCAAGTTCGTCAGCGTTTTCACGAAAAGGACACATTTTGGTCCTGGGGCGTTGAAGAGTGGTTTTGAGAAAATCTGGTTTTAATTATGTCACCTTTTGAAATAAAGATTTCGCCTATTCTCAGAGCACATGTTGATTCATTTTTGATACAGATAGTAAGCTGAGATCTTAAACTTCAAAAATGTACCAGTTAAAAGATATAACAATTAATTGCGGAGAAGTCAATCTCCATAGAGAATGTTCTGTTCGTGAAAACTCAAACGCATATACGCACGTTGTTTTTGCCCCAACGTGCTTTCAACGTAGAATTGATACACCAGATGGCACGCAGGGATAAAGGTTGAATTTGTCTCTTCGTGAAAACTGAAAATACGATTTGGGTGAAATTTTCCCATCATTGATTTGCGTGATCTCGATGACTTTTTTACCTGATTTTGACAAAAAAACTTTGCCAGGATGTTCGTTGCTGTCCACATAATCGATTTCGGCCGGAAAAAACATCAATTATTTCGAAAAAAGCCGATGATTTTGGCCAAATGTGTCCCTTCGTGAGAAAACGCTGACGTTTTAGCGATTAGAACACCGCTGTAGACGATTTCTTCCCGTTGAATAAGTTTCCTGGGGATTTTTTTACTTGCATACTTTCAGTCCGTCTAATGGACGAGGAAGACCGAGGCAGCGGGAGAGTAGCCTTCGCTACCTACCGAGGCTTCATCCGATATGCCGGCGGGCCGTGCCTGGCCTTCATCAACGTCCTACTCATGTTCCTGTCGATGTTAACGAGCATCTCCACAAGCGTGTGGCTGTCGATCTGGTTACAAGATAGCTTGAAATGGAATAATCAAACGGTGAGCGCAGGACAGGTAAGCAGAAACTGCGGTGAGATATGCCGGTAATAAACATCGCAAAAAAAAGTTCACACTCATTAGAGGGGTCATAATTTTGAATCTGATCGTCTTATGATAACGTCATTTATATAGACCAGGGGTGTGAGTGACCATTGATAAAAAATAGCTGAAAACAGCTGAAAAAGGTGCAAAAAAGCTGAACTTTGGAAATCTCCTATACTTTTGTACACAGCACGTGAGGGAAAAAAGCTGAAATCCAAAACAAAAAACACTGAAATCAGCTTTAAAGCTGAGATTTCACACCCCTGATAGACCTTTGGGGAATGTTGTTAGCTACATTTTGATACCGCGTTTGCTACCAAAGACTGTACATAGTCCAAGATTGACAACGGTTTATGAAAAATGATGCAGTTTGAAAAGTTGCAAATGTAAAGGGTTCGCAAGTGAAATTGCTGCGTGACAATATAACACTGCCCGAAACGAACGGCAGGGAATACCGATCGACAGTGCTTGCATGCATGGGAACACACGAATCGAATTACCCGCGCTTTGATCGTGCACTGTGCAGTCGATAGGGGCCAATTACGGTCATGTGTGGTAGCGCCTAGTAATTTCTCCTCGCGTAATCTTTAAATTTGCAACTTTTCAAACTGCATCATTTTTCATAAACTGTTGTCAATCTTGGACGATTAACAGTCTTTGGTAGCTTTCGATTAACAGTCAAAATGTAGCTAACAGCATTCCCCAGAAGTCTATATGAAAAAACGTTATCATAAGACGATCATATTCAAAATTATGACCCCTCCAATGAGTGTGGACTTTCTGGGGGGTTTTTGCGGTGTTTACATGAAGTCGTCACAATTTAATACTCGAAGTGAAGTCTTCACAAGTCCATCACATCAAGTGCTGTCGCAAGTATATAGGCCTAGTCTAAAACCAGGTGACTTTCGTCATTGTTCCTTCCCCTTTCATGCGACCTGAGTTGTAACTCCTCTGACAACGAAGGTCTTGTGATTTGTTTTTAATTTTTAATGTGACAGAGTGACCTTAGGAACTAAAGGAAATGTTATACTTCTGCTCCGTTCCAGGAACCAATTTTGGCCAACATGTCTGCTCCATCGGAGCCGGTCTACAAGCCGCTCTTGTACCAGTCATCGGAAGGGGACCAGTATGACGATGCACCTGATGTGTCACCTGATGAAGACGATCAGCTGACCTTCTTTGTGTTGGTCTATATTGGGATATTTCTCTCCTCTCTGGTCATACTCGGTATCACGTGCGTTGTGTTCATTGTGGTAAGTCCATAAAAGTCCATTATATTTTGGTCTGCAGCGCTGTGTAGTTTATGTATTGTTTAATCTTTTAAAGAATATCTAGGAGAAACTTGTTATTTATTATCTGCCTTGACCATTCTTATTTCATCAGACTCCCAGTACCTCGATCGGCTTTCCTTGTCAAATTCAAGACTTTAGACATATCGTTCAAAGTTTCAAAGTCACATGAACAATTTCAAAATGAACCTTTCAAATGTTGGCTTCTTTTTTTTTTATTAAATTGAAGTAAACAGTGTACTTTTAAATTAATGTGTATTATGGTATCAGTGTAATCCACCGTGTAATTTAGCCTATGGGCTACTAAAAGACATGGAAAATAAACCAGTAATAATAAACATAATAATAATAATAGAACAATTATAAATTCGTTAAGAAAGTCCAGACATCAACCATTTATCGTTTATACAAGTCACAAAATATAAACAAAAGATCATTTATCCCACATTGAGTAAATCTATTGGCCATCCAACCATCGAGTCATCTTTTGTGTCCTCCTAGACCATCATCCGAGCATCCACACGCATCCATGACAGTCTCCTCCGTAAGATCATGCGATGCCCCATGTCGTTCTTTGACACCACGCCGCTCGGCCGCATTCTCAACAGGTTCTCCAAGGACATGGACGAAGGTGAGAGTCAAACATCAGTAGAATGACGGATACAAAAGAAAGATTCCTTTATTGAAGTCCGAGAAGGAAAGGACTTTTCATGTGGGTAGAACATTGTTGAGAAGAGCTGATTAAAAATTCAAAGCACAACTGCCTCAAGTAAATATGAGACTAACGTAGTTTGGACGACAAACGTATTTTCAGATGCAGAAGATGACCAAAGCACCAGACAGCTGGACAAATGGGTTACCGGAAATAATTGAGAAGTTAGTTATGTCAATAGAATACGGTACATAGCATACAGAGAACTTTAATCTTGTCTTCCAAACTGTGATGTGTTTTACTCCATACCTCATGAGTTAATACCAGGTGTTAGTATATAAATCAAACTATGCCTTAAACAAGGCAAATTTGGAGGCTTGTTTGTTAAAAAAAAAAACCAGGTAATGAAAAATGTTTAAGTTGAAATTAAATCTAGCCTAAAAGAAATATGGTAACGACCGTTTGAAATGACCATCATCAGATTTGTCACTTTAACGTATTTAGCTAATTTTTACATCTCATCTCCCCGATTCCTCTCGTAGTTGACCTCCTCCTTCCCACCAACCTGATGCGTTGCCTCGTCTTCCTCAGCGTCCTCGTCCTCATGCAGGCAATCATCGCGATCGTCTTGCCCCTCTATCTCATCGCCTTGGCCGTGGTCCTGGTCGCTGGCCTAGCCTTCTACATCCTCTTCAGGAAGGGCTACTGCGAGGTCAAGAGGTATGATAACACCAGCAGGTCCAAGTTGGTGTCGCATATCTCGGCCACCATGCAGGGCTTGGTCACCATCCGGGCGTACGGACAGGAGAGGCGATTTACCTCTAGGTGAGTGCTTCTGAAGAAAAACGTGTCGTCAGCACTGCTTTCTCCTGTGGTGTAGTCCTGGGATTTGTGATAAGGGTCACAGGTACATCACAAGTCAATTCACTGTCTCAAGTCAATTCACTGTCTCGTCATAAAGAGAGGGGATGTACCGTACATACAATAAGAATGGGAAGCATTAATGTTGTGCAAGTTCATTGACCGGGAGACTGGTTCCCTTGTGCTTCACTTATACTTGTGGGGTGCTGTGGTCCAATGGTTACGGTTTTCGACTCGTGTGCCGTGGTTCATAGGTTCGAATCCTGACGGGGAACATGGTGAGCAAGGCACTTCACCATTATTGCTTCGTCCTTCGGATGGGACGTAAGGCCGTAGGTCCCGTGTGTTGTGTAATGCACGTTAAAGAACCCAGAAACAAGGGGATTGCCCCGGCGTTTCTAGCAGTGGCTGCAATGCGCCGTAGCACCTTGTAAACCCGCATGAAGGCGCTACATCAGGGGTCTCACATTTCTCATAAACTTCATTTACCTGTCTTTAAAAATATACATAATTACCAGCGCCTTGAGTACCTAACTGTTGGTTGACACGTGCGTTATATAAGACTCCGGTAGTATAATAATCATAATAATGGCATTTATATTGCGCAAAATACATAAGCATATGTTCTAATGCGCATATCACTTGCTATGGACTATGCACACTTTTCGCAGGGCTCCACCTCAAGCGTAAGCGGCGCGGTAAGGCTGAACCAACTCCGAACAGGGTGGGGAAGATAAGACCCGCTCCTTCCTTAACCGGATCGGTGCTTGCTCTTGGGTCTCCGCAGACAATAGAACACATCCCGCAAGCAAGCCCAATCTTCAAGCCACGTCAAGGACCCACCGGTCTGATCGAGCTTGATGAAGATACAGCCAAGTGGCTGCAAGAATTGGGCATTTTCTTGTGTTTTAGCTACCGAAGCATCATACGAACGACGACGATCTTTCGTAGTGGACTCAACCGCAACACTCCTATATACGTCCCAGCAAGTTAACAGTGACTTTACTTCTTTTTTTCCCTACCTGCAGGTTTGAGGAGCTCTTGGACGTCAACTCCCACATGCTACTGATGTTCACCATGGCTCCGCGGTGGGTTGCCGTACGCATGGACGTCATGGCCGCCGTGTTGGTCGGCATGTTGGCGCTGCTGGTCTTGCTGAGTAAAGATACGCTGTTGTCAACCGCTCTGGCTGCTATGGCGTTGTACCAATCGGTCGCGGTGAGTTAACCAAACTTGGTGTATAAATGTTACGCTACCAATTTCCGTTCATAACAAGCTATGTTTCAATCAGCACGACGGTTTTCCTCAATGTCTTCTCCTTCAGATGCCCTGGTTTGATTCCTGTAAGTACCCCCAATGCCAACTTGTTGGAGTTCTTTTTTAGCAACAATCCCGGCCAAGACGGTTCGGACACTTCCTGAGCCTGCCACGGTCACCCGCTCCCCCGGTCAATGTTGTTCTCTCCAGCTGATGAAGCACACACCGCGTAATGAGAGACAACATTGAGAGGGGGCCGGGGGTTGGGAGCCCAGCGAGATTTGGCCAGGATTGTAGACTTTCGTTCAGGATTGTTCTTATTCCTGGATGGATCTTTAAAACTAAAGTAAATTTCCTTCCTGATTTTTTTTCTGATTTCTGAAGTACTAATCAGGATGCCCAGCATTATATTTTGTTTTCATAAATACCTAAGACAGTTTATCCATTCCTATTGGTCGAGAGCCCGTCACGTGGCTGGTTTCAAACGGCTTCGGTTTGGGTAATTATCAGCATCCACACTCCAACCGGTCTTAAACAGGGTGTTCAAAACCGGCCAAGCACACATTTATTCCCTTAATATGCGACTATTTTGGTAATGTTTCATCCACTTATAATTCATTATTTACTTCACCACGGCCATTAATTTGTTTCCCTGGAGAATTAAACAATCGTTGTGGGCCCAAGATTTCATTTTTACAATACTGATAAAATTCTTATTTATTTTCTCAAGGTATCGGGAGGCTTGCTTCAAGAGGTAGTCGTCTCCTGCACGCAAACAGAAAGCTCCTTCATCTCGGTGGAAAGAATGCTGGAGTACATCGAGGTATGTTATTGACTTGTGCTGTGACTTATGATTTGATTTGACTTGTCATTGACTTATGCTTTACTTATGATGACTTATGATTGACTTATGATGACTTATGATTGACTTATGATTTGACTTGTCATTGACTTATGCTTGACTTATGATGACTTATATGATTGACTTATGATGACTTATGATTGACTTGTCATTGACTTGCAATGTGAGTTGTAATTGACTTGTGACTGACTCTCGATTTGACTTTTAATTGGCTTGTGCTTCACTTGTATTGTTTTGATGACAACTTTACACCCAACTCCAGAAAACCCCGTCAGAAGCAGAGGCCCGCATCCAGTCGACCCAGCCGGACGAATCCTGGCCCACCAGCGGGGATCTCAAGATGCAGCAGGTCAAGATGAGATACCGTCCCAACCTGCCTCTCGTCTTGAAAGGAATCACGTGTCACATCCGTCCCAGGGAGAAGATTGGCATTGTGGGAAGGACGGGATCAGGTGCGTTGTCATAGCAACCAAGGAACATTGATGTTGGTGTTCGAAAACACGTGATTTGTGATGTATCAACAAATAGAACTGGATGTAAAAATTTAAAAAAAGCAACTTACATTTTTTTTCCAGGCAAATCTTCTCTGGGCGTCTCCCTCTTCCGTCTTGTGGAGAACGCAGCGGGTGAGATACTCCTAGACGGAGTGGACATAGCGAGTCTCGGTCTCCACGATCTACGCTCGAAGCTCTCCATCATACCGCAGGACCCTGTGCTGTTTGCAGGAACGGTCAGGTAATGGACTCGAATTGGCCAACTGAGGGCGCTGTAACAGAGGCGTGTGAAGTTTTTACCCGAGTAAATTTACATCATTGAGTGACCTTACTTCTAGTGAATAAAATAGAAAAGAGAGATAGTTGTGTTTTTGGTCTATTTGTTAATTGTTTGTGTTTTAACAGAGGTGTGTGTAATCGGAGTAAATTTGCATAATGAGTGAGTAATTAGCTCATTTCTAATGAATTAAATTAGACATGTAAAATGTAATGTGTATATTTCAGATGTTTACGTTCTGTGTACTGATCTATATATATTTTTCGGGGGTTGGTTTTTGTTTGCTTGATTGTTTGTGCTTCGTTAATTGGTGGGAAAAAAAGGTAATATTTTGATGATGAAGTTGATATTTTGTGCAGGTTTAATCTAGATCCCTTGAATCAGCACTCGGACGATGAACTCTGGGCCGCATTGGAGAAAACATACATCAAACAAACAGTGAGTCATACGGGTGAAATCATAAGTATACCGGTCATTACTTCAGAGCCCTCTATGAACATGTATACAAGCAGTTGAAACTACAAAGCACTAAGAGCGCGCAAACCTCCGCCAAGGCTAAACAATGCTCCGCCATATTGTCAATACACCCAAAAGAAATGCTCGCATAAATGGTGAAGAATCCTTAAAAAAAATCCTGGATCCAGACCCAGATCCGGATCACCTTTAAATTCTAATCGATTTGTACTTGTAGCAAGGACCACCCCTAAACGAATGTTCATGCAAATCCGTTCATAAGTTTTTGAGTTATCATGTTAACAGCCAAACCAACCAACAAACTAAACCAAATCCGATGAAAACATAACCTCCTTGGCGGAGGTAATTAACAAGTACAATGTAGTGACTTGTAATTCTACACTTGGCTTAAATTTTCGTTTGCATTTACTGTATTGGTACAATTTGTTTGGCTTTACGGTAATGTGAATTGTTTTGGTTCTAATTCCAGGTAAGTGCCTTGGAGAAGCAGTTGGAGGCGCCCGTGATTGAAAACGGAGAGAACTTTTCCGTTGGTGAGCGGCAACTGGTGTGCATGGCTCGAGTCCTGTTGAGAAATAGCAAGGTGAATCCTTCGAGTCCGCTTCAAAAATCTCTTTAAGCTTTCACATTAGTTTTAATTCAGTTACTTCGAATTCAAAATATCTCCAACACAATATCTCAACACAATATCTCTCAACGTGTCTTAAACAGACAATTCGTAATGTCAGATATCGTGTTACACATACTTTTTGTCTTGACAATTTTCCCGCCAAAATGTAGGTGTTGCTAATGGACGAGGCAACGGCGGCCATAGATACGGAGACTGATAGCCTGATACAACAGACGATACGCGAAGCCTTCAAAGATTGCACCATGCTCATCATAGCGCATAGGCTGAACACCGTGCTGGACTGCGATCGTATTATGGTCATGGACAAGGGCCAAGTGAGTATGACAGAAAGGCTAACCGTGGATTAGTAAGCAGGAGGTCGTGGGTTCAAGTCCAGCCGAGTTAATTTGTGGGATTGTCTTTCTTGCTATTAGAAAGCAGCACGTACAATTATAATGCTATATAGCAAAGATGAATTGAAGGGTAAAACCCATGGTTTAAAAATGTATCACCCCGATTCGAATTCTTCAAAATATTTACAATGTACCATGACTTCAAATAAGTTTTATTATCTTGAAAGTGTTTTTGAGATTTCAAGTTGATGCGAAAACAGGAGATTTTGACGTTTTCATTGCTTTTTTGACACCTTTCGCATTGGAATAGGCTGTAACTGATTGCATGTGAATATTGACATTACTAGTCTTTTACAACACAATTACAATTGTCCTTTCCGAAGTTTCTTAAAAAAATTCACATTGTTTTGGCCAACAGATTGCCGAGTTCGGCAAGCCGGAAGTGTTGCTTGCCGACCCCGGTTCGCATCTTAGCGCGATGCTGGCGGCAGCTGAACACAATCACGGCAACTTGGACTGAAGAAAATGGTAAGAAAAACAGAGAGAAAATCCCTAGAGGAATTTAAAGACAAGACGAAAATCCTGTTTCAATCGGATTCACATTGTGAAAGTCCGGAGGAATAAGGTCAGACTTAATTGTGCCTTCTATGTGAAAACCTTTGCCGACAAATGTAATATCTAAAATGATGTTTTAAAAATCATTTTCGAACTTTTTTTTCATTTTAATTTGTGAAAACAAAAATCACCGTTGATATCACCGACAATTTTTACTTCAGAAGCAAGTCTACGTCTGTTTATCTTTGCACATCATCAGACGGTAATTAATCCTTTTCCCCATTTTTGTGGGTTACCGAATCAAGACCGAGTTCTTTCTTGGAGAATGTTTTTTTTAATATGGCGTCCAAGACGTTGATGTTATGTTGAGTTTGCTGGGTTTTTTAAGAGTGTTAAAAATGAACCTTGAAGTAATGCCACAACTCTTTCTACTGGTATAGCTTGTGAATTCAACTTGATAACAAAATATGATGTTTCTAAGCGTTGTGGAAATATGGTGCGTTCGGTTTTTAGGTGATAAGAACCAAATATCAGTCGAAATTTCTGACCGAAGGGGATAAAACGGGTTTCTATGCAGAAATGTTTAATTTGTGTTTACAGATTTTCAAAGGATTGAAATGTGTTACAATTTGTATATTTATTCATGTTTTGGTTTAGCCTACGGTAGATATTTGGTTTGTTCTCAGGTTTAAGTTGTTTGTCATTAATTTATTTTATTTTTTTGTTTTCAAATAGTTTAATCATGTATAGCATTGATTTTTTTTTATGTTAACTAATTCATTAAAGACTTTATTAAATTTTATCAGGGTTTGCAGTTTATGCTTATAAACTTGGAAGACACAAGTTACAGAGTTTGTTTGCTTGCTTTTGCCCCCCCCCCCCCCCCCCCCCACCCACCCCCCGACATAGTGTGAACATGAAAATGAGAAACCAGTAAGAATACGACTTTGGGCAAATATTTGATAAATTAGTGATTTCTTTTAATGAAATTGATACAAGATGCATGTTGCTTTAATGACATTTCGTTGCAAGCATGCACGCATCATTCCGAAGGCTGGCTAGCCTATGGTTAGCTACCGTCTGAGGATCAGACGTTCACGCGTGCACAGCCACACTACGAACGTGTGATATAATGTGAACATGCACATTGTATGCCACCCCGCGTGCCAGCCAACCGGAGTCGACTTTTGAAGCTGTGGCGTCATTTCAATCAGAAATATGGACTAAGCTGTTGATTGGTCAATTTGGCTGCGGCGTTTTTGCGATACAATAACGGGTTATGGAATACCCGATAGAAGGCGCCCGCTGAATGGTCAGAATCTGGAGATCAAGACACAGTCTTGTTTTGCATAATTAATCGACAAATCTGCGTGCATATCATAGACGATTGCTTTGCAAGTGGCTATTTCATAAACGACTGGTTTACATAGGCTATACGAATTCTACAATAAAAACAAATCGAACATAACTTCCGAGAGTAAAAATAATTTCTGGCGTCTCACCAGATATTGAACCCTAGGGAGGTTAGTCGGCCAATTGGTGCAGTTTTACCCTGTTTACGTCACAACAATTCATACCTCTCGAGGTCGACCAGCGTACGACCTCTATTATATTTACTCCTATTCTATATACTTCGCATATATATTTGGCACTGCATTGTGTTGGTAAACAAGATCTACCGACACCATGTTATGTACCCAACACTTCACACTCAAAACGCCGTGCACTTGACTTTTGGTTGCCGTGTGAACGCTCGAACAACTTCGTGTCAGTCACCAGGAAGGGAAGATCTGATTGCATGTATGATGCGCGCGCGGTGGTCTTGTGAAAAAGAACCAATCACATTCCTCCAGTGATGCTGTGACGTCATGTTTAACCGTTATGCGCATGTGCCTGTACTTGAGGGTAAGGGTGTACATGTATATACTAGTCGTCGTCCGAACGCAAACAAGGGTGTGGGAAAGATGGCGTGGCATAATAAACATTGACTGATAATAATTATAATGTTCGGACTTCGCTCAAGGGCTTGGGTGACAGACTTTTGGTAGTGTAGATTTTCATGTCTACCGAATTTGAAAATATTTTTTTCCTAACATTTTCTAACATTAATGACTACATCATAGTAAACGATTAAAAATAAAATCATGCCAATTTGTAAAAATCTATATGTTCGTGCATATCTCAAAATGTAATATGATAGATTCAAGACAAAGGCCAAACTTAGGAAGTCATACATGTACTTGGTGGTTGGTTTATCAGTTCTACACAAACAGTATGTGCTTTTGCCCTCAGTGACCAACTAAACCCGTGGATAGTTGAAATTAAATCTTGAGGTTTACACACACACACTTCCGTCGCCGGTTGGTTTCCATTTTCTTTCCAGTAGATTCTTGTCTTGCTTAAAATAAAAAGGTTTGTAAGAACGGAAGAGAAAAGTGTGATCCGAAAAGTGACTGTCGGTCTGTTGTTCTGGAAGTTTGTAAGGCTGTTTTTGTTTGTTATATTGTTACAGATTTGAAACAGGAAAACAAAGTTAACTTTGCCAACAGTGTCGACTTAAACATGGAAATATAATTTCCTAACGAATTGAGTTGATAAAAGTTGCGGCAAATGATACATTATAAAAAGATGTGTTCAAAGTACAGTACACTTTTATTGAACAGGCAATTACAACCTCCACGAAGGATTCGATGATCAGCATTACAAATTTTATTTTTACGAGCCCATAAACTAATTCCGTAAAAGTACAACAAAGTTAACGGAATTTAAAGCAACACGAACTACACGCACTTACTCAGTTTACCTTGAGCGCAAAAAAACCTGTGCACAGCGCGGGAAATTTGTTATTGTCGTACTTGACCTTTCAAAGTCCTTGAACAAAAAAGAAATTCTTTCCTTTTTTTCAAAGGAGGATCACGTGATTTACGCGTGACTTCATTGGCTTGCCCCTTTTATTCTCCGTGTGAGTGCTCTAGTGTAGAATTGAATCCGGCCTTTTGTTTGTGGAGGTATTTGCGTTGCGTCGCTTGTTATAAGTGCAAGGCATATTTGGTGACTTGTTTTGGTTGCGTCCATGGATTTTATGACACAAATAAAGCCATTATTGAAGCAGTTGCTTGCATCTCAAAGTTCAAGTTCTTTCCAAGCTATGGTTACTCTAATTTCCGGTGTAGGCGCCTTGTAATACTCCACAGTTTGGCGATGGGAGTGAAAATTCAGTCTCTATTATGATGCCGTCAGCGAACCCGAAGAGAAATTTACATAATGATCTTGCTGTAGGCCTACTCTTAATTCTAAAATGAAGGATTTGGCCTCTTTTTGTAAGACTTAATTGGTTGCCGGGTTCGGAATTAACGTTCCTATGGAGATACGAGATTTATTTGATTTTGAGACTGATTCTTGAGTCATTTTTGTCCGTGATCATGTTTATCAGAAGATACATCGCAACTATAAAAATTAAGCTTTTTTTTCATTACTTGGTTGCCAGATTCGGCATTAACAATCTATAATGTATGGAAATAAGAGAGTTGTTTGAATTTGACACTGTAGATTCCACTTCCTTGAGTCATTTTAGAGGATATATCGCATGCGACTCGTTGCCTGAAAACCACAGATCTCATTGCGATTTGCTTCATGACGAACTCGCAGCATGATTTAGCGCGCACCGTCGACCTCCCGTTCAGGTTTACTGCTGGTTTAAATTTGTCACCTGTAAATAAAGCCTCTCGGTGTAAAATAAACAATGAATGCGTGTTTTTATAAGTGCACCTTTTTCAGTTCTATGCAGTCAACGGGGTCACTCGTAACAAGGCTCTTGTCAAGTTGGACAAGAAAAACGATCCACAAAATATTTCTATAGACGATAAATTTTGATTTGTTATGGTTATATATATAGAGGAAGGGCAGTAGGTGGGAGGCTTGCATTTTATTTGTTTGCGATGCATGGCTCCGGGATCCGGTATGATAATTGATGCTTTACAGGGTGATCTATGGGCAGTATTCGGTCTTTTTTTTTTTTTTTTGCTTTGAAAGGGGCCTGATTAACATGTTGATTAATGCTTTCATAATCCCCTTGTGGGCTCCGGTTGCTTTTGCCTGCTCGGACCATGGAGCTAGGAACCCCCACCCCATAGGGGTGCACACCGGTAAATAGGCTTAAACTCATCCGCCGAGCTCATGAAGAAAAGTTATACCCTCTAAATATTCTATATTAGAGAGTTCTGTGAACCAAAAAATTGGGGAATTGAAGAGATATGGCAATGAACCTCGGACCCAGACTTGGGGCTTCCAATTCTGAGCATTTTGGATGCAATTTGGCTCGAAAGTGGCGCTATTTTGCCATGTTGTTGAGGGATTGTTTTTCAAGATGGCTATTCCGCTTTGGAAAAGTAGGGGTTATCTTTTTTGAGTGAGAATTCCTCGAAAAGTCAATGGTCAACCCACCAAAAAATGAAAAGAAAAGAAACGATGACATGTTGATCATCATTTTTCTGTGCAACTTAAATACATGTGAAAGTTCTGAGTATTTTTAAAAGAATTTTGAAGTATGGGCATTTAGCACTAGTGTCTATGTGAATTTTATTGCAGGGTTGCACCCATAGATAAGCACTGTGACTTCAGATAGGCCTACAGCATCATTTTAAAAGATGGCTGAAGAATGTTAAAGTGAAGATTATGAAATGTTGCATGTTGAACCAACCAATCGTTTCTTCTATACTGTATATAGAGAGCCACCATTTCAAACTAATTCAACTGCTCTATTAAGGGTAATTTGAAGATGCTTTTGTCACTACAGCAACCAAGCAGGCATTCCCCCCCCCCCCCCGAATGAACGTGCAACATCACGCAGAGTCATAATTTGCAAATTCGTTGCCACGTAACTGTACTTTTTGCCCAGACAATTACATTAATGGTATCCTATGTGAGGCACGTCTCGTTGCCATGGTAACCTCATCATTCATCCGCAGGCCTCTCGGTTGATGATTGAACCTTGATCAATTCCGCATCTCCTCGTTCGTTGGGGGGGGGGGGACGGGGATTGGTTGGCAAACAGTTTGTTAAAGTGTGATTGATAACACGATGGAAGATTATTAAACAGGTGTGTTAAGAGAAAGCATGTATTTGAAAATTAAGTTATAAAACCAGACAAAAAATTAAAAACGCAGGGAAAGAATGTAGTAACCAGACGCCACTTCTTTGGTTGTGCACAAAGTCTATGGAGAGTCCATTTTCAAAGTATTTTAACAAAATTGCAAATGTTTCTCAGTCCCAGATGCATTTCTTTTCAACGTTTTTGCAAAGACTGACCTAGGCCTTCGTTGAGATAATAATATGATGATTAAAATGGCGTCAGGATGCAACATTCTTTCCAAACACAGCCATATTATCCTAAATCTCATTCTGAATCGGAAAGTGTCTTTGGATACTTTTCGGTTTTACAACATTCAAATATATAACTATTAAAATGAAAATCTATAAAAAGAATTAATTATTTTCATTTAGATGAACATATCTGATATATTATGCTTTCACTGAACATAAATCATGCCTTATTTTAAAATGTATTTCTGGATTTATTGTCGCCTTTAACATAATTTCCCATGGTTTAAACATTAATTTTAATAAGGCAGGTGGCAAGCAAAAATCCTTTCATTGCAAAATTAGAATGGCGCCAGATTGCACTTTGCGTATCAATAATATACATGTGAAGTATTTTATTACGAAATCGAGTTCAAGTGAAGTTCACACGCCCACAGCATGAGCGGAAATCGACGGACATCTCACCTTCTGGTTCGGCAGTCCCTCATTTGTCGACTTTTAAAAGCCCGCCGGTAGAACATTAACTGTTAACGTCGCACCGTGCAACCTCGGGGTTAATTTGTCACCGCACTGACGGTGCGAAACAGGAATGGTGAGCTGAAAATGATTAACTTGCAATGCGGCGTATTGTTGGCTATTATGCTTGCTATCATAGCAAATACATACTGGTTTCGCAGGAGAACGATATAGAAGTTGAGGATGTCCATTAATTATTCGTACAAAATGAGGGTTGGTATAATGACAGTGAAGATGATAATCAGGCCTGTGTATGAATATAATCGCATAATGACTGCATGTAGTTGCGACAGTTCATACAAAAAAAAATGTTATTTGTGATACATAAAGATTAGGCCTGTGCACTCTGTATTGGAGAATATTGTCAGCCCGATACAGATTGTGATAAAAGAGGCAGAGAACTACTTGAAGTTTCATCTTACCCTAGTTATATGCATTCTAAACCAACAACACATTTTGGAACAAAACCTTATACAATGAATTAAACACCTTTTTCTTCAATCTGTGACCTTCAATAAAATGCTGCCCCAACCTACAACATGCACATGTTTTCGTTGTTCACACCTTCAGAAAGACTAAACATTTCACAGTAAGAGGCAATATGAGATCATTCAATCCACTTTAAAAAAACAGTTGTTTCAGCTGTCACAAAAGTTGGAAGCTGCAAAATGTGTATTTGAAAACCAAGCGCGTAATTTCAGAAGTTGTTTCTAACAACATAGCCTTCTATAAACAGTATGATATACATTGAACATGCATGCATGGTGAAGTTGACTGCAAAACTTCCGTATTTACTCTAACATGTTACAGTTATTTCTCATCTCGAAACTTGCATCCCTGGTAAAGTGCTTATAGGTCAAAGTGCTAGGCCTAGGCCTGCACTTTGGTAATACACATAAAGAGGAAGTGAAAATGGCGAAATGGCCTTGTGGTTGCGCTTGTAGAAATGGGCCGCTTAAAATTACTGTTTGGGACCTCGGGCACAATATCGTGTGATGGGATCGGTGAAAGCTAAACCCAATCAACCATGGTCGGCATAAACTCTGACCCAAATAATATAGATTCCATCAACAATAGAGCCGTATAGAACGAAGGAAATTGGTTTCGACAACCCCGTATCTACTTTCACCAATGCGCGTGCACTGTGGACCTCGCTGCCAGCTGACAATGTCACGTTCATAATCAGTTTTCGCCAGTGAAAGGGTTATTTTTGGTTGTGTAATTTCTCCGGGACAAAGGAGTCTGCGGAGCGAAGCGCCGCTTAAAGTAGGCGGGGCATGGTTACTCATCAACCCGCGTAAAACGTCAGCTGCGCGCGCTCTCGCTGGTTGTGACTGGAAGTACACGTACGTCGGCAGTAGTAGGGCATGTTTTAATATACACTTTGCCATTACTCAGATCCTATTCAGCCATGACCTAGTGTGTACTACACTGACAGTGAACGTGCATGGTGATGATGACGTATCCCCAGCGTTTATTTATCAAGGGGCGTTCAGCGAATACGGGAGGACATTTTTTAAGCCGTCTAGTTCCCCGCGGCTGACTCGCTCCGTGGCAGAGGTCAGACGAGGATTCATCTCGCGTTGATGGACTACCTCTTAGCTGATGCATTCCGCCTGCTCTCCACGATCCGAGCATTATTCATCTCGCAGAAATGATGCCGTCGGTTGCTGCTTAGGAGATATCTACGCCTTGCAGATAAGCAGCACTGTACAGTAGATAGTCACTATCGCATACAGTATTATAATTGAACTGTACGTTATAGCTTTCGTATATAAAGCACACGTGATGAATGAATACTGTTAAGTGCAAGCAACTCTACATGTTGTAATGAACAACATTTCTGCACGGATGTAATACATATAACAGCTGTTATATACCCTCCTGTGTCGATATTCCATCAACAAAAGGTGCGTTATTTAAACTAATATCTAAATGAAATAACAGGCTAAAGGCCCCCGTGTGTTTTGAAATAATAAGCAATGTTAGCTGCTTATTCTATTCTGGATTGAAATAAATTCTTGAAAATTACTCTGTAACCTTCGACATTTTATCCAGTGGTATCGTGTCTTTTTATCATTAAAGAAAGATTGCGCCATTTTTATGCAATATGTAAGGAATTAATACAATTTTGTATGTATATACGTACAACACAATGCGCATTATTCATGAACCACGGAATAATTAAATTGTGAAGTTTTAAGGGTATGTCATAAATATATATTAATTACGATTCAATTGTGATGGTGCATGAAAGGTATATATTAAAATGTGCACGAAAGCGTAGCACATGCATAATAAATCAATGTCTGGACAAGGTTTTTAATAACTTAGGAAGATATCGGATGCAGGCCTAAATTTATTCGTCTATGTTTTATGCAGTAATTCCTTACCCTTCAAAACGTTGGTCACAAAAACATATGGCCTAGGCATATACACCATTATTGTTCTGTTATGATCTGCCCACTTAGAATTAATAGAGAAACAGGATTTGGAGCCTCTGGTGATAATGACGTTCCCCTTGATGACTTTTCTACATTGAACATGACACGTAGACCTGTATTCCGATGTTTTTTGTTTCAAACAGAGATAACCTTGACTCAAGTCTGACTTTAATCTGCCATTTCAAATTATCTTACCGTAGCAACTTACAAAATACGGCCAACATGGCTAGCGCTGACGAACCAGTGGACAATGGAGAACCCCAGGTGGTCTACAAGGGACCCGGCTATGCCCGCATCCCGCAGGACGGAGAGGTAAAGGTCGAAACGGCTGGAAAGAAGACTAAGAAGCGAGGCAAAGCTGATACGCTCAAGGTTCTGCTTCCTATCAGGCCCAAGTAAGTCCAACCGCCCAATTTTTGTCAACTTCGAATAGAATTTCCAGACTAATCGGGTGGACAGTGATAAAAGAGTAATTGGCACATTTCGTTAAATATCTGGATGTGTGGATGAAGAGGAAGTATGTTTTGTGACTTTATTACAATTCTGGGAAAGATTATTGCAACCTGACGCACCTTCAGCGGTCGTTTACAAAGTCTGTGGAGAGTCAAGACAATTTTCTAAGTATTTCCTAACAAAATGGGAAATGTTTCTCAGTCCCAGATTCATGTCTAGCCTAATCGTCATTAAGTGCAATGACTGAAGAAGAAAAAACGGCGTCAGGTTTGTAACATTCTTTCCCAACTCTGAGATAATAAGCATTGGTGTAGATAGCATTGGTTTGAATAATAACAGTATTTTTTACTCAACCCTGGCCATCTTTTTGATCGGTGTTTTAGCACTGAATTCCCTCCGGTGAGTGCGGGTCCTACTTTGAGGTTTAAAAATGTTGCGGTGTAGGGAATACATTGAATCAGAGTCACCTGAGCTCCGTATAGCTAGGCCTATAGATCGTTGGGATTGAGCCGACACAGTTTGGATGAACCTTTAACGACAGGTTGAATTTCAGGATCTGTTTACCGGTTTGCTAGACCACGGGGTTCATTCCACATCCCATGACCGACTTTGACTTTGCACATGTCCGTGAAGTAATACTCATTAGTTCCTGTAAAACAAATCCTGCCTGTCATTGTTATAATTCTCGGTAGGCCTGTCATAATTACTGCATGGAACAAGCAAACAACACTTTGTCCCAAAATATTGTGATTTGGCACTGAATTAAACCAGGGCAACAGACCGCAGATCAACACTCGAAGAGTTTTGAGACACGTTGTGGGTGGTCGACTTAAGCTCCAAAACATAGGGATTCAAACCGCAATGATGTCATATTGCGGTCAATGACAGCACATTAACACACATCCGTACACAACAAAATGGCGGTCAAAGATCGCGGGTGAACCCGTACCATAGCACCCCGTCCGTCCAGAATCTGGCAGTTGAGAAACGATTGCATTTTTGTGTGTGCAAAAAGAGTTCATTTCAAATGTAAATAATTTGAAATTGGATGATTGTTTTCAATAAATTGCTGATAAGCCCACTTCAGGGAATGTGGTATTTGAGATGTCCCCACAGTTGATGACGTCAAATTAAAGTTCGGTGAAACTGAAATCACCATTGGGACATTTTGAGGATTGCGGGAATAATCCACCGTGACGGTAATAAGCTTATACACTGAAAATTGCCTGGGTTCATTCTACCCAGAAAGGGTGAAAGCTGGAACTACCCAAACTTGGGTTGTTCTATAACCAATTGTTTGGGTTAGAATTTCTGCTAAATTCAACTAAAACTTGTGGTCATTCAAGACCAAATTTAATTTGGTCTTGTATGACTACAACTTTTGGTTGAATTTAACATAAATTCTAACCCAAACAATTGGTTATCGAACAACCCAAGTTTGGGTAGTTCCAGTTTTCACCCTTTATTGGGTAAAAATTAACCCAGGCAATTTTTCAGTGTACTTGTGTAATCACAGTGCTCGCTACACAACTTTGTTATAGACTGCATTTGTTTTTTTAGGGGTTTTTTTGGCTTTAACTCGAGAAGGCCTAACATTCACACCATGCAAAATTTAACGAGGCGGAAGTTTAACAGAAATGCTGAAAAAAAGTTTAAATTCAATGCAGCATTGATTTCTATTCAACCACAAACAAAATATACAAATCACAATATATAGCATGTACATACATTGAGAGAAATCAAGGGGAAAACATGTATAAGAAAAGGGGGGAAAGGAGTAAATAGATTAAGCAATGGTTAATTAATATAGCTATAATAAGCCTAAGCTTGTTAATGGCAGGTACTGAAAGGATACTTTAAACTCCAAAGTAATTAATGAAGGCAAATAAAGTTAATTAACTTTGTAAAGTAAACAATCACGTTTAGTAAGACCATTTATGTTACTGTTGCAAGGAAGACTTTTGTATAAAAAAACAACCAAGGTATTGCATTGAATTGGAACACAAGTGCCAAATCCACGCCGTCTCGGGTTCGATTTCCTTCACTGAAACAAAAAATACATTTATCAAAAACCCAGAAGAGGGTGAAACTGTATTACTTGATGCTACGGGGATTATTAATTCGGTTTTATCCACTCCAAGCGATAAGAACACTAGAGTTTAACACGGTGCTATTCTGCACGGCTGAGATAATGCTGTCATTGATCAGTGGTATCTCTCCAGTTCGACAAAGGTGAGAGGGGTCGTTGAGATAGATAAGGCTATAGGAATTATTGACACGCTGTTGGATGGTTATGGGAAGATAGGGCTCTATATGGCGCGACATCTACCTCTACAAGATGACAAATTCGGGTCTTTTGTCCCGACCCTCTGGGGTCGCTCGGATGCTTGTTATTCGCGAGTTCTATGACTTTGCAAAACCCGCACCTGGAATGGGCTAGCCACGGGTGTTTGCACACGCGTATACGGGTTAGGATTTTTTCACGTATTTTTTGCCATGGATACTGCATTTCATTGACAAAAGACAGCTCATTGAACAAATTCAATGAGTCACATTCTATTTGCACTATAGTGTAGTGGGTAAAAGGTTATAGACATGACAAGCACATTCTTTTCTTCTGATATTTTCTTGTCCTTAAGTAAACTTTGCTTTGTCATTTGGAGGCATTTGAACTTTACATGAAATATTTATTGAATATGATGTGACCTAACGCAGCGTCTAATTTGCAACCATTATAACGTCACTGATACGCGGGTATAATATTCACCATGCTGTTCTTTACAATGTTTATATGCAGAATTAAACACAGAACATTTCAAAGATTCGGCTTTCAGCGAAAATCACAGGGTGTTATTTAAGTCCAGCTTAGCTATGGGATGTCATCGTCTGTAAGTGTGCAGATCTGTAAATAGGCCCAGAATTCCCGACGCGAGCCAAATCACAATTTGTATGACCTCAAATTCTCAGGAGTTAGAGCATTTTAAGGGCCGTGAACTTTAGGATTTTGTAAAAAGAAGGATGGAAGCCGTGATGAGGACTGCGAGCTCGTATTTCTGTGAAATTTGATAAAATAAGGCCCTAAAATGGCTCTATTATGCAATGGAGCGTAGGCTCCGATTTTCAAAATGGCGATGGGCCTCAGGACTGCTTTTAGGGGTGATCATCTTTGGATGGAATGTTCTCCCAAAAGTCATCAGTTAACCCCCCCCCCAAAAAAAAAAACCAGAAAGTAAAAGATGGTGTATAAAGCTTTAATTTGATGAGTGTCTCAAACATCTTGGTATTTTAAATAATTTGTGGAAGTACGCGTATGGGGTCTATGGGAGTCGATTTGCAGGTCTTCACCCCTAACAAAGAACCCACAACATGAACAGGAAGTTATTTTGAAAGAATCGAGCCTCTGGCAGGGGTTAACGACCGTAGCATTTTGAAGTTTTTCTAACTTAAAAAAACTTTTTGAAGTGTTGATTGTCTCCACTAACGCGAGTACAATCACCCGTTTTTGTTTGCTTTTTTGTTAACATTTTTTTACGCAGACGTGAACAATAATTCATTGCAAAGATTCGGCTTGGAGTAAAAATCGCTGGGTGTTAACCCTGGCTTATAATGTCATGGTCTAACAAAGAACCCACAACATGAACAAGAGAATCGGATCCTGGCTGGGGGTTAACGCCCGTAACATTTTGAAGTTTTCCTATAAGACTTACAAACTTTTTGTCGTGTTGATTTTTTCCCCAGATTAGTCTTTAATTTAAATCCAGGCAGAATGCGTCCAATTATTTCGTTTTTAAAACTTCTGTTATATCAATCTTGCCGCGGACGTATTTTAAAGTATATATCATATTCAAAACAAACGCATTGTAGAACCTGCATAGGCTTAGATCTTTTTCGTGCATTGCAGAATAAACAAAATCCACATAGTTAAAAACGTATATGAAACACTGCCTTAAGAGTTCGCGATCACTTTCAACTTTGATCTCACAAACGGTAAACGATCTGTCAAAGTTGGTCCCCAAGGGTTCGCGGATAGACTTAAAAATAGGTGTGTCAGGTGTGATTGTGTTCTTGATTTGCCAGAGGGAAAGTTGGTTTTGTGTTGCAGATTGAGCCATCGGACGGAATTGGTAGAGACAGAGAATTATAGAATACAAAATAATGATTAATCAAATGTGACCGTGCCGTTGGATTTCCCTTACGAGCTTTTGCTCCCCGGAACGTTTATTGGATTGTATGCCCAAGCAACGTGGTTTAATATCACATTCATATGCAGTTTACCCATTCCTATTGGTCGAGAGCCCGTCACGTGATGGCCGGTTTTAAACGGTTGATAAAGCCTTCGGCTCGGGTAATTAATCAGCATCCAGACTCCAACCGTTCTTAAAAAGTGTGTTTTAAACCGACCAAGCACATATTTTTTCCCCTTATTAAAAGTAACATAAATTCATTGTCCGGGGGGGGGGGGGGGTTGTTGCTCTGACACTGTGAGTTCTTTACCAAATGATTTTCCGGTGAGATGAATGTTGTCTTGATTAAACACCTTTGAGACTAATACGGGTGTTCCTTCTAAACACACTCTCACACTGGTATTCAGTTTGTAATTGTTTATCTTTGTTTTCTTTCATCTTGACAGAGGAAATAAGGATCGCAGTGACATGGACACCTCGGGCCTGATCAGCACCATGCTGTTTTCTTTCTTCACATCGATTTACTGGAAGGCCCATCGTAAGGGGATCAACCAGGACACCTTGATGCCTCTCATGTCTGATCGGGAGGCCGCTGCAGTCAACTGTGACAGGTAGGCCCGTGAAAAGGTTAATGCCTCAAGCATCCCTCTCCCCTCTCGAAGCCTGGCCCCTTGTTCCCCCCTCCTGGCCTCCTCAGAATGTGGGAAAGGCGAAAATGCTCGCTCCTCGCGAATTGGATCCCAGTTATACTCCATTTTGAAAGATGCAGCTCGTGCAGCCGTTTTGTCTATAGAATGTTCGTGAGACTATTGGCAGAAAGAAGCCGTTAAAATTTTCCAGTGCAACTGTCCCAAAGGATAGTTTTGTTTACAACTCCCTTTGTTTGCTGGTATGGGCAAATTCAAGTTAGTTTTGTGAAGATCGTTTGCCACTCTGTTGAGGTGGTGTGTTTTGGTCAAAGTTGTTTCCGACATCCTGAAATATTAAGCAGGTGCTGCGGCGCACGTTGCAGCCACTGCCGGAAACACCGGGGCAAACCCCTTCTCTTAGCGATAAGTGTCACTGGGTTCTTTAACGTGCATTGCACAACACACGGGACCTACGGCTTTCCATCCCATCCGTTTTCCGTGTATAGTGATGTGTGTGCTGTTCCAATTCTTTCATTTTCTTCAAAGTTTTCTTCATTTCCACTCGGAAAGAACATAATTTTGTGACTTTTTGATGGATCATGGAAGCATTCTATAGGCATTGAAATACAGCAAACAATAGCGTCACGTATATAGGTGCCGCGTATTGACACGCTCCATTTGAATCTGTTTATGTCAGATCCGCGCATAATTATATTTGCTCAAAAATCTATTTGTGTTCTCCCTTGCCTTTCATGTTTTGTGAGCCACTTTTTATTCCGGTTATTTTCTCTTTGCATTTTCAAGAGGTGCTCCATACCGGGCAATGTCCAATACGTGTTGTAAAAACTTGGCAAGTTTGCAGACCACAAAGATGCTAAAGGGCCATGTGGTTTAGTATTTGTTTGTTCTATGTTTGCTTGGTAAAGTTTCTGTTCCGCGGATGCACTTGCACCTCTCTCCTACTACCACATTATGGGTACCCCAAAATTGAGGGCGCTGTTATGATGAATGTCAGTGGTCCATCAGGCTATTCATCCTCTTTTTGTGATATGAAAATGACTGGAAATATTTCTATTCTCCTTTAATGGAATGCCAGCCCATCTCAGGTCAACTGCAATGGTATACAATGTATGTGTGTACTTGTCGGGCCGTCACCGCGTTAGGCCAAAAAAAAAAGTCTCCGGTTTCTGGTATGCGCGCGCGTCGCCGTAGCCATGCGCGCCGGCAAAATGAAAAAAAAAATTTCAATGAAAGATGATGTCTCTAGACCGCCAAACTCACTGGTTTGACTGGAATCCTGCTGCTGCACAATTTTAACGTGTTTTTAGATGGGGTTATGATCGAGAATAAGCTTTATGTGGCCTCTCTGGACTCCCATATATTTGCACTAAGTTTAGTCGGGCACCATTTGCAGTCATCAGCCGACATTTGAAGCCAAAAAAACCGGTAAAAAAAAAAAAAAAGCCGCGTCGCCGCACCACTTTTTTGGCAAGCTCCATACCAGAAACCGGAGACTTTTTTTTGGCCTTATGGGGAAGTTTTTAAGGCAAATTAGGACCGAGTTGTGGGGCTTTCTGCTGTCCCCATAGCGTCTTCGGTCTCCATAGTACCAAGGGACATCTCGTGTGTAGTCCCCACAACTACGGAACGAGACTGTCTATGTGTGTTCTGGTTTATGATCTGTGTTTCCGTCCAATGCATCACGCCACAAGCCTAGGCTTTTAGAATAGGGGCCTATGCCTCCATACCTATATTTTCTATTCTTATACCTTTTCGGCAATTCCATTTACTTATTCGTGCATTCTCTGCTTATATTTTTCATCTGGTACAGAACAAAATGTAAATTGGAATTAAAAAAAACATTTCGATTTATACCCCTGGGTGAAAAGAGGCAAGTAATGTCATGTACTTACCGGACCGCGGGGGCCGGGGGATGATCGGGGCTGAACTTCCTACTTGAGTTTGCTCTATCACCCCCTCTGGTTCAGCTCATTGTCAGCGAAGTGTTTCAAGATTGCCGACTTACTTTTTTTTTATTTCTTTTTTGGTGATGAAATCAAGGATTCCTCAAAAAGTGTCACAGGCACTGTAGTTCGCAAGCCTGCAGAAACCTGTAGAGAGGAGACAATGAGAAGAAATTACAGGTTTAGAGGTGGGAGGAAAACCCCAGAAGAGTATTTTGGTGAAAACCCACGGAATCAGGTATAGGACTAAAAACCCAATCTACATGTGGACCAGGGCAGGAATCAAACCGGGCCACAGCGGTGGAAGGCGAGGACAGAATAACCACTGCGACAACCTGACTCCCCCATTGACTATGTTATATCAAAAAGCCTCCACACCCGTCAAATGTGTTAATGGGCTCTTATAAATACAACACAATAATGATGATGGAGTCAACATTATTATCTGAATGTAACATATGCCGTATCATTTTGATTTAATCCAGACTTGAGCGGTTATGGCAGGAGGAGATTAGCAAGCATGGCGTGGAGGAGGCGTCTTACAAGAAGGCCGTCCTCAGGTTCATCCGGACTCGCTTCATCATGTCTTCTTTGGCCATCGTGGTGTCATCAACCTGCGGCTTCCTGCTGACAGTAAATCAGATTTTTTTTTCTTTGGAAGATTTTAAAACAGGGATATTCCTGGGCTTTATTCTTGAGCCGCAATAATTAGTTTTTGAAGAAACCTGACGGACGCGACCGGTATTATTTATCGATAGATTTTTAAAATATCTCGGAAATTAAAGGCACATCTTATCTGGAAGCTATTCACCTGTCTAGCTTTCCTTTTTAATGCATATTGTTCTAAACAAGGCTAAAAGCCGCTCAAGGTACAGGGCTACAAGATAAATAAAAATAAGTACTCAGGAAAACTTAAGGTAGGACTTAATGAGAACAGTAATTATTTCTCAAATTGATTCCATAACTTTGATCAATTCCCTCAGGCGTACCTTCTATTCCAAGCTATCACCTATCTGGAGAGCCCAGACGTATCCGTGGGTTACTGCCTCATTCTGTCCTTCAGCATCTTCGTCTCGACCGTGGTGCGCGTCTTGGGTGGGAACTTCTCCAACTACTTGAACGCGCGGAGTGCAGTGCGCCTGCGCAGTGCTGTCATGATGCAGGTGTACCGGAAGGTCACGCGCCTGCGCTCTACGTCCACGGTGTCTGTGGGAGAGGTAACAGAATCAGCCATCTTGCATCCGTCTGCTTATAAATTTCCATTGTAATTCACCTTTTCTAAGTGGCACAATCAGTTTCTTCGCACTTATCAAGGAAATTAAATTATGGTGTGGCCGTTGTTTTTTTTACCCCACTAGCTCAGCTAGCGTCTTAGTAAACAAGCTGCTTAGCAGAAGACACTAACTGAGCAAAAGACAGTCACAACAGACAAATATCCCAAACCTGTTTTTGTTTAATAGGCAAATCTTTCCCGTGTTTACCAAATATGTTTTAGTATTAAATTATGTTCTGTATTTTTGAAAGTCCAATTTTGGTCACCCTTTTCCGTATTGGTACACTTTAAATCTCACAACCCAATCTGTTCTTGTATCTTAACATTTAGTTTATAGAAGTCTTACATGAAACAGTCTTCAAAGGAAAAAACTTTGATTGTTGAAATATTTTTTATCTCCTGCTAAGATGGTAAACATCTGTGTGAACGACATCCAGCGGATGCACGATGCTATCATCTACGGACCGCTGCTCTTCTCTTTCCCGATCTTCATTCTCTTCATCGTCGCTGGTGTTGTCATCGTGATTGGCTTTGTCCCAACCATTGTCGGATCAGCCACCCTGATTATGTTCTTCTGTATACAGGTTTGGATTCTTTCAATCTTTTTTAAAATGATTTATTTTTGTGAAATGGTGATCAAATCATTCTTTTTAAAACTAAAACTATAACCAAGTTTGACAGTGAGGTCACATCGGAGTGAAAGTGCTCTTTTGAAACTAAGGCTATGGAGATTTACCTTATGTTTACAAGACAGTATACATTGTTGTACAAAATTCTGCTTTTGATATTATCTGCGTGAGTTTATATCTCTAATCAATATTGATTGCTTATAGGAGCTAGATTGATCTATTGTTTTTATCATTTCACTCGTGTATCCGATGAACAAGTGATTTTTTTTAGGAAAGCAGAATTTTTGGGGGGAAACAAGACGTTCCTCGAAAAACATCAAAAAATGGCATTTCGTATCCTAACATAACTTAGGGTTTAGAGCCGTAATTGAATCAATATCTAACAGTGAATACACAAATTTGAAAAAGGTTCCCTGTATAAGTGTGATGGTATGTTATATTGCCTTTTCCTTTAGTGTTCCAGTCCTCAAAACTGATTAAATATATATATATCTGATATTACAGACGTGCCTTGCTAAGATCAACGTGAAACTTCGCCAGAAGTGCGTGGTATTCACAGACAGACGGACACGCCTGATGAACGAGGTCTTGAACTGCATCAAGCTGATCAAGATGTACTCCTGGGAGGAATCCTTCGCCAAGAATCTTGCGAGTACGAAAACACCAAGAGTCTAAGTTTCTAAAGAATTTGGCGCGTGTATTTCATTGTACTACACCTTATTTACTTCCCAAAGAATCTTTAAAACGATAGAGTGTTTTGGAGGTTTGGGTGGTAAAAGGAGTAACAGGCAGGTGTTTTGGGGCGGTACAGAGACTAATGAGTGAACATTGAAGAATGTCTCTATTGAAATATTTATTTAATTACTGGATGCAATGTGCCAATTCGAATAGCATTTAAGTTAATTGTCACAACTCCTCAGAACAAAAATTGTGAATTGAAAACCGCACAAACAAGTACGCGCAGTTGTGAATTTCTATATGTTCGAGGACAAAGCTTTGTGTTTCCCCTTGTCCTTGAAATATAACGCTCTCCCATAGACTAAGCACGTAACCGTACGTAAACAAAGTAAGAACAAAAGCAAGCGTGATTTTGTTTTTGACCAAAATCAACTTTGATTCCCTTTTAATTATGCCAATAAAATACTGCAACTTTCAGATATCCGAGCTCACGAAAGGAAGTATCTAACGCGAGCAGGGATCCTGCAGAGTTTCACCATGGGACTTTCTGTGACCGTCGGCCCAGCGATCGTGCTCACGTCTGTAATCACGTACAGTCTCATGGGTAACGTGGTTACGGCTGCTCGGGTAAGAACCTTCTTTGAAAGTTGTAATAAATGCTTACTCTTTAGCAACATTTTTTTTCGCAAGGAACACCCTTAGCAAGGAAAACAGTTCGAACGCAAACTGATGGAATGTACTTGTAGTTCAAACTACCAAGAAACTAACATGAAAATAATTACCCTCGATGTCCAAGATGGAGAAACAATATATTTAACTATAGACATTACTTTCATATACAGCAACAACAAAAATAGCGAATGAATATCGATGATAAATATACAAAGATACATTAAGAGGGAGGATTTACAAGAAAAACCTTCAAAAAAGGGGGAGGCTGATACGGAGGCATATTCAAAAGACTAAAATGCTTATGTAGAAATACCTTTTTTTACAAAGACAAACAAAACGAGACAAAGACAATCAAACATAACAACCATCAAAACTACAACGCAGAACAGATTGTCTTTAGTTAAGGAGGGGTCGAATACCAGAAGACTGGCCTTGTCCGAAAATTTGGAACCGTCAATACTGTGTATGAGACTGGCCTAGGTCAACTCATCTTGAGATTGACAGCAGGTAGCTCTAGGTAACTCACTACCACACTTTGAATATCACAAACTCAAGTTTGTATTCCACTCTTTCTTCCTCCTCCAGGCGTTTACTTTACTCCAGCTGTTTGGTAGTTTGACCGGCACACTCTACGTATTACCCATTGCTCTGAAGCCTATTTCTGAGTCCATTGTGGCCTTAAATCGAATCAAGGTAGGCCTAAGTCAGATTTGTATTAATGTTAACCCAGCTTGCATTACTAATCATTCATTACCTTCATGTTATACATTATTCTAACCAATAACACATTTTGTAGTGAGCTCGAGGAATAAGTGAATTTCTTATATTAATTGGTTTGAACCTTTTACCTTGGCTGAATAGAAGTCTTATCTTATTTTATCTTATCGTATCTTATCTTGTTGCCATGGGAACTAGCCAATTTTGCTGATGGACGAGACGAGCCACGAGTTGGACCCGCCCTCCGATCCAGGAAACGCTGTGGAAGTTGTTGACGCCTCCTTCAGCTGGGACGCCCCGCCCACCGAGGAGAACGGAGGGAAGAGCAAGGGGCAGAGTACCAAATACAAGCTGGTGAATGGAGACGGAGATGAGGAGAAGAAAGACCAAGAAAAGGGAGTCAAGGAGGAACAGGAGAAGGATGCGGCTGCCTCTGATGGGTTGCTTGGCAACGAAGGCGAGACACAAGGGCCGACAGTCACTCTCAAAAACATCAACTTAGTCGTCCCAAGAGTGAGTCTTGAGACTAATCCTGCGGTCACTGTGAGGCACAATTGAGGTGATATCCCGCCCATGCGAGTGTCACCCATCTTCTTAAGTCACCTTTTGGTGAGCCTACTGGAGAATAATTGAGTCCGAGCGTGCGACCAACATGCGGGCGTGGTATCACCTCACTAGCATCTTGTGTCGCTGGATTACTCAAATCTTTAAAGAACGTCCCACTCCGTGATTGTTATCAAATTATGTCCACTTGGAAGGTCCAGTTGAACTTAAGATACTCAAGAAATAAATAAGAAACGGAGACTAAGGTGATGCGTCATTCATGTTGCACCCAAGAGGACTGTGTAGATATAGACTCCGATTCTGGGTCAATTCTGACTCTTAGAGTGTATAGTTTTTTATAATTGTTTCTCTTTGCTCTTTTCCCAGTCTCATTTGGTGGGCATCTGCGGGTCTGTCGGCAGCGGGAAGAGCTCTCTTCTGAACACATTGCTGGACCAACTGAACCTTCTCGATGGAAGAATTGCTGCCAAAGGCTCCTTTGCCTATGCAGCACAACAGGTAAATCTCTCAGAAAAGCTACATCAGATCCTCATTGATGAGGAGAGGCAAGAACAGTCTTGATCAAAATGATGAGCAATTTTGACACCTGTTGGCTTTGCTACCGGTCCGTTCCATATATAAAAGTTGTTCTTGGTTGAATGTTTTTTAATCAGGCTTGGATTACTAATGCTTCTGTGCGAGACAACATCCTCTTTGGGGAACCGTACGACGAGCAGAGATACAAGCAAGCCATCTTCTCTTGCTGCTTGGAGAGAGACCTGGAGATCATGTCTGACGGGGATAGAACAGAGGTACGTCCCAACGCCTTCATATAATGCATTTTAATTCAGATGCATATAAGGGATAACATGCAGCGTCGTTCTTGTGCAAGATGTTTTACAACAATAACTTGACTCCTGTCACGGTTGAACCAATCGGCTTTTTGACCCTAACCCCATAGGGTGTGTGAAAAATCGAATAAAAAATTGATAATTCAGGGCTGTTTTAGAGATTAACAGTGATTTATCTAGAAAATTAATCAACAGCTAGGCCTACCTGTAAACGACCACGTGGTATTACGGTCTACCTGTAAGTAGAACTACCAAGAAGAGTGTCTCTTGAAATGGCATCTGAGAAGCTTTTGTCGAAAATCGGGAAGGCATCAAGGTGGTGATTAAATTTGCTAAGTAGCTCATTAACTGAAACTGGTACTTTTGTCTTTCCAAAAGATTGGTGAACGAGGAGTGAATGTGAGCGGTGGTCAGAAGCAGCGCATCAGTCTGGCCCGGGCTTACTACTCAGACAGGGACATCTATCTCCTTGATGACCCGCTCAGTGCCGTGGATGCACACGTCGGCAAGCACATCTTCACTCACTGTATCCATGGCGTGCTGAGAGGAAAGACGGTGCTCTTTGTAACCCATCAACTTCAGGTAAAAACAAGTAATGAACGAAACTATTTAGAAATATTTGCTGATTCTATTGATCTCCATTGTGCAGGATTTGTAATAAGTTCAGTTACTCAAAACAATTTTTGGTAAAAAAAATAAGCGAGTCGGTCTCAGTCCAATGTTATCGACCTTTAGAGATGCTTGAACTCTCCCATATCTATTTAATTGAAATTAATATCATCTGCTTAATGGTTCCCATAACAGTATCTCCGTGACTGTGACTACGTGGTGCTGATGCGAGACGGTGCAATCTCCGAGCAAGGAACCCACGACCACCTGATCGCAGCTAACGGCGAATACGCTCGGCTGATCGACACTTTCCACGGCAAGGCGGAAGACGAGGACGACGATGTCAATGATGCCATCCCGGAGATTAAACACGACGACGAGAACATGAACAAGGAAGAATCCTCTCAGGATAAGATCAGTGAGCAAAAGAAAGGTGAAGAGGAGGAGACGGAGGAAGAAGAGGCTACTGAAGTGGGTGAGTATTTTTATTTTTTTCGAAGGCAGCTCGCGGGTAATCTGGAATGTGCAATTAACACAATCTTAAAATGTGACTTCCAAATTAACCTTTGAAAATGTACTGAAAAACAAAATGAATGGATAAAGAACATGCACCGTTTATCTTATATTATCAATCGATAGTACAATCTCCAAAGTGGAGAAACTTTCAGGACACTCACCTTGTATTGCAGAGAGGTTTTTCGATTCATGAGGTCGGTCGACGTCAAAAGTTGATCTTCAATCAAAATCTTCAATCGTCGACAAATGCTAGACTTCTTGTTTGGGATATGGATCCACGTTGACATTTTCCTCTCTTTTCTCTTCTTCTTTGATATTCCACTTCTTTTTCTCTGTCAGTGAAACTCATCGGTGACGAGGACCAGGGTCACGGGACCGTTGCTTACGCCACCTACAAGAGCTTCGTGTGGTACACCGGCAGCCGGTTCTGGGCGTTTTTTGTGCCTCTGCTGATGTTTTTGACAATGATGTCATCCGTTTTCACAAACATCTGGCTTTCTATTTGGATACAGTCCTCTACTATCTGGAGAAATCAGACACAGGTGCGTTATTGATCGGTTATAGGTTATGAACAGTTTCGTTATTGATTGACTATAAGTAATTACTATCATGTGCGTTATTGATTGATTATAGTTACTAAGAGGTGCGTTATTGTTCAATTATAGGATAGCAGGTTCGTTATTGATCAATTATAGGTTACTAACAGGTACGTTATTGATCGATTATGTTACAAACAGGGGTGTAAATTGATCAATTATAGGTTACTAACAGGTGCGTTATTGATAAATTATAAGTTACTAATCATCAATAAAAAAATCTAATCAATAATTATCAGTATTATTATTCGTAAAAATCTTTCTTACCTACAACTTCACAGGCAACAGCTTTGATCAGGTTAAACCTTCAAAAGCCAATAATGGAAAACTTCTCCATTCGAAGCCCTATGTTGATATTTCCCGGGACTAAATTCTGTTATGGGCATTCGTGATATTAAAATGTTATTATTTTTTTATGTCGAATCAATAACTTAAACTCTGCTAGTTATTAAAGGTAAACATTGTTTGAAATATAAAATTATTCAAAAGGAAAATAATTATAAAGTCTAATATATTTATCAGTTCAACTTCATCGTAGATGTAATTATGCCTTTTCTCGTATTTAAAATGCGAGCCTTCATTCTATTACATTCAGGTACCCACCTCCATCCCTGTCGCATCAACCTCCTCCCCCTGGCTCCCAACCTCAGCCCCATTTATGAATAATTCATCAGATGACATCATCATCAACAGCACCGATGCTGCCGACGAGTACGATGACGACTATGCCTTCTCCACGCCCTCTGGCGACCAATCGCCAACCGGCGCGGGGGGCATGAGCATCGCTTTCTTCATGGCGATCTACGCCGGCTTTTTCTTCTTCACTTACATCTGTCTAATCGTTTCCAGCTTTGTTTTTATAATCGTAAGTATCCTACAGAAAAATACTAACAACGATAAGAAAGATAAATGAAATGCATAGAGCTTTCTATGGAAGGTGCAGAATTGACAAGAGTCAACGCATCCTTCAAAGGATACTACTTTTTAGGATGAAATTTATTCTGATCTATTAAAGGAAATTTTAACAAGCAGTCTTACCAAAATGTGTGTTTTTCATTTCTTTTTTTTCACTTAGACGGTGCTCCGGGCGACCACACGCATCCATGACGGCCTCCTCCGTAAGATCATGCGATGTCCCATGTCGTTCTTTGACACCACGCCGCTCGGCCGCATTCTCAACAGGTTCTCCAAAGACATGGACGAAGGTAAAATGTCTGTTTTCTACTTTCTGGTCGACTTATGGACATTTCCAGTATGTCCTGTACTCTCCATCCAGGGGCCTATATGCTGGCCGACCCTTTTTTGGTGGAAAGGAGTTAAAAAAAAAGACAGCGATTTTCGTCTTCAGACATCAGTCTTCAAACAGTTATACATGTACTTTAAGAGCGAGCCAAGATTGAATTGATAAAAACCATCGGCCTCATCACAAAAAGACGACTAAAATAACAACCCACATAAATATTCAATCACCTTCTTCGCAAGTTACAATAAAAATTATAACTGATTACGGTATTTTCAATGTGATGATCCTTCAGCACTGTGCAACTACGGGTGACGTCAACCGCCAACCAATCAACAGCCTCATACTTAACAACTCAAACCACACAAGAAGTAACCTTAATCTTGATTGGTTGACCGACAGTTGACTTACTGATGCCGATGAACCTCCAGCGGTGCCTCTTCTTCCTGAGCTGTGTCCTCATCATCCAGATCTTCTTCGTCTTCGTCTTTCCTCTTTACCTCGTCGTCCTCGTCATCGTCGCGGCCATCGCCATCTTCTTGTACATGATGTTCCGGAAGGGATACTGCGAGATCAAGAGGATGGACAACACCACGAGGTCAAAGGTCGTGTCCCACATCTCGGCAACCATGCAAGGTCTTACCACCATCAAGGCTTACGGGCAAGGGAAAAGGTTTACCACAAAGTAAGAAATCTGAAAGCACCTTCTTATTTTTTACACGCAAATCATTTTAATTCAACAAAATTACATCAGGATTTAATTATACATGTACTAGACAGCTTTTATGTTCACTTGTGCTGTGGCGCGAGTAAGATTGAGATGAAACTGATGAACTGGCAACCAGAAGTTTATTACCTTCATGTTCATGCCGAATATCAGCTCAACTTGGCCAAATGCACTTAGGTTTTGTTGCATGCAGGTTCATGTTTGTTCACCGACGAGTACAATGATACAAGTATTGAGTGAGTCGGTGAAGGGCAAGACCTAAGTTTATATCACCCCGACGCAAAAAATCCATCTTATAATGATACAAGTAGTAAATAAGAAGTTGTGGAATACCCTGTAATGCGACCTACAACAGACAGTGCTTGTCAAACTTTATTACCTTTTTGATGCTAAACTATTTTTGATTTACCTTTTGTGATACATCTTGTATCAGGTTCGAGGAGCTACTTGACACCAATTCTCTAATCATGGAACTGTTCTTCATGGCTCCACGATGGACGGCTGCTCGTATGGACCTACTGTCCTCCTGTCTGCTCCTCATCCTGTGCGCACTCATCCTCGTCTACAAGGCGAACTTGTTCTCGGCCGCCATCGCTGCCATGGCCCTCCAGCAGGCAATCTCGGTAAACTATGATTGTAGTCAACTTGGTATAGAGTGAAAACATGGCCTCGTTTATGGCCCTTTATAATCATGGCCTCGTTTATGGCCCTTTATAATCATGGCCTCCTGATCATTGCAATTTTAATTTTGGGACCATCACCTACTTAACAGAGGTTTTGCCGATGCCCAATGGTTAAATTACTTGGTCCAGTAATGGTTTTGGCTTCTTGTGTGTCCAATACTCTTGGCCAACATTTATTAATTTTCTCCTTCGTCGTCAGTATCGTCCTTTGATTTGGCTTTTTGATTGGAATATTTTGTCTCATTCTTAAGATATCTGGAGGCTTGCTTCAGGAGGTGATATTGTCTTGTACTCAGACGGAGAGTTCCTTCTTATCGGTGGAGAGGATGCTTGAGTACATCGAGGTAAGACAATTAATATTTAGCCTCACGATTACACTTAAATTCATCATGTACTAAGTTCCATCCACTAGAACCTGGCTTCAACGACGTCAGTATATTGTATTATTTCAGTGCTAGCAGTAATGAGAAACTGACCTCTTGATGAAAACCTGAAATTCAAGAACGTATAAAGTAAACTTGAAGTTATATCTTGCAAGGATATATCCTGGCGTATCTGTTTCAGTGCAATACCTGAGTTCCGAATCTAACACTTACCCATCGTAATTCGACATGCAGACGCACTTTATGAAGCTTGACAATTACTATTTTCATCCTGACTGTAGCAATCGCCGTCCGAGGCAGAACCCCACATCAAGGAGACCGCGCCACCAGACGAGTGGCCGCAAGATGGCGACCTGAAACTCCAGAAATTGGAGATGAAATACCGACCCAACCTGCCTCTCGTCTTGAAAGGAATCACGTGTCACATCCGTCCCAAGGAGAAGATTGGCATTGTTGGCAGGACGGGATCAGGTAAAAAGAAAAGAACAAGTCAATAAGTAAATGTTATGATAAAAATAACTGTTGTCTTTAACGTTTGCGCCAAAACGATGGCAGACTGCACCTGAGATGGTCTCACGCTTTATAGGCATGGTGAGAAGGAATAATAATGAACTGACGCCTTGAGCGCCAAATCAAGGTTACACTCCTTGTATGAAAATACATCATTATTGTTGATTACAAAACTTACCAGAACATCTGTAATCGATAGGTAGCTGCTGAATGTTGTGTCATGTCAGTATAAGCCTAGAAGTTTAATACTAAGAAATGTCACTTGCCTGAAGCTCGTGTATAAATTCCAACTTTCTTTTCACGAATTGATGAGAGCAAACTTAATCTCTCCTCAGGAAAGTCTACGCTTGGTGTGTCCCTCTTTAGAATTGTGGAGAACGTCTCGGGGAAGATAATCCTTGACGATGTGGATGTATCCACCATTGGACTGCACGATCTACGCTCCAAGCTATCCATCATACCACAGGACCCGGTTCTCTTTGCTGGTACTGTCAGGTAGGGCTACAGAAAGACAACGGTGCAAAATGTTGCAGATTTTAGAGTAGCGGAGTAAATTGGCCAGCATGGGGGCACATCCCACCCCGCTCAGAATTTGAAGAAAGGCAAACATTGTTACAACACATTGAGTGTCCCTCAACATAATATTCGACATGAATAAGATATGAATTTTCACACGCGGTGTATTTTACTTACCTTCTTTGTGATATCTTAATCCTTGTCGGAGTAATCGAAGATTTTTTTTTCTTATCTTCCTTTGCAGATTCAACCTTGACCCACTCGCCAACCACACGGATGATGAATTGTGGTCCGCACTGGAGAAAACATACGTCAAACAAACGGTATAACACTTTTTAAAATACTTCAAGTAGGCCTATAATAGAAATGGATTCTATATTAGTTTTCACACGGTTAATAATGTAACTAAAGTTACTAAAGACACTGAATGCATACAAAATTACTTGAAAATCCTCTGATTTTGAATGTTTCTTTTCTTGGTATTATTGACATCGTTTTGGGGTAATAAAATCATACGGTACTATTAAATACCATAATGGTGGAAAGTTGTTTTTCTTTATCCAGATAAGTGCTCTTGATAACCAGCTTGAGGCACCGGTCATTGAGAACGGTGAGAACTTCTCCGTAGGCGAGAGGCAGCTCATGTGTATGGCCAGAGCGCTACTGAGAAATAGCAAGGTAATACTAGAAATAATAGGCCCCTGTACCCAAAAAACTTTATACTGAATACAGCCAATAAGATAGGCTTTAAGACTTGAACAACACTGGTCTAAAAACAGTCTACAAAAGCTAATTATAGGCCTAAAAAATCCAAGACAACTTACAACTGAGCCTAAAAATGTAGGTCTATACAAAATTCAAGAAAGGTTTATATACAACCACCTTGCATACAATTACAGAGATGCCAACTTTACAGACTACAAAATAGTAATGATTCTTCCTGCAAAGAGTAATGCTAATGTAAATACATAGGACAACAGTCAAGTTTAAGAGTAACAACAGTACTTTTCAGAGTATAACCACAATGTTGGCGTATAGGACAGCTGGCATTTTCAAGAGTAGTAACATGCCTCAAAATCCTAATAATTACTCCAAAAGAGTAATGGTTGGCATCTCTGCAATTACAACATCAATTACTTTGCAACGTCTATAGTTCTGCAGTTCAAACCAGATCGTAGAGAATGTGTATTGTTATGCATGTGTAAATTCTCACAATTTTTGTTTACCATTTTCCAACGAAAAGGTGTTGCTAATGGACGAGGCAACGGCGGCCATAGATACGGAGACTGATAGCCTGATACAACAGACGATACGCGAAGCCTTCAAAGATTGCACCATGCTCATCATAGCGCACAGACTCAACACCATTTTGGATTGCGACAAAATCATGCTCATGGACAGCGGCGAGGTAAGGACACTATCAAACCGTGGAGTGGGTTTTGTTTGATGATTAATGATTATCATAAAGCTCTAACTACCAAATTCAAACAAAATATAATCCTATTGATTTTGATGGATTTGGGATAAATATTTGTTCATCGAATATTTCATGCAAAACAAGCAAATTTCATCTATCCTAAATGTACCAGTTTGGAGTTGAACAAGAACATGTAGGGGGATTTGAACATAGCAGCCTACGGAATATTTCATGCCATTTTCGATCGTTTTCTCTGTCAAGCCAAAATATTGAAGTCAACATTGTAAGGTCGATTTATTTGGTTGAACTTGATTTCTGTTTCAAATAATTCCACACGCAGATTGCCGAGTTCGATAAGCCTGAGGTGTTGCAGGCCGACCCCAATTCCCTCTTCAGCGGCATGCTCACTGCTGCACAGCATAACAAGGGTAGTCTGGATGATGAGTGAGAGTATATCGACTGTAATCAGGCAACTACCGCCACGCTCACGCGCATGCCGCAGGCGTTCTTAACCTAGACGCGCGCGCGTATAATTTGAGATCCTATTGGTCAAAGCAAATGAGTGAGCGCGTACCACCTGCGCGTGTACCGTACCACCTGCTGCGAGCGTGGTGCTACTTAGCTCTTCTACTTTCGGTCATTGGCTTTGGCAAGAAGAGCATTACTAACGGCCACAACTCCAACAGGTGGATAAAATTATGTACGACACGGATATGTCTTTACACCCGTCTTTAAAGCCTTATTACGCCTTGATAGTATATACTGCAGACTTTTGTCGGTTGTCACAAGACCAAAATGTTTCTTTTTTTATATTACATTCTACTTCATACTTTATATAGTAGACCTACTGTAAAAAGAACAAATTATACCGTTCCTCTAATTGTCACAATAAAACAAATATTATTGACACATTTTTTAAAGATTGCATTTCGCAGAGTGCGGATAACTGAAATACTATTTGTTTTTTTAAATATGGCAATCCCGTGTCATGAAAATTTGTTGCATATTTTGCTCGACATTGACACATACGATGTAGGCCTTTGTGAAATATGTTTACAACTTAAGTCTATTGATAATTAGAATCTGTTAGTGATGCCTTTCTCAATACTGATTTTTTTTTGGCCTATTTGGTCTACATTTTTGTAAATTGGTTACTGGTAAGCTGTTATTAATTTGTTGTGGAATGATTTATGCAATTAATTTTTTTATCTTATATCAATACTTAAATGAAGTAAGGTCAACACAAATGATGTGACCAAAGAATTGCTCTGCACACAATCTCTGAAATAATGATATATTTTTTTCGAGTTTAATATATTTTAGTTTTACTCTGGTGTATTATATCTCCGTCTGATGGTATATATTTTCCTTTTATGTTTTAATGGCGGACCGTTGTATCGAAGGTACCGGGTTTATGTACTGAGATTTCTGTAGAAAATGCTTAGTGCAATAGTTAGAAATATATATGAATTTGCGAGAATAGTCCAGCTGTGAAATTGAGATGCCAAAAATCCCAAGAAAAAATGGCACATGGAATTAACTAGTTGTGTTTTTCTAACAGAAAACGTCGAAACGTGTTAACGTAACAACATCGAAACGTGTTAACGTAACAACATCGAAACATGGTGCACTGACAATGCCGGTATCAAATAGGGGCCTATGCTTCTAGTATTCTATTTAATTGTATCCATTATAACGTGCCTTGGGTAAACAACGAACTACAAGCAGTGGCGTCACCAGACTTTTCAGTCTGGGGGGGCACAGGGGGGGCACCAGCATTTGATGGGGGGCACTTAGGTGGATACGGATCGCCGTCCTGGGGGAGGGGTCTAAGGGGAGCGGGTGCCCCCCTCCCCTTTGGAAAATTTTCGCATACGGAGGATGGGCTAGATGCAAAATGGTGCCACATTTGATGCTAAATTCGATCTGAAGATATCTCCAGAAATTGCTATTTAACCAACTCAGATGATGGGAGTTGAATATAACAAAATATATATATATTTTTTTACCAACCCAAATCTCAGATGGGGGGGCACTCGGGGGGGCACTAGGTTTTTCAGGGGGGGCACGTGCCCCCCCTGGCCCCCCCTTGGCGACGCCACTGACTACAAGGCATTGTAAAGGCCGTGATACGGTAAATTTGGTGGAAGTAGTTTTAATCTCACGTGTGTGGTAAATTCATTTTCGGTTCTTACTGTTTTGTTTAAATTATATAGACTCATGTTTTTTTACTAACTTCAAATGGAGACCCTCTGTCACACGCGTTCTCTATGATATTTTTCAGTTGTTTTTAGTTTGTTTCTGCATTAAATAGGGGACGTTGAACAATAGAGGACAATAGGGTCCCCAATCTCCCGAGGGTCCCCAATTTGGCGATGTGTTCAAATGTACAATATATTATGGGAGATCTTCCTAAAAAGTTGAAGTACAAACAAAAGAGGGACAATACGGGTCCCCAATTGCAGGCAAATACACACTTGCATGTACAAGCATTACAATCAATGTGTGGATTTACGAGAGAGAAAAAAGAGGTCCACATAAATCAGGTGACAGCGACGTTGTGTGGACTTGCCCACGTCCACACAGTGTTTCCCTCTCTGGAAAACAGGTTCAGAGGCATTTTTAGGTTATTTTTATCTGTGGCAAAATGAAGAGAAACACTAAATGGAATCATGGGTTGAGTGTTCACAGTGTGAGTAACATGATTTGTTGGTTCACAGGTTTTACTTAACTACACACAAACAAAGAATGTCCATGCACACTAGGTATGTACGTCAAAACAAACGTGTGTTTGTGTGTTGTTTGTAATGAATCATTAACAGTACTCATATCGTATTTTTTGGTCTAGTTGTCAATACAGAGAGTAAATAGGCAAACCACCAAACTCACGGAGAGACAGACTATCACAACCTTGACAAGTGTTTTTATTTCTGGGACATTTTCAAACCTTTATTAACAACAAACATGAGTTGCCAACAGATAATTTCAGACTTGGAAACGATTACGATGAACGTGAACACAATCTGAACCGAATTGCAACCAAAATGAACCGTTGAAAGTTTGGAGGGACAACAAAATATTTACAATATTACAAATACTTTCAAATACAAGCCACTGTCAACGAATGTCTGGTACGTAAACATCATAATCGCCTTTTTTTTTATGGCAAAATGCAAAACATGTAATAAGCTTTTATTTTCGAGCAATGGTTGAACTATTTGAATAATTTAAACACCAGGCTTTGCTGTTTAACAAATTACATTTACTACTATTGACCACTTTTGTATAAGCTACTCAAAATCTAAGTAAACGTTTCCCAAATCTGGGAATACCATTTTGAAAATAAAGTAAAACAAAAGTGAAACAAATCTATTTACACGTTGTATAAACAAACAAAAATTAATATTTAAAAATCTGAATGGGAGAGCTGGAAATAAGTGTATTCGTGAAAACTGTGCATACTTCTCAAATCCTTAAAAAAAAAAAACATGAAGTTTCAAAGGTACAGCTTCACCACTGCTTCCTTAAAATAATGGATTTTGGTGGATTGGGGAAGGTTCCTTAAAATTATCCCAGGGAATCAGGGGTACAATAATAACAGATTGGTTCCTTCGGATATTCCAGAAAATTCTTTCCGTAGGACATTAAAATTAATTAACACATGAAAATCCGCTTACATCTGGACGGGTAAATTGTCATTAACATTCAATGTCAACCAATTTCATCTCCTGTACATACAGAAGATAACTTAATAGCAAATAATTCTTGTCTGAAGTAAAAAGATTTGAATAATAACTAATTTGCTGAATATGATTAAAATGAAATACTGCAGTTTATCATGATGAATTGCAGACAGCACGCAATAGAACGTAGCATCACACTTAGAACGGACCCATCTGCATTTCCTCCTGTTGAGAAAAGAAAAAATAATATTTTGAAAATACGAAATAACATTTAAAGTTACAGTTAACAAGAGGTAAGAATTTTTTTAAAAAAACTGCGCCAATGTCACATCCTTAGATGTCAATGAAAATCTCACACAAGAGCGATGAAGTGTAAATTTTGAAATAAAACTTATAAAATATCATCGTGTGCCAAGGAAAAGGACATTAGCAGTCCAGGCACGCAAAAAACACTTTTGGAGATAATCGAGTTGAAAGGTTTTGTGCTACCATTTCTAAATTAAAAATCACATAAGGCTGAAATTTTGACTCATGCAATTCGTTAATAATTGAAATATTGTGCATTTTTGTTTCAAAGTATTACTTAGTTTTGCATTTTTATGCTAATGACCTTTTACTGTGCGTACCCACTTCAGTTGGACGTTAGGCACTTGGAACGAATTTTGTTACATTAGTATTACATGCTAACATCCTTTTGCTGGGGACAAATAATGAAAAACCTCCTTCCATCTTTTTCATACTGTTAATTACGTCAGAATGATGTTACCCCTGAGACAAAATGTATATGAAATGAAAAATATTTCCATACTCTATCGATTACCCGAAAAATCTGAATTTGACCTTTTGACCCATTGTTTTGCCCTAACGACCTTCTTCCACGCACCCGACGATATGTAACAATGAATTGACAACTTTATGAACAGGAGTTAGATCATCGAAAAAAATCATTAATATTAACAAGCAAACGCAATGAAACAATAGGAATGCTGCATGCATGCGAAAACAGATAAACAATAAACATGCTTTTAAAAATGTTAATGCAAAAACTTTAACATGCACATTTGCATAAACCTAGCTTCCTAAACACTCATACAGCAACTGCTTCCAAGGATGTGTAAAGAAAAACACGTGGTGAGAAAAACTGTGCAAAATGTCATTTGAAAAAGGTTAACACATAAAATAATGTTATGTAATAAGCCAACTTTCAACGTAAATGATAACAAATTATGGTAAGCTAATAGAAATGTCATCCAACAGCCTAAAACTAGCATGTATAACCCTCCAAAGCCTGTCAACATGAACATCCAAACGAAACGGAAATCTGAACTCTGAACCTCATGAACTATGACCTACAGAGGACTCATCCTGTATATCTGTGGGCTCTTCCTCGAAGAGATTGGGCAAGACAACCTTCCTGCTTCGCCTGTTTGAATTTCGTCTCAGAGACTTTTCTCCTGTCTTCCCTCGCATCCTCGTTCGCTTTCCCTGTGGTTTTCTACTCTCTTCTTGTTCCTCGTCTTCCTCCTCTTCGACTGATTTATCCAACATCCCCATAATGACCGGTGGTTTGTTCCTTGGCCGAGCACGTCTTAAATTAACTTTCTTGCGGCCTAAGGCTACAATACTATCCATGGGGGTGCTCGTGGCCCTATACTTCTGAACGGATGATATGATATTAAAAACAAAATCAGCCTACATCTAAAAATCATCTTGCAGAAACCACCACACAACTTTCTACAAATGATATTCAAGAGAGAGATATCCTATGCTCCTATTTATCCCTAGACCTAACAAAACCAAGCCGATTCTACGAAGAACTAAAAAATATTTTCAGATACAAGAAATGCATTTCTCACAAAATCACAACATGACACATGCACCACACAGAAAAGCATTCTATCATTTTTGTTCATGTCTAACGTCCTTACACGTATTTGTTCCCAAGGCCACAAAGGCAGAGGTAAAGGAGTAACGACTACCAAAAGCTGGGTGATACTACCGGATGAGCACCAACAATAACTACGGTGCTACACCAGTTATTTGTTAGAAAGGGCTAGTCAGGCTGGCTCTGACCTAAATTTGGCCAAGAAATGACCGGTCAAAAAAATAAAAAGTGGGCTTTGAGGGATGCAATTGTGAAGATGTACTTACAAGGACTTGCATGGCCTGTCCTTCTTGGAAATCATCGTCTTGGTCTTCGTCTTCTTCTTCATCCTCCTCCTCCTCTTCGTCTTCCTCATCCTCCTCTTCTTCTTCGACGTGATGATGATGAGGATGCCTGATGAAAAGAAGCAAGGAAAATGTGAGAGGACTGCATGATTGCACGGCAATGCTGAGCACGGGATATTCTGAGACTTTGTCCGTTTCGTGGAGACGAAATATCAGTTTACATGCACACTAAGAGCACACTAACTTTAGAAGATATTTTTCACATTCATTGGTATCGCCTGCAATACCTTTGAGTCATCCAACTATTAAGAATTTGTAATACTAATGAAAATTAATAACACAACACAAAAACAAAGTAATGAAATTATAAACCCGGTGAAAAGAAAAGGAAGTGTAACAATACAGGTGTAACAACTTAAAGGGAATGTACAACATTTGCTTTTGCTGCAATTTTCAGAAATAAATGGATTTGGAGGATTAGTATGTTATAGCAAATATTGTTCAACTGACTTGTTTCACGTTTTGGGCTTGTTTATGCTGGAAACACCAAGAAAACCAATCATTTTCTTGTAGTCTGGTTCCCCGACCCCACTTAAGATGAAACGGAGAAACGTAAAGACTTTGGGGAATGGTAAGGTCAAAGAATCACTTAGCAGGTTTGTACCCCTTCACAGGTGTGTAATCTATTGCAAAAGAAAATGCGGAATAACATATGAAAAAAAAGGAACAGTTTTTGAAAAAGCCAGTGTTTTCCAATGCTGGTCGGCCGACCAGCGTTGGAAAAATAAAGTTTTTCTTGAAAATGTCAGCACACCAGGATTTTACAGGATGCTTTAGACTGTCAATCCCTAACAATTCAGTAAGGTATTTCGTGATAATTTGATCATTTCGTTTTTTGATGTTTGCAAATGTTGTATCTTCCCTTTAAAGAACAACTCAACGAAGGGGGAGGGGGGAATAACGTGTACCTGTGAGTCCAATGATTGGCAAAACTACGGATGAAAAAAGAAACGATGAGAGGTGCAAATGGTAGGCCGAAAAGATTGAAACAAATCAACTGGGTAACGATGATCAAACAAATAAAGGGGTGACATGGTGGATTAATGAGGGAAATGCGTTAGACAAAAATTTCTTTAACGAAACCTCATAAATTGTAATAACAAAATCTCATGTGGATATGGTTAACGCATGCCGGATCCAACAAACTCCAACAGTTAGGACCACATAATCTTGTTCTTGATGTATTAAACAAAATCTGACTGCAGCTGCTCGCTGTTGGTTAAGTTTGACTAAACAAGGTAAAAACCCACTGGCTTGACAGCAGCTGCTCGCTGTTAGTTAAGTTTGACTAAACAAGGTAAAAACCCACTTGCTTGACAGCAGCTGCTCGCTGATGGTTAAGTTTGACTAAACAAGGTAAAAACCCACTGGCTTGACAGCAGCTGCTCGCTGTTGGTTAAGTTTGACTAAACAAGGTAAAAACCCACTGGCTTGACAGCAGCTGCTCGCTGTTGGTTAAGTTTGACTAAACAAGGTAAAAACCCACTGGCTTGACAGCAGCTGCTCGCTGATGGTTAAGTTTGACTAAACAAGGTAAAAACCCACTGGCTTGACAGCAGCTGCTCGCTGATGGTTAAGTTTGACTAAACAAGGTAAAAACCCACTGGCTTGACAGCAGCTGCTCGCTGTTGGTTAAGTTTGACTAAACAAGGTAAAAACCCACTGGCTTGACAGCAGCTGCTCGCTGATGGTTAAGTTTGACTAAACAAGGTAAAAACCCACTGGCTTGACAGCAGCTGCTCGCTGTTGGTTAAGTTTGACTAAACAAGGTAAAAACCCACTGGCTTGACAGCAGCTGCTTGCTGTTGGTTAAGTTTGACTAAACAAGGTAAAAACCCACTGGCTTGACTGCAGCTGCTCGCTGTTAGTTAAGTTTGACTAAACAAGGTAAAAACCCACTGGCTTGACAGCAGCTGCTCGCTGTTGGTTAAGTTTGACTAAACAAGGTAAAAACCCACTGGCTTGGTTTCACATCCTTCAGTTTAAACACACAGCGATAGTTTGCGTTTACTGCTAAAATAGAAAAGGTGAAAAAACACCTGTGTATTGACATGGACCATTCTGAAACCTCGGCTATGTTTCAGCTTCGCCTCCGGCCTAAAACCAATTAGAAAATACTCCTTACTTTTCCTTGGTATAGGATAAGTGGCAGGACAGGGACCCATATTCAGGCCCGGATTATCCAACAGGCACACTAGGTACTGTGCTTAGGGCCTACGACAAATTGAGGGGCCTACGGAAACTATGAGGGCCTACGAAAATACCATAATGTGGCCTGGCTTGCTTAGTACAGCTTAGCATTACCATGAAATTGGTGCTGGCGCAGTAGGGCCTATGGAACACAGGCGCCTAGGGCATACGGAACCATTAATCTGGCCCTGCCCATATTGACATTGTATCTCCAAAATAACGGATACACAAATCAGGCATCTGGTGCCTGTCTCCGATGCTGAGGACAGTGCCGAGGTTTCAGAAATGGCCACGATACTGTTTCCTGATTATTTTCTGCCGTAAATCAATGAACTGTGAGTATCAACATGAACTTAACTGTTATATTAAACAGTCCAAAAAAATCTGTACCTTTTTAATAAAAAATCAACATAGGTGAGAAAAAGTAAACTGAGAACTCAGAACTCTGAAAACCTGAAAGCGAGTTATTGATGAGTAGTTGGCTCCGGATTATTATCTGCTGTAATTCAATGAACTGTGAATATCAACACGAACTTAATTGTTATATTAAACAGTCCCAAAAATCTGTGCCTTTTAAAAAATCAACATCGGTGACAAAAGGTGAACTGAGAACTCAGAACTCCGAAAACCTGAGATTGAGTTATTGATGAGTAGTTTTATGACGAGTAGCTACCTGGCCCCCGATCGAGTCCTAGAAGCTACTCCTGAGTAGCTCCTCGTGTTTCTGGCTCGTTTTTTGTTCTTTGGTTGGCTCTGCAACCACGAGGCTGTTGATGACTGGGATACTGGCACACTTCTGATGGATTATTGCATTTCACGGCGAAGGGTCAATTAATTTATACAACTAAAAAAACCACAACCATACCTGGTCATCTTGAATTTTACATCAAATGTAAATTATGTATGTAATTTATACGCATAAAGTCAGGTTGGCGTAGCGGCACTTTCCTCGCCTTCCACCGCTGCGACCCCCAAATCCCACCTGGGCCAACATGTGGATTGGATTTTCAGTCCCTACCTGATTCCGTGGGTTTTCCCTCAGAATATTCTTCTAGGGTTTTTCCTCCCACCTCTAAAACTGTAATTTCTTCTTATTGTCTCCTCTCTACAGGTTTCTTCAGGCTTAAAAGCTACAGTGCTCTTGAGGAATTCTTGGTTTCATTACCAGAAACACAATAATGATACAACGATGCAATTCTGAAATCCAGAGCAATGTTACATGACGTTTATTTGGTACAGCGATGTTTCTCAATGTTTTCAATAAGATCACAATGTATACTGTTACTTTAATAAATAAAAGCAAGTTTCCCTAGCATATCAAATGCTAAAAGGACAATACAGGAAAAACATTATTCAAGCACTTGATGATGTAGTCATTTTCAAATCATTACAACGACTGGATAATACAAGGACAACGCATCGTACAAGGCTCAACTTACTCAAAGTCGCGTTCGGAACCCTGCGTAGATGAGATTTCTTCTTCCATGCGAGGGCGCTTCATCATACCGTGATGTCCTCCCATTGGGTGGTGCTTGGACATCCAGTGGCTATCGTTTCCTTCATCCGCTGCGAAAAAAAGATAAAAATTCACGATAATACTTTAATTCTTATACAGTGCTTTCATTCCAAAGTCTCAAAGCTTTTACAGTTTTTTACCCTTGTTCATCAGCCCACGAGACCAGTTTTCCGCCGCAGATCAAGATCAGCAACATCTGGTGTCTATCCTCTCACACTACTCAGTACTGGGTAGAGAGAGCAATTGTAGTAAAGTGTCTTGCCCAAGAACACAAGCAGACTTACAAGCAGACCAAGGTCAACAAGCAGACCCTATCACCTTCAAGTGTTGAGGTTTCTTAACAGACACCCTTTCATACTACTGGGTAGAGAGAGGCATATTGTAGTAAAGTGTCTTGCCCAAGAACACAAGCCTACCCACAAGCAGACCCCAGACCTTCTAACCTTCCATGTTAAATTTTGTTTGCAGAATCATTACTCACCCGCTTGCATGGCCAGTTTCCTTTTCATACCCCCCTTGCGATGCTTCTTCATGTGTTTGTGCGACTTGCCGCCCGGCTCGCCGGGTCCCAAGGTGTCCTGCAGGAGACTGTTGCGATAGATGCGCAGCGGCCCCCATTCCGCCTCCTCCCTTCCCAGCATGCCTTCCTTCAGGTTCTTCTCCAGGTAGGTTAGCCTATGTCAAAGGTCAAAAGTCAAAGGTTGATATATGACCTGCCACACAAAATGAGCTTAAAGTTGATTTCTTTTTAACAACTGAGATATTAGTTTTTTTCTGGATTCTGCAGAGCAAGACCTTTCCAGTATGTGCAACAGCTGACGTGTGGATTGGGCTTTCCTGGAATATCCTGCCAATATTTTCATCCAACGTCTAAAACAGATCATTCTTGATTTCTCCAACATTTTCTCTAGGTTCCTTCAGGCTTCCTATCTACAGTGCCTGCGCTCTGACGTCAAAACACTCGGTTTTGTTATACCAGAAAGAATTAAAATACGTTAGGAATTGGGAGGTACAGAGATGATGTTTGGTTGATAAACTTACACCGTCTTTTTGTCCATCTTCATGAGTTTAGGAGTAAACTCGGCCAGGATCTCCAAGTAACGGATGTTAGGTGGGGGACCGTCTGGGTTGTTGGGGTCTTCCATGGGCGTCAGACTGAAGTGGATGCCTTCCCTGGGGGGAAAAGAAGAGACAAGGAGGATGCTGGAATCATCTTAGAAGGGATAGAAATTCCCAAAAGGAAAATGAGAGGCGCATCATACTGCTGGCACGAAATAAGTGAGTCACCGTGGTGAAAATTATTGAACGTCAGATACAACCAAGAACCGATTGTTAACATGTGTGGTATAGTGGAGTCCCGTAACATGGCACACTTTGACAATTCCCTCGACTTTCCACATGCAGTGTTGCCAAACCTTTGTTGGCATATTTCAAATTCACTCAGTTAAATACTGGTACTTTTTACCTTAATAATGCTTGCTGTTGAACCTTTGTGAACAATTTCAGTGTCATGAAATGAAGTCCGAAATTTGAAAAACGGTGGTGTCACGAAATTGGGCACAAAATCGGCCGAGTGTTCCCTAACATGGTGCACTTAACAAAATCTCGGAAAAATCCAAAGTTAACATTTAAGCATTTTTTTTTAAAGTTGACAAATATTGATAAACAATTCTTATTTCCACTCATATACCCAACTACAAATTTGTCAGAAAATTATTTTATAAAATGTGGGCACATTTTAAAAGGGTTTATTGTGCACTTAAAAAAAAATTGGAAAAATCACGCCAAAATAAAAATGTTCTGTTAATTTTGTAAACAGGTAGGTAAACTCAAGATTTATGAACTGGAATGTTTAGAGCTTGACGAGATTTGGGTTAATCGTGAAATTTCAAGTAAAACTTTTGCCCTAGCAAGGCACTAGAGGCGAAAAACCAAAGTGGGCCACGCCAGGGGCCGCGCCACGTTAGGCGACATCAACAATATCTGAACCATGTTGTTGCGGTCAAAGGCAAAGACGGCCAAGCGTCAAGGCGGACAATGTAATCATCTCCGAAGTGTAATTACAGGTCAATACTTATACTCTGCTCAAATGAGAGCTTGGTTTGGCTGCTTGTTTTAGCAGGTGGGTGGTTGAGACTTACTTGTGGAGTGCAGCCACCGCATCCCTGGTCTTGATCTGGTCAAGTCCGAAGGTGAGAGAGAACCGCCGAGCAAGCTCCTTGATTGCGGTCAGCTGGACAGCGGTACGGTTCTCATCATAACCTTCTTCGCTCTTGACATCTCGGAACAGCTACAAAGTCAAAATAAGTTTTAATTCAATTTAGCAGTTAGTAATAGTAACTCATATTTATCAAATCCTTAAACAAAAGGAGACAAAGCACTGTGAAAGATCAACTGGACAACGACCGATTAGAACATAAAGTTCACATTCAGAGCCCAGAAACGGAGAAAGGGATGACAAGATAAGCTTAGGATTGAAGACCTGGTCGTTCATGTTTGCTGAGATGGAGTTTATAGTTCACAGCAGAACAAATTCCACCTACCTGAGTGAGACTAAGTCCTAGGGTTTGGGCACAGGCAATTTTGTTGTTCTCCCTCGCTTTTGCCAGCGTCATCTTGATGATGTCTCCATAGTCATTATAATACTGCAAGAGAAATTAGAGGAATTAAGGTCAAGGAATAACATCCTTAACAATGATGCAATTTTATAGAGCTGTAAACTGACTGGATAATTGCCAGTCTTTTTCTGAACAAATGAAATTAAACAAATCGATATAGTAGGTTTTATTTCTCACTTTCATGTAGTGCTTGAAGATTCCCGCAGCATTCCGCATCTCGATGATGTTAAAGACGATGAGCTTGCAGAAGGATGCGAGGAGGTTGCGTCGCTTGTGGAGGATCTCAATCTTGTGGGAATCATCACCTTCTTCATCATCATCTTAAAGAACGGGAAACAAAAGTAAAGGATGCTTAACCCCTTAAGGACGGGGCGCAATGGGGGCATTCCTCCATACATGGAGCAAGTGGCCCGCATGACTGCACAGCCTTTGTGTGGTAGCAGGACTGCACAAAAGCAGCAGCTGTGGAACTACCCACGGCATACGGCATACCACAGCTGGCAAATGCATTCCAGTGAGGATTAGCGGCCGTGGCTATAGCCACTCCCCGTCTTTAAAGATATAGTCCATCATTTGTAATTAGTGCATTTTGTTCGTTTGAAGCAACAAAAGTGTTCAAAATCTAATGAAGGATACTGAGCAACTAACCTGATGAAGTTTCAGCTAAGCTTCAGCTGTACATTCCGAGAAAAGCAGCATTCTAAGATCTCAATTTCAAATCAAAAGTTACTGAATCATGTTTAGAATTGTTTTGAATTGCAGCTATACGCGGCGTCGCGCACTGATCCGACGAATTATAACAACCGCGCGCGCGTGTGCGTCGTTCCAATACTTGTGTGCGCTGCGCTGAATAACAAAACAACTACTAATTTAAATTTTCCTACGGTGCCTCTTAGAATCACCGTTGGAAATGCCTTCTTTCGTTGATTACTTCAAAATGACAGCTTCCCAGAAAGAATAATTTCACAGGGAGTTTAGTTCCCTTACTATCTTTCAACCAAGTTTGTTTTTCAACAGTAATTACGCCAGTTACTTTTCGGATGGCTGCAAATGATGGACTATAGCTTTAAGGGGTTTAAGAACTTGAAACTGTTCATTTCAAAGTAATATACACTGATGCACAGTTGCAGTTTGCCTTCAACACCAGTGCATTAACGGCCAATTCTGAGACACTGAACAATGTTACTGTTGTATCCTGAACTTTTCAGCTGGAAACCACAGACTCTGAGGCGGTTTGACCCGTTGTTGCATTGGGCAAGTTTTCTGAGGGTTTAGGTAATCATCGTCCTTACCATCCTCCTCCTCCTCAATAAACACATGCTCCTGGACGAAATCCGACAGCATGTTCTGCAGGTTCTCGTTGGGATCGTAGATGAGCGGCGCCAGGACGGCGTTGGAGCCGATCTGCCGGCCGAAGACAATCAGGAGATCACAGATGGTGATGAAACCCTCCTCCGTGATGCCGTCGCTGCCGTCCAGGAGAAGCTTGGAGCAGGTGCGGATGATCTCGCTGGTACGCTTACGCAGCTTCAGCATCTCAGCCTATAAGGGCGACGGGAGGAAGAGCATAGGTCATTGTGCCAATTTGTCAAAGGCAACCTTCTCGGAATTGGTTTAAAACTCCACAACAGTTAAATTGTTTAACTTTTAACAAAACATTTAGGTCCAACTGCAAGAGAGTTAGAAGTACCAGGCCTCAAATCATATTAACCCTGATCTTCCCAAATCCTCCTATCCTCTTTGCTAAATGCACGATTGAGGCTATATGGCAAAAATGTGTGGCTGATTTGGAGGATGCACTGTGTCAAGGTCTTGGGCCAGACCTTGTGTTGTTTATGCTCAGCCGTGCATAAATTTAGGCCTAGATTATACTTGAAATCCTCCGTACTGCTCCAGGATGTCACTGGCTCTGCCTCAACATATTGACAGTGATTGCTGGAGGATTGTGCAGGATTGAGGCAGTAGTCACCCCTCCAAGGACCACATACAAGAAATAACGGAGGATTTTGCAGGATTGGGGCTGTATGCACTTTTTACATGGAGGCAGCTGGAGGATTTTGCAGGACGGAAGTTGCATCCCAGCCTAGGGAGTCAGGGTTAATCTTGAGGATTTTTAATTTTCAATTTCAGAGAGGAATTTCTCTGAAAAAAGAGATGAGAGCAGCTGAACACTGACCAGTATCAAGACCCAAATAGCTGACCCTTTGCATAATTGAGGTCACAAGGTCCCCTGACCTCCAGAGGGCAAAGGTCAACACCTACCTTGTCAGGGTTGTGTTCATCGAGCCTGGTGAGGGTCCAGAGCAGCGAGTAGTGAGTGCAGGCGATGGCGTTGGTGAAGATGGACTCTGGGAGGTCGCCTCGTTCTGTTGACTTCTTGACGAGACTGAAGAGCATGTCAAAGAGCTGCCAGGGAGTCAGGTCATGGCAGCTGAAAAAGAAAATTTGGACTTCCAAAACTCATATTCTTTTAAATTATCACTCTACTATAGTTCCCGGAGAATTGCAATTAAGGTAAGTGCAAACGCATTCTATGTCAAAATCTACACAAGTTAAGTATGAGCTATGTGTACGAAAAATTCCAGAGAGCCTTACAATGCACAGATTTTAAAGATAAAGTGAAGTTCAAAGACATTTCCAATACTCCCACTTTTTCATGTAGTACTTTTAACATTAAAAGTATCGTGGTAATACATACACAAAGAACGCAGTGATTCTCTTGATGCTGGAGGAAATCTCATAAATCTCATCTTCGTTTGGCTGGCTCGTCTGAAATAAAGATGGGACAATTCCAGTTAAGGGCTACAACAAGCTAGGTCATGTGATGATTTTAATAGCTGGCTGCTACAGTATAGCTAGGTAATATGATACATTAACTCTAACTCCCTTGCGTATTTTACTAGGAACTGGACCAAGTCCATCAAAATCCATCAATCACTGTGCTTCCAATACAAAACAAAACTGTACATGACATAATGGAATCCACCCCTGACGCACTGGCTGACATTCATGGACTTGCTACACATGGCTGTTATCGCAACAGCAGTACAGGAAGCTAGGCAAAATGAAGCTAGGCAAAATCAATCGTGTACCCCTAAGCACTGCTTCAGGCCATTAGGCCCAAGTCCATCATACTCCATCAATATGTAGTCACGCCAGGCCTTCTGGACCAAGTCCCCGAAATCCACCAAAACGGGGAGGGGGATGGATTTTGATGGAGTTGGGGTGGTTAGGGTTAAACTTGGTACCATAGTATCCTAACTAGGAAAGATGGTTCTAATAGAGAAATAACTCACAAATGAGCTCGCGAGGGACTCGAACCCGCAACCTCCTGCTTACTAGCGCAGAGGTCTTGACTACTAAACCATGCAGCTTGCAGGGGTACCGTAGTTCAAAATACTTTTCCAAAATCCATTACTCGGAATGGTCGACAACAATTCTAAAAGAATGACACTCTTACCGTTTGGAGCGTTTCGAAGCTGCGACGGAACTTTTCGGCAACGGTGTCGAGGAGAGTGTTCCGTGCTACGTCCACTTTGGGGGTAGTGCTGTACTGCTCACGCATCAGGCATTCATAGGTCTTGGAACATGCATTCAGAACCTGGTCAAAGTATAACCATCATTTATCAGGAATGAAATTTGGGTTGTGCTACTTTTCTGAGCCTCTGGAGTGGCCAGAGTTTAAATCGCATTGAAGACAATAACTGTATTCTTCAGTAAGTAAGCAAGTCAGCAAGGTAACAGTGCAAGTGTCAAACTAGAGATCAAATCACCAAGTGACTGGGTTCGATGTGGAGTGACTTTTCAATCTTTTTTTGATTCCATGGGTTTCTCCCGATTGTATGTATTCTTTAGACACTGAGCAAGTTAAAGTAGCTCATAACCTTGTGTTTTGTTTTTGCTCAGCCATGCATAAATATAGGCCTGGATTATGCTTGAAATCCTCCGTACTGCTCCAGGATGTCACTGGCCAAGCCTCAACATATTGACAGTCACTGCCGCAGGATTTTGCAGGATTCAGGCAGTGGTCACCCCTCCACAGACCATATTCAAGAAAGAATGGAGGAATTGCAGGATTGAGGCTATATGCTATTTTTCCATGAGGGCAATTGGAGGATTTTGCAGGATTGAGGCAGTGGTCATCCCTCCACGGACCATATTCAAGAAAGAACGGAGGAATTGCAGCATTGCGGCTATATGCTATTTTTCCATGAGGGCAACTGGAGGATTTTGCAGGATTCAGGCTACATCCTAGCAAAAAGGCCTAGGGAGTTAGGGTTAAACCAAGTTAGTAATTGAGGGATTGACTAAGTTTTAGAAACTGAGCAAGCAACAAGGTAAGTAACCAATTAATCAAGAAAGTTATTGAGCAGTAGATCAAGTATTCTTCTTATTGTGATTAAGTATCATTAGTTTATTAAAATCTACATTATTATTTGTTTATTCAAGTATTTGACGGAGCAAGGAACCAAGGCTTGACCTGTCCTACCTCACTCTCCGTATGTTTCTCCACGATCTCCTTCATCTCCCGCAACAGGGCATCCAGATGCTTCTCCAGACGACTGGTGGTGTAGATCTCCACCTCAAAATGCTGCGGTATCTCAAGCAGGTTGGCGATCTTGTCCCATTCTACCTTGTACTGTGAACACACCATAGTGGGCTCTGGTTACTAGACAAAATGGTTGACTCTCAACAGGGCGTTACAAAGGGAACCGAGGCAAAGGCAGAATACAGGGCGAGTCAAAAAAAGCAAAACCCAAATGTCGGGACCATTGCTTTAGTGAAGTTCTGCATGTAGCCCTTTCAAAGTCTAGGATATGAAAGCCCAATTCATAAGCTTTCTTTTAGTACAAGAATCATTCAAATCACTTATGTACTTTTTAAGTTACGGAATTTTAAACACAATCATCGTTTTAAAGTTCTGTCCACGGATCACAAGAAGGTAAGTGTTCTTTCAGCAAAACGAAAAACAAATCACATAGGGATGTGTGTGAATTGTTTTCGTTTTGCTGAAAATACGCACACTTTTTTGTGATCCGTGGGCAGAACTTTAAAACGGTGGTTGTGTTTAAAATTCCGTAACTTGAAAAGTACATGAGCGATTTTAATGATTCTTGTACTAAAAGAAAGCTTATGAATTGGGCTTTCATATTCAGATTTTCAAAGTGCTACATGCAGAACTTCATCATTAAAAACAATAGTCCCGACATTTGGGTTTCGCTTTTTTTGATTCACCCTGTAAATCTGTGGCTTGGAATAAAAAAAGGATTCTGATGAGAATGGTTAAATAATATAACTGTACTCGTTACTGAATACAGATTTGTGGTATACAATCCAAAAATCAAAATACTTCGAGACTAAATCTAACTTTTTTTGGAGGAAAAAATCTGGTGACCAACCTTAGACAGGAGTTCCGGCAGCTTGACGATGAAATGCTCGGTGAGTTTCATCCTGTCGTCTTGCACCGTCTTCTTCTCTTTACTAGTCAGCATCTGCTGCTAAAACCACAAGAAAAAAAATCACAAGTTAATTACGAGGGATTGTGGCAAACAGCAATGCAGGCTGTACAGAAATATCTCGCTTAGCTTTCTCTTCACATATTTTTGAGGACGGATACTAAGATTTTGGAACAAGCAAACTAAAATGTTAAGTAATCAGAGCTGGGCTCTACCTTCCTCAGCCCTGTTAACCCTAAAAGGGCCGGGGGGGGGGCAGAATCCACCCCCCCCCTCGACTTTTTCCGCAATAGCCTTTAAAAAAAAAAATTTCGCGACCCGAGCTTTTATGACTTTTTAGCCTCGAGCTTTGCGCATCTTTTGACACCCAAAACATAAAAATCAGACGAGGGGTTGTCGCGCAGCAAACATTTTCCCTTAAATTCAGAAAGCAAACCTGTATCAAATTGTGTCTAATTTTACTAACTGTTTAGGGTTAAATTATTAGATCTGTTTACTCAAAACACTGACAGGATTAGGCCAAAAAAAAAAGAGTCTCTGGTTTCTGGTATGCGCGCTCGTCATCGTAGCCATGCACGTCGCCGTAGCCATGCACGTCGGCAAAATGAAAAAGGTTTTTTTTCCATGAAAGATGATGTCTCAAAATCGCCAAACTCACTGGTTTGACTGGAATCCTGCTGCTGCACAATTTTAACGTGTTTTTAGATTGGGGTATGGTCGAGAATAAGCTTTATGTGGCCTCTCTGGACTCGCATATATTTGCACTAAGTTTAGTCGGGCACCATTTGCAGTCATCAGCCGACATTTGAAGCAAAAAAATCAGGTAAAAAAAAAAAAAAAAGCCGCGTCGCCGCACCACTTTTTGGGCAAGCTCCATACCAGAAACCGGAGACTTTATTTTTTTGGCCTTACCGCAGGATACACATTTTACATGTATGCGTACTGTTGTTTATGAGACACTCTACAAAAAAAAAAACATGCGAAGTAGTGAAAATGCCCGCAGGCTAGTTAAGAGTCTGTTTCAGTAGCCCGGCTGGCTAGAGAAAAAAAAACGTTCAGGTCGAACCCTGATTTAAAGGGAAATTACAACATTTGCAAACATCAAAAAATAAAACTACCAAATCATTTTGAAATACCTTGCTGGACTGTTAGTGAATGACAGTGTAAAGCATCCTGTAAAATCATGGCACCTGGTATACTGTCACTTTCAAGAAAAGTGGTATTTTGGTATCGATTTCCAACGCTGGTCGGCCGACCAGCGTTGGAAAAAAATGGCTTTTTTTTCAAATACTGGCCCCAATTGACCCTCGCACTTGTTTGCAATCGATTACACACCTATGAATGGGTACAAGCCAGCTAGACTGGTTCCCTGACCTTACAATTCCCCAATGTATGTAAACTGCTCTGTTTCTTCTTATATGGAGTCAGGGAACCAGACTACAGGAAAATGATTGTTTTTCTTGGTTTTTATAGCATTTTCGAACCCAAAACCTCAAAAAAGTCAGTGTAACTGTATTTGCTATATATTTCCAAACCCCCAATTCCATCCATTTCTGAAAATTACAGCAAAAGCAAATGATGTATATTCCCTTTAAACCGTTGTAAATCCTTACCCTCTTGGCTGACCCTCTGCCGACCGGTGGGTGACCTTGAGACGCCTGACGTACAGCGCTCACCATGATTTCAATCAACGCTGTATCCTGACGATCATCCAGAGCTTAACAAAAATTGGAATTTATTATGTAGGAATGTGCCTTCAACATGGCTTTATAAAATTCAAAATTTCACAAGATTGCCTGCAAGGTACCTAAGACCCCCTGCTTACTACTTCAAATATCTAAAACACTTGACCACCAAGTTTGCCAATTTTACTCATTTGTATAATAAGTTTTCATTTTTATTGATATTATTCAATACGGGTGATTCCCAATACAGTGCGCCATCAAGAGTTTGCCAAGGAGAGTCCAATTATCAACTTTCGGTCGACGAAAACATGGCTGACTTGCTGCGATTTGAACGAATGTCAGTAGTAGACAACTTGAGGAAATTTTTGATAGATTGGGGCAGAGCATTCTGCCGCCTCACGAAAAACACCATCTTGATAAAAAGAAAACAAAAATTAAAGATACTCGAATCATACATTTACGCAACTACTGACTGGACAATCCAACAATTTTAAGTGTTCCGCGCCACGTCGAATTTGTCGACCGTGTTCCACAATGCACTGCGAAAAATGGACTTTCCGTGGCAACCTCTTAGTGGCGCACTGTACTGGGAATGGCCAAAATGAACCCAGACATCACTCTGGCATAAATCACAGACAGACAGACAAACAGACAGGCGTGAGGACTAACCTTCTTCCCCTCGTCCCGGTTCTTCCAGCAGGAGCTCTGTCATACAGTCCCAGTCTCTCACCATCTCGTTAATATCCCAGAGGGAATCCACCAGGTAGGCTGCGTGCTCGTGGAGCTAGAAAGCCAAGAAGACAGACGACAAGCGCCAGTTAAAGGTAGGGTAGATCATTTGTCCTTTGTGCATTTTTTTTTTCATTTGAAGCAGCAAAAGTGTTCAAAATCTAAAGTCGGGTGCTTAACAACTAACCTGATGAACTTTTAGCTCTGTGAATGCTGTACATTCCGAGAGAACGATATTTTAGGATCTGGATTTTCAATTCAAACGTTGCCAAGTCATGTTTTGAATTGCGCCCAAACCAGCGTCCGGGACATGTTCTCATTCAGCTGATTGCAGCTACGCAATGTCACACACTGAACAGAGGAGTTATAATCACCGTGCGTGTGTACGTCGTGTCAGCGCTTGTGCGCAACCATTCACGGATTCGCCGAATTACAAACCAACTACTAACGGAAATTTCCAAAAAGGCGTCACTTGACACACCTTTGGAAATGGCCTTCTTTTATTGGTTTCTTCAAAATGACAGCATGCCAAAAAGAACAGTTTCACAGGGAGTTTAGGGCCATTACTATCTTTAAACCAAATCAGGTTTTCAACAACAATTTCGTCAGTTACTTTTTGAATAGCTGCAAATGATCTACTTTGCCTTTAAACATTGGGACATGCAGGCTTGTTCTCATAACTACTCAGTATTTCCAGTGTATTTTATCTGTACTTTGTTTTATTATTACTTTTGTGAAGTCTGATTTGGTGCAGTGGCACTCTTCTCAATTCTCGTGAGAAGACCCATCCCCCTATGCCCCACGCCATGATGTTTGTGACCACTGCCCTGTGACTGCGCAACCAAATGTCTGACAAAAACGGCGGGGAAGCACATGGGTGGGGAAGCACATAGGCTCTGGCCCACTTATGTCAAATTTGGAGGAGTCTTCCTCTTCATACCTCGCTTTCAATGAAGAACTGAACCAGGTCCTTGATGAGTGGGGCATTGGCGCTGCGTCGCTTGGTCCGTTTGGCCTTACTGCTCTCGGGGTCCTCTCTTTTGAATAGTCTCTCGTTCAAGAACTCCCCGGCCGCTTGGGCAACGGAGCGGCTTGAGGCGTAGACTAGCTGGTAGACATTCTCGCAATCTTCAGCAGAAAGGATCTCATCGTTGTATCTACAAGAGAAAAAAAATCAACAATGCACAGGTAAAATTTTGAAAGGAAAAACTAGATGATAAGGCTGTCCTAAATATACCGCATATTCTAATATTCGATCATAGCTTTCAAATAGCTTTTTGGCCGGTTTGAATATTCGAAAAGAGAAAACTATACACGTGTGCATTTGACTGTGGTGCCATTTTAATCCTAAAGTTGTATTTTTATTGCCAGATGATACTTTTTAGTCGACGGTAACTTTCTTGTCGACACCTATATATTGGTCCCATTCTTTTTGCTGGGCAAATAGTCCCTGGACAGTTATACAGTATACTGCAATTGCAAAAAACTCCAGCGCTTCATAAAAGCCATCGCCGCATGCAAAGTTCAACCGGCGCGCTTTGTATGCAACTTTTGACCAACGAGGCAGTTAGCCTGTGTAAAACTTGTTCGGGAAGTTTCAAATTTTCCAATATTCGGTCAAATGCAGTTTGGAAAAATTGAATACTAAATTATTCGAAATTGGACAGCCCTACGACCAGGGCATAAATGTAGTGTGGTGCAAGGTCCAACTGGAAGCTCCGAGGTCACCCAAACAAAGGTTTAAAAGGTGAGTTGTCTCTGTGTGTAAGTACCCTTCAACAGTTACAACGAGACAATTCACGCTGAGAGTCCATACGATTCAAAAAGTTTGGCATGTGCATCCTAATGCTATGGAAAATTACAGATAAGCAAATCTCAAACGGGTTTGGGAGGATAAAACATGAGACTCACTTGAGTACGAGCGTGGTCAGTTTGATGGCATGGACGGCAACCTCTGTCTCCTTATCCAGCGTCATGGAAACGATGCGATCCTTGAAGCGATTAGTGAAGAGCTCCAGCTTAGGGACAAGCTCTGTGATGCTGAAGAGAGTCTGTAGGGCCGACAGGCACTTGAGTCGGACGTCGCCGACCTATGGACAAAGGATTTATGTCAGAGGGCGGATTGAGTACAACAGATTTTTGTTATGGGCGTAAGATGAAATTAAGACTATCCTAGCCAAGACTAGGCTTGCTCAGCTGAGCTGGGTCTCATGGTGTCAGTTTATACTCGGTGACTCAGTCAGTAAGTGACTCAGTCCATTAGTGACTCGGGGAGTGACCCAGTTAGTCAGTGACTCAGTCAATGACTCAGTCAGTCTGTCTGTCGGGGAGTGACTCGGGGAGTGACTCAGTCAGTCAGTGACTCAGTCAACCAGTCAGTGACTCAGTCAACCAGTCAGTGACTCAGTCAGTCTGTCTGTCGGGGAGTGACTCGGGGAGTGACTCAGTCAGTCAGTGACTCAGTCAACCAGTCAGTGACTCAGTCAACCATTCAGTGACTCAGTCAACCATTCAGTGACTCAGTCAACCAGTCAGTGAACTCAGTCAACCAGTCACTGACTCAGTCAACCAGTCAGTGACTCAGTCAGTCTGTCTGTCGGGGATTGACTCGGGGAGTGACTCAGTCAGTCAGTGACTCAGTCAACCAGTCACTGACTCAGTCAACCAGTCACTGACTCAGTCAGTCTGTCTGTCGGGGAGTGACTCGAGGAGTGACTCAGTCAGTCAGTGACTCAGTCAACCAGTCAGTGACTCAGTCAACCAGTCACTGACTCAGTCAACCAGTCAGTGACTCAGTCAGTCTGTCTGTCGGGGAGTGACTCGGGGAGTGACTCAGTCAGTCAGTGACTCAGTCAACCAGTCAGTGACTCAGTCAACCAGTCAGTGACTCAGTCAACCAGTCAGTGACTCAGTCAGTCTGTCTCCCCGTCACTCAGTCAGTCAGTGACTCAGTCAAAGACTCAGTCTGTCAGTCAGAGACTCAGTCAGAGGACAGTAGGCTGGCACTTCAGGTCCAGCAAAAATGAATGTTCCGAGTACTGAATTGTTCCCACCTTGTCATGGAGTGTCCAGCCGATGTACTTGAGATAGCTGTCACTTAGAAACATCTCGCTGTAATTCTTCATCCACAGTCCGATCTCTCCCATGCAGATGGAGCGGATTTCTGGCTGTGTATCACTGAACGTCAACAAGAAATTCATCATTGAGGAGGCTACTTCGTTTAAGATTTGTCTAATGATGGAGAATCTACTTTAATCTTTTCCAAAACTAAAGGAGTTAAATTTTCAATATTGGTCTTAGTCATTCTTTCAGATCTAGTGAGCTACTAGCCTTGGACTCCATCCTCTAGATCCTTACCGATAGCGATGGACAAAGATTCCCTTGAAGATGTTGTTCATCATCTGTTGGACCTCCTCCGTGTTTTCAATGATCTCCTGTCGCTTGGCCAGGAGCATCTCGATCCTCTCGCTGGCGCGCTTCGAGGTCTGCTTGGCACGCTCCGTATCATGCTGCCGCTGCGTGTTGTCCAGATTGACGCTGAGATTGAGGGCGACGTTTACGAGCGAGGTCATCAGCTTCATGGCTGTGGAACAGAGAATGTTGTCATAAAGTCATTTTTTTTCCAACCCTAACTCTTCCAAAACTGTGTCCAATGCAAGTCTATACAAATTAATAGCGAATCTGAAAATAATTAAATTGTGTATGGCTGTTCTATTAAAGGTAGAGAAGGCTATATCATTTGCAGCTAGCCAAAATGTAGCTGACAAGTTGTGAAAAGCATACTCCCTGTGAAATTATTCTTTCTGGCATGCTGTCATTTTGAGAAAGAAAACAATAAAAGAAGGTTATTTCCAAAGATGCGTCTTAAAACACATTTTTTGAAGTTTCTGTTAGTAGTTGGTTTGTCATTTGTCAAGCACACACGCGCAGTTGCTATACTTCGTCGGTTCAGTACATGACATCACGTAGCTGCAATCGGCTGAATGAGAACGTGTCCCAGACGCTGATTTCGGGCGCAATTCAAAACATGAATCGTCAACTTTGGAATTGAAATCGAGATCCTGGAATATTGATTTCTCGGAATATACAGCATTCATTGAGCTAAAACTTCATCAGGTTAGTTGTTAAATACCCTTCTTTAGATTTTGAGCACTTCAAACGAAAAACGAGTTCAAATGACAAATGATATAATCTACCTTTAAACTTGCATTAACTTATTTCAGGATGGGTATGTAATAGATACTTTGTATGGTAGCCCAAAAGGCTACCCAAAGATGGCTACCTTATGCACAGAGTCTATTCAGATTTTCAAAAAATAAAAAATCCCCTCCTTTTAACCCCTTAAGCACGGGTTATAATGGGGACATTCCTCCACACATAGAGCAAGTGGCCCGCATGACTGCACAGCCTTTTTGTGGTAGTGGGACTGCACAAAAGCAGCAGCTGTGGAACTACCCACTAGCTGTGTGCCACGGCATACCACAGCTGGCAACTGCATTCCAATGAGGATTAGCAGCCGCGGCCATGACCGCTTCCCGGGCCCATGGGGTTAATACCTGCCAATGTGCTGGTGTGTCTGAAGGCCCGGACCTGCGAGTCGCTCAGCCCAGTCAGCAGTGAGATGACGTTGTCCATCATGAACTGATCGTACAGGATGCTGTACTGACACTGGCGCACCAAGACCGAGATGAAGTCGCAGAAATTCTGACGGAATTTCTTGTAGAGGGGGCCGTTGATGATCAGCGGGTAGTCGCCGCTCTCCTGTTTTGGAGAAACTTGAGGAATTAGTCCAGCACAGAAAACCTTTCCTGAACACATATTTGTTAAGCAGTAAATCTCTGCTACGCAGCTTAATACAATTGGTCAAAGTTTGGATGATTTTGATAAATAAAAGTTTATGTAAAATGATGATTTTTTTTTCTTTATTTTAGTTCATTGTAAAAAGTTATAGGTATTGGGGACATAAAGTTGTCGTCATACCTCATCAAACTCCTCGGTCATGCGTCTGATGATGTCACTATGCTCCATGTTGGAATACATCTCCAAGGAAACGGTGCCCTTGCATCCCGAGCATTGGATGAAGAAGTTGATGAGATCTAAGAGGGCCGTGTCTCGGTTGGACTTGTAGCACTCGATCCACTCGTCTACTACAGTCTACAGGATTGGCACACACACACACATTTTTTTTATCTATAAGTTATATAACCTCTCTTAAAGGGAAAATACAACATTTGCAAACATCAAAAAATAAAACTACCAAATCATTTTGAAATACCTTGCTGGACTGTAAGTGAATGACAGTGTAAAGCATCCTGTAAAATCATGGCACCTGGTATACTGTCACTTTCAAGAAAAGTGGTATTTTTCTATCAATTTCCAAAGCTGGTCGGGCCGATCAGCGTTGGAAAAAAATTGCTTTTTTTCAAATACTGGCCCCAATTGACCATCGCACTTGTTTGCAATCGATTACACACCTATGAACGAATACAAGCCAGCTAGACTGGTTCCCTGACCTTACAATTCCCCAATGTATGTAAACTGCTCTGTTTCTTCTTATATTGAGTCAGGGAACAGACTACAGGAAAATGATTGTTTTTCTTGGTTTTTATAGCATTTTCGAACCCAAAACCTCAAAAAAGTCAGTGTAACTATATTTGCTATATATTTCCAACCCCCCAATTCCATCCATTTCTGAAAATTACAGCAAAAGCAAATGATGTATATTCCCTTTAAACAAATAATATGCAATGGGCATATTTAATGGAATTTAATGTTCCATTCTAAATGTTGGACTCAGCATGGATCCTCTACACAAGGATAAATGACTCATCTGAGCTTGTGTACAAAATGTACGGAACGGTATGTCAACACGCCTGATATGCTATGATCGCCGACAGCTGGCTTACTGACAGAAATTTGACCACTGAAAGACTGCAGTCAAGCGCCGAGTCTCGTGCACACGCACGCATGACGCGCAAGTGCCATATCGCGCCTCTAACCAGTAATTTGGGGAAGTCGTTTATATTTGTGTAGAGGATCTGTGGACTCAGTAAGCTCAAATTGTTGTCTGACTTTTTTAGACTCTGCATGATGGCTGCAGAATACATCTGAAGGAGGTTAAAGTGAAGAAAAAATGTGAGAAAAAAAATGCGAAAAAAACCTGAGGAAATCTAACTGACCTGTAGTGCCCCCTTGCCCTGTCTGACGATCTCAAACAGCGTGACTGGTTCCCCGACGTTCTCCGCCTCTGATTCCGTCCGGTGCTTACTCTTATGTTTTTTGCTCTTCTTTCCAACCTGTAAATGAAATAAGTGATAATTTTGTTGTGATGTTATTTAGGGATCAACTGTGCAGTATGATCAGAGGAGACATCTCAAAGCTTAAGGAAACTTACGCCATCGTGTTTCGGTCTTCTTTTTCCACGGGCATCCTCGAAGTCACTGTCATCCGAGTGCTCTCCTCTGAAAAAAGAAAAATATTCATCTGTTATTTTATGTCACAAAAATGTCTTAATAAACAGTGATTATTCAACATGCATCAACAAAACTGTAGTTTTGAAAGTTATTCTTCAATTGTATTTCATTGCTCAGTGTTTCAATGCCGGTATTTAGTTATGTTTATATTTTATCTTTCTTGCAGTCGTAATGATCAGATGATGTTTGTGTTTAGAGTTAAAATTGAAAGTTTAATAAAACTTCTCAAACCTCGGATGCTGGGTCTCATTGTACTTACTGTGGGATGTCCATGCTGGCAAGATAATCAGTTACAGCTTTCTCTTCAGAAAACCTGTCTTCTCTTGCTTTCTTACAGTTAGTAGCTCAGCTTTGGCTGTTGGTAGAAATAGAAATTAACGTTAGGGAAGGCCCAGGTGCGGTTCTAGAACCAATATTTTGGGGGGGCTAGCAGGGTGGATCCAGATTTTTTTCAGGTAGGCGTGCTGAAATGTAGACCGGTTATTTTTTCCAGACACTTCGGCCTCCGAAAATCAATAAGTGGGGGGGAGGGGGGGGGGGGACTCATGCCATATTTTCAATTGTCACCACTATTTCTTTAGGGGGAGACCGTTCGCATGTACATCACAATCCTTCTTTTTTGCTTATGCAATTTCTTTTTACGGCATTTATTTTGGGGGGGCTAGACAAAATTTGGGGGGGGGGGGCTAAAGCCCCCCCTAGCCCCCCGTAGAACCGCGCCTGGGAAGGCCTAAAACTGGAATCTCATTAATCTGATGGAAAGAATTCCACACCTGGACATCACTTGACACCCCTGTGCACAAAAGTATGAGACTGGTCTGACAAAAATTGCATGAATCCATGTGTTTTCTCAGTAGGCCTAGCCCTAAGACTAAGTTAAATAAATGCTTCAAATAGTTCAATATTTTTCCTGCAAAATTTGACTTTTTAGGACATGATATCAACTTTCTGAAGGCTGAGTGACAGGTCACCGCAGGGGAAAATTTGTGATGTCTATATTTAGAATTCTTCCCAATTCTTTATTTGCCAGATCAGAACAGTGCATGTTCAGCGTTCGACAATCAGCGACACAATTTGAAATGGCCAATGCATGATTGCACGAACCGGCAGTCAATGCGGTTTGCACGGCAAAATACACACACTGACACAGCATCTCGAGCAAACCCGGGAAAAAGTAATTTGATGAAAACTGTAGGAATCCACTTTGAATAGGGAAATCAATTGTACAATTCTGATCAATTATCTCATATTTTACCAAATCCCTTCTTCAGAGTACAAATAAATATTAATAATATGCATATTTACCTCCTGCTTTGGTTTTCGCGGGAAGACAAAAAAAGTTCGCGAAAATTTTCGATCCAAAATAGTCGCACTGGTACCCGACAAGCGTCATGATATGATTGTATTACTGATATTGGTTACCAGTTTTACCAAACGAAAATGACCATTTTAACGAGCGCCCTCTAGCAGTCATAAAAATCGTGGACGCCTCGCGGTGATAGTTGGTACTCCGACGGATTGATTGTGCGCTAATTAAATGGATCTGAATTGATTACCAGTGAATTCGAAATGAGCCAAATTTCAGTGAAGTAAAAATGGCGGAGAAGCTTCCGTGGGGATTGCGGAACGAGCGCATTGCGCCCGGGTCTATGAAGGTAAAAGACAGACTATTCCACCATTTTCTTTTACTAATTTTTGATAAAGTAGACAATGTTCTGTAATTCGTATTGATTTGAAGAGTGTAGGTTGTATCTTGGCTGAAATAATGAAGATTATAAAACTTCTCAAAATCATTGGCGGTAGGCAAACGTGTCGTAAGTTCATTTTCGCCCCACATTCCCCGTAGATTCTGCGGGTGCGTGTCGCTTCGCCCCATACCCAAATTGCATATTTTTCATTACATTATTGACATTGTTAAATCAATCTCTCAAGACTCAACGCATACCTATAGGGCAGGCCAACAGTGATGATGGTTGTGTTGTGAGTCAATTTTTATAAAGAAATTGGGCTTTTTACTTTTAGCAAAATGTTAATTTGAAATGTTTTATTTCATCACATTCATTCGCAGACCATCTCCCAAAATAAATTGAAAGCCTTCAGTGTCGGTCAGATGAATCTTGGGAAGAAACTTTCCAAAAGAGCTGAAGAAGAACAGAAGAAAAAGGTATGGAATAAATATTAACTATGTTAAGCAGCCTTCTTTGCACAGGAACAGACAACCAACATGACCAAAAGAAATTGCAAGTTTAAAAAAAGAACCCCGCAAAACTGTCTAAGTTCTTCATTGGATCAGAATTTGTATTTTTTTATGCTGGGCTGGTGTGAAGTTTTTCGAAAGCTGGACGTCGTCTGGCTCATAACCAAGTGTAGGCTATTAAAGTCATAATTAATTATGCTTTGTGTTCATCACAGATTGTAGCACACAGATTGATTGCAATCATTTAGTTATTGCATTCAAGTTCAATCATTTGATGGTACATGGTTCTGGTTTCGTGAAGAAAGAACAGATATGGTTGTGAACTGCATTCTTTTATGTTCCATTTCGTTACTAGGCACAAGAGAAGGAGGCTGCCAAGGTATTTGAAGAGTTCGTAGCGTCGTTTGAAGACTCTTCTAACCTGGGCAAGACGTTTGTGAGAGGATCAACAATAAATCCAGACTTGAAAGGTAAAACTTGGATGACAGTTTTTTTGAATTTTCCCTAGAGCAGCTGATTTTCACCTATTTTTACTTCATGAATGTAAGGGATAAATTGGTAAAACTCATATTTTGGTCAATGTGGAAATGGTTTTAGCAACCATTGTCAGGAACCTAAGTTAGAATGAAACCTCGATGCAAAACTTTGTGATGTCTTTTCTTATTTTCCAGAGGAAAAATCTGATCAGAAAGCTGGCAAGTTATACAAACCCACGACCAAGGTCTCTGAGACTATCCTTGCGAAAAAGCAGAAAGAAAGGGAAGCAGCAGAAGCCAGAGCCGAAAGAGAACGAGCAGAAAAATTAGTAAGTCAAAAACATACATAATGTCATCATACAAGCTACAGTAATATTGTGTAACAGTCCTGGCATTCATTTTTACCCCCTGGTTTTTAAGCCATACAGGGAGATATTGCGATCGCGTATTCCTTCTGTCCTTCTGTGTGTCTGTGTGTGCAAGTTTATGGTGTCAATTGAGGACACACATGCAACATCATCGATGAATCGAGGACAGAAACCAAATGGAGGACTCCTTGGTTGGAAAATGTGTACAAAACCAATGAGAGCTGTTGCGAAAAAGTTGGAAGTATAAACAAAAGAAAAGAAAAGAGAAACAAGAATATCCTTGATTTACACCATAAACAAACCACAGTGTGATATGTACTTTCCAGTGTTCACTGTAAGTTCAGTCATCAGTCTCAACCAAACTTGATATGCGGTTATTGCTCATGGTATCTGGTAAAGTGATTAGACTCGGGCAACAGGTCATGACCTCCAGGGCTACCGTGGTCCTAGATAGCCAAACGTTTATGTCATTACAGTTGTGGACTAGCACAGCTGCCCACCCATTTCTTTGCCAATATAGGTTGCTCATTATGACACATTCAATTTTGGTTTATGTACACTGAACATTTTCCTTAGTAACTGCCTGTACAGTACATGTGTACAAACTGCCACTATGCCAGGGGGATCACACAAGTTTTACTTCCAGTATTTTCGAAACTTGAAATAAATCTCAGCATTATAAGTTTACTCTTTTTTTTACTCACCAGGATTTTTCGAAGAAGAAGAAAGAAAAGGAGAAGTCCAAAAGCAACTTGGAACTCTTCAAAGAAGAACTCAAAGTGTAAGTGTCGTTACTATGAAGCATCGTTAAAACGAACTGGCATTTGTATCTGGTTCGCCAGTGAAAATGTCAAATGCAAATATGTGTGCTTATAACTTCCCTGAAATTAGCCTCTTATGTAATTTTCTCTGCGTTTTACAGATTGCAGCAGGCAAGGGAAGAGCGCCATCGCTTGAAGAAAGAGAAAGGACATCATGATATCGACAGTCACCATGAGCCGTCGCACTCATCGTCGGCTGATGTCAGGGTGCCAGGTGAGTTGCGGATTGGACATTCTAACCCTCACCCCCTAGTAGTTTCTCAGGACTACCCTGCTAAATCCAGCAGAGGATTGAGGAAGGTTAGGGTTCATATTTATTTAGTTACACACAGAATTTTTAATTTTTTTTTCCAGCTGGAATGGACGAATATTCCTACGGTTCCCATGACTATGGAGACCCATCCACAACCAATATCTTCCTGGGTAGCATCAACCCCAAGGTACGTCCAATAAAACGTGGATTTATTTTACCAACAATACCCGAAGTTTGAAAAACCCTGCTATCAAGACTGTCCAGTTGTAGAATCCACACAAGTACCGCCACTACAACACTGTTGTTGTCAGGTGTCACTTTTTTTTTGTCGACGGTAACTTTTTTGTCAACGACTGGCTGTTCATTGTTTTCTATCCGTTTAGCAGGTTAAAGTCCTTGACAGTTATAAAATATGCAAATTTTAACTGGCGCGCTCTGCATGCAACTTGTACACCGGCGCAGCACGCATTTGCAGCTGGCAGTTTCCAATATCCGAATATTCGGTCAAACGCATTTTTGAGTAATCAAATATTAAATTATTTGAAAATAGACAGCCCTACTTCTTATTTCTGTCTTTGTCGTTGACACCTTGAGTGGCCATGGCATTCGCTCTTTTCACGCTCCGCCATTGGGCATGCAGAGCCTCGATCTGGTAACTTAACACAATAAAAATAGCCGGTTCAGTGATCTAAAACCCGGCACAGGAATCACTGAACCCGGCACAGGAATCACTGAACCCGGCTCTATTTATTGTGTATCGTTGCCAGATCGAGGCTGTGCATGCCCATGGCGGAAGTGTGAAAAGAGTGAATTATGGTTAAAGCTATAGTCCATCATTTGTAATTAGTGCATTTTGTTCGTTTGAAGCAACAAACGTGTTCAAAATCTAATGAAGGATCCTGAACAACTTACTTGATGAAGTTTCAGCTCAGCTTCAGCTGTATACTCCGAGAAAAACAGCATTCTAAGATCTCAATTTCAAATCAAAAGTTACTGAATCATGTTTTGAATTGTTTTGAATTGCAGCTATACGCGACGTAGCGCACTGATCCGACGAATTATAACAACCGCGCGCGCGTGTGCGTCGTTCCAAACCTTGTGCGCGCTGCGCTGAATAACAAAACGAACTACTAATTTAAATTTTCCTACGGTGCTTCTTAAGAATCACCGTTGGAAATGCCTTCTTTTGTTGATTACTTCAAAATGACAGCTTCCCAGAAAGAATAATTTCACAGGAAGTTTAGTTCCCTTACTATCTTTCAACCAAGTTTGTTTTTCAACAATAATTACGCCAGTTACTTTTCGGATGGCTGCAAATGATGGACTATAGCTTTAACAATACCCATAAAAAAAAATTTAAAAAAAAATTTTCATTTAAATAAAATATAAATTTGTATGCATAACACAGATGGATGAAGAGATGTTATGTGAGGAGTTTGGTAAGTACGGCCCGCTGGCCAGCGTCAAGATCATGTGGCCTCGGACAGACGAAGAGAGAAGTCGTAACCGTAACTGTGGCTTTGTGGCCTTCATGACACGCAAGGATGCCGAGAGAGCCATCAAAGCCTTGAATGGTAAGCCTTTTGCCCTTCGTTTCTCGTCTTGTGCCTTTGAAATTTGCCTCCGAACATTACCCTCAAATCTTAAAAGAGTCTTGATGTCGTCAGTAAACCTAGAGTACCTTTGCCGTGACCTCCGAGTTTTAACAAGCAACCCTAGAATAAAGACTTGACAAAGTGGAAAGAATGCAAACACAGGATAGAATACTTCGGTTGGTAGAGTAGTGGTTTGGCATTCCGCTGGTTGCACATTCGAATCTAGCCTCAGTCAATTTTCTTTGTAGGATAAATATTTGACGAATTGTTTCCAAATAAAGCATACATTAATTGTATTATTATTATTATTATTAGTTATTTCTGGTAATGTAACCAAGGATTCCTCAAAAGCCCCCTAGGCACTGTAGCTCGCAAGCATGAAGTAACCTCCAGAGAGGAGACAATAAGAAGAAATTACAGTTTGAGAGGTGGGAGGAAAACCCTAGAAGAATATACTGGGGAAAACCTGGAAGCAGGTAGGGACTGGAACCCAATCCACATGTTGACCCAGGTGAGATTCGAACCCCGGTCACAGCGGTGGAAGGTGAGGAAAGTACCGCTACCCCAACCTACGCAAGTATTCAACATGCTTTCTGTCCCTTGCCTTTAGGGGTGGAGTTTATGAACTACGAGATGAAGCTCGGCTGGGGGAAGGCCGTACCGATCCCGCCCAATCCCGTCTACATCCCTAAGGCTATGCTGGACCTCACCATGCCACCGCCACCCTCTGGGCTCCCCTTCAACGCTCAGGCCAAAGATAAGAAGACGAAGCTGCCTCAGCCCAATCAGCTCACCACTGAAGAGGACCCCGAACTCTTGAAGGTATTTGCAGTTTTGTCCTGGTTTGACTTTTGATAATTTATCACAGCATTTCCTTTAGGTTTTACCAGTTAGAAAATACCAGAATCTTGCTGGCTTGGGGTTTTAAGTTTTTCCCAAGTCAAATTTGAAATGTACATTATAGAGGCTATCGTCATACCCTCAAAACATCATGCAACTTTAGAGGCCTTGAAATTAAAAAAAAAATGTGCAAATGTGTGTATTTTCAACTGCATCGTACCTCACAAAACTGATGAAAATAGAAAAACTGATAATTTCTGAAAATAAGTTCTTTTACTGTCGCAGTGTTTTTCATATATGTATTTTAAAGTTTACCTCAATTAAATTCATGATTATTGAACAACTTTCTTCACTACGTTATAATTTTGCATTTTACAAATTGTAAAGTGTAAGTTGTTTTCTGCCAATATGATTCACAACACTGACAACTTGGGGTGACTTTGAGACTTTCGGGAGTGACCGTTGGAGTCGAAAACGAATGGATTAGTAAAATCCAAAAACTCAGATTCTCTAGAAACTAAAAAGAAAAGTCGTCAATTTTTTTTACGCAATTTCATAGGCTGCTACAATTCTACTGTCACTTCGATCAGCGTGGCCACTCATCAATTTTGAAAATCCCAAGATGGCCTCTGGAAAAAATTCCCAAGATTTCCCAAGATATCAGGATGGATTATGTATCAAAATAGCAGCACAGACCCTATTTTTAGGCTCATAAAGTGCTTCAATTAACATTTTGCGCATGCGCAATCCATACTTTCATTTGTCCTCAATATGCAAAAAAAATCCCAAGACTCAGTGAAAATCTAGCCAGAAAATTTTCCCTAGTCTAAAAATCCCAAGGAGTGGCCACACTGACTTGGATATGAAAAAGTTGCCCCAAGTTGTTAAAAGCCTGATTCTTCATGAACATTTTATACACATACACAAAAACAATCATGCATATTTCAAAAGAGTAAAATTTCTTTTGCATTTTTGACCTGTTTGTGAACCAATTGACTGACATTTTCGTCTTCTTGTTCTGGCCTGTTAACCTGTTCCTTCACCAGACCTTAAAAGAGGCAGTTGTAAAAGTGGTAATCCCGACCGAAAGGTACCCGGCCAAAACCTTTTTTTTTTTTCTCTCGCTTTTTTTTTTTTCTCGAGCTTTTTCCCTTTTCTTTTTTGAAATCTGTATCTACAGCCTTTGTCTTGTGTTTTGCTGTTTGGCAACCTTTGTCATTTATAAGTTTTTTTAATGAATTGCAGATATTTAATTCACTTGGTTCAGTTTTGGGAAAAGGGGAGGCATTATGAAACAACAGTTTTCAAAAAAAAATTTGTGAAAACTAAATTTAACATCCGAAATCAGTTCTCTTTAATTTCTAATGATAAGATTAAAGATATCATTTCAAAGGACTTAGTACAGAGGCTGGCTTTCCCACCAACTTGGTTGGCAAATGATTCAACTTTTTATATGAGTAATCAGAAGGATTTTGGTTCGCATCTCATCTGAAAAGTCTGTCCATTTTTTTCTCAAAAACTTTCAGAAATCACTGAGCATCCACTGTCATGATATGTGAAAGTGGGCAAATTCCCAGATTAATTCAAATTTATGATAAACAAGTTGTCCTTTTTTGTTTTTTGTTTGTTTTTTTGCTTTTTTTTTTTGCACATGAACTTCAATACTGTTAAAATATGTTCTTAGTACGCCCTTTATACTCAATAAAGGCAAATTTAGGGACAAAAACCAAATGTAAAAAACACCAAGGTTGCCAAACAGCAGCAAAGCAACGGCTGTAGTGTTGCCAAAAACTAAATCCTCCACCAATTCTCCCATCAACAACACCGGGGCGTCGACTCAAACACAGGTACGTAGAGTAGTTAGATAAGATTAAACCTGGCGTTTTTACAATGAGTCTGTCAATATGGATTTTTACTTTGGTAGGACTTTTAATTGAAGTACAATAAATATTTGTCCAAGTTTACAGTTGGAATAGATCATAGAGCGATATTAAATTACTAAAGCGCTGACTCGTGTACAAAGTGATGCCTGCTGGGCGCATCCATGTTTGTGCACAAACCTATGGAAAACTCGAAATTTTGTACGGCTATTTGCATATCTGCGTTTGTATTCTATACAGGTACGTTATCAAAGCCAATACGCCCAAAACCGAAACACATGATCAGCAAATGAGCATTTCATTTTGCTCTACGCAAACAGCGCAATGTGTGCGCGTATCCACTGCAGATGATTACCGTGCATTACCGTGACTTTTTGTTAAACAGTCATGACGCGCTTAAGTTGTTTGCGTACGTTCTATTTGCGCGTTGCATTTCGAGTACACTTTCAAAATTCACTCCATCTACTTTCATTATGTTCTACAAACACGCACATGAATTCAAAATGTCTGCACCCAGGACGGCTTCAAAGCGTCTCCGCGAGCAAGAATGAGGAGTTAGTGCTCTAGTAATTTAATGTAGCTCTATGGAATAGATTCGTTGAAGTTAGGATTAGACAAATTACTCTTTTGCTGATGGGCAATTCCACGGTAACGGAAGGACGTTTTCACTCATTAAACAAAATTTCAAATGTGTGTATCACAGACACTGTTCATAGTTACAGCAAACAAATGTCACAATTGTATTGCTATAATGCTACTTTCATTTTCCACACTTTTGAGGGGGAAAGAATGCCTCCCGTTTATGAATTATGAATATTAATGAGGTCGGTAACGGAAGGACGGTAAAACGGACAAGGGTTTTTCAACTTACTCGCGTTTTGCGTAAACTCTGTGAATTTTATGGGGCAATTATATTTTAAAGGTAAGAAATGGAATCCCTGAAGCTTTATCTATACTATACCGCCTTTCATTTGACTTTAAGTGTTTCGGTAATATAATTACAACGTTTTAAGCAGATTATGATTTGGTGACGGAAGGACGGTAACGGAAGGACAAAAGGTTTACTCAATTACAGCATGAACAAAATGTGAATTTACACTAATTATACAAGTGAAACAAATTGCTGAAATGTGTAACTGAATGTGAAATCAACAATATGCAGACCTGGCATAAATAATTATACCCAAGAAACTATTGAGATAAAGATAGAAGCCTGCTAATTAATGATAACAAAAGAAAAACGAAAACAACCCAAAACACATAATTCACGAACACAAGACAACTACAGAAATGGACTTCAAACCCATCACCTCAATCCTTAAAAGTTTAAATACACAGTATTTCAACTCTTGAGTATATTGGTTACATGTTCACCAACAACTTTTAATAATAATACCGGTAGGTTCAGTGGTTTACCTAAAGGGTGGGGGGGGGGGCGACCAGCCTACATGTACATTTAAGGTAAAAACATCTACCGGTAGTACTGATGGCTTCAGTTAGGTGTTGCTTTTAATTGAACTCTAAAATCAATGTTTGAAATCAAATTACAATGATTTAGAGTAGTAACAATTAATTTATAAACATCCAAACTGAAATTGTTAACTTGGGCATAATTTGTCAAAGATTGCACCTCACATGTCTTACACATGTAAATTGAATGAAAGTGCCCCAAAGTACCGGTACTTTCTGCCATCTCATTTTTGACTTAATTTGCTTCTGGAATGGCTTCACAGAATTCGTATCTTTCTCTATTGTCCATGAATGCTGATGGCAGCAACTTTATGATTTGATTTTCTGCAACAACTCCATACATGTACAAGTACTGGTACATCAGCATATATGTACATGTACATTGTACATGTTGTACATGCCTGTGCCTTCCTTTGTAATAAACACCTTGCCCTGCTTATCCCGCTTTTGTGAAGGTGGGTCACATGAATGTCCTTTCAATGCTCATTATACATGCATGTATTTGCAGTGATTTTCATTTTTCAAACATGAGCGCAAATGTCGTAACATTTGATAAAAATACGATTTGTCCTTCCGTTACCGTCCTTCCGTTACCATTTTGGTAACGGAAGGACGTGATTTAATTAATTGTAATTAAAAAACGAGAAGAAAAGCAGTGTCAGTTATAATGTCATTTTGAAGGCCTACCTAAACTTGCTTTGCACAATAACTTTCAATGCATTCATACTGCAAGTTTTAAAAATAAATTAAAAATATGTATATTTTCGGTAACGGAAGGACATTTTCGAAGGCTGAAATATTAGAAGTCACTGAAGCGAAGCAAATTACGCAAAATGTTAAAAACAAGTTTTAGTCGGTTTTTCAAGACCAATACTTTCTCATGACAGAAACTGATGGCATTAGTACATATTTTTGTGTGTGTTTTGGTAGAATACTTTCATATCACTATTAATCACATTTTTAGGATTAAAACAGGATTATTACATAATCCTATTTTTTGGTACTGAAATGTATAAAAAATAAAATTCCGACTTCAAATCTTGAAAATATAGACTTTTAGCTTTCATTTGATGCCAAATTTGTTTAAGTCACATGTATTTGAATTTTTTGGTGTCATGTCCACTTTGGTGTGGAATTGCCCTGATGGTACAATAAACATCTTTTTCAAAATTTCATAATAATTCAAAACACCACATTCAACTTTGTAGTCTTTACAATGAAACATTATTTTATTGTTGTAATTATATACGTCTGAGGTATTTTTATAACTTTGACTGAAAAGTGGTATTACCAAAAATTCAGATTTTCTTTCAGTGAAGCAGTTCAAACAATGGTAAATGCTTCAAATACTTCAACTGTAGATAAACATTGTTCTGCCTACTCACAAAAAAAGTCATAAATATTGATATTTAGAAATTCATCAATTTAGAAGTTCGCCTTGCTACAGCAAGTACAAAAACTAATCATTAGAATTTTAAAAGCAAGTCATATGGTCTAAATTTCAGCATAATATCACGTTCGTTTAAAGATATAGTCCATCATTTGTAATTTAAGCATTTTGTTAGTTTAAAGCAACAAAAGTGTTCAAAATCTAATGAAGGATACTGAACAACTAACCTGATGAACTTTCAGCTCAGCTTCAGCTGTATATTCCGAGAAAAACAGCATTCTAGGATCTCAATTTTAAATCAAAAGTTACTGAATCATGTTTTGAATTGTTTTGAATTGCAGCTATACGCGACGTCGCGCACTGATCCGACGAATTATAGCAACCGCGCGCGTGTGTGTCGTGCCAATGCTTGCGCGCGCTTCGCCGAATAACAAAACGAACTACTAATTTAAATTTTCCTACGGTGCGTCTTAACACGCACCGTTGGAAAGGCCTTCTTTCGTTGATTACTTCAAAATGACAGCTTCCCAGAAAGAATAATTTCACAGGGAGTTTAGTTCCCTTACTATCTTCCACCCAAGTTTGTTTTTCAGCAATAATTACGCCAGTTACTTTTCGGATGGCTGCAAATGATGGACTATAGCTTTAAGCATAATACCATCACTTCATGATATTAATACATGCTAAACATGTAGCAATAAAAAGGGCGGCATCTATTTTAAAAGGGGCGAGTAATATAAAGCCAGTATTTTAGTATAATAGTATTGGGATTATGCTACATAAATAGGGGCGGTTTTAATACATGCCTACCTGTAAACAAACCAACTTATGAAAGGTCTTCACATCCGTACATTCTGTGGCCAGTTTAGAGTTTATCATGTAGAAAATAGAAAGTATCCAGCATTTTTAGAGACATTAATGAGGGGGGCCTCTTTCCCCAAACTCCCTGATGGCCAAGTTACCATTTTTTTTCCTCCAAAATAGCAACTTGCTTGTAGAATTTCTAAGTTGAGAATTAGTTTGTATTCCTTGTCTTGAGGAGAAGTTTCGGCATCTTTCTTAAGATTTATGTTCAAGGTATTGAAATCTAAGTTGCCAAGTCCAGTGTGACCAACCACATTTATGGGGGGAAAAACTTCCTCCTTTTAGATTCTGATCAAATGAAATAGGTGAACAGTGTTGAACCATGTTTTGAGCTGTGATGATGTGACACACAGTTTCCATGTTTACTGTAAATCTATTAGCATTTAGCTTGATAAAAGGTTACCTCACACTGTTAATATATCCACAAAATCAAGTGCAAAAAGATGCTATTTCATTCCTGAAATGTATTTACAAACAGACCACTGTGTTTTGTGGTTTCTGAGATTTTTGGCCAATTTTTAGAGTTTATTTTTTTGGGCATATAACTGTCTTCATTAGGAGTCTGATGATTCAAATTGAAAGTCACAGTTCTTATTAAAGTTTTTTAACACGACATTGTTCCAAGGACAATATTTTGATACAGTTCTTTAAAATAGCATCTTTGCGTGTTCCCTTTGTTATAACCGAATATTCAATACAGAACATCTAAAGTAAATACAAAACACACTTCATTGTACATGTAGCCATACATTTTCTTCTTCTTTTTTTCAAAAAGCTATGGATAAAACAAAACATCTTAACAACTCTCACAGCATTGCACTCTACAGACAACTCAAGCATTTGAAAACAATATCCCATTCTTAGAGTAGGGATTTGTAGGGTGTAGGGATTTGTGGGGAAACCAAAGCCTTTGTTGCCCTCTCGCAGGCCTCTGCTCTTGGCAATCCATCGGATGATCGAGTTTGTCGTCCGAGAAGGTCCCATGTTTGAAGCCATGATCATGAATATGGAAATGGAGAATCCTCTCTACAGGTAAGAGACAAAATTCATTTATTTAAAGGAAGTGTAGATAATTTGTTCTTTGTGCATTTTTTTTTTCGTTTGAAGCACCAAAAGTGCTCAAAATCTAAAGACGGGTGCTTAACAAATAACCTGATGAAGTTTTAGCTCAGTGAATGCTGTGTATTCCGAGAAAACAATATTCTAGGATCTCGATTTCAATTCGAAAGTCATGTTTCGAATTGCGCCCGAAATCAGCATCCAGGACACGTTCTCATTAAGCCGATTACAGCTACGTGATGTCAACCAATGAATCGACGAATAATAGAAAGCGCGCACGCTGCTTCGTGTCAACGCTTGCAGGCACCCATTCACTGATTTGCCGAATTACAAACCAACTACTAACGGAAATTTCCAAATATACGTGGAAATGGCCTTTTTCATTGTTTTCTTCAAAATGATAACATGACAGAACAAACAATTTCACTGGGAGTTTAGTGCCATTACTATCTTTAACCCTTACCCTACTTGACCCTCCAATGCATGCCAATTGTGCCTCAAGAAAATCTCCTATGTTTTTTGCATGGCCCTCCAATATCTGCCATGTCATTTCAAGGGTAACTGGACAGGCACTCCAATACATGCCACAGAGAACAATGAGAGTCCTCTGATAACAAAGTGAGTGCCCCCAGCTGGTCAGTATCAGGCACCCTCCAGGGCCTCCAACTCCTGCCAATTGGAGCCTTCACTGTTAAGACTTGTTATCTGCCAAATAACTGCAGCTGGAGGGCATTGGCATAACCAACTGACATGCAGTAAACTACCCTCAGAGAGTAAGGGTTAAACCAAGGAAGCGTTTCAACAATAATTTTGTCAGTTAATTTTTGGATAGCTGCAAATTATCTTCTGTACTGTTAAAGGGAATATACATCATTTGCTTTTGCTGTAATTTTCAGAAATGGATGGAATTGGGGGGTTGGAAATATAAAGCAAATATAGTTACACTGACTTTTTGGAGGTTTGGGGTTCGAAAATGCTATAAAAACCAAGAAAAACGACCATTTTCCTGTAGTCTGGTTCCCTGACTCCATATAAGAAGAAACAGAGCAGTTTACATACATTGGGGAATTGTAAGGTCAGGGAACCAGTCTAGCTGGCTCGTACCCGCTCAAAGGTTTGTAATCGATTGCAAACAAGTGCAATGGTTAATTGGGGCCAGTATTTGAAAAAAAGCCAGTTGTTTCCAACGCTGATCGGCCGATCAGCGTTGGAAATTGATACAAAAATACCACTTTTCTTGAAAATGACAGTATACCAGGTGCCATAATTTTACAGGATGCTTTAGACTGTCATTTACCAACATCCTGTTAAGGTATTTCACAAAAACTTGGTAGTTTTATTTTTCGATGTTTGCAAATGTTGTATATTCCCTTTAATCTTCTTTATAACTGACCTGAATCCCCCCCTTCAAAAATAAATAAGTTAGAAAATAAAACAAAAAGCAAAAAACACCTCCTTTTTCACACACCTGTGATTTGGTAGGTAGGCATACACCGCGTTATGGGGAAGTTTTTTATTGTTAGGCAAATTAGGACCGAGTTATGGGGACTTTCTGCTGTCCCCATAGCATTTTCGGTCCCCACAAATACCTCGTGGCGACGAGTGTAAGTCCCCACAACTACGAAACAAGAATGTACTATCCAGCTTTTCTACCTTAAATTTGCATTTCCAAATGTTTTGTATAAAACTTTGCCACTGGTTAGCTACACAGTGTTGGATTCAGAAAGATTTGAGACTAGTGCCAGCATGTAAGGTGATTTTATACTTTGTTGCAACAAAACAAAAAGATCGACCAGTAGGCCTACTCATTGAACATATTTGTTTGTTTGTTTTTAATTCAAATTTGTGCTGCTCAAAGTCTCCAATAATACTAATAAACCAAATTCCAAACTATTTTTATTTATTGGTATCATTCATGTTTTTATTCATTTTTTTTTCCAGATTTCTCTTTGAGAACCAATCGCCATCTCATATCTACTACCGCTGGAAACTCTATTCAATCCTTCAGGTAAGTCATAGACCTCAAAGAATCGTTGTTGATTAAAAAATAAAACTGAACAGCAGTATTTTAACCCTAACATCACCTCAAGCTATAAAATACTACTGAGTAGTAACCTGTAATGTGCATTTCTTTCCATACAAGTGTGCACAACACATGTAGTATTCTGTGGTATTTGGTCCTTGACCCCCAAAGAGCCCTTAGGACGTTAGGGTTAATACTTGATATTTCACCGTCATTACTTTATGGCCACATTACTTGATAAAATTGCCTGGCTGTTCCTTCAGTTCTTTTTATTGATATTTTGGTTTGAATTTTAGGGAAACACCATTGGCAAATGGAGGTCCGAGGATTTCCGGATGTTCAAGAACGGTTCAATATGGCGCCCGCCTCCCATCAACCCATACACCCAGGGCATGCCAGAGGAGCTGGCCCCTAGACCTGAACCAGCTAAGAAAGGATCCTTGACAGACAGGTATCGAACTCTAGAAAAACTTTCTGCTGTTATATTCATTTCGTGTTTCGTTCTTTGTAAGTTTATTCTTGAATGTGGTATTACCTCTTAGGCCAAAAAAAAAATATTCGGTCTCTGGTCAGACCAAAGTTCAGACGCGGCAACGCGGCTTTTTTTTTTTTTTTCCTTCAAGCTTTGATTGTACAGACAAAGGTGGGGTACTATTTTGCTTTTTTGGTGTCCACATATACATTGGTGTTCTCCATAATTTGGCTTGGTGCTCTCGATCATTTGCCTTGTTGCAATTTCCCATTCCTTGGTGCTCTTTGGTAAAAAAAAATGAGGAGGTGCGGCAATAGAGGGCGCTGTTGGAGCTACCGCGGAACATTTTGGACCGACCTATTTTTTTTTTTTGGCCTTACTACTCTTTTTTTTTGGCTGGCCCTGACTGATCGACTGACTGACTGACCGAGTATGAATAATGTCCTAAATTGAGACATTTGGGTCTAGCTTATGGAAGCTGAAACCCCCATTCTAGATTCTACAGTCCAAAATCAAAATTCTGATTTGCCTTTTTTTCTCATCATGTCATCTCGTCTCTCCTAGTCAACGAGACAGATTAGAAGACATGCTGCGAGGCCTAACCCTGGAAAGATCCAATATTGCGGATGCCATGGTCTTCTGCCTGGATCACGCCGAATCGGCCGAAGAAATCGTCGAGTGTATCTCCGAATCGCTGTCAATCTTGGAGACACCCATTCATAAAAAGGTGAGAGTGATTGACGACAGTTCTTAAAGAAAGGGTGGATTGACTTCCTCAACCCTAAATCCTTTGGCTTTTTTGCAAGAAGCCTCGCCGAATCCTGCTCAATTGCACATTCCAGTTTTAATACTTAACTCTCAAAGGGCATAAATCCCAATGTTCGTGTATGACCGACCTGTACCTTCCTAGGTTTTGAAATTGGGTCCTTACACTTTCCTTCCTTCTATCGACCTTTGGCCTGTGCCCTACGACCTTTGACCTTTCCTCAGCTGGGAAGACTCTTCCTGATCTCGGACATCCTGTTCAACACCAACACCAAAGTGGCCAATGCATCCTACTTCCGCAAGTACTTTGAGGTCAAACTGCCAGTGATCAGCATGAACCTGAGAGACGCTCACCTTAATATTCAGCAGAGACTCAAAGCAGAACAATTCAAGGTAAAAAAAGTTGACACCAGATAATTCCCTTGAACATCATCATTTCATCAACCAATCCAGACGCAGAATAACTGCACACCGATGAAGGCCCCCAGTAATGGCAGAAGCATTTTGCAAGCTATGGGCTCCGTGCGTTGACGAAAGAGGGCGCTCTTTTACCTAGCAACGACGTCCCATGGGCGGGACATTTCACTGGTTGACGCGTACCGTTCCTTGTGTGTGACGCACGTACACCAAGGGATTTGTACTATGCACACGCAGTGGCCTCGCTTCGCGGCAATGCAGTCAGGCAAGATGGTGTCGGTCGGTTGCCCCCAACTGTGCTTGCTTTGCCGGTGAGGGGTGTACTTGTTAACGGAGCGGATAGACGTAACTATCATCGCGTATTGTTATGTCACATTTTGAGTGGCAACACAGTGAGCAAAACGTTGTAGACCAAGAAACTTCTTTTTTCTTTTTACAAAAGGTAGCACAGTGCTTCCACCATTACCAATGGGGAGGGGACCTCTCCTGGTGTAGAGTGAATTATTGTCTTGATTTGTCTAAAATAAAAAGCGCTGTAAAGACTACTTCGGGGACAGCCATTTTCCGGGCTCCTTCGACAAATAGGATTACCTTACTAAGATGTGCAGGCACCCTGTCGTTATGAACGTGTGAGCGTGGCGCCACTGCAAAAATTGCTTCAAATTTTGTTCGGCGAATTCCAGTATTGTCAGCGCTGCTCATGAGCCTGTGAGAGAAGGCACCTGGTTGGTCAGGTGGGACTCGATGCCACAACCTCCTGATAACGAGTGCAGATGTCCCAATCAGTCCTCAAGCACTGGGCTTGCTGGGGTCAATTGGCCGGCTCAAGTGCTTTGATGCGTTCCTATCATAGAGCTACATGTTTTGAAGCCGCTCTGGGCGCAGACGTTTTGAATTTATGTGCGTGTTTGTTGAACACAATCAAAATAGATGGATTGAATTTTGAAAGTGTACTCTAAATGCAACGTGCAAGTAGAAGATACGCAAACAACTTGAGCGCGTCATGACGGTTCAAAAAACATCACGGCGAAGAGCATCTGCAGCGGAGGGACGCGCACACGTTGGCACTGTTTACGTAGAGCAAAATGAAACGCTCATTTGCTGATCGTGCGTTTCGGTTTTGGGCGTATCGGCTGCGATGACGCACCGGTATGGAATACATACGCAGATATGCAAATAGCCATACAAAAGCCGTACAAAATTTTGAATTTTCCATAGGTTTGTGCACAAACATGGATGCGCCCATCAGGCATTACTTTGTACATCGAGTTAGCGCTCTAGTAATTTAATATGGCTCTATGGTTCCTATGCACACCGATACCCAGGGCCGGATTATTAAATAGGCACAGTAGGCACCGCCTCATGCCTACGAAAAATTCGGGGCCTGCGAAAAATTTGAGGGTCAACCAAAATACCAGTGTGTCATAAAACACACACACACCCACCAAACGCAGACACAAGAAAAGTTTTAGCGTCTCTCTCAGATTTTCAATTTTGGGAAAACTTCAAACTAGCTAGTACAAAGCTGACTGCGAACCTCAATAGGTGTAATACATTGTAATAACTGGTAGCTAACCCAATACATGTAATACATTGTACAGGCTTATAGAGCTACCAGTTTGGCCTGGCATGCTTAGTACAGCTTAGCATAGCTTAGCATCAACTTGAGATGCGAGACTGCAACACTAATACCAGAGCTGTGAGATTGGTGCCGGTGCTTAGGGTTGAGTAGGGCCTACGGAACTCTGGTGTCTAGGGTCTACGGAACACTTAATCAGGCCCTGCCGATACCAATTGAGAGTTTAATGCAGCGAGTATCCTGTTTGTTTTTGACAACACAGCAAAAAGTGATGGCGTGTTTCCGAGCATGGGACGAGTGGACCATCTATCAGTACGACCTTTTGGTGAAGCTACAGAACCTCTTCCTGGGCCTGATGCCACTGACTAAAGATGACGGCGAAGAAGAGGTAACAAGAACGGAATGTGAATCTTGGACAATGGGTTTCAGTACAAATTATAAAACATACATAAAATTAGTGTTCATTGCTCTCTCTTTTTAAAATAATTTTCATAATAATTTTTTTTTATGTGGGAATGAGACATACCAAAGTTTATTTTTTAGTGAAAAATGTTTCGGGGTTGTCTGGAGAAAGACTTGTTTTTAGTGAAAAAAATACTGGAAAAAAAAAATTGGCAAATAAAAAAATTTAAAAAACCTTGTGCTCAAATATTTCTTGCCTAAGTTCGGCTGTTTATAGTTCTCCCAGATGTTTGATTATTTGTTTGTTATTTGTATTTTTTTTTTTTTTTTTTTTTTTAAGGATGTACCCCAGCAAGCAATCTCAGTGGAAATGCTACAACGAGAAACCGCTGAGCCAGAACAATCAGACCTAGACGGCGCCCCCTTGAGATACGACGAGAATGTAGACGGGGAACCAATAACTGTAGAGGACAACGGCAGGCCAGACCTAGATGGGATGCCGTTAAAGGAGGACATGGGCGGAGACTTGGATGGCATGCCACTGGAGGGGGGTGAGGATTACGACGGCGCTCCAAGTAAGTTGATACCGGACAAACGTGGAATTGTTTAACCAGTTCTCGCCGGATGACGTGTATACACGCAAAGGGTTTGCGCTATCCGGAACAGATGATAGATAAACACCCAGGGAGCGAGGCCGGAAATATCTGTCAGCGACCCGCTCGCAGCGAGCGAGGCCGGAAGTATGAGTGTGCTGCCCGAGGGTGATGGCTTCAATCCGCCTGGCTTGAGGTCGAGTGAAAAATAATATCGCGCCTTGTTCCGTTCTTGTCAAAATCATCCCAGCGTGAACTGGTTGATCTTAACCCCCTCCCAGGTTCTTCAAAAGGCTCTTGGAGATTTTGTAGGATTGAGAAAGGTCCAACCCAGCAACTGCTACGTAACACAGAGCTTGGTGCCCTTTGAAATTTCAGTACAAAGAGCAAAATTTAAACCACAACCCTCCGAAGCCCTTCAAACTCTGCCAGTTTTAAGGGTGTGCATATACGGGTAGTACAGGAACCGGGTAACTGTCGTTGCAAAAAAACACGGGTACTCGGGAACCCGTTAAAGAAACCCATCCCCAAATTCCAATCTCTGAAGTTGCTATCTGGATTGTTCATAAAGGGCGGCACGATAAGACAACGTCATCGGTTCGTCAATACAGCAAGATGCAAGCTTGTACAGTTGGCTTTATGTCTTTACGGTGTAAAACTGCAACTTTCGCGAACGTCATAAACGTTTTATTTTCTTATGTAGCCTGGTTTTCATTTTGAAAATTTCCCACGTATGACATTCGAAACCTTTCTTTTTTAATTGTCTTAGAAGTTACTAAGTAAATTGTAAAGTTGGTTACAGATACAGGATCCCATACATAACCTGGAACCGGTTCCTGACATCAACACTCGGGTACGCGGTTCTCATACACAGCCTCGGCCAGGTTTTTGAGGTTTTTGCAGGCTTAAGGATGGTAGAGCTTAGCCAGCATTACTTTTACATGGGGTGTAAAGCTCCCATGAAAGCAAAGCGCGAAGAATGTGTCATTGTGTTCTCCCACAGAGGAAGATTCTGAGGTATTAAGGAGGGTTCCAAGCCAAATTGAGATAAAAGGTAATTAATGTTTGTTTTTTTGCTCAGTAAAAGATGACATCGATCTTGACGGCACTCCAATAGCTGAGCCACCTAAAGAGAAGAAACCAGTCGGAGGATTCAAGGTGGCTCCCTCCAAGTGGGAGACGGTAGACGCGTCGGTCTTAGAAGCTCAAGCCATGACGTCCTCTAAGTGGGAGTTGCTTGAGAAAGACGAGGAGGAAAGCACAGGCAAAGATGAAGACGAGGATGAAGACAGGTGAGACTACTCTTTCTTGTGGTCTGGTGGTCATCATTGAGCGGAAAAAGTTCGGAGTCTTCATTGATTGATACCTGTGCCCTACTGTTGCCCTTTTTCAGTCGAAGATTGTCATGAACTACCATCATAACCTGACAGACATTGTAAAGTTCTGTTGGGGGAATTTTCAGTTTCCAGGGTGTTATTCAAATTTACCAACATTTCCTATATAAATCTCCAACAATCCAGCATCTGTTGTTTGTGGACCCGGTTGAGCGGGTCGAGCCAGTTGACGTGTCTGGTTAAGAAAAGTTGACCAATGGTCTCTAAACTTGCTCTGTTTTGAAGCCTTTTGAAATTTTTAAAATTGGATAAGAGGATTATTTCTCCTCCTCGTCTCACCAGCAGAGGTCAAGATGATGAAGATGCAGAGGGAGATTGGCAGGAGGAGAGTCCCGAGAGAGAGACGTCATCCCAAGACATTCATCTCAAGACGACAGAGATGACTGAAGAGAGAAGAGCAAAACTCCGGGAAATAGAGGTAAATAGCAGAGACTGTTACGAATGATGTGGGCTTTGCAGACGTATGGGGCTCGTGTAGCTTCCTCACTAAGCTCACCTATGTACATTTTCACCATTTTCCATGAATATTTTACTTTGCCTGATGAAATTACAACACAAAAACGGGATGTTAGTAAATTGGAATTGTTTGGGTGCATGTGTACGTCCTTGGATTCCTTGATGAGAAGTGGTTGCAAAATTTTTAATGAAATGTTTCTTGCTAAACTTTTTGGTGCTCAGCCAATTTATGTGCTCTGCACCTCCTTAAAATTGTTTTACCATCAGGCATTGTTTAAGCTTATGTTGACTTTGGAGGCATATTTTCCGATGTGATATCTTCTTCCAGGTGAAGGTGATGAAGTTTCAGGATGATCTTGAGGCAGGCAGACGGAGTCGCAAACACGGTTTATCTATCCAGGAGCAGGTGGCCAAGTACAGGGCCAAGCTGCTGCAAAAGGTAGGTCTGAAACCTCCAGTACGCCTATAACCCCAACTTAACCTCCACTCCAACTTGAGGTAACTGCTTCTTGGATGAACCCAATCTAGAATTCTGAGCAACTGAAATCACTGCAGTCTGATGGGAACCGATTTAGATTGGGTATTTTTGGCGTGATACAGGGATTTCCTCATTAAGATCAAGCAACTCCGGTGATAATTCGGTTCAGAATGCTTGATAAATCCGATTTATATTTTGCCTTTTATCTTGGTTGATTTCTCAGGAGCAGGATAAGGAGATTGAGAAGCAGAAGGATCGGGAGAAAGAGCGACAACGAGGGAAGAAGTTGGAGAGAATCCGCGAGTTTGAGCGTGCCCGTGAACGCGAGCGGGAACGCCTCGGCCGCGTCTCGGACGATTCCGGAGACGAGACCCCTTCCTCATCGTCACGTCGTGAGCGCAAACGACGTCGCAGCCGGTCAGCGAGCCCCAAGCGCAATCAGTCCCCGTCCCGTTCCCCGGTGTCCGAGGGTCGACGGTCTGGCCACATGGACCGGTCCCCTCTCTCCATCATCAGAGATTATTCCGACTCGCCGACTCACAAGTCTAGATCCGGATCCCCTAAGAGAACCTCTTCGCGTCGTCGCTCACGTTCCCCGAGAAGAACACACCGGTCACGGTCGCGATCACCACGACGTTCTCGCAGGTCAAAGTCAAGATCAGGTTCACCTTTTAGGTCCCGTAAGTCGCGGTCGCGATCCCCCGGCAGGCATTTAAGCTTATCAGCATCCCACAAGAAGAGAAGGAGATGAGAACCCATTCCCTTTTTGTACAGTAACTGCCTTTTCTTATGTAGAAAGTAAAGTTCACCATTGCATTCTGTTAAATTGAATGTAGTACAATGTACATGTAAATCACAATTCAGTGTTTACTTTGATTTTCCTTATCTAACTGGTTGGCTGTCAGCTTAGTGCTTTTTTTAGGTGTCAAAAAAAAATTTCAGATTTTGTCGCATCAACATTTCATACATGATACCCATGGGATATGAGTTTGGTTTAATTACGATCACAAATATGATGTATCATTCATCATGATGTAATATCATTAATATATGTCGTTACAAACAAAATTGTTGTATCATGTGATTGCATACTGTAATTTCAGTGGTCTGGGACGGCTACGTGTCTGGACAATAAAAATGCATGTCACACACTGAAGGTGATATCGCACTGCGTTCGTTGAGTGCGCGTGTGGAACCTGCCAGTGTGCTAGCTTTGCGCAATGAGAACTGCAACGTCAAACACTCAGTCTCATGTCCGGCAGGACATCAAAACCTTCATTATCAAAGGTTAAATTGCAGTAATTTAATTTATTTCTCACAGTAAGGTACAACCATTTATCTTTTTGAGTTATTGGCACGATATAACAAAACAATTGTTGACTGCTGTAATGTGGGATATGTCGTTTTTGACACCCTCATAGCATATCCCACATCACTATTAAAGGGCAACGTTGTTGTATCACAAACGTAACTTTCTCCACGTCTAGAAATGGCCATTTTGAGAACCATTATAGGTCTGAAATTTACTAACGTTCTAAAATAGACCCTTCTGAAACCATGTCACATTGGTAGAGTATTTAACCGTTTCTTTACAATTGAGAAAAACATCGTTTTTTTCTCTCCATTTGTTAAGTTTTTTTTAAGCTTCTCAAGTGAGCTTCAGCCTAAATCACAGCCAAGGTTTGGATTGAAAACGGGCAGACGGGGACATTAGTCAGGCGTCAACTATGATTTTTGGGAATCTATATCTTGAATTACTTCACCTTCTGGGAACCAGACCTGGCTGTTGTGATCACCCAATGACATTGAGTATGACCGACTCCACCTGCGTTTCCATGTTTCCATGTATCTATCACCATGTCTCTGTCCCTATTTGTCAACAGCCCAACCCTACATGTTTTCATATTCCTGATTTTGTTTGTTTCTCTTATCTCATTGATCATGTCTGAATGGTCTGTTTGTCCCTCTGTTCTCCTGTTGGTTATTTCTACAAGGCTTCTGGCCTCGTTAGCAAATAATGAGGAAGGCCTACAGATCCAGTGAAGCACACAGTCATGTACATGTAGTTGGGAATTAATGAGTGGAGTACATAAAGACTCCAAAGCAGTAGCGCAGCCAACGTTCTCACTATAGGGGACGAGTGGGGGGGGGGGGGGGGGGCTGGATGATACAGTGGAGGTAAACCAATTACTGTAGCATCTGTACGGAAAGGAAGACAGGGTTTTTTCACTGGTCACCCAGCCCGGGGGGGGGGGGGGGGGGGGGGCTGTCTAGACACCATCTTTCTATGGGGGCGCCCTTCAATGCGGACACTACATGTGTACATGTATTTGACAATAGGTGGTGCTCTTCAGGGCGACACATTTAATTCAGATGTTTGCACTACGTTAAAAAGACACTCTTGCGAAAAAGGACTAGCAAATTTCCAGTAGGGGTGATGCCCCTCACACCCCCCCCCCTCCTTGGCTACGCCCCTGCTCCAAAGTCTGTGTACATGCACGTGTCTCAAATACAAACCCACACGCACCCGTTCAAGTTAAGTGCTGAATTGTTAATTGTGTGACTACTTTTCTGTACATTTTCAAACAAAAATGACGTCTTATTTGTCAAATTGCTTTGTAATAAATACATGTGTATATTCCACCCATTGCTATTGTGCACAACTCTTGCTTTTTACCTATATTTGAATTCTCATTGTGAAAATGTAAAGACATCAAGTCTCAAGCTTAAATATCTATGCTGAGCGCTTCGTCTTAAACGGGTGCATACCTGTCCTGTGTTCCCCAACATTAACCCTAACCCTAAGGATTTTGGGGAACATATGCATTGGGGAACATCGGGTAGTCCCCGTCTTGAACCATAAGATCTAGGACTGGAATTTTCTCGTACGTAATGATTCAATGTCATCGTTGACGTTGCCATCTTGCCTTAGAAACCAACTCCTGGCATTACTAAGCCAAAGGAGGTTCCAAGTTTTACTCTACCACTTCCTGAAAACATTTTGCTTGTAAGCTTCTCCAAATGAGTTTTGTCTTCTGGTAATAAGGCGTTGCCCAGGCAACGTGGTTTAATAAGGGTTCTTTTTTTCTGTCTGGGGGATAAAATTCTATGAATAATCTTGGTGGGCCATCTCCCCTTTCACGTTGTGTTTCATAACATGCTTTGCTCGATTTCTGATTCACGCTCAGAGATCAAAGAGCGAGAGTTGGACTTGCAGCGTGACTGGTTGGCTGGTTTAGTGGGAGATTTACCTTTCGGAACGGCAGGCTGGGACCCGGCCCCGCAACAAATTTTCTTGAATAATTAAATAGAAAAACATCCTTTTTACGGGATATCGACCCTCCGACGGATCCAAAACCGGCGAGCTGCTGCACTTTGTCAAAACTCTTCACCAACCAAAACGGCAGTAAACTAAGCAAACCGTCCCGAGTCTTCTCGAAATCAAAGCACTGGATTTTCCTTCTGGAGTAAATTTTTTTTTAAAGTGGCTCAAATTTAAAGCTTGTGGTTTTAGAAAGAAAACATTGGTTCATCAACTGAGATGCCGAGCTGGAACTGACTTTTTCACCCACTGTGATGCGTAACGCACCACGCGCAGTCCGAGCAAATCAGATTCAACCAGAACGAGAGTGCATCTGTGATAACGACCCGGCGTCTAAGCTTGACGCAGGGGCAAGATGGCCAGCCCGGGAGGCAACTTGTACCGAGAGGTCGTTGAAGATGGGCAGGTGAGAGTAGACAACTCCCAGTCCTCGTTTGGCTCGCTTTCTCAGGTGAGAGAATATCGCAAACGTCTGGTCAATGGTCTCCTTAAGAAAGATAATTTACCAAAATAGTTTGTCGACGAATTTGACCTCCCCGATGAAGACATAAGCACCAATAACCGGAGTGTACATGTGGGCAAACTCTTCACAAAAGTAGTTTGTATTTACTGCAAAATAATTTTTAACACGTATTAAAGATGGTGCAGTTGCCACCTCTGTAACCTAGGGTCTTCAAATCCAACCAGGTGCGAGTTAATTTGTCCCCCCGTTTCGATGTTTTTTCTCAAGAATATTTTCTGAGGTGTTACAAGATCCACCCACCTACTGAAGGGAACTTATTTTTCTCGTCATCCGTCCACTTTTTTCCTCCAGAAGAAGACTACACTAGGCCTAAAGTCTTAAATCTCAGAACAAGCTTTGAAATCTACCTGGTGGTTTTGGTTCATAGTTTGGCAGTAGTGAAGAAAGAAGAACCTACAGTGGCGCACTCAGGATTTGGCTTGGGGCTCACAATTTTTTGATTTCAATTGCTTTTTAGAAGTTAAAATTTTTCTAAAAATGTTGCCTAAAACTTTTGGCCGCAGAAAACTAAATATTTGGGGGGGGGGGGGGGGACAAGACTATTTTGACGTTAGTGGCGCCATTTACACCTCTATTATACTACTGGAAAATTGGCCACATATATCACCACGCTCAAATCGTGGGACTAAACAAAAGAACTGAATCCCCCCCCCCCCTGGGGGCGTGAGCCCACCCCCTCTTGGGGGTGGGCTCATGCCCCCAGGGCCCGCCCCCCCCCCCGGCCCCTTGGGTGCGCCACTGAGAACCTAGCCAGCAGACCGTCTGTTCAACGTTTGAATACATCTTTAGGCCTGTATAAATATGCCATTCAATTTTAGGCTAGTTGTCAAAGTGATAGTAGCTTTTAAATAATTCAGGAAACCTCCTAGCAGAAATGCCCAGCATGAGTTAGGTTTAAATATTAAAAGGATACATTTTTCCTTGTACAGGTTGATGATACCGTCCGAGATCTGTTGCTCCATCCAAATGAGATCGGTCGATGCCGGGAGAATCCTCTGACTGAGAAGGGTAAGCGGATCCAGCTGGCTAAGATGCTTCTACTCATCCTCGTCCCAATCCTCTCATTGGCCGTGCTGGCAGGTATCGACCTTCACAACATCGCTCTGAATAATCGACTCAATGTTGAGGTCAGTGAGTTTGAAATCTGCCATCAAAGGAAATGCCTCTCGGCTTATTAAGTTCGGTGCACCACAAATTAAGTGACGGATCGTGGTGCAACCGACGATAAACCAATTTTTACAATGCATCGACCAACTTGAACCAAGCCAACCGACCTACCAACTTAGGATATACCTACCAACCAACCAATTACCTACTCACCTATCCGCCTACCAAAAACAAATGGCTGTTTAACTTTGGGTGTTTGATGTCAAACATAATACCCCCAGAGGACCGTAACTACAAGCTTGATCCATGTAGGCCTGGAAGAAAAAACAAACAGCAATTGTTAAATCGAATCATTTCTATAGTACGTGATACTCCAGAACACAACAACAACAACAAAATCCATGAAGCTCAGAAGAGAAAACAAATTGGATATTTTAGTTCATTAATCATATTAATTACGATTTCGTTTTTGCTCTATAGGTGCGGAATGTGATACGTTTCAGCAGAGATATCGGTGTGCTACTGAGCTGTCTGCAGCGTGAACGAGACATGGTGGCTCTGTTCGTCAGCGCCATCAGCCCCGAACAGGATTCCTTCGTGACGGCCACCTTCCCTCAGACCGACGAAGCCTTGGACGAGCTCCAAGACTGGCCGGTCAAGACTTACGTTCTGACCGAGCTCCCCTACTTCCGTAAGAAGGAAGACTTCAAAGAATACTTGGCCGACCATCGTCGTAACCTCCACCGTTCCAACACCACGGTGTACAACGAGATCGATTTCTACACCGACATCCTTCAGATTTTCATCGACTGGCTCTACGATAGCATCGGGAATTCCAACGGGCACGGTTTGTGGCAGACTCTGGTGTCTTATCAACTCCTGATCGTAAGCAACGTAGACATCGGCATCGCGCGGACTCTGGGTTCTATCTTCTTCGCCCGAGGCAGGTTCTACAGCTTCGACGACTACGTCTGGTATCTGAGTAAAAACGACGTGGGCACCTGGAACTTCGAAGCTTCTAAGAGATACTCTCCTCTCATCAACAGCTTCTATGCTGAGTTGGTCACCACGATGGATGAGAACTTCGTGACTACCATCACTAACCTTCGACAGGAGATACTCAACAACGCGGTTGATGGCCTGCAACCCAACTTTGAGGCAGCCACTCGCTGGTTCGACAGCATGACAGTCTACATCAACATCTTGGAGAGCATGCAAAGCAAGATGGCGGACGAGATCCTTTTGCGACTTGAGAGCGACCTGGACAACGACACCAGTTCCATCGCTGTCAGTATCTGCTTGGTTATCATCGTCATTGTCACCTGTCCCCTCATCCTGAGAGCTTTCTGGTCCCTCACCACGGATATCCAGAACTACGCTCTCAATCTAGCCTCTCAGACCAAGGCTCTGAATAAGCAGAGGAAGAAATCCAACTGGCTTCTCTACTCCTTACTTCCCAAGTCTCTGGCGGCGGATCTAATGTTGAAGAGGCCGGCTGCGCCGTCTCATTACGATGATGTTACAGTGCTGTTCTGTGATCTGGAGGGGCTGGGGTACATCTGCTCCCAAAGTAGTCCAAATGAGGTCAGAAATTATCAATGTTTTCCTTCTTATATCATTCTCATTTTGGGCCTCATTTTTCTCTCTCATCATGTCAACATTTACGTAATCATTTTTCCAACATCACTGTCATTTTTTTTCGGTCATTACACCGCCATCTTCATTGTGAAGCACTTCAATTTTGTAATTCTTTCAGCTTTATCTCGGCCGCCAGGATTTCAGAAATATAAAAACAAATTCTTTTTAAATGAAATGGATCTATTTTATTTTCGTTTCAGGTGGTAGAAATGATGAATGGGCTGTACCTCGTGTTTGACTCTTGCATCGATCGATACGATGTGCACAATGTGGAGACACTGAGCGGCACATTCATGTTAGCCTCAGGTATGACGTCATTCTTACGTAGTATGCTTGCCACCTGTTGTAATTCTTCTAAGTGATCGCTCATAAATGGTTCACCTGTTCAGACCGTATGGCTGTTGATTTTTTTTCCCCAAAAAAATACAGGTGTCCCTAATCGTAACGGCACCAAGCACGTCACTGAGATCGGCGGTCTGGCTCTAGACATAGTCCACCACATCAATCTTCTGGAGGTACCGCACAAGCCCCTGTGTGGATTCAAGGTTCGCATCGGCTTCCATACGGGTGAGTCTTCCGGGCCTTTCGCAGATATTTATGTCTGTTGGTTTGTGCCCTGTGATGTGATACCAAAGTGCAACCGACGGGCAACGAAGTGTATCTTTGGCATTTTATTTTACCCCTGTGCAACACTGTATTACATAGGCCTACAGGGTGAGTAAAAAAAAAAACGAAACCCAAATGTCGGGCCTATTGTTTCAGTGAACTTCTGCATGTAGAACTTTTAAGATCTAGGATATGAAAATCCCAATTCATAAGCTTTCTTTTAGTACAAGAATCATTCAAATCACTCATGTAATTTTCAAGTTACGGAATTTTAAAGACAACCACCGTTTTAAAGTTCTGTCCACAGATCACAAAAAGGTAAGTGTTCTTTCACAAAACGAAAACAAATCACAAAGGGCTATGTATGTGAATTGTTTTAGTTTTGCTGAAAGAACACTTACCTTTTTTATGATCCGTGGGCAAAACTTTAAAACGGTGTTTGTGTTTAAAATTCCGTAGCTTGAAAAGTACATAAGTGATTTGAATGATTATTGTACTAACAGAAAGCTTAAAAATTGAGCTTTCATATTCTAGATTTTGAAAGTGCTACATGCAGAACTTCGTTTAAAAAAATGGTCCTGACATTTGGGTTTCCTTTTTTGTTTTTTACTCGCCCTGTATTGGGACAGACCATGACTTGGCACTCATGGATATACATGTATGTACAAACATTATAGACATCTTTGTGTACAAAGATGTCTATAATGTTTGTGGCTTGAATTCATCTGTTTCATACTTGGCATGCAAATGTGCAAAGTAACAATCTATTTCCGTTCAGCCGGTACATGAAATTCGGAAAATTATAATCCGTATCTCCCGTCTCCAGGTCCGGTGGTTGCAGGCGTGGTCGGCCTGGATATTCCTCGTTTCTGCCTCTTCGGTGACACGGTCATCACTGCCTCCCGCTTGCAGACAGGCGGTTGTGGTAAGTTTTCCTTCATCGATTTATACGGGATATTTTACTTTTTCCACATTCTATCAAAAAACGGCAACTTTTTTTTTAAGAAACTGGAGACGTTAACCTTGATACACTGCAAAAACTGTAGTGTTAATTTAACACCATTCGGTATCTACATAGGACAACACCAGTAAAATTTAATACCAGATGGTCCTATATAGATACCAACAGTGTAAATTTAACACTGTAGTTTTTGCAGTGTATGAAACAAGGTGTCACCACTAGTACGCGGACTTCAAATTTAAAACGTAGTTGCAGTCAGTGTTGTAGGTCTCGAGACCGGTCTCGGTCTCGGTCTCGGTCTCGAGACCACTTTTTGCCGGTCTCGGTCTCGGTCTTGGTCTTGGGAGCTGTGGTCTCGGTCTTGGTCTCGGTCTCGGTCCCCTTTGGTCTCGATATTTTGGCTGGTCTCGAGTCGAGACCAGCCAAAAAGTGAGGGGGCGGATTCCGCCCCCGGCCCATAGGGTTAAGTAAAGAATCAGTTTAGGGCAAATGTGACTGCAGTGTGATGCTAATGGACATGTCTCTCTTCACTTTCTAGTGAGTGAGGCATAGTCCAATAACCATTGCTCCTCTTCTTATTTCTCGTTTTTATTGTGGGACGATCTGTTGAAACAAGCACTTTATAGCCATCCTCATTGATTCCAAATACAACTGAGATTTAAATCTTATGAATCAAGACTGAAACATTATTTTTACCGTCAGATTTTGTATTTTGAATATGGGGAACAATTCAACACTTTTCCCCTAGAAATATTGGTGATTTTTTTCTATTTTCCTTTTCAATTTTTCCTTTATTCGTGGAGGCGGGAAAAGGTTTTTTTTTCATTATATTTATTAATGGATATTCATCAATTTGTAGACCGTTAAATTGGTATTAGTGGTGGACAGCTGAATTTTGTGATCTCTTTATTAAAATAGACACGACTTGGGAATAGAGTATGCAAATTACGTGAAATGTTCACAGTTACTACTCAATAACATGTTCTTTATCCCAATTGTATTTTTTTACAAAATGGAGCGTGCCATTTTATTTTTTTTCATAACTGTCACTTTCTTTTTGACTCGCCATGTATTCATCTTTTCATCTGTGATAAACACAAATTGAGCTACTGCCATGGTCACACAAAAATAGAGTCTAATTGCCTGCCTCGTCTCCTTCCTAAATGTCGATTGCATTTGCATGAGTCGGGAAGAATTGTGTTCCATTAATCGCTATATGCTGTTTACGGCCATCACAATAAACTATTAATATATTGGCAATATGTCGTACTTGTTAATCACTAAAATATTCAAGTAAATCGCCCGGCAAAGTAGCCGATGCAGGCGATACGCTGGCACGGTACAAAACACAGAGAGGGGTGCGCACTGAGCCATGAATCCCAAAAGTACATCTCGCCCACCACATTCAGTTTGTGACAGCGCCATTCTATTGTGTCGGCCATATTCTCAAATAGGCTAATGACGATGATGACGGCGGGCTGAATAACAGAAGATAGATCAGGCAAATATGGTTCATCAATCTTCTATAGTATATGTAACGTTATTGACATTAAACAAAAATAAAGTGGCATTACATTTCAGCCTTAGCCAGGCCTTCTTCAGAGGTAAATGACAGATGAACAAGAAACAAACATGTAGGGGACACACAAACATGCAGGGTTGGAAGGAGAATCACAAAGAGGGATGTGGGGGGGGGGGGCAGATCAATCCATATCCGGCCACCATCTCTCAATTTTTTTTGTACAAATCTATATTCCATGACTGAAATAAATCAATATTTTCTTGCTCCAAATTGTTTTCGAATCAGGTTTACAAGGAGGTCCAATGTAAAATTAAAGTTGCATTTAAATATCCGTTAGTGGTCATTGCTGAAACCAAGGGGTGGCTGTGGAGTTTAGGGTCCGAGTTCCTATGACAGATGAAACATCCACCTTTAATTTTTTTACTTTTGTCAAGTTTCAACATGTTCAAGTTTTGCAAAAACTAGTACAAATTGTCGTACTCCTAAGTTAAAGTTTCTTCATCAGATTTACACTTTATGGTAGTTAAACAATATTTGTAAAAAAAAAAAAAAATTCAGTGGCAAAAATATATGGAGTTCATCAAATAAGGTTTTCCCCTTCTTTAAATTAGGTTGCTTCCAATTTTTTTAATGATTGGGACAATAACAAATTCTGTTGCCATGCTGTAATTTATGGCATGAAGCAAACACGAAGAGCACTCGCATGACACAATTAAGCAGGTACAAGTGATTCCTAACTTTCAATCACTTCCTTCACATCCCCATGAACATCAACATCTCAAGGACAGACTGTTCAGCTGTAATTAGTGTCTTGATGTTTATTTAGATTATTGTTATTTATTATCCGCGGTCTCGGTCTCGGTCTCGGTCTCGGACCATTTTGGTCTCGGTCTCGGTCCGCCTTGAAGGGGCTGGTCTCGGTCTCGGTCTCGGTCTCGCAACTTCAGGTCTCGGTCTTGGTCTCGGTCTCGGACTATCCGGTCTCGACTACAACACTGGTTGCAGTTCTCCTATTGCAATTAGAAATGACCAGAAAGAGATATCCTCTCTTTAGCACTTTATCACATTCGTATAATATTATGTGTGAGAATAGACAGCTGATCCAAACTCTCAGTGTCACACGTGACCAAACAAGTCTGGTAGCTGGAAGTAAAATCATCCCCCCTTGCAATTTACACGTCAAGGTACCCAACAAAGATGGTCTTCACGCACTTTATGGGTGGAACCCACCAAAAAAGCTGTAAATTACTGCACGCGAGCTCATTAATATTTTGTGATCCCACAGGGAATGTTGAACGAGAGGTCCTTGCGGCCGATGTTTGGGACAGATTGTATAGAACCGTAATATCTCTGGAGATCGAGCATTTGAGACTTATATGGATTTCGTTCACACACAAAAAACCTGTGAGCCTATCAATCAATCAATCAATCAATCAAAAGAAATTTATAAAGGGCCAAAATCAAAAAGTTTGCTCTAAGGCGCTGATGGGGCACTAAAAAGAAGAAAAATTATGGATGGTTCACCTCCTGAAACAGGTGAGCTTTCAGAAGTGTCTTGAATGTATGCAGTGAGGTGGTATCTCTAATGTATTCTGGAAGTTTGTTCCAGATTCTGGGGCCGTATACAGAAAATGATCTATCAGCAAAAGAGACACAATGGGTTCTGGGCTCAACAAAGTGAAGTGAACAGGAGGTTGATGATCGAAGTCGTCTCTGTTGAGAACTAATTTGGAGCATGTCCGTGATGTAAGCGGGAGCTTAAGTTCGCATATCCTAAGTTCGCAAATAGAGGTGGGGGCTACATGTAGACCTGGGCCCAGATATTAGCAACCGTTTTAAGGGTGGTTTGGGGAAGGGGAATATAAAAAAAAAAGATACGGCTGTCTCTGGTAAAATTGAAAAGACTATTGTCCTAAAGGTCGTATAGTGTTTAATTTCCAGTGAAAAATATATTGCCGCCTTGCTCCTGAGTGCAACCTGGTGGCATTTTTTTTTCTGTCCGATTTTGTGCATGAGCGAGTGTTTGGTGGAGTGGAACCTTATATTGGTTTTACTTTGACTTGGTTGTGCAGCTGGACGCATTCACGTCAGTCAGGCTTCGTATATGGCGCTGCTTAAGGAAGGGGGCTTCTACCTAATGAAGAGAAAGGACACCAAGATTGGGAAGGATACCAAGGTAGGAATGTTTCATTTTAGGATAGAAAATCAGATGCAGAATTAAGTGAGGGAGTGTGGTCTTGTCGTCTTAGAACTTAGAATCTTATAACTGCCTGTCCAACCAAAGCACTTCGGTAGCTCGATTGGTTAAACATTCAACTACTATGCTAAAGGTTCAGGGATCGAATCCGCGCTGTGCATTTTTTCTTCTTTTTAATAGTTTTCTTTACTTAATGTGTTTTTAATCAAAATCGTTCTTTTTATTTAAGTAGATTTCATTTTCTTCTTTGTACTCAATGGCTTTGGAGGATTATTTTAAAGGGAAATAAAGTCCAAGATCCATTCGGTTGATAGTCTGGTTCCAACAGCGTTGAATACTATAGGTTTTCCTGGCTATTTTAAAACGTTTATCATTCGAATTCGCAGTTTCTAATATTCAAATCCGTCCATTAACTTCGATTTAGTGCACTTGCAATGTTCAATTTCGTCTCTTGTCAGACAATTTCGAATTCAGTTGAAGCAAATTCAAACAATGTGCACACGTTTTCGTCCCGGAGTATTCGATTTCGTCTCGTCCACGCCAAACCTTGTTATTCAAATATCAACTTTGATTCGTCTGGTTGATTTATATAAGACGAATCCGATATCTGAATGCTGCCATTCGCCAACAGCTTAGACGAATTTGATCTGTAAGCACGAACATTCTTGACCCAGTGACTAAAGAGGGTGACCAAACTTTGAAATTGAATGGTAAATGACTAAATTGGGTTTGTTTAAGCGTTTGAAATTTTTCTCGGACAAAATTGAATGTTAGAGTCGGTGAATTTGAATGAAAAATGTTTTAAAATAGCCGGACAAACCGTCAGGAAACCAGATGGTTGACTGCCGTATAACAATAGCCACTGCGAATTTGTTTTCTTCCACTAGTCTGTCAGGAAGAAATGTTGGTTTAGACTTACCTTTTTCATTGTTATACCTCTGTCTTGAATACTGTACATGTGTTTTCATTGGCCTGGAACGATCACGTGTTAAGTTTATAATAAAAGTCATGGCACACTCCCTCTGGGATATCATGTACGTGATATCCCAGAGGGGAGTGTGCTATGATTGTGTACGTATACGGTACGTACGGTGTGAAACGCTTCTATCGTTGGTACCCACGTTATTTTCACCATGTTTTCACACATGAGTGGGAGCAGCGAACTAGCAGACGATCAGCTGTTTCGAGCACGGTACGCGGCATGCATGTGAGTTGTTTTCGATTGTCATGATTGTGAGTTGTGTGAATACTGCTGTTTGTTTTCGTGTTTTCAAAGTCCAAAGAATCCAAGACAGAGGTATAACATCACAGCAGTCAACAATTATTGTTAAGTGACAATATTTTATCCTTTACGTCCCATATAGGGATCCAGCATAGACACCTACTGGCTCGTCTCCCGGGATGACTTCAAGACCCATAGCACCTCTCCTCCCTACATGTGTCAGTATCAAGAGCATAAGTACACGTACGAACACATGTACGTCAAGACGTACACAGGCCGTATACAGTACCGCCATGGTATTAATGATAGGCTGTGGAAACATCCAAATTTCACTTACCTTTAAGGCGGCAAAAGCGGAACTGAAGCGGAGCGCGTGCTTTGATATAATCAGGTTTTGACAGTCTGGTTCCCTGACCCCATTGCCATTCGGACTTCAAATATGGGGACAGGTAGCTAGCGGTAAATCTTCCTTATACATAGGCATCGATCCCCCCTGATGTATGCAAATGTATGCATGACGTGTACAGGTCAGAATCCCGCCACCTGGATCGAAAATCACAACGGTAATGTTTGCCCGCAACCAGCCTATTGCAAAATGATATAGGCCGGCCGCGCCACGAATGTACAATTTCGGAGGTAATGAGCTTCGAATTTTGCTGATCGTAAGTGTCTCTGCCAATATCAATAAAGAGAGAGAAATTACTGAAAGTTACCTTCATGGAGACACTGATGATTTTGCGTACTTTTTGTGGTAAGACATGAGTGAGCTTTTTGATAATCGTGTGTTCAATCACCGTCCATGCGCAGAGCGATTTGAAAATAATAAATCATGATGCGCGCGCGCAGAGGTGACCCAATCAATGGCTTTAAACTAGAGCTAGCTACCGATCCCCATATTTTTAGGGGTGGCCGGGAAACAGTCTAGGGATTTGATACACGAATGTGCATTATGTGCTACGAACAAAAGAGGGCGCACTAACAACGAGAGCTTTCTCTGCTTCACTATGCGCAGTGTTCAGGGTACATAATACGCGACACGTGGCAAGTTTACTAGTATCCTTTTTCATTATCACCGTAGAGGGGGCTCTCGGTCGTGTATACGGAGTTTAGTACCCGGTACTTTGACAATTGCCACAGTAGTTGCAGAATTCGAGGTTTTGAACGAACAAGTAGCCTAAATTCATCACAGAATGGCAGTGTTGTAGTACTCGTACTCGGTACTCGTACTCGAGTACCGTCGACTGCTCGTACTCGTACTCGAATGCCAAAGTACTCGTATTCGAAATGACGGTACTCGTACTCGGGCGGTAAAGTACTCGTACTCGATCTGTCGAAATTGTACTCTATCATCAAAGTAGTTGTACTCGAATAGCAGTACTCCAAAATAATGGCATATAGCTTGACCGTTACCACGGCCGCTTTATCGATACTTTCAGTTTGAAATGGTTAATTTGCTTGTGGAGAAATCGAAGTTTCCTGATTTTCCTCTGTGCACTTCCGAACAAACACATTTAATGGCTATATACCGTGAGTGGTTCTGTCTGACTGGGCCTGGGCCAATTACGCACAATGAAGCATTTGCTATATAAAATGACCGTATTCGGAAATACAGGTACTCGTATTCGTACTCGGACTACAAGTACTCATACTCGGAGACCTGTTCTTATAATAATAATAATAATAATAATAATAATAATAACTGTATTTATATAGCGCCTTTTGCCAGAAGATACAAAGCGTTGGGGGAGAATGCAACCAAAGACAGGTAAATGAAGTATGAACATTTGTGACCCATTATGTAGCACTCGGAAGTATAAGTACTGTTACTCGGTAATATACTCGGCAGTACTCGGTACTCGGGAAAAAAGTACTCGACTACAACACTGCAGAAAGGCACATTTTGCTTGTTCGAGTAGGGAAACGCATAGGCCTATATGATGTAATTCATAAAAAAGGTTTTGCAATTTTATCTGAAACGCCTAAAACGACACAGAAGCACTGATCCGTGCACTTACTTTATTAAGCTTTATTAGCATTGTAGCAGGTTCTAAAATCTATAGCTTGTTGTCTTGTTTAACTTAAGCAAACATGCTAACATCCTTATCGGAGCTTTATCCAGGTATTACGTACTATGGCAAACCTAATGCAGTAATTGTCATAAACACTATCTTGCGTCCGTAAGATATGGCTCTATCATTGAGCTGAGTCAAGTGGGGGTATTCCAGTTCTCGTTATAATTAACCATCACCAGAATTACGTTACTCTGGTGGGTTAAACTTTAACGAGGACCGGCTTTAAACACCACATGTTTTTGAGCAATTATTGTTTCAAAGTATTGATAAGAATGTTACATAATGTGTATCCTGCATGTATAACGTCGACTTACGGTACTAGGCCTAAACTGTGATAAAAAGATGACAATTATCCTCGCGATTTTTAACCTATAGTAACACATGAAGGGTGCAGGCAGTATGAAAATTCCCACTGACACCAGTGATAAATCCCCATACTTCAGAATTCTTTTAAAAATACTCAGAACTCTCACAGGTGTCCAGGCTGCACAGGAAAATGATGATCGACATGTCATCTTTCATTTTCTTTTCAATTTTTTTGGTGGGTTGGCCGTTGACTTTTCGAGAAATCTCACCCGAAGAAGACCGCCCCTAAAACAAGTGATGTTTTTCAAACTGGAAAAGTAGCCATTCAAAAAGGATCTCTCCACAACATATCTAAATAGCGCCACTTTTGGATCCGATTGCATCCAAATACACAGAATTCGAAGCCTCAATTTCAACTCCAGGCCAGAGGTGCAGTGCCATTATGTCTTCAATTCCCCAATTCCAGAACTATCTAACTATGATATAGAATGATTTGAGTGTATAGCTTGTATTCATGAGCTTGGCGGACGGATTTTGTAGCCTATTTTACATGTACTACGGTGTAGGCTACCCTGAAGCAAAACGTACAACTGCTATTAAAAAATTCTACTCACAATGCTGTTCTTTCAGCAAAACAAAAACAATTCTCATAGGGATACATGTGAATTGTTTTCGTTTTGCTGAAAGAACAGTTCCTTTTTTGTGATCCGTGGACAGAGCTTTAAAACGGTGGTTGTGTTCAAAATTCCGTAACTTGAAAAGTACATGAGTGATTTAAATGATTCTTGTACTAAAAGAAAGCTCAGTGATTGGGCTTTCATATCCTAGATTTTGAAAGTGCTGCAGAAATTCATTCAAATTTGGTCCTGCCATTTGTGTTTCTTTCTTGTTTTTTTTACTCACCCTGTGATGATTCTCATAGAAGTACAGTGTAAAGGTATATGTATCATTCTTGTCACTTTAAGGGGACATTAAATTCATTCGATGTCATTGATAAAAAAATCCTCAGTATTCTTTTTTCTCAAATTGAAAGAAAAGGTATGCTCCCATAATTTAGCGTTAACGTTTTTAATCATGCCGATCGTGTAATCGATGCAAACATAGTTTGTTGTTATTGTTGTTGTTGTTGTTTTTGTTTTTGTTGTTGTTGTTGTTGTTGTTGTTGTTGTTGTTGTTGTTGTTGTTGTTGTTGTTGTTGTTGTTGTTTGTTGTTGCTGCTGCTGCTGCTGCTGCTCTTGTTGCTCTTGTTGCTGCTGTTGCTGTTGTTGCTCTTGATGCTCTTGATGCTCTTGTTGCTGTTGTTGCTCTTGTTGCTCTTGTTGCTCTTATTGCTCTTGTTGCTCTTGCTGCTCTTGTTGCTGTTGATGCTGTTATTGTTGCTGCTGCTGCTGCTGCTGCGTTGTTGCTGTCACAATGTTAATGATTATCACATGTTAGCTGATAAATTTAATGTTATTGCTAGTCTTTATGATAATTTAATGTATAAGCTGATTGTTGTGGAGACCTCACTTTTTATTCATTTATTTGTCAGTGGGTTCATTCTCTCGGGTTTAGGTTTAAAGCGAGAAGTAAAGACGGATCATTCGGTATTTCATTTTCAAAGAATCATTCGATATGTTGTTTATTTTGAATCCGACGTGACGGTTAATCTGTTAAGGCTGGGCCTTGTTATGTGGCTGCGTGTATATTGGCCTACAGCGTGGTTCAAAAAAAAGGAAATTCCCTCCTGAATTCAGTACACCAACTTAGTTAACTTAGCCTGGACTATTTCAAATATTTCTTCGCATGGTAGTTAAGTTTAGCCCTAGGCTTCAACCAAGCTTAGTAAAAGTCGCAAGAATAGTATAATATTATGCTTATTTGAATACAAGTCCCCAAAACCAGTCTTGTCCACGTGTTATCCTATGTAAATTTGACCTTTTGGGGTAGAAAATTAGAAACCTTGCCACATATTGGCCTAATGTTTTGAACTGGTAACTTTTTATTGAGGCTGTCCGATTATTCCAAGATCATCTCACTCAAGAAGCTGTAGGCTTAAGTTCATTGTTGCATAACATTACATAACAATCAAATGTCACGGTTGTAATACCCTTTCCCAAAAGAGAAGTGGAACTAACAACAATTCGTCGATCGTACCACGATCTGACCTATCTCAGTTTTTGCCATTTCGAGAAAAACGCGTTTGAAGTTGGGCCTATTTTGCATCCACTCTTTCACCCAGAACACTAATTGTTGTTGACTCAGTTTTTATATATAATAAAGTTGGATAGTTGAATTATGATTTTAAATTGTTTCTAAGGCAAAAACTCATCATTACCAGGTGAAAAATAGGCGCCAAATCCATAAGTCACTTCGTGAAAATTTCATTTTCATATTTCATGCGCACGAACAGCGACCTATCTAGATAGGTCACTTCGTGAAAATTTAATTTTCATTTTTCATGCGCGCGAACGGCGACCTATCCAGATAGGTCACTTCGTGAAACGGACAATTTCGATTTCTCTTTGGCTGGTAGTGACTTATGTCATATGCGCATGCGCGCGCGGACCTCTTCACGTTAAGTCATATGGAGGTTCGTTGCAATCTGTTGGTTTTTTATATTAATATTATTGTTATTAGAGATTAATAAGCTCTTACAAACTAAAACGCTGTTATAGTGAAGGAAATTAGAAAATGAATTCCAATATATACGGGGTGCATAGAAACTCGTTGAATACATTGTGTATACCTCCTAGTAATAATTCTTGAACGAATTCATTGTAAAGGTGTACTTCGAACCCCACTCAAGTGTTATTCTGACTGATTATGACTACCCACTACCGTCTACACTACAGTACGCCAATAGGCTAATTAGTGTAGGATGTTGTGCTATCATACACACGAGTCTCTGCAAAACATGTATTTAGACACAGCCCAACACGAACATATTGCAATACGAGTAATTAAAATACAGAAGGAATATACTTACAGACGTTTACAGAATCAGAAACTCGGTTGAAACTTGCTAGTTTCGTTCAGCCATCAAACGACATGTGTACGCCGCCATTGTTTCTGATAACGCTAAAGACTGGCCCCTAGTAACTCAATTTCATAAGAAAGTGATGGGGACCCCATTAAATCCAGGTACCAGACTCTATAAGTCACTTCGTGGAAAACTGACAGCGTTGTTTACGCGTTTCACGAAGTGACCTATCTCGATGCGTCAGTTCGTGAAATGATAATTTTGCATTTTGTAGCGATAGGTCAACATTTTTAATTAGCTGAATCTGCTTAATTAGCTAATTAGGCCACTTATGAATTTGAAATTTTCAGAAAATAAAGATTTCATCATGCATAACCAGAATATGCTAAAAACCCGAATTCGTCAAAAATTCAGATAGGTCAGATCAGTACGATCGACGATATGTTAGCTGATAAATTTAATGTTAATGCTTGCTGTAAAATTAATCTTTATGATACTTTATTGCATAAAGCTGATTGTTGTGGAGACCTCACTTTTTATTCATTAATGTCAGTGGATTCTTTCTCTCGGGTTTAGGTTTAAAGCGAGAAGTTAAGACGGATCATTCGGTATTTGATTTTTAAAGAATCATTCGATATGTTGTTTATTTTGAATCCGACGTAACGGTTAATCTGTTAAGTCTGGGCCTTGTTATGTGGCTGCGTGTATATTGGCCTACAGCGTGGTTCAAAATAAAGGAAATTCCCTCCTGAATTCAGTACACCAACCTAGTTAACTTAACTATTTCAAATATTTCTTCGCATGGTAGTAAAGTTTAGCCCTAGGCTTCAACTTTAGTAAAAGTCGCAAGAATAGTAATATTATGCTTATTTGAATACAAGTCCCCAAAACCACTCTTGACCACGTGTTATCCTATGTAAATTTG